CATATAAGAAGATTGAAAGACATACATTTCATTTATTTTTTAGATGATACTAGAATTAACATTAATCAATTATTATTTATTGAAGTAACTTGATAATGGACTTCTTATTAGATTTGAACAAATCATACAACTCTATTTAAGGTATCAGAATTGATCACAAACTTTACATCTTAGAAAATTACACTCTAATAGTCAAAAAATTCTAAAAACTGGTAAATAACTGTTATAAAAACTTTCATTGGTTGAAGCGCTGGTAACAGCTGAGATCCAAGCACAGGTTCAGCTTACTCTGCGTGCATTAATAGAGGTCCAGCTGTGCATGCACTGAAGGAACTCTGCTGTGTCTGCAGCCAGCTGCTCCTGCTCATATTTTAGTTTTAGTTAATATCACATTCGACTGATTCGCAAACCATCGCATTCTGTTTTCATTAAGACTTCATGCAGCACCCAACTTTTTCTCTTTTGCAGATGGGGTTAAACTCAAATATTTAAAAAGTTACACTATGAAATAGTCAAATCTAAATATGTCAATAACCCCTGCTGCACAGAGCCCTCCTGTCTGCTCTCTGTACATCTGTGTGCTCATGAGGGTCAACGCTAAAAGCTTATGAGTCAAGCTGAAAGTCAAGGGTGAGACAGACTGAGAGTGAGACTGCAGCGAGGGGGAGGCAGAGAGGGAAAAAACTTTGTCAGCAAGGTCAGTGACAGTCAACCCTGAGGATGAAGAGACTAAATCTTGTCTCAGATTTAATCACTCAGTGAAACGAGAGCTGATGTAAATGTTTGAAGAAATCATGCAAAATCTGTATGTTTTACATCATGTATGTGCTCAAGAACAATTACAAGTACAACAAAGATGAAGCTTATGGCATAGGAAGTGCAAGTGATGCATACAAGAGAGTTTATAGCATATGCAGTATTATCAGAGAGAGTTGATTCAGGTGACCATATACAATAACTTATCTTTAGGCACAGTAGGTGTTTGTGTCCTTGCACATGAATTGTTCTCGACACTCTGACTTTTAACTGTAAATCAGAGTGACAGCCTACAAAACAAACTCTGCTTGTCTTTGTTTACTGTGCAGTAACGCCCACTGAAGGGAAGGTTTTCAACACTTTGTAGGATGAAAGGGTCTGCAGTGATGTTTGGGGATGTGGGGAACACTGGTTTGGTTCATTTTCTCTACACATCGTGATAGGCCGTTACACTGCAGTCCTGGCCATCCATTACTGTCCGTCTCTGCAGCATTTAGCGGGAGATCCAAACCACACAGTGATGGACATGCAGAGAACAGACTGAGTCTTTACATGTGGTCACATTCCCTTTAACAAGTACAACAAAGATGAAGATGTAAAGGAAGTCGTGACTGAAGAACCCACAATATTAAACACTTTTTCCACATGATTTGTGAAATTTCTGACTGTTTGAATGTCTGAATCATAATAAAGCTTCAATGAGTCAAAACCATAGACTGTATATACAACAGACAACTTGGTTCTGCCTTCCACCAATATATGGATTTGCAGCTGAAAAGCTCTTGGTAATTGCATGTTTTTTCTCCACTTCGTGAAACCAGCATTGCGCAGTAGCGTTGTACTCACTCCACCACTTGTCGCATTGTACACATTCGGCGGGAGAGTCGCTGAGAGTCGCTGTGATGACACTCAGCTCAAATAGTGTATCCCCCGGGTGAGCTACGTAATCTTCATACGTCCATAGGCTGTATCAAGTGTCAATGATAGAAAACATGAACCCCCTAATAACTTTTAGCTGAACAGAAAAAAGAGGACTTGAGCACAAACCAGTCTTACAATAACTACATGTCAACATCAGAAGCAGGGGGGAGAAAAATTTATGTTCTGTGTAATAAATTACTAAAGTTTGTTCACAGCTCCATAGAGATTGCTGGAGGAGGCAGGATTATGACCTATAGTGCAGCCCGTCACCAGAGGGTGCTGTTCTCGCGGTGGCTTCACCCAGTGAGGAGGCAGATGGTGTCCATTCTATATACAGTCTATAATGAAAACTGACAGAGCTAATGGAGGAAACTGCTAATGATTTTCATTTTGGTTACTTACTCATTTAGTCCACAGTGATGCTCCCCCTGTTAACATCCACTTCAATCATGTGATGAAGACCTGCACTTGGAGTTGAGTCATTTTCAGTCCAGGTCAATGTCACAGAACTGAAAAAGATAAAGCCTCAAAGTATACACTGATTACTCATAAGTAAACACTGATTAAATAGACAACTTTATCCTTTTTCCCCATGATTTTTGAGACAAGATTAACAAGCTTGAAAACATCCAATTTTAATAGCCAGACCAGTTTTTGCTCGTCTGGTCACCACAATCTCTCAGGCGGCTTCATAAAGCAGGGGATCATTGGCTTCTAAATAAATGAGACGTAACTTTTAATATAACCATACCAGGATAAAAATTCTTATGCCAACTTGTGTATCCTCCTGCCTTTTGTCATGGTCCATGAATGGTAAAGACAACTATTAAGCTAAAATACCTGACACAGTAAGCTTTAAATGCATGTTTTGTAATAGCACAGCAGAGAGTAGTGTTTGAGTGGTGTATTAAAGGAAAAAAAAAAGATTTCACAATCTGTTATCAATCTTTCTTAAACCTGTACTATCCCCTAATGACAATAAAAAGTAATGTATGGTTGCTCTGGTTCTGCAGAATCATAAAAGCATTGACTGTCTTGTCAGGTAAGGACCTCTGAGATATAAAACCGTTTAACCCATACTCATATGTTTCTTGCAGGCTTCATGATATGATCACAGATGAATCTCCTAACCTCCATGTTGACACAACCGCCACACAGCAGACTTTATTTATCTCTTGTTTCATCTGTTTGGAAATATTAAGAGTGACAAACAGGAAGACAAATAGAGGATGGAGCTGATAACATGATAAACCTGTCATGTTAACAAAGAGTGAATGGAAAGGCTGGTCTGGCAGAGAATCAGAGCAGAAAACTAAACAGGTTATTTTGAGCTGTCAGCTGATGTAGCGGAGCAACACGACCACTCCTCAAAGACCGTTCACAACAGCTTCTTTCCTACATGAAGGCCATGTAGGAAAATAATCCACTCCTTTGTGGTGGAGGTGGGACTAAAATATTTAAAAGTACCGAGCAGTATGAAGTCCTCGACACAGCAGGAGAAAGAAGAAAAAAAAAGGCCATGCAGTGAAGAAACACTGCTCCAAAGTTCAAGCTTCTTTGTACTCCTGCCACACTCCTTGAATGTATAAAGAAGATGTTTTTTTTTTAGGTTGACCTTCATTGAACCTTTGTTCAACCAGGTAATAACACACTGAGATAAAGATCTTTTTCACAGGGGGGATCCAGCCAAGAGGTCAGCAGCATACATCATTGAGAATATATGACTGAGGAACAGACTACAGGGGGTAAGTTAAAAAGACACAATGATCTAAAAGGTGAAAACTGACCAGCTATAAAAAGTTCAAACCTTAGAAGATGATTGTGTACACTCTAAAGACCCCTGTTGGGTTAAAAACTCAAATTGGGTTACAATAGAATCCAAATGACCCAAGAAATGGGTATGGATCAGAAAAATAACCCAGAAATTTAACTCAACATATATCACCCAGGATTTGGGTTGAAGAAATAACTCGTGTTTTTAGAGTGTATGTCAGGCATTTGTCAGGAATCATCAAGTTTTATGTTATGTTATGTACATGCTGGTGTTTGTCCCAAGTATTACTACTCACTGAAGACTTTTGCATAAAGTACATATTATGCAACTTCTAAAGGTAAAAAGTAAACAACAAAGGGGGGAAAAAAAAGACATTTCCAAAGAGCAATTATGGAACTCCTGAAATTTATAATAATAATAATAATGATGATGATGATGATGATGATAATAATAACAATAACAATAATCCTGAAAATGTAGAGCACAGCTGTTAAGGCTGCATGATTTCTGTTCTGGTCGTCTCTTCTCCTCTTCTGTTATGTTGTAGCTCTGCAGCTGGTGTTGAATGCTCAACAGGGTCTTGGTGATTAAAATCAGTGCTGGCATCAGTAGAAGGAGGTGTCTAGTGGGGTCTGCTGCCTTATCTCCGCTGAGTCAGAGATTTGTGTGTCACTACTTTTCCACATATTTAGTCTTGAGTAAACGATTTGGTTTGATGTATAGTAAGAATGAGACTGCTGGTTGTTTGAGAAGTTTCATGCGATTTTATTGCCGTTCCTTGTGGGCCACTTTAGCGTGAAGTGTAACAGTTGCTAATAAAGTTAATGAGCACGACTCCTTCTTGAACCTCCATGGTCTCAAAGTAATCTTTGTAGTTTGAAGAAAACTAATTGGATTGAATGAGTGTGCTTTGTTAAATCCTCTGACTGTTGATAAAGTTTGTCCTCTTATTTTTTTGGGTTCTTTCACAAAAATGTGATCATACTTGTTCTAGAAAAATGTCTACACCGCTGCAGTAGACTCAGAGTGAAGTCTGCCCCAGAAAGCACACAGTATGACACTGTATCTGCCATCATTTATTCAGCAGCCCCTCCTCTCACTTATAACCTCCTCCCCAGGAGAATTTATTCAGCACTACAGACCAACAGAAGTCATCTAACTGCAGAAATCATTTCCCCCTTCCCTCAACCAAGGAAAACACATAATTAAATATGTACATTTTTTTTGCAACTGCATCACCTGGTGATGATCCTTTCCTTTATGACAAAACAATGTTACTCAAGTGCGGCTTCCTGATACACGCCATGCACACACACAGTGCATGGCGTGTACTGGAAGAAAGCAGAGCATCCATGCAAATAAGGACTAACTGTGTATTTATGTGTCATATTATTCTTTTACAGACTTTGAATGTGATGTTCAGGCTCTGTTGATGTTCACTGAGGTAATTATAGTTACTGTGCTCTTTTAAAAAGGTGATTATAGACTTGATTTGGTGAAACAACAGATCAAGATAAATCTTCAAAACTCATAAAAACAAAACAGACCATGATGAGTAAGAAACAATTTATTTAGGATTTAGAAGAACACAAAAACAATGACACAAACTAAAAAAAAAAAAAGAAAGAGGGATCACGATTATTATATGATAAACTAACTGTTGAGGGACTTATCTGATCAGTCCTTGAAACTCATTACTGTAAGAATGTCCAGGTTAATAAGGTGGATACATAAAGTGATATGGGAGTTAACCAATATAAAGTCTTCATTTCAAATCCATCACATCATCATTAATAGTCTTTTCCCTCTCCTGCCTTTAAACCAAAGAAGGGCTGTTACATGATGAATATGACATGTTCAATGCAACAGAAATATGTTAAAAAAAATCTTTTTCGTCGAGATACTGTGATGGCAGACGTGCTGTAAGAAATGACCATAGCACCAAATAATTAAACCCTGAAACAGCTCAAGAAATGTATCTTCAACTCACAATGCAATGGCTTCACAAACCTTCAAACCTGAATAAAAACTTCCTGATTCACTTAAACTTTTCTTAACTCAGAAAAATGAGCTGATTCAGCCTGGACTGATGACCATTTGGCTCGACTGCCGCACTCTGACCCTACAGTGCAAATAAGGCTATTATGTCCAGTCTTTGCAGCCTGGTCTATGTGTTTATTTCTACAATAGAAACAATAGTTTTAAAAAAATGAATCAATCAGGAAATGCTGGCAGGGGGGTTATAACAGTGTTGTAAGAACAGCATGAACCATGATTGTGAATGAGAAGTGATCTACTGACACAAAGGTGGAAGATTTCAACAACAAGAAATCTACTGCAAATAAGATTTCACTTTTTTTGGCAAGATTCAAGCTTCACACCAAACCATACAAGATTCATATGTACATGAAATTCATATTTATAACCTTTTCCTACTTAAAATGTATATGCAAAACTTTTTAACACACTGAATATTATGCTGTAATATTTTAAGGCAATACACAGAAGAGTCTACGTGCTTTGCTATTTCCTGGAAATATCATTTGTGATTGATTTAAGCTAATTTTTTTTCCGGTAAATTCAATGGCTTCTTCATTTTGTTTTAATAGTCAATTTACAGAATGCAGTCAGAAAACTTTCAGGTTACAAGACAGTGGCTGAACAGTCTGAGCAGACACAAACTTTTTGAAATTCCGGGAACATCTTCATATAGACACACTGCAAATGTTTGACTCAATAATCCCTAATTCAAATTCAACTTTCTTCCAAATTCAGGATTAGATTAGATACAACTTTATTTATGCTTTTGGGAAGGTTCACTCAAGGAGATTGAAAAATGTTTGCTGCAAATTAAAGGCACATAAACAAGTTTTCCAGGAGACTGAGCCACTGTGATTACAATAACCCTGAGATATCTGCTTGTTATGGGGGTCTTACTGCGTTATAACTCATCTCTTAAATACACATAAAGCTGAAAACCTGTCAAATATGAAGACTCTCGCTCTCCACACAGCCAGACCTGCTTTGCATTTTCCAATTACAGCAGAAAAATGACTGGAGATGAACAGCTGATTTGTTTTCAAATGACGCTTTGATGAAGACAATATGTATCATAAATCTGAGAAGTAAGCATGTGTGTATCCTGCACTCACTGTGGAGGTTTTGGCACTTGTGGTCACAGAGGAATATGCAGGGTTTTGTGTAAATAATGGCTGTATAAAGGATCACACTTCAAATTAAAGCAGTACTTGCAGTCCTGAACACAAATCAGACAAATGTGTCCTGCTTTCAAATGACAGAAAAAAAGAGAGTCCAGGTTTTAAATGGCAATGGAAAAAAAGAAGATAGGAACAGAGGTCAGCGCTAAACGTAACCTTATTTCATGAACTATCATTAAACCACAATCCAAATTTTTTTTTTGGTTTGTGTGTTTATCCCTGAGACAGTCTGAGGCACACTGAGGTTAAAAGCACACATCTAAAGGAGCTATTATCTCCCACTCGTGCATTAGTACACTGTATCTTAATGCAGTAATTATTATTAATAGCACAGAGGATCTTTCTTGGATACACAGATGAAACCAGAATAATAACTACTCAAAATTCACCTCTTTTTTTTAATTCATCTTCAGAAAAAAAAAAACACAAAATAACATCATAAAAACATTTCCTCCCTCCATCGTGGAATAAAAGATCAAAAACCCCCACTCACAGCGACTGCAGCAGCTGAATTGACGGCTGTAATCTAAACACCTGTGAGTGTTGGTCAGAGTCCATTCGCAGAGTTTTGTTGAGTGTCCTTCAGTCAATCTCTGGCATACACATAAACCATTTGGCCATATGGCCCTGCTTCTTGGCTGCTCTGCTTTGTGAGCTCGAGCTCAGCAGTCCGTCTGTGTAGTGACCGTATTCACTGATGGCATCTTCAACACGCGTAATGTACAGCCAGCTGATTATCACACCAAAGAACTGGAAAAAGAGAGAGCAAGAGAGTCTGTGATCAGTAAACGAGAAGAATTAATGCAATAAATGACTGAAGTTTCTTTTCTTGGATCTTGACGTTTTTGTCTTTGTCTGTTTCACATTGACATCAAGATTGCACATCCAAGAAAAGTGGGAGAATAAACAAGGAAGCACATTTTTTCCAACACAACAGGTTACGTAAATCCAGTTATTTGTAGCTGTCAATGGCTGTGGGTGTGTTTGCATTCATGTACTGTGTTTGAATGAAAGATAAAGAACAACAATGACAGATGTTTACCATGCCCACATCTTCGAGTGTGTTTGATAAAATTACCTGGATGTAAAAGGAAGTGACAGATCTGACTGTAATGGAGAGAGGTTATGTATTTTATAGGTTAGAGTCTGGATGCCACAGTATTTTCTAGATAATATCTTTTAAAGTCAGAAAGCCTCAAATATCTTGTAGAAGGAAATAGATGTAAGAAAATTGTGTCTGTTTGATGTAAATATATATACGACACGGTGGAAAGCAAAGTATGAGATGTGAAAATTGAGGCTCATTTTATGACAGATGAAGCAGCAGATGCAGTTTTCAGATGTACCCGTCAGGCAGCAATTTAAATCTCTCACATAGTGAGCTGGGCTGATCTACTTAAAGATGTATGTCCTTTTGCTTCTGATTTCCACAACCATACTGAAGTCAGAGGCACAGAGATCCAACAACACTGTCCTCTGAGGACTGATTAAAGCTCAGATAAAATAGATGTGGTGGGATCAGATCAAACATAATATGATAAGAAATCCTCAGTTTGTTTAATGTAAATCAATCAGTTCAGGTGCAAGTGAATGATTTGGGTTATGGGTTATTTCTTCAGCGAGGTGAGATGAGGTGAGGTAAGGTGAGGTGAGGTTGGGGATCTGTTCCTTAAATCAGATCTGTTAGACAAACTGTCCACTCTGTTTGTTCATCAGACCAGATTTATGTTGGCGGACATCACCAGACCCTCTGCATGTGCTGCTGTGCAAACATCCGAACCAAAGACTGTATAAACATGAACATAGTCTTGGTTATTTCTTAAGCAGAGTTTTGTAGCCTATTAGCAGGAGTTGCCATATTGGAAATGCTGACTCAGTCTAACTGTCAGACGACCCATAGTAAAGCAAAGAGGCGGAGCTGAGGCTATCAATCATATCAGTCATGCCTCTGTGTTGCCAAAGTCATAAACTTAAAATCTTCAAATGAACACAGTGTAAAAAATGACCCCCAGGACTGAACCGAGCTATTCAGACTAAAGCGTTTGAACCAGGCTGTAGACATGTTTATGTTTACTTTAGAAATGAATCCGTCTGTAAGGGGCTTCCAGTATTTTTGCAGAGAGCCTCAGACGAGCACTAGGAAAATTACAGTTTATGGCATTTCTGCTTCATTTCACCAGACCCAAGGTTGATCCGAACACAACTTTAAGTATGCTGGTATATGCATAAGTACAGCATGCGCATGAGCAAAGATCTATCATTACGCCCCCAAAGCAATCAGACAAACCCCCATCCCACCAGACAATCTCAGCTACAGAGAAATTCATTCTGCTGCACAGACTCTGAGTCTGACGCGAAACTGTCGTTGCTCTTCCTGTGTGACTTTAGAGTGGCACCAAAGACATGATTAAATCTGCTTTGAGCAGATAGTAGTTTTTGTGTGTATATACCTGAGGCAGCAGGATCCCCAATAGCAGTCCAGCCATAATCTTATAGTTGTCCGTCAGCCAAATGATGAAAGCATCAGTGCAGCCTCTGATATGGATGATGTCAATCAAATCCAAACGCTATGAGACAGAAAAATAAGTTCTTATGAACGGCTGTGATTTAAGACGTTAAAATCATTTTTGGGTAAATAAACTCAAGAACAGAAGTTAATCAGATAATGTAAAGAGGACAAATACACTGCTGGTTTGGTATCAAGTTATTTCAGATGTGGGTATTCATTCCTCATACTGAAAGTCACAATTTTTCATACTATAAAATATCAAAACAGTCATGTGGTACCAAACAAATATTTAAATGTTTAACTCTTTAGCATGAATGAAAATAATCATAATTCTATTTTCAGTGTTCAGGCTGGAGGAGAGACTGCTGTGCTCTTTTAGATCACTTCTGTTAGTCCGTCTCTGAGCTCTCACCTCTTTCTGCAGCACCTGGTATCCACACAGAGTGTTGGCCACTTCATTAGGCTGCAGGAGGAGGGAGGAGACAGAAAGAGAGCAGAAAAAGAGAGAGAGGGGGGGGGGGTGTCAGAGGCAATATTAGTAACACAGTCACCAGAAGTGAACACAATGACACACCATAATTATTGCTGTTATACACACACACAGATGACAGCCTTGAACAAAAAAAAATGACCTGGAGCACTACTACTGGAGAAATGTGAGTGTGTGAGTGTGTGTGTGTGTGTGTGTGTGTGTGTGTGTGTTTGTGAGTGGCTGTGGGAGTTGAAAGCTCATTTTTGTACTTACAATTCATTAATAGCACATTGATAAACCCTTATAAATGCATTTAAAGTGCTTTATAACAATCCCCAAACGTTATTTTAAGCCTCATAACCACTGTAAATACAGTCTAAAATATATTCAAATAATGAAAATAAACAGCCATCTTTAATGATATGGCCCTATGTCCCAGACGGAGTATCATAATACTTAAGTTTATTGTTTTAAACACATATTGGGATTAGCCCGGGATTAGCCCTCAAAGCAGATCAAAGAATAAATGTTTGAACAAGAGCTTCATAGAAAACAAACACTGAGAACAGGCTTCAGGACTCAGGAGCAGCTTTGTTTCAGGAGCTCAGCTATGAGCAGAGACAGCCTGTTTGTCCGACTAAAAACTTTTTGTTTCTTTCTGTTTCCCTGTAAAGTCTGCAGAGTGTAGGTGTTTAAAAAAAGGGAAGTGTATATATATGTGTGTGTGTGTGTGTGTGTGTGGGTGAAAAGGCTTAATCACTAATATAAGGACGCTGGGGTGCATTTTAAAGCTAACTCAACATTATCATAGCTATTACTGTAATGACATTCAAACAGAGTATTCATAAAGCCATTATAAATATATATAGCACATTGCCTGGAATTATGTAACATTTGCTTTATTCAAACTCTCCGGGCTATTTACACAAGATGATCTCTAAACCACCTTGAATAAGCATCAGGTGCACCTCTGAGCAGTGGGTGCTGTTGGCAGGGATTCAAACAGCACCTGTTCAGGTTGTAGTTATATACAAAACTCAAGGAAATTAAAACGGCATGCAACATTAATGATGATATTAGACGATAAACTAACATGGTTATGCTGTATCAATTTTCTATCACACTTTTATAGTGTCCTCAGGCTTGTGGAGGACATTAAAACAAGGTTAGATAAAGCTACAGCAGAAATACAGATGTTTTATCAGCACAGCTGTCATCGCTTTAATCAGAGGTACAGGTTGTTGTGCTTGTAGCAGTTTATGTAGCCATAACTCTTTCCATTATGTCAAATAAAATGAGGTAAATGTGCTACAGAATTGTTTAGTGGTGCCATGGGGCCTTCCTATTAATAAACAAACATCGAAGTGTGCATAGGAGCTTTATCGTACAACTCAAACACCCTGTTGTTCTTATCTGTTTGTAATGCACAGTGTCTCTTTGACCCAAAAAGATTTGCTCTACAAAATCTGTAAAAAAAACCACTTTTTTCACTATATTCCTCTCACTGAGCCTTCTTGCTGACAAACTCCAAACAATGTCTTAGCTGTTGCTGATCAGCCAAGATAGCACCTGAATTGTTAAATGTTTATATGTCTGTAAAAGCAAAGACATGGACATTTATTATCTTCTCCTCTTTCTCTTGTTTCTGTGTGTGTTGTGTTATTGTGCAGTTTAGCATATGAATCCCAATAAAAATGTTTCTCTCTAATAAATACTTTTTCATTTCCTATAACATTAAAAAAAGGTTTTCTAACTTGTAGCTTTTAGCCACAACTGAAGTAAACTCAGGCGCCATATCTTAAGACAAAAATTACAAGACTTGGGGTGATCCCCCTCTGCTGCCAGAAAGCCTTTTTTTCTGTGCATATTTGTATAATTAATAATTTTTGACAATGAGAGCTGTAAGTTGTCTCGTTTTTGTTTGAATATAAAATTACAGAAACAACCTGTGTTTCTGTGAAGCCTGTGAGCTCATGATGGCACAGACGTTCCTACCTTCTTTTTAGGTCTTTGCTTTATGAATAATACATTCTGTTGTGTGGCTTTATGTGAGACATTAACCAAGAGATTTGTGCAGAAAATACAAAGTGAAATAATGACCTAAATTCAACTTCTTTGGGGAAAAATCTTTATGAAACTTCTACGCTAGGGAAAAAAATCTGCAATGCTACAAAAGTGCAGTGCAGTGTTGTTTTGGTGATGGTAGTAAATCTATTTTGGGTGTAATCGCAGCAGTTTAACAGCTGTAATGAAAACGTGGGCGACATTGGTGGTGGAGGTCAAAGTGAAAACCATAATCAACCACAAAAACAACAGGGAAATAGCAGCTTGCATTGGTTGTAACAGTAAAAGTGATGGTGAAACTTACCTTAGTTGTAAGGCAGCAGGTATAAGGGACACCACAGGCCAGTGGACCGCGTGCTGAGCAGTTGTGGTACATGTTGACAGACCAGTCTTTATACTCCTGACCTCCACAGCACTTAAACTGCAGTGGGTGAGAAAGATGGCAGAGTAGAGAAAAGAGCAAAATTGAGGAGGGAAGATGAGAGGGAGTGTGTTGAGTGAATAAAAGGGTGAAAAAGAGGAGGACAGAGAAGAGGGGGGAGATAAAAAGAGAGAAAACAACTTTGAATTTATACTTTTATAGATGACACTTTTGTGCTGTGCAGGTGAAATGCTCACAACATTTGAAGATGAAACATTTTCAATAAATTGCACACAGCTTTAGTCCGTCTCTCTCACTCTGCAGCAAGTTTTGGGACTGCTCATCATCTCTGAGGTCAATATGGTAATACAACAATCGTGTTTTGCAACAATAATTCAATGATGCTCTGAAATTTTCTTGTTAAGCTCCTCTGCTCCTTGTCTTACATGTGTACTCAACAGTAGTAAAAAGCAGCTTGACACATTTAAGTGTTTACCTCTGAATCAATAACGCATTCAGACCAAAATAACAGAGAAACACCTGCAAACCTTTTGTTGTTGGTTCACAGGCAAAGAATAATGCAACACCAAATAATTATCTTTTATTGCCCTCCATTTCAGCCATCAGTGAAAAAGCCCGGGGAGAGGGAAATACCATTACTTCACAAGGAAAATAAATGAGCTTTGATACGCTTTCTAAAGGGCGGTAATTATTATTGGTTTTGGCTAAGAGCTGTGGAATCACACTGAATAAAAACCTCCTCACTTTGAAGCATGAACTTTATTTTTAGTTTAGATTGAGTGCCTCTGTTTCCTGTAGTGTAAATCTGTTTGAGAAGCATTGCACCTTGTCGATATGCTGAATCTAATTCCCATCAGAACAATAACTAAAACACAAAATGATCGAAAATTGATCAACTGACGGGGATGCTGTTGGTAATTAGCTACATGTGTCAAAAAAGGATTTCTATGTCAACATCTAAAAAAATCTTTAATTGAGGAAGGCTCAGCCTAAGTTGAAAACACTCGAAGGAAATTAAACAAATCCTTTAAGGCCCGATAAATGTCATTTATAACCTTCATTTGATTCAGACTTTAACTGGTGAAGTTATTGTCTGGAAAGCTGCCTCGAGAGTAAAGGCTCAAAGAATAACCAGAGAGCAACACTCAACTTTATTTGAAGTCATTCACTGTGACAAACATTATTGGAGGGAGAGATGGAAGAAACGGCACAAAGGGTCAGACATCAGGAGACAGTAGGACAGGAGACAGAGACAAAGAGATAAGGACTGAAGATGAATACATAAATGAATATGAGGTGGATTTTTGCAACGCAGTGTGATCAGTATGTCGGCATCGTGCCAGAGTGCCAGGAAGTTCCTTGGATTTCTCTTTGGCGTGAATCCACAGAGTGCTGCTTTTCCAGCTCACGTCACGTCTCAGCCAAAGGTCAGAGGATGACAATGCAATTAGGATTTGACAAATGTCTGCAAATGGAACAGTTTGATTTCATAGATTGCACAGATTCATACTTTTATGAGTAACTACAAAGTATAATACAATCCAACATGTCCAGCAGTAAGTGCCTCCTTTGTTAGGATTGATGAAGAGCTCAGATGAGGGAATTTTGACCCTCAAAAAAGATCAACCTGAATAACAGATCGATCAAAATCTCTGTAGACAGCAATGACACAGTGGGAGATGATGGCAGCCCCTGTCACTCTGCCAGACTTGAGAGGCACTCTGTAATTTTCAGGCTGATAAAAGGATCACACAACCGAGTCTTCACATGATCAAAATGGTTCAGTTGTAATCATTTGATATGGATGTGATCACATTGTTGTATGTCCAGGCTCAATGCACTGACTCAAACTCATAAGAGCAGGCCAGCTCACAGCCCCAGCTGAAATCCAGTGTTTGCCAGAGAGCATCTGAGAGGCTGATTTTTATTTTTGTAAAGAAACTGCTGTCCCGACTGTTTCTACTCAGATCATTTCAACTTTGAATCAAAGAAAACATCTTTTAAAAAATGACTGAGTGGGAAACGCAGACAAAATGCTTGGTAGAGTTAACAAACATTTTATCCTCAGTTGTGCCTGTAATCCTGCTGTTTGCCACAGTCACATTATTAATCTGATACCAGGTTTTGTTTTTCACCTGCAGTTTTGGAAAAGGAGAAAAGGAGTTTTCTTGGGGGAGGGCAAATAAGTTATGATAATTGATTGATGCACTGACAACGCTGTTCCCGCTGATGAGATTAGGTAGAGCTGTTTGCTGTTTCAAATAGGAATTAATCAATACTGATTTTTTTCAAGGCCTGTGGGGTGGCAATTGTAGGTGGGTCAATCAATATTTGGTACAGCTGTGAATTAAGAATAAAAATGAAGAATTTGAGTCAAAATATGGAACTTTGAAGAATTATAACATAAAGTACTTTTCTTAAACGCCTTTAGGAAATCAAACCAAAACTGTCAACATCATTTAATTAACCAGTTACACTTGCAGTACAGTTACATCATAGACGTCTGTGATATCCAGTCAGTCACGGTTTGGCTTTCAATGGTAACACACTCATGTTTGTGAGGTTGGCCAGAGCGCTAAGGGTCTTGCCTACGGTCCCAAACTGGTAAATGATAAAGTGGTAAACTCCTTACAGATGAGTCTCATGCAGGATTTGAACCCCCAACCGCCGGTTGGGAACCGGATGCTCTGCCCGCTGAGCTAACCCCACCACTTAAATTGCCGTAAGGCCTAGAAACCATGTACAGTCAATTGACCCCAACGTTCTGACTCAATTATTGGGTTACTCTCAGAAAAATAACCCATAATTATTAACCCATTCAAAAAACCCTCAAATTGGGTTAAAATAGAATCCATATGACCCAAGAAATGGGGAGGGATCTGAAAAATAACCCAGAAATTTTACTCAAAATGTATAACCCAGGAATTGGGTTGAAGAAATAACCCAAGAGTTTTTAGAGTGTATAGTGTTTTGGAGGGGACACAAGGAGAGACAGAGTGGCGAGAAAAAACACACCCAAATCGGAAGGACACAAATGATATTATATTGATTATTCTTGTATAATTGTTTGATGTATATTGGGACAGTTCGTGACACATTGCTTTTAAATCTGTGAAAATTTGATTTGACATGAGCATTCATTGGACACTTCTCTAAACAAGTCCTTTATTGATGCTGACGCTCTCTATGTGTCTTAATTTGTGGAGCTGTCATCTTTACTTCGAACCAATCTCAAGACACGACAAACCAAACAAAATATGAGTCCATATTGGGAGACCGGCATCATAAGCTCACAGCCTTTTGATAAGAGGTGCACAAAATATGAATGGATGGTAACCGGCCTCTGATGGCTCTCACACAATACCATAAATCACTGACTAGTATGCCTATCTGATTAAAAAGTTGTCAAATCCAGGGATTCTGTCCATCTAAAGAAAACTCCCCCTTCATTAGGTTTGTACCTCCCTGTCATTGAGCTAAAAAAAGCTGACTATGCACAAAACTGTCTGTCGTAGAATCCATTAACTTTTTACAGCTGCTTTAACCGTCCAGAACTGATGAAAATGCATAAAATTTGACAGTATCATTCAATACACTAAACTTGTAACATCTCTGCTCCCTAAACTTTTCATCTGCCTGTGCTGCTGAAGCTATCGAGAGAATAACATCAAATCTTCAGACTCCACAGCCTCATTCTCAAGTCATCAGATACGTACGCTTTGTCTCAGCCCCAACTCGTTCCACAGACACACGGGGTACCTTCAAGTGTTTGAATCAGACATGGGAGCTTTAAACTCAGAGAAACCTACCTCATGATGTTTCCTCTAAATTTGGTCATACTATTTCTGTCTCCAAACTTGACAGGTAACTTCCTCAAACAAGCGCATTGCTAAAGGCTGTCAAAAAGTGGGATCAAGCCTGATAGACATGCTTTTTATCGTATGTTCCTGACACCTGTAGCATCCCTTTTGTGTTGTGAGCATTGTTTAGTTGCCTGCACATCTACCCTTAATTACTCCACCATCAGCTCAACAGGAGCTTTGAACTATTATCCATCCTCCTGCGAAACGTCATGTGTCTATCTTTTCCTTTATCTCAGTAATTAGAAAGAAAGCAGGAGAAGAGGCCAGGGTGCAGAAATCCTGCAGGAAGCACAAAGTGGGATCCTGTTGTCACAAGTCATCAACTTGAGATGGAAACTTGAAGCTAATTGCAGGTTTTGGTTGCAATCCACCTTTAAGAGCAGGATGTTGCATTTTATGGCGGATGTTTTGTGTGTCAGAGCACTAAGATGTCAACATTAGCTAAATATAGACTCCCTCCTAAAGCGTTTTTCTAACGGTAATGGCAAAGCAGCACTGACCAGCACTCACTCCCGCGGGCTGCTAATGTAAGTGATGCTGTTTCATTAGAAAAGATTTGTTTGTGCAGGGAGGACGACTCTCTCTTTACAGAAATTACCTGCAGCATACTCAAGTGTTCCTCTCTTCCTTCATTGATCTGAACACCTCCCACCTTTTCCTGCAGACATATCAGCCTTCACTCCCATCTTCTGTCCTGCCTCTGTCTGTGCTCTTTATGTTTCCCCTGAGAAGAGTGGTGTCTCACATACTCCCTGAGTTCAGGGTCTAAAAACCACAGCAGGAGCACGGTTTTCTCTGTCTACCTCCTCTGCCTCAAACATTGTGCTCCGACTGTGAGGCCTCTTTTGGTGAAGCAATGTCTGATGGGCTGATGCTCCAGGATTTTGCTCATCGTGTTTTCAATAGGAGCATGAGCACACAACATTTCAGTGATGTTAGAGCTCTGATAATGCGCTGTGAATTTCAGTAACATCTACTGTATTTGCTAATGGATGACATGGACCAGATGAAGTGCCTGAAGTTCAGTTTAAACCAGAGTTGTTTTGTTCAGAGGAGCCTGAGTACAGATCATCTGCTGATGGACTGTATCAACCAAATGGAATTTGTACAATCCTGTTTTTTATATGGCATATGGGCTTATAAAACTGAGAAAGAATTATCTATGAGGAAAAGATGTCTAACATCTACCACTTCACAGATACAGAGGCATCCTCCTGGAGAAATCTGGTCAGTTTTCATCTTTACACACACTCTATTATGCAGGACAGAGTGTAGAGTGAGAGATGCAGAACACTCATTCATATTCTGGAAATGCCTACACATTTTCATGCTCTGAAGATGGTGCATACAATATTTTGAGTTATACTATGTGAAATGTCACTGAGCCACATGCTGCTCCATCTATTACGTATATTTGGCATATTTGTTTGAAATATTGATGAAAAATACATCATGGAAAATCTGACTTATAGTTCAAGACTGTAAGAAGCAGAGATGGAAGACAAATTATAGAAATGGACATGAATTCAGAGTCAACAAACAAGGAGATGACTGACTGATGGAGGTGAACTATATTTATTTACTTGTTATTTCAGTTCTCTATATCACTATAGTGTAAGTTTGTCTACATGTTTTCTTGTGGGCTTTGTGTAAACACGTGGAACTTAACAAATAGTAAAGTTAAAGAAAAAAAATGAAAGAGATACTTAACAGAGGTGTTTTTCCTTAAATATGCTCTTTCTTCTTAGATACTCCTTGTAGGTACTCTAAATTAATATAGTTGAGTAATCTGGAATTAGGACTACTCAAAACAAGAATAATATTAGAACCAGTCAGGGTGGAAAGCCTTTGTACACATTTTTTATTGCAAGTATTCACAATAAGTTATATATTTTAATATTAAAAGACAGCAGGAGATTTTTTTGTGAGTGAACACTGCTTAGGTGTTAGGTCATGATTAGCAGAGAGATAAGATGTACGGCTTTAACCACACAATACAAAAAGCTCCTCACAGGAGCTTTAAACATAAAATGTGTCTTTAATGAAAAAGGTTTGAGATACCTACATTAAGGGGTGAGGTGATGTTTTTTTCATTAAGTACTCGGAGTAGTTTGACAGTGAAAAGCTGTTTCTCTTTACTCTCTTTAATGGACAAATAATGTCTAAAAAGATTGCCTCTAAATATAATGACTTTCAGGTTGACTTACTTATCAAGTGCTTTTCACTACCGTGAGTTTAAGATGCTCTAATAGTAAATCAATTTTCATTTTGAGAAAAGGGAAAAGAAAAACCTGCAGCCAAACACAGATATAGTTACTTCTGCACAAAATGAATACACCTTATAATGATGCACTGCTGAGGATAAACATCTTTGATTTCGGAAAAGAGAAACTCCTGTCCTGAGAAAGGACGACGACAGACCTACAGCTACCAATCCATAGTACAGCATAAATGATAGACTGTTTCTAACAAAGTTAGGCCAGCTCTTTGTGATAGATGGACACACTTTATAGACCAAATCAATCAATACAGGCTCCTCCAGCTGCAGATGATGAAGCAAAGTGCCAATAAGGGACGAAGAGAATTGACTGATTTGTGAGGAGGAGGTGTCTCTGAATTTCAAACAACTTTCTTCAAACAACACTCGGGTCCTGAGGATTTGATATTCAACGTGTTTCTAAGTTTAAAGCACAACAGCATTTAATGTCACTGGGATAGGATTAAAGCTTGTTGTCTGATAGGCCAGGAGGCTTTTACATCCATCCCTGTGAGGTTAAAGTCTCTTTTTGTAATGGCACATCAATATATTTATACATAAGTCTGTATGGAGACAGTGTTTCTCTGCCTTTTTCAATCATTTTTCTACAACTATGTCTCCATTTCTTTTAGAAAAACTTGAAGCAATGTCAAGTAATCATTTCATAATGTCTTGGTGGAGTTTCACAGCTTACCAGAGCAGAAAACAACTTTTATCAAAGAAATCTTTGCTGTCTGGGTCAAAAAGCTGATAAGGGATTTCTATTCACATTTTCTGAATCCATACCCCCAAACCCCAATCCACAGATCTAATATAAGTTCAATTATTTTATGTGTTGTAGTATTTTTCTGTCTGCTGTTATTACTTTTTAATACATTATTAATCATTTTTCATAAAACCACGCCACTTATTGCTGTATACATTTTAATGTGAGGCACAATAAGTAAACTTCCAGCAAAACGTGCTGTAAAAAAAATTATTTTTTTTTCCTAGCTTCACCTTAATGGCTGTTGTGATGGATCCAGAATGAGCTTATAAATATTTATAAACACTTCAGTGTCAAACAACCACACGGCTCTGAGGAAATGAAGTCGCTGTACAGCTGACTGAATGGCTTTGTTGTGCTGTGCTTTTAGACTGCTTGATGGAGCCCAAAATCCTGATGCAATTTCTGTGACCACACTGAACCCTGACGCAGCTGTGGAAATTGAGCAGTGTTGCTTTTATGAGTTTGTGAAGTTGTCTGAATTTCCTCTGGTGATGGGAATGAAAAATCACATCTTTTTGCAATAAGTCCCAGCTGCGGAAACACTTTGATTACTTTTATGATTAATCATTCGTTGTTAATGCGAGAAGAAGAAAGTCCTGCCGTGTTCACTAGTGTTAAACACCACAAGTCACCGCTGTTAGAATAAATGTCACATTTCCATGAGAATACCAGGGCGGCGTGGAGGGAAAGGTCAGCTTGAAATGAACTCAACAGGGGAAATGACGAAGGACTTGTTCATTCATTAGTGTTATTACTCCTGTAGGATTGTTTTTTCTCATTTCCTGTTGTCGAAATGTTAAACAATTCAAGGCAGCACAATTTCAAGACCGGCTCTGAAAGCTTGGCAGAGGGCTGTAATAAGGGACTGCTATTACTGCATGAGTGGAAGTGCTTGTCAGATTGTCAATTTATAAGCGATAATCCATTTGTGTTCAGATTGGCACAAATGATGATCTGAAATGACATTGTTAAGAGGGTGGGTCTCATCGTCTAGACAGAAACAGAGAATGAATAAGAGGAAAGGATCGTGATCAGCATGAAACAAGCAGCTGCACATGACCCTGATAAGATGACAAAACTGAACCGAGGAAAGTTTTCAGGATCTTAAAAGCACTCGAAAGCCACTTCAATCCTACCCACTGGGCTGCCTGGTGAAAGTCACCCTTCGAACCCTGAGTCAGGCAAATATCTGCCCTTTTTTCAACTTTTCTTTATTTGTACATGGAGCAATTCAAGAGCACAAGCATGGCTGGCTGAGAAACTCACAAATGGCTCTCTTAAATAACCCTTAAGAGTTCAATCACTCACATTATTTTTTCCTGGTTGCTCATTCGTCAGTAGGTCCCCTCCCTCTACAACAGACAGAGTCCAAAGTCAGTGTTTGCTGATGATCTCTGGAGGCTATACGAGCCAAGCTGCAGCCAAATTTGGCACGCCTACTTACTAAAATCCTTCATTCAGATTAATGATACAATAAGAAAATGCCAGACTTAAAGCACAGAGAAGTTCAACAGACAGCTGAAAAACTCTGATAAACGGGCAACCTGCAGGTTAAAGAGGAGAATCATGATGATTGAAAATAGAGTTTGATGTGCTGCTAAATCAACATTAAAGAAAGAGGTTAGAGGGTTGTTTTTGGAAACTTAATAAATAACTACCTCTTAGTAAATGACAATAATTAGTCGTTTGAAGCCATAGTTGACACTTACTACTGGAGGACTTTGAATATTATTAATTAAGTGAAAAACGTGATTGGGCACTTCTGACCTCACATATTCACCAGTGAGGCTCAAAAATGCTCACTAGGACTTGTGAGAGCCAAAATGTCCACTTACAACACTGGTTGGGTAGACTGTGGTAGTGTGAGTTAAGTAGGCAAACAACATCTTTCTCAGGTTACTTGGGGTGCAAATCTAAAAATTTACTAAAAAGAAAAGTGTACAACTTAGTGTAAAGGTGACATGATACTATTTAACATCTATGTCAGTTGCAACACATTACCAGTTAGTTGGATGCAGATGTCAACACTTTTTCACCATATGTGTGGAAATGTGGGGCACGATGTCTTAATGTAGTTATCTGGTACACCACAACTCCTGTCACAAGAGGACATTTTAGCTGTTGCTGCTGACAAATAAACAGTTTTGAGCCTTACTGCTGAACTCTTCATGTCAAATCTTCCCTCACTACTGCAACTAGTGGATATTATGGTTTTTAGTTATCAGAACACTTCTGTCTGAAGGGTAGTAAAGTTCTAACTAGTGTAATTAGTTAACTTGTTATATCAAGAATGTTATCACTCATTTAAATAAAAGTCAATGAAAATCCTCACTGAATCCCAACTCTTATCATTTTGTGTAACTAGTATGACTAGAGGGCTTAAGGGGTTTCAATGGTTCACATACGTCCATTAAGATATGCTGCCTTACAGGTAAAAGTAAAAACAACTGCAGAAGTTTAGCTAGTTTACATTTTAGCTGTTACTAGCTAACCAGTTTACATTTTGAGCTCCACCAGTAAGGCTCCTTATTCCATCACTAGTATTACTGGTGAATAAGATGCACTCACTAGTTTCCTCGTAAACACTTTGAAGCATCTTGAATACCCTAACTACTGTAACTGGAGGGTATTTTGGTTGTAACTAGTGATGCACGATATGAAAAATTTCAACCGATACCGATAACCGATAATTTTCTTCTTCTCATGGCCGATACCGATACCGATAACCGATAAATTCATATTTTTACATTTATTATAATCTTCATATAATCTGCAGTTTATGCAGGATGCAGCGATTGAAAACTGATGTTTTTGTTGCTCTGGCCTATCTAGAATAACAAACAAAAGTTTTTGGCTCTTCAAATGTGGTCATTTGCTATAAATAACAATAACAAAAGCAGAACTTCATTTGATCCCCTGAACTGTTCAACAGAACTGTAAACTGTAAAGGAGCTATTATGAGACGTTAGGATTAGCATGCTGACCGGACTAACATCTGACGTCCATATGTCTGTGGTAAAACTCACGTGTAGTCCGTTCTTGTCGATCAGGTTGTGAATGTATGTGGCGACAGTATCATAGAGTGCAGGAAGAGACACATCCGAGAAGAAGCGGCGGCTTGGGAGAGTGTAACGTGGCTCCAAGTGTGCTATTACACCCGAGTTCTCAACGACGGAAAAAGGCTGGTCGTCGACCGCTATGAACTCCATCACTTTGTCGTTAATGGCTTTAGCCTTTTCGCTGTCTCTTGAGAAGCTTTTGCAGTTTTTAAACGCCTGCTGAATGGGGACATCGATCCTCCGTAGTGTTGTTGTCTTAGCTTTAGTACCGCTAGCAGCTTCGGCGGCTGTCTCATATTCTTTTACTACCGCTTCGCCGCGATGGCGACTTTTCAGATGAGCTATCAGATTCGCTGTGTTAATACTTGACGTCTTCTTTCCTCCTCTCGGAATCCTCGCTGAACAGGTTTTGCATATAGCAATGCTGTTGTCATCTTCTGCCACTGAGAGAAACGACCATGCTGGTGAAGACATTTTATTATCTGTCAGGTAGTGACGGGGTCAGGCTTGGGACCTGCGAGTAAGGCGCGATAGATAACGTAACCAGCGCGTCTCGGATGAGCGGCTACTCCGCCTGCAAACGTTACTCGTAATTTCATTAATATATCGGATCTTTCTATCGGAAAAATGCACCTATCGGACCGATAAAAAAATGACGTAATTTCCCCTCAAATCGGCCGATATTTTATCGGTCCGATAAATATCGTGCATCCCTAGTTGTAACCAGTGAACTAGCTAACATTGTTGAACTTGCTAGTAAACTGGTAATGCAAAAATGTTTTCAGCTGGTGTCCCTTGTGAAGATTGTGCCCTTACTAGTTGACATGTCAGAGTTTCTGCTGTCTGTCAGTTTACTAGTAAAAGAGTCAGCATTTAACTAGTGCTGCCAAACATGAGCTAGTGCAGGACACTGGTACTTTTTATGAAGGATACTGAATAACAGGTTTCTATAAGGGTCCCCTATTTGACCCCTGAGGCATTACTAACAGATCAAGGAGCAATCAAACGACTTAAATCAGGATAAAAAGTAACAGTGTAAGTTCTCTCTGGTCTAACATTAACTGTGTAATGGTATAAACAAATGCCACTGCTCATCCACAACAGAGAGTTACACCTAATATAATGAGGAGAGCGATAATTCAAATACTGCAATAAAGAGAGTGAAATTAACTATATTGATCTTGTCTGACACACACAATCCATCACATTAGCATTTATTAGCACCATTTAAAGCTTTTGTTGGGGTTGTCCTCCACCATGTATGAAAGCCTAAGAACCCCATCAACATATGTAGCAGACCTGTGCTCCAGTCTAAACAATGACCTCTTTGACAGGTGACTTTTGGCCTAATGTGTCTGCAGTTGCTGTGGCCACAGTTGAGGTTAGCCTTGGTTACTGTCAATAATTAAATTAGATAGAATTTTATTGATTCTTTTGGGAAGGTTTCCTCAAGGAAATTAAAAAAATTATACCAAGCCATGATAACATGATTCAAAGTCTACTAGACACAGTTTCCCTGAGTGTCCCTGGTGGTATATAATGACATCAATTTGGCAAATGCAATTTAGAGGAAGGGTGGTGTTATTTGTTCACAGATTGAAGAGACTAGGTTGTCAAACCACAAAGGAATTCTTCGCCAAACTCTTCATGGGAGGGATGCGGCCTAACTGACTCAAACACGCAACCATGTTTTAGTCAGGCTATTCTGCTCACAAACACACATAAATCCACAAAGTCCATTTATGTGTGAAAACTGCTCCTGTGCCCTCGCAGGTTTTTTGGTGGCATTGTTGGTCAGTAAAGACACTTAAATCTCTCTAATAGCCGACATGTGGGCTGTCCAGCAGCTTTACACTATGACAAGAGAAATTTACTGTAAGAGCTTCACACACAGCTGTGCACTGTTTTTTTGTTACCAGAGCAAGCATATTACAGCTCAAACATAAAAAAAGAAACTGCTGCCAGAATGATCTCGACTTCTTCTGTAAGTGCTCAAGATAAATCATCTTGAAGGAGATAAACTGTTTGAACTTTGACAGGATCTGAAGAACATCTATTGCCACAATGATAGCTAAGAGTAATCTTTTTATTACATACTGCCTTGTTCCTCTTACTACTGAAACACAGGTGACAAGTGACAGGGTTTTCAGAAGAAGTACGAAAGTCACGTCTGTTTCTGGTTAAAGTGGTACAAAACCACTAGACTGGAACATGTGCGACCAGCACGGGCATACTGATGTTAATCTACCAGGAAGACTAAGGACCAGTGGTGCTAGCTCTGCTCATGTTAGCCAAACTTATTGAACCAACTGATCCTCTGATACACCCCAATTTTGCAACAACACTGAAATAGATATCTGCCATCCCCACACTGTTTTATTCACACATTACACTCTGAAAATGCATCACACTAAGGAAGCATAAGTGGCACAGCTTGTAAATATCAGGGGATGCTTCACAAACACACAGTAACACTCAGACATACACACAGTACTGTTCCACCCTGCTGTCTCCAACCCTACAAGTCCCCACCCTCTTCAATCCCATCCACCTCCAAGAGAAGACCAGAGGTCAAATGATGTTGCCTCAACATTAAGCTACCTTTACCCACAGGTTCTGGTTGTGCTGTGTCTAATAAACAATACTTTGTGCTCAGTTTGACTATTTCCTTTGTGGTCTTATACCTTCAGACTAGTCAGATGGTTAAAATCAGAGGAAAAAATGGGTTATGTAGCAAAAACTTTAAATTTTCATGTAAAATACTGCAACTGTTTCCTTATATTTAAGAAAATACTCTCTGTCCTGCAAAGGTCACCAACTGCTCATACCTAGATACAGGCATGTATAATGCTTATAATATCACGTATTTAACAACTGCCCAGCTCCATGATGAAGGAAATTGTGCTCCATCTGCTCAGCCTCCTAATTACCTCCTTCTAAATACGCCAAGTAACTAATTACGTTCTCTAGCCCTCAAGCATCCAGGATATCTCCAAACAAAACAAAAATCCTGCTTCACTGTCTCCATCACTCTGCACCTGCCTCAATAGTTCATCAGAGGAGCCGATGTTGCGCTTATTTCAATGTCTGATCCGTCTGCTGACCAAAGACAGACCTCCCTGATGTGCTGAATATAAGTTGATAATGAGATCTGCAGCTTGCGGCAGTGTGTGGCAGCATGATGGATTCTAGGAGCAGGTGCTCGGTGATGGCTCTGCACAGCTCTCTGATTACATTGGACACAACTTCTAGTCCACTGCTGTTGTCAACTATTGAAATCAAATCCTGACCCAGCCTTGAAATGATTACCGGATTATCATGTGCCCTGCATTGAATCATAGTATGTATAACACAGACCTTTTAAATCTGTTAACATGAATGTTTACCTTGACAGGTGTGTGGATGACATGACCTTACCTTCGTCTGCACAAAATCCATGATGTTTTTGAAGTCCAGGTCATCGTAGTAGTTCACAATGCCTCGTCGGATGTTTTTGTTCAGTAACTCTACAGTCTGTAAGAACAAAAGGATAAAACATTAGGTGAATAGTTTGAGTGTTAGTGGGATATAGGAGGTCATGTGACCAGGTTTTGTTTCCATAACCCAGTTGAAAAGGTGTCAATGTGTCAGCTGAGGGGAGGAGAGGCTCTGATTTGTCAAGGTGACCAATCCAGTGAGCTCAAATATCAAAATATGACAGCCTGACAGCTTACATCTGTCGGTCACAATCTGCTGCAGCAGAGTCACATGAGGCTACAGAATTTAGTCTATCAAGGAAATGATAATCTAAAACCAGGGTTTTCAACAAATAAACTCATGGACATCTTATTTTGAGAGGTGATTTAAAGGGAACTATGCACACAATGTACTCCTCTCACTGTTGGTTATTTGTACTTGCTGAGGTCAGGTTTTCAGTGCTGTTTTTGTCTAATTTTAAACAAGATAAAATGGATTAGTTTCACTGTAATTTTTCATGCTTTTTAACGCTGCCTCATCCTCAGCTTCAGCAAAGGTGGATTGCCATCACCTTGCTTAAACAGCATTTCTTCTTTACCTTCTTCACTGAAATGACTTACATTGAATGCTACAACTTTGAGAAAAAAAAAATTATATATCAGAATTAAGTACTCACACATGTAAAGAGCAAGATCGACGAAAAAAAAAGACGTTCCACAAGTTTTACATTTGCTGCTGGGGTTGATATGAGCTCCTCATAGTAGATTTAATAAATGTATGTGTCAATTTCTCAAACTGGGGGCTTATACAAAAATACTACTTATAGTCCGGGAATATATTTTGAAATGTCTTGTGGTTGTGCCTCCACATCACAGTAGACTGAACAATTGAAGGTCTGCACCCTGAGAATGGCCCTCGGCTTCATTCTTCACACAAAGGGGGACTACAGGTCTGTGACTCTTTATTCTATTCAGATGGATATACGTTCAGTGACTTTTCTCTTTCATCAAAGATAATAAAAGACTAAGACTTCTGCCCCCATGAGAATAATAACGATTGAAGAGCCTGAGCCTTTCATTTCAATTCTTTTCTTCATCCTCTGAATGCCCCGTCTTTGTATTGGATCTGTTACAATGAGCAGATACAGGCTGTGAGTTAGTCGGCTGTCATGTTCCCCTGTCTGAAGAATTACCCACAAACTTTATTAAAAATAAAAATCCCATACGGCCATATCAAATTAAACATGGTACTCCTGGAAATGAAACACCAGTGAAAACAAATCTTTTATAAAAATCTACTAAAGTGATCCAGGAACTGAAATATGAGATTAATTTGAAAAATCTCCACATGCATGTATCAGTCTTTTTTTTTTTTCATCTCAATGTAAATGAGACAACCTGAAACGAAGCCATGACATATGATGAGCTGCGTCTTCACTGTATTTAAACTAATGCTGAAGTTAAAATATATAATCATGACGTTAACATGATGTTACTAATTTAACTTTTCCTTGACAAATAGATATAAATGTAAAAATCTACCACACAGTCTTATTAAAAATGGTTAGTCTAAGACAGGCCTTTATTATATTTGATTTATTGTGCATTTAAACGTGAAGACAAAGAGAATTTCAAAGCATGAGTCCCCATGGAGCCCCGTGGTATTAATCAATGAAAACAGATGTAATAGATATCTTTTTGCCGGGCTATCATAATCATATGAGTTTGCCCTCATTATCATAAATCATGACAGCATTAGCATGATTTCATCAACTTTGCCTCCTGAATAAAAACCTTAACATTTTTTTATGGTGTGTTTTTTTTGCTCTATGTCAAGGTTATCAAATAAATCAACAAATTAATTCTGATAAAACCAAAAATGCCAAGCTGCACTGCTAAGAAATGGAGTCAGTGAGAAAGTAGGATTAACTGCAGTTCCTCAAGTGTCCACTTGAGGCTGGCTGCAAAGGCTAAGGAATCTACATGTATACAGCCCCGTACAGAAAACTGTCCTGCTCCATACAGCTGGTTTATTTATATGTACACACAGTACTTGGGGACGGATTAATCTGTTACCATAACATTGAAAAGAAGAGTCATATATATATATATATATATATATATATATATATATATATACATTTGTATAGTTAGAGGCATGGCAGGCATGGGTGCTTTGCAGCTGTCGCCCCTCGGATCTACCTCCATTTCTGTTTTTGGTTGATTCAAAGTTAAGGTTGAGTTACATCTCCAGCAAAGTGCCCACAATTGTTGGACTTAAAAAGGTCTCGTCTGGTTTTGATTCTTTGTCACAGGGACTTTAATCATCCTTAATAAAGTTATTTATTAAAGTATATAAAATATATAGATCTGACCATTTGAAGTCCCTATCTTTGGCAGTTCAGAAAAAGTTATCCCTACAAAAGAAATTCTGGGAGTTATATAGCTGCCTCATCCTCAGGTGTAACACAATCTCCATGCAAATGAGAAAAACACAATGAAACACCTGATCTGGTGATCACATTCAGTGAAATGCAAAACTCCAAGAGATGATAACCCCCCACTCTTGTCAGGCAATCATTCTTCTCTCTGCAGGTTATTTTTCATTTGTCCCTCACTTTTTTTCCTGACAAAGAGTTGTTCATCATAGCAACCTTTCTAAGAAAACGGTCATCTAAGAGTGGCTTCATTAAAACTGGCCCTTCCTGTTTGTGTGCACAGAAACAATAATGGATTTAATGGCAAAAGTGGGATTAGATTACAAACCGAGGACAGAGATTTCAAGCAAGACAACGAGAGAGACTAAGAAAGGAGTGAAGTGAAATAACTGGGGGGAGTCATTAGAAAGTAAGAAATTAGAGCGTGACGACAGATGGACGCAGAAACACAAAGACATGTCAGAGAACATTTCATTTTCAAACTGTTTACATACAAGTGTTATCATGTCTGCTGTTTCATAAAAAACACTTGATATCATAGAGTGAATGTGTAATTAAGCACGTGATTATAAATAAGTGCTCATAAATAGTTTGGTGCATATGAAGCCTGCATTTAATGAAAGATACTATATCAACATGTCAACTATTGGTTCATCATTTCTCTGAAATATGACATTTAGCCAGAGTCAGTTTGATAATCATGATGAAATGAATGCTCTTTCATGTCTGTTTTTTTAGGTGTAATGCTGTACAGTTATTCATTATTAATGTTGGCATTAGTTTGTAAATTAAATAGATACACCCACTGGTGAATCCTGTTCTGGCCCTGTTTGACTACAGTTTAAAGCTTTGATTATAATCTACTCTCCCACTGCAACACTCCAAAATGCTCCAATTATCCGCCTGAAGTCAGGAGGGATTACCAGTCAGCTCACCTGGTTGCGGAACGCAAGCGCCAAAATTCCTCCCAGCAGCTCCAGGATCAGACACACACTCAGGGTGTACATAAACTGAGAGAAAACAAACAGAAAAGAAAAAGAGCCTTTTTACTCACATGTAGATCATACACTTAAAAGTGATACACTTATTTTCACATGTTTGTTTCAGGGTAAAATTTATTAACAGGCCTAAATACATGAGGTTGCCTTACAGTTGTCAGGCAACCTTTGCATCTGGATGAATATCATAATTTCAGTGTGGATAATCTCTGTACACATTACACTTTCATAAATATACATTTGACGTACAAGTGCATCACAAAAAAATGGAATATCATGTAATTAAGAAGAGAGAATTCAATATACCATAATGATGATTGTCTGTCTTTTATTTATTTATAAAGCTGATGTACAAAATCAGCCCTAAAATTAAAAAAGCATGATGTAGTAACTTCCTGTAAAATCCACTCTTTGTGAGAACAGTAGCTTTCAGCTTTGTGTGTTTCTGTAACAGCCAGCAGCTTTTTCCAAGTTTATCAGTGGAGGTGAGTGGAGGCAAAAGTAAACAAAGGCAACAAAGGTTTTGGTCTAATCAGGTTTCTTCTGTGACCTTCTGACCTGAAAGGTTCAGTGAGGAACTAGGGAAGCTTGAGGCATATGTTGCAGTTGGCTCATAATGTAGAGTTAGGAAAGATAGAGCTGTTTTGAATGGATTCATCATGTTCAGCTTGTTTTAGTGTCAGTAAATCTGTGTTCGTTTGGCATACCATCACATGGGTACTGTGTATTAAAAGTTGACCAGTAGGAAAAAGTGGGCAAGAAAGGGTATGACAGCAACGCAGGTGACCACAGCTTAAAAAGACTGTTAAAAAAAAAAAGTTATTTCAAGAACTTAGAGGAGCTTCACAAGGAGTGGACTGAGGCTGGAGTCAGTGCATCAAGAGCCACTACTCACTCAGCTTAGTAAAGGAACTTCAACGTTCACATACGTAAAATTAAAACACTCCAGGACCAGAGACGATGTCAGATGAATCTTACCTGGTCTAAGGGAAAAAAAAGAACTGGACTATTGCTCAGTGGTCCAAAGTCCTCTTTCAGTTGAACGTCTGAACTAAGTTTAAGGTGCGGTTCAAGGTGTATGTGCATGGTCTGCTTGATCTGAATCAGTCTGGCTTTAGGTGGGGCCACTACTGAAGCTATACTTCTGTTACGTTTGGCTGGACCAGCTGGTCAGTCCTCAGTTCTATTGCTCCTGAATCTGTCTGCTGCCTTTGACACAGTAAACCACCAGCTCCTCCTCTCCACACTCTCCTCGCTTGGTATCTCAGGGTCTGCCCTCCAGTGGTTCAAGTGATCTGGGAGATCTTTTAGAGTACCATGGAGGGTACAAGTGTCCAAAATGCATGGTTCATCATCAGGGGGCCTCAAGGGTCAGTGCTTGGTTCCCTCCTTTTCTCAATACACCACCTTAGTGTGATTATCTGATCCCATGGCTTTTCTTATCACTGCTATGCAGCTGATACACAGCTTTTCCTATCCTTTCCACCAGACGACACAACTGTCCTAGCTCGGATCTCATCCTGATGTGCTGATATTTCTAAATAGATGAGGGAATGTCACCTTCAGCTTAACCTGTCCAAGACGTGACTAAGATTATCATTCCAGCCAGTCCCACTGCGGACCCACAGATCAATATCCAGTTTGGATCAAATAAGCTCATACCTACTAAGTTGGCCCAAAATCTAACGTGTCATGATTGATTGATGACCAGCTAACCTTCAAGGTTCATGTGTCCTCTGTTGCTTGGTCCTGCAGATTTGCCTTCTGTAACATAAAGAGGATCAGACCCCACCTGACAGAACATGCAACACAGCTCCTGGCACAGGCTCTTGTATTATCACGCACTGACTTACTGACAGGCCTCTCTGCATGAAGTTATACCTCTGCAAATGATTGAAAACGCAGCAGCATGTCTGGTCTTCAACCAGCCCAAGACAGCTTATGTCACTCCTCTGTTCATCTCTCTTGACTGGCTTCCTGTTGCAGCTTGCATCCAATTCAAGACTCTGATCATTGCTTCCAAAGCAGTAACCAAAACTGTGTCTGTTTACCTCGAAACCCTAATCTAAGTCTACAGCCCCTGGTACTTCCAGCACATCAGGCTCCTAAGTCACTACCCCGACTCTTCTCATCTGTTGTCCCAGCTCTTTAGAGAACACTATACATTTAGCAAGACTAATCTACACTGTTGTCCCCAGTGGGAGAATGAGTCCTCCAGCTACAGTTGTCTCGTACTGTCCTGCTCTGCTTTTGGGATTTTTGTGCCCAGCTCTTTGCAAGTGACCCAGCACTTGGTACTTCGGTCATTATTGTGGTGAAAACTATTTAATTGACGGTGATGATGGGAGGTCTTACACTGGTAATTGGTTGCTTTATTGTTGATGTTCATCAAAAAGTCCTTTATACACTCTATGAATTGCCTTTGATACTGCTTGGCTGTACCAGCATCCAAATTAACTTGAAGCATCTTGTGGCTCTTGCTGATCTTGTTTCTTCTTGTCTAGATCTTTGCTCATTTGCTTCCATTGTTCCTGCTCTGGACTACGTTGTTTTGGATAAAAGCATCTGCTAAATGACATTGTAACATTATAACATCTACCACATCTACAGTACCCAAAAGCCTCACTGTTCAATCAGCAACAATGGCTGCCTGGTTCAAGAGTGGTGCGTTGACAATATATATTAATATAATACCTACAGTCAGTGATCTGACAGAAAATTCAACAAAGGCAACTTAAAAAGATCATGTGTGGCTCTCAGCTCATGACTCACCACTTTCAGCAGGGTTAGATTGTCTCTTAGTGAAGCTAAGACTCCGATGAATGAAACTACAAACATAACAATCCCCAGAAGGATTAGAATTACAGCTGGAGCCAAAAACAGTCCCTCCAGAGTCTTGTAGCGCTGTCTCTCAACCTCAGCGTAGATACCGATGGCCAGGATAAAGCCCCCTATAAGCTGGAAACAGAGTGAAAAACAATAGGGGTGGGTTAGTCGTCAGCTTCAACAGGCAGGTTTGTAAAACATAAAGTATGTAACTACAATTTTAGAAACTGGAATTCTAATACTACTTCTTTTCATACTAGATAGGACACATTTATTTTTGTCTTGTAGCCTAACATTTGTCCATATATTTGTGTGTTTCTGGGAAAACTTTGTTTTGGTTCTTACTTGAAGTTAGAAAAGTTATGTCATCTTTTAAGTTTTACAGACAGACATGATAAGAAGAATTTTCATGGTCCCCAAATGTAAAATTCAAGGGTGTAACACTGCAGATCATGCATCATAGTTTGTTGACATTCACCTTTGATCACTGACTCATAACATTGGTCCAACAGGTTGTCTAGAGTACTCGTGTAAGATCTCCATGTTTGTGTTCTAACTGTGAGTAAATCAGCATGCAAATGTGAGCACCTGGCCTGAAGCTCCACATCAATGTTAAGTGTAATGTCAGTGTGTAAGCCTCAGAGAACTGCTCGCTTAGCTGTAAAGTCCATCTCAGGTTAAATACTCTGCAGACCAAACCTGACCATCAGACCTCCCCTACTCATGTCCCGTCTACCTGTAAGAATCCCTGTAGCCTCCAGAGTGTAAAACTCCAGCTCTCAAAACCAAACAGCTCAATTAAGGTCCAATTATATTCTCTGTCTTCAGCAGATTGGAGTGGACTGCAGCAACAAATAGCTCAGTTTTTCATTTCACTGACAGCTTTCTTTTAATTGGCTTCACTGAAGCTCTTTAGTTTTGGACAGAATGATCTACAGGGAACTTAGAGTGCATCAAAACACACTCACAGATACACAAACATACACATACACACATAAGAGACCTTACTTATCTTGACTTATCTTGAATTTTGTCTTACTCGGTCACTACAAAATAATCTTATCAATTCAAGACTGACTTTGGTGATCTTAGAAACCTTGAAGTAAATCATTGACTCAACAGTGTTTTTGATGTTATCAATTTCAACACACTGGATAGATATGATAAGAAAGTAAGGTAAGTTCAGTGCTTTGGAACAGAGACACACTGGCCAGACAGACTGCCAGTATCTCACAGGTCTTTTGACTTGTGAAAAAAAGTCTTGTTCATGTTCTTGTAGGGTTATGGTATAACAGAAACAAAAGAAATACATCCCCCACACTTTATAAGCAAGATATTATGATTGCATTGTGTACTTTAAGAAAATTTGAACTTCATACAAATTTTAACAGCTAGGATTTAAGATAAATCCACTTTTTTATAATGGTGGAGTTAAATTTCTGACATCTAAATGGAAACAATATCGCTGTTTAGAGACTGTTAAAGATTTCCCCTTCAAGCAAAGTGACTGAACATCTAAACATAAACAGTAATACATCGAAGTAAGTTTAGTTCCCAGTTTTGAAATTGAATCATATTTCACAGTAAAAACTTTCCTGTTAAAACCTCCAGCGGATGTGTCTAGAAACTGTCACTTACTGAGTCAACTGGGAAAAATAAAGTCAAACATGCACATTTGAAACCAGACTGTCAACAAGGGAAAAACTGAGAGGATTTAGAGCTCTGTTTAGACCAGGACTATAACTCTCGGTACAATGATAACATGGTGGGTTCGGATGGAGACAAGAGAAGCTAGAAGCAGAAGAGGAACGAGAGGAGAGCTAGGCATCCATCAGTGCCAGTCTCCTGAGACTAGGAGCCAATCTTAGCAACAAGTCCACCTTGAATACCTAAGAACTATGATCTTAAGTGGGACTTTCACAGCTCCATTTATTAAGTCTACTTTATAAAGTCAGCTTGTGGAGACACAAAAACAGCTCGAAACATCCACAGCTCCTCATTATTGAACACAATTCCTGAGAACATACGACATCAAGGCTTGTTTACTAGGAAATTATACCTTCTCCAAAAGGTCAGTGTCATCAGATTATAATAAATCTCTTTAATTCAGAACTGCCATATGGAAAATTCAATAACTGTTCACACTGACCAGAGTATAGACAGACCTGAGCTCTCCACATGTCAACAGAGGAAGCACTAATTGAGACACAAGCTTAATTCCTCATTCAACCATAATTTGCAGGCGACACAGTCGGTAGTTTGTGCCCTTTTTAACCCATACATGTCACATTAACATACATCAAAGTCACATTAACATGCATCAAGGCTTCATCTGCTTTCAATTAGTGTCTGGATGCAGCTGATCATGTAATCAGTGTCTGTTAATGCTTCTGCTATTTTTAGCATTCTGATAGCAAAGTATAGCACTGAGGTTCAGCTTACCTATAAAATCAAGAAAAATGATATTTTTACACTTGATCCTTATTTGAACTTTTCAGGCCGATAGTATGTAATCTTGTGAAATTTAACTTAGATGTGTTCTGGTTACTCATTTATATGCTTGCTGATAAATCAGCCCTTCATCAGCAGCACAGCTGATCACAGTAACATAAAGACATCCTCTTCTTTGTATTCAGGTCTTTGTGAGAAGATTACCAACATGATTTGTAGTCTTACACTTCAGTTATGGTTGGAGATGACTGTGTTTTGCTCTAATACACCCTTATTTTGTTCCTAAAGAGGCCTCCAGGCTGAACTGTTCATGATGAAAATTTGTCTACTCAACAGCTTTCTCTGTTCATGAACTTTACATTGAAGTGAGTACTAACAAATTACGCACACTTAACAGACAAATCAGCCTGTAAAGTGACTGTGCAGGTCTAAAATTAAAAAGGACTGTTACACAGGTTTATGTCAGCCAAACAGCATGTGAGCAAATCATGCAACATGATCAGGCAGATGAAGGATGACCTATTTATAGAACATTTTGATCCTTTCTGCACCCAGGGGGCTTCAGTGTGCCCGTTCACTTGCTAAGTTTTTCTGACATGTACAATGACACATCTGGACCTTCAATTGGAAACTGCTTATATGGCTACAGGATTACAAAAAGTGAACACTCTTCAGATGAAGACATCACCACTCAAGTTTTATTTTTACTGTTGAGACTGGTGTCTGAGCCCCAGAGGGACGACTCTACAAATGTGCAGGTTGAAAACAAGCTCAGGACTGAAATTGGAAACCTATGTGGGAATTTGGAATATATCTAAACTGGCAGCTCTGTGATAAACTTATGCAAATGCTGTGTTGTAGTTCAGTGTTACACAGGCAATGCTTTGAAGTCTAATAAGTCTCAGTATGCCAACATTGAAAGTAGATGATGCAAGACAAAAAAAAGAAAAAACTGTACTTAATAATCTCAATAATCTATGTGGAGTACAATGTTACGTTAATCAAGATATCCAAATATTCTCTAAGGTTTTAAACCAAGCCCTTCAAAATAAAAGTCCTCTGAATAGGAAAAAAGCAGAAGACTCCATGGTAAAAGTAAGAATAAGAACACTCACTCTTAATAAAACATTCTGCTTTAGAGTTTGACAGATATTTCACACCTTTTATGAAGACACACACACACACACACACACACACACACACACACACACACACACACACACACACACACACACACACACACACACACACACACTGCAGCATGTTGCTAATACAAACACTTGAACCTTCAACACATTTGCGAACCACTGTTTGCCTCTCTATTTCTTCAAGCCTTTCTGCTGAGGACAGAACTTTATTAGTGAGGAAGAGGAGGAGGAGGTAGAGGAGTGTTTTTACATAAAATGTCATCCAGGGCTCAAAAAGTTCAAGCACAGTTTATAATCCACCAACATGTCTTCTCCATATGAGCCCCTGGTCTGCATGTCTCTCTGCTAACTGGTTGTCCGTCCACACTTCAGTCAAGGGTACTTAGAGGAACAAACTGAGAGGTTCCTTTGAGTTCCCTTATAAAGATAATTATGAGTGATGATCTCTTCATTAAACTCTTTTTTTCTGCTAATTTCTGTGGCCTCTGGAAAGAGCATATTATGCAGATGTCTGAGTGATGTGAATTCCTGAAGTGTTCAATGCCCTACTTACTTATTTAATTTATTTGCAAGAGTAGAAAAATCTAAACTCAAGGAAATCATTTTGACTTTAATATCTCGACAGTGATAAGAAAGAATGAGTGAAGAGGTCAGATTATTGATTCATGAGTCAATCAATCAATCAATCAAATTTTATTTATATAGCACTTTACAATATCCCAAATGGTACCCAAAGTGCTTTACATAAAAGCAATAAAATAACACAAGAAAAAATACCATTATAAAATAATACAATAGAATAGAAAATACAAGAACGATGAAATAATAAAAATGAATATGAAAATAAAATAATACAATAAAATAGTATGTAGAAGTGCTAAAAACCTATAAGTACAGGACTACCTAGTCAGAGTTAAAAGCAAGTCTAAAAAGGTGCGTCTTTAACTTTGATTTTGAGTCGACACAAAAGATTCAGGCATTCAAATCAATTGTGAACTTCACTCAGTAAGGACGGGGTAAAGGGCTCCGAAAACAGGAGTAAAATCTGTGGTAAAGCCATTGCTCCATCATGTTGAAAGAAGTTAGTTGAGGTGGTCCAGACATTTAATAATGATCATAATGCACCAGATTTTTATCAGACACCCTCAAAGTGCTTTACATTGGATACATCATTCATTCGCTCACACAGTCACACCCTGCTGGTGGGAAACTACCATAACTACCACTCACAGTCATCGCAACCAGTGGAGGACACACACTGGGAGCAAGGTGGGTTAAATGGCTATTTGATAAACTTTGACTGCTGCCATCGAGACCTGATCCTGGGTGGATGGATATATCTGATATAAGGACAGAAACAAGACCCCTCACCCTCTAGGATCATTCTTATATGGTAAACTAGTGAGGAAACAGTAAACAAAAACATGCTAAACAGTGGCAATTTGACACTTCAGTATCTTGGATTAAAGACACCAAAGCGTGTAAAAGCTCATAATTCTCTCATGGAGCAAGCAGGGGTATAATAATGTGGTGGACAATACTATTAAACTAGAAAATAAGGACTGAATTTACTAATATTTCCTCACACAACATCTGTTTTGTCAATCAATAACACTCATGGTCCTGTATTACAAAACAATAACAACTGCTCAGCGGTCAAAAGTCAAAGACCTCTGTTAAAGTAGGAAGTCTCTGTGTGTTAATGTCTGCATGAGCTGTGGTTAAATAGTATGTGCTCAGTCAGGCTCTGCAAGGTCAACACGGGTTTAGAAAAACAGATAACCGCATACAGCCGCCCAAAGTGAAACTAAAACATGGAAGCACTCAGTTTGGAACTGGGGTCATATTTGAGGGGGTCACTTTTAAAGTGCAAAACTGGTGATAGTTTGGATTCATGTTTCAGAAAATGATTCTTAAATTTGTTAGATGAGGACAGATGGTTATAAAAAAACAGACAAAATATTGTTTCAAGCATCTTATCATAACCCAGTACCACTAAATAAGAACAGGAATATGTGTGAGGGTGGCTTTAAAAGACTGTAAAACTTTATCTTTGAGATAATAAAATCAGACAAATATTTAAGCTATAGTTTTGGTTTCAGTTTGTTCGTGTGATGCATTTAGTCATCCAGCATTAAACTACATTAGATTACATTACAGTGTCTACAGTGAATGACTCACACAGTTTTGAAATATGGGCAGGAAAAAACAAATCTTCACTTTGCATTGTTCCTCTACCATCTGTTATTTCACTTGGCTGTTTGCAGCCTGGGCAGCTGGACCCTCGTGTGCGAACATCCTGTTTTGGAAACTGAATTAGGTCACTATCTTATTAGATCTATACTATTAAAGAATAGTTCAAATGCTTTTAAAAGTGTCTTTTTTATATATACATTTACAAAAAAGTCAGATGACAGGTTTGAGATGAGAGCTTTAAGGTCAAAATCATGTGTCTGACTATCCCTTTAAAATAAGAATATGATATAAAGCATTCTAGGCTGTCTAGTGTCAGCATGTGTTGTTTGCGACCCTAATTTTAAGAAACGTGGAAAAACTTGCAAATCATAATATGTAGCAAACTAATCATAACCTTTTATTACTCCCACATCAGTTTCATGAAATAATACAGCAGAAATCTGTGGGTGCTGAATTTGACACTGAGGGAACTGTTTGATGCTGAGAGTGAACATTTACTGCTGTCCACATTTCCTGTGAGACGTAACTATTGACCTAAAATGCTCTTTATTCTCCTGTATGAAATGTGCGTATCTCTTTAGCATGACTGAATTGACAAGTTGTAAGGACAAAGTAAATATAACTTGACAATCTGTTTCACCTCCACTATTAAGGAAGCATTCATTCTCCATTTCAAAACACTTAAATGTTTCCTCTGTTGCTCTTAGCCTCACCAGTTTCCTCTCTCTCCTTCTCTTTGTGAAAAACAAAACTCTTGAAAAATGCCTCCAAGATAAAACAAGTAAGTGATAGTTACTGTAAGTATATGTTGTGTCAATCAGCCATCTGTCTGCACAAATGTTCAATCTGTCATGTTGTGTATGAAAGAGAGCAGCTGCAGTTTGGCTGTGTTGAACAAAAAGCAGCATAATCGAAGCCATCAGAGGATCTGCTTTCTTGTTTGTCAAATTTCTTCTTCAGAAGACATTTGTTAAAACAAGCGTCATCTGCAAGGTGTTCATTATGACTTTAAGTTACCAGTGAAACTGACCAAGGGGTCAAACTATGAGGTCGGTGCCTCTTAAACTGCTGAGTTTCCATTTCCGATTACATTTGCTGTTTTTATGGCTGAGAAAATGTACCTTCTTTACTTTCACTGTTTCATTATCATTTAATGACTCTGAAGCAGGTAATGAAGCATGTTTAACAGAGCATGATCTCTGCTCAACACTTTATTACACCTTTCTCCTCTACCAGCAACACTTGAACCTGGAATAACTGCGTCACATGATTTACAAAAGCAAACCAGACCACCAGGCAACTGACTTCTTTTTGTATAGTTTCCCTGTCACCTCGGCCACCAGCTCAGTGTTTGACAAAAGATTTAACACCACACTGACAGGTAAGGTTTTAGTTTATACGTTCCTCAAACAATGTTCACAGTAAAAGACAAGATGTTTTTGTCTACGGAACTTTGGACTACTTAGTCCAAATTTTACCTCCAGTCGCATTTTCCTCTCTTCTATAAACCAGTGTCAAAGATTTAATCAACTAGAGCTCATGGCTAATGTTACTGTGTCTTATTTTGGTGAAAATGACATACAGAATAGCTGTAAAACAAATAAGGCAGACAGGGAGCAATGAATCAAATTCATCCTTCCCAGCGCTTTGTGTTTTCAGGAAGTGACTAACAGCCAACACTGGATCGATCCCACAACAAATGAGTCCCATCTCTCGTTCAGTCCCTCTCAGGGTTGTTGGAATTAAACTGAACGACTTTCAACAAATAACCGCCTGACAAAAACGTCGCACTTAGACACTGTTGAGCCACAGTAACTTAAAAAGTAGGTGAGAGAGCAGTATTATGTCGAACTCTGATAAAAACGAAAGCATGTCAAAGTCGGACACACACGTTTGAATGATTAATTAGACATCTTAAGTTGCCTTGCTGCAAACATTATGAAGAGTTTTGATGACTACACACAGTTGTATTTCAGATGAAGTTGTACACAGTGGTCTGGTCAGTTGTTCCCTCTTTTTCCTCATTTGGCTTAATACATACAGGGCAGAGAAAGAGCACTGATCAAGGCTGACATGCAGAGGTTTACTGTGTGTCATAATGATCCGACACAATGAGTCACTCTTTGAAAAGGGGTCTAGCACAATGCTCCACTGCTTGTTGACACTGTGGCAGAAAGGTTTGTTTCTGTTATCATTCTCTATCAGTGGAGGATGTCTTCAGTATCACTTTGAATTTTGGGAGGGAAGGAGGACTTCAGTTTCAGTTTCACATTTATTGGCTGATCAGTCACCAGAAAAGATAAGAAGTGAGGTACATTATCAGACACAAGGAGCTGAATGGTGACCAAATGAAAAGGTGGACTCAAAAGTAGAAAAGACCAGGCTTTGCTAGCGCTGGTGGAGTGATAAAAAGTGTAAAAAGACTGAAAAAGTCACTGGATCCTGCTAACAACCATCCACAGCTACGGGTTATTTGAGAGTGGCCATTTAACCTAACACCACTTCTGCATGTTTTTGGGAAGTGGGAGGAAACCGGAGTACCCAGAGTAAACCCACACAGACACAGGGAGAACATGCAAACTACACACAGAAACACCCTGACCTGGATTAAAACCCAGGACCTTCTTGCTGTGAGGCGACGCTGCTAACCACTACCCCACTGTGCCACCCCTGTTTGGACTTCATTGTCAATAAATTTCACATGCTCCATTGAATGTAATTTATTGCAGAAAAAAAAACAGCAAAACTTTAGAATACCAAACTTTAGCCAGAGAGACAATTTTTTAGCTATACAAACCATTATTCAATCAAAAACAACACCAAATCAGTATCTTAATCTAACTCTGATGCTCAGTCTTCAACAGGGTTTAGAGACAGTTAACCAAACCTGCCACTAGAATGAGCTCAGTGACGGATTAGAGAGTTGACTCATGTCTGAACAAGAGGGCTGACTGTTTAAGCATTTACAAAAAGGGGGAAAATCCTATTTTAGTGACAAAATCTCAGTAAAATATATTCTTGAATGTTTTTTGCTTCTGCCTTGAATTCAGGATCCCAAGTCTGCCTAGCAATACCACAATAACAATTTGGTCAGTGTGAGCAGGTCATCACTGTCTGAATACATGTTGCTGTCTGTAATGTGGTGACCCACTCATGACTCATGGCGTGGATCAGACTGACCACAGCAGGTCACATTAAAACACGCATCAACAGCTCCTAGGAAATCCACATGATGCCGTTCCCCTTTTTCTTTCTCTGCTCTGTTCTCTCACTGAGTTTACCTGACTGACAGGGGTTGTACAGGTAGAGTTGGGTAAAGGTGGACGAGGAGGGTGTGGCTACAGCGTAGTAGCAAAGACTCTCGAAGTCTGCAGAATAACAGCACGCCACAGGTAGCCGTGTACACCTGTCACTGCACGAAATTAAAAAACTAAACACTGCGACTTAGAAACAGGTTCAAACTTGAGCCAGTGTTTCTCGATATGAAACACAAACTGTAAACTTTTTTTCCCCCAGGAGCAGAGCTGCAGCACCTGTTAAAACACACCGACACACACACACACACACTCGCGCACACACCCTGCCCGATCTAATCTACCCCCCTCGAGACCGAAATGGTTTATTGTGGAAACGCGCGCGCTCCTCTCAGTCAATAATAATGTTGACGGTACTCACCCACCAGATGATAGCATATGTGAACAGCGTGAATTTAAGGACCAAGTAGGAAAACCTGTGACAGTATCGGATCTCCCCGCTGTTCGACATGGTGTCTGACTGAGAGGACAGTCGGTTTCACCGTCTCCCTGCGCTGCTGTTTACAGCACACTTCCGCATTGTTGGCGTCACCACACCTGGGAGCGCACGTGAGCATGGATCTATGGATGGATGGATGGATGGATGGAGGAAGCATGGATAGTAAATTTACGGGTATAGAGCAGCTGGAGATTGGTAACATCGAGGGAATTTCACGCTTTTTACTGAGATTTTTTTTCCTGACATTGATTGATGAGCTGGATGAAATACAGCTGTGTCCGCTAACAGACCACAACATTGATCTTACGCCTCAAACAACTTTTGTCAGCGGGGGCGTATCCAGGAATTATGGGCTCATTGCAGTTCCTCCTCTGAAACCTTATCAAACCAGGCGTCACTATAGGCTATAAGCTTACAAATCAACTCACAGGAGAAGTCTGGCCAAAAAAAAAAACACACAAAAAAACAAAAACACAGAAGACAGTTTATATGGCATATACGCTTCAAAATGGCTGCTCCTTTTGAATATTTAATTTTTTTTATTTTGTTTTTTTGTTTATGATCAAACAAATAATCATTCTTTATCAAGATTTGTAAACAAACTGCATCAAACAGCAGCTGTAGAAAATAACGTTACACCTATTCAGCTATTTGCACAAGCAGATGACCTCTCTCTGGTGTCACCAGTGATCAGGCCTGTCTATTTTCAGGTAAAAGGCTCATATTGATTTTACAAGTCAGCTATTTAGTTTCAGATAGTAGAATTGTCAACTTCTTTCAGGAAGGTCTGCATATCTTGTATAAATTATCATACCCTACTGTCTTCCTGATCACAAAGAGGCCCTATCTGATTCTGATTGGTCAAAACCCCCTGGCAAGAACAATGTTGGAGTAAACCTGATCATACAACTCATTCCAAATCAATCTACAGAAAGGACTTTTTATGTAATAATCATTTAGCCTTTTCCTGTTGACAATATGGCAAAAATGTTATAAATAATTCCCATAAACTACATTTTTTAACTGATCCTTAATCAATTTTGAGGACACAGAACTTTAGATTTGGTTAATGTTTGAACAGTCATCAGCAGAAAAAGAGATCAGAGATATCAAGAAACACTAAAGGAAGTTCAAACTCACAAGGAGCTGAGTAAAAGAGGCATCAGTCAAATTGGTATAATTGTATTCCACTATCTGTTCAAAAATGCTGCTCTGTTTCCTTGTGTGGTAACAAGGTGTTGTAAGTGAGGTAAAAAATGAATCAAGACAAAAAAGCAGCGATAAAATGTACTGGGAATAACATAAACATGAAAAAGCAGGCCCTGCATAGCAGTACATTACTGTGGGGGTAATCATGGATGGAACAGACTGCAAGTATGCAATGAATTTTAATTCCTTGCAGGGACCTTTCCATGTGGAGCCTGGACATACTACATACACTGAAAGTGTTTGACAAGCAACTCTTGTAAAGTTACACCTTTGTGTCTCAGGGAGCACTGATGTCTCTATGGAAAAAAGATTGATGCATGACTGAAAGATTCAAAAGATCTTTTGTACCCACAGCCATCAGACTCTACAACTTGACTGTAAGTAATAGATGACATAAAACCCAAGACATGAGAACCCAGACAACTGAATTTCCCCTTAGGGATGAATAAGGTTCTTTATTTGATTCTTCTCAATCCACAGATCCTGGGTTCGAATCTGGTTGATATGGCCTGGATCATTATCACTAGGGTTTGAATAATGCTTTTGAACCAACCAAGTGCATTGAGGAGAAGATTAACCTGAAAAATAAGCACACTGAAGCAGCACCTTAGTGTAGTGGTAAAAATTTGCAGCATTTGGCTTCAAATCCCTGCAAGTTGCATTTCTTGTATAGCTATACTGTTCTGACTTCTTACAAGAACTTGACCAAACTTCTGAGTTATTACAATGTAAAATAAAAAATAATTCTATTAAATGATGGAGCCTTGTAAAGTAGCACCTTAGTGTGGGGGGAAATGCTTTCCCCACAGTATAGTTTGAGTGCTTTTAAACCACCGTGACCAAACAGTGATGTGAAAAGACCTTTAAAAGCAAGCACTGCCTGGACTACCTGTGGTATCGGTCTACTGCCTTTAGACACATAGATTCTGGGTTCAGATCCCAAAGGAGTTTTCTTGAAAGAAAGAAAGAAATAATGAAATAAGTGTAAGAAATAATGTCCCCATGCTGTGGTTTCAGCTGTACTTTTTAAATTTCCATAATCAAATGGTGAAAAGAGCTGCAAAAACCCAACTGCTGGGCACCTTTATGAAGCAGTGGCAAAGACTGCTGCTTCTCAATACTATATTATAAGATTATGGATTCAAATCCAGGACAAAGGTTTTCTCTGTGAGATAGGAAAGAAAAACTGTCCTTACACTGAAGTTTATCCTTGCTTTTGAACTCCCAGAATTAAATGGTGACATGAGAAAGACCAACAAAAAGGAAGCTTTGCCAGGCAGTCCTATGGTGTGGTGGATAAGCCTCTACTTCTCATTTAAAGAATTTCATGTGAGCCAGGAAAGAAATACTTTCTTCATGCTGTAGTCTAGACCCTGCTTTTGAATAAATTTAATCAAATGGTAAAAAGACCAACAAATCCATCCACTGCCAGGCTTTCTTGTGGTGAGGTTGTAGAACTGCTGCTTGTCAATGCAAAGACTCTGAGTTTAAAGCCAGTACATAGGCTTTCTATGTGAGGGATAGGCAAAAATAAGACACTGGGTTTCAGCCTATTCCTGTCTCAGTTGCTGTCAGATAAATTACTATTGTGTGATATAAAAATTAATTAATTTTTATTTTTAAACCAAACTTAAGTAATTATTCATTCATTCAAACCTTTTTCTCATACTGTACTTTAAGCCATGCTTTGGAACTACCATAATTTCACCCTGCAAAAACTAAATGTATTGTATTTTGTAGAGGGATTGTTCTAGGCAACACTATTGCTCTCAATTTATTTACAGATGGCAAATCTGTTAATCAGGTTACTAAAACCAAATAAATAAGTGCTAATCTAGTCTATTTATTGTGTTGGTCTGACAAGATCAATTATATTGTTTCTAAGAGGGGAAAAGAAATTGCTAATTGTAATGTTTCACACTCTGCATTCAGAGTTGTGTTTGTGAAAAATAGTCCAGAAACAGTCAAAGAAATGTCTTACAAGAGCACTTTGAGACGGGTCTATGGTACAGTTGTTAGCAATACTGTCTTTGAGTGATGTAGTACATGGATCGAATCCCAGCTCAGGACTTTCTACAGGAGCAAGGTGTGTTTCCCTTTTAGTCACTTTGCAACCCCAGCTGTATCAAGAACCATTTAAATGAAATAACCTAAAATTTCAAGTGCTGCAAGACAGGCCTGTGGTGTAGTGGTTGGTGCTGCTATCTCTGAAAGAAACAGTTCTGGATTTAAAACCTAATTTGCAGCCTATGAGAGGCACAAATGAAATGCTTTGCTCGCGGAAACCTGATCTCTATGTTTAAAAAATGACTGTTGAATGGCCAAATAAAATGACCTGATTGAAATGGACCTGGGTTTACATCCACCTGGAACAGGAACTTTCTAGTGAGGAAAAAATAAATGCTGTCTTAACAATGTAGACTGAACCAAGGTTTTAAATGGCCATACCAAAATGGTTCAATGAAAAGACAAAAAAAGGCAGGGGAGCACAGGCAGATGTTGTTTTCAGAGCTGCTGTGTTTGAGCGAAAAGGTCCTTGGTTCAAAACTGTCCAGAACGGCAACCTCCAAGGTTGGTACTTTTGAATAGCTATCATGAAACAGTTACATCAAAACATTTAAAAAGTCAGGCACAGGCAGGCCTGTGGGGGTAAGAGCTGCCTTTGAGTGAAATGGTCTTGGGTTCAAATCTGCCTGGAGTGGGGACTCTAAAGTAGGGCCAAAATAAAATGCTTCCATCCCACTGTCGGATTAATCAAGCTTTTAAATATTGATCATAAAATGGTTAACTTAGAACTCCTAAAAAAGGCCTGGACAGACAGGCCTGCAGGGTAGTGGTTAGAACAGCTCCTATTAAGTACAGTGGTCATCGGTTCCAAACCAGGGCAGAGATAGTGCAAGGTTGAGGCAGGGGGAAAGTGAGGATGAGGTGGGATGAAGGACAGTTGGAGGGAGGGTAGAGAGGGTTATTTTGTTCAGGGTAAAGGTGATAATGTGATACGCTGACTGCTCCTCTACAGCATAGATATAACAGCAAGATAAATAAAATGCTGACCTGATTGAGGACTTAAGAGTTCTTCTTTTAACGTGAAGCCTAGTGTTTTTGTTAAAGTCTAGAGCATTGACATCACACAAGTAATGACCCTTAAATTTTTCAATTGAACACTCCGAAATAACAAAATTACATCATTACAGCATAACAAGGATATATATGCATATATCCTTGATCGTTGTTCAGAGAAAACATTACCAAGTACGAAACTGCCCCATCAGTCTGCTCAGTGTTTTGTGACATTGAGTGTATGGCTTCATTGGCTCTGGATGACGGCTAAGCAGTTGCTCAGCCAGTGGAATCGGTGGAGAGAGGGAGTTGTTCTGGAGGCTTTATCGTCAAATGAGTCACTACACCATTTAATTTTTTTTTTTTTTTTAGTAAAAGTAAACTACAAGCCATTAAATTCGACCCAAAAATGATTATGTATGTTTGTAAGTGATGGCTCTCTGGACTAAATACACAGCCTGTACTGGTGTGTGGTATTAGCTGTAATGAGAAAAAACATGAGAGGATGGAGGAGGAAGGGGGAATGTAAAAAGATACCACAGAGCTACATCTAAGATATCCTTTTGGGTCAACATTTTCAGAAAAGAGGTAACGGGGGTCCATGGAGTCATTTGTCTTCGTCTGTTCTGGTCCAGGGTCGACAGGCTGTCCTTCATCCCCTCCTCATCAGTGTAAACTCTGAGATAATTACCTCAGTCAGTCCTCTCCCTTCAGCTCCCCAGGCTCACTCACTCAAAGAGCCACAGAAATACAGATCAGTAAAACCCTCTCATCCTCTGCCTGCATGCACCTTTCAATGCCCAGTGCATCAGGTCCTGCTGGCCATGGAGAGCATGTCAGAGCACACAAAAGAGGTGCACAACAGATTCCTGCTTCTATCGTTTCATTACAGTGCAAACATAAGCCAACACGTACAGCAGACACATACAACATAATTCTCCTGAGAGGGAGACGAGCACAGAAAATCCCTGCTGGGAGAAATTACTGTATGTAATGCGACAATAACAGCAACAGGAAGCACAGGAAGTGTTAGAAGCTTGGACTCCATGACATGAATGCACAAAGCCTGTACCACCTGTTGTGTTTATTTGGAACTATTTCTCTAGCCAGTTTCAAAAGGTGAGACAATAAGATAGTTGGTTATACAGCAAATATTCAAATTAGTGTAAATCCACATGGTGTCAGGTAATTGAGAGGGTTAAACAGGTATGTACAGTAAATGTGTCTAAGAAAACAAAAGGAAAACACAAAAAATACGTAAAGTGGATTACATTTAGTCAAATTTTAATACTTTTATTTTTGTATATCCTGCATATTTGTATTGACAAGCAGATTTCTGGCAGGATTATTTAAGTGTTTTGCCATTTCTCAGATGCACATCTCTGTTTTTTTTTCTTTTTTAAATGAGTGACTGCATATAACAGAAAACACTGAGCACTGAAAGTACTGAGCGTATACTATAAGCTCTATGTTTGACTCTTTTATTGGCTCAGATTATTTACAATGAGTTTCATCATTTAATGTTCAAGGAAACGCTGCAAATAAGTCATAAACTAAAGTATGATTTTATAGATCACCTTCACTCAGGAAAACCAATCAGTCAGTCTTTCTCTATGGCACCAAATCATAACATAAATTATCTGAAGATGCCTTGCAAAAGCAATTGGCCGAGACCATACTCTATATGATATTTACAGGAAGACCAAACATCGAGACAGGATAAGTTTAATTCCAATCTTTTAGAATCAGACCCACTCTCATCTGTCTTCATCCACCATTTTGCAGCATTTAGCAAGTTAATGTGGCAAGGAAAAACTACTAACTTAAAGATAATTTGTTGGTTGTGAGAAGGTTACAGGTCGCAGGATATTTGAAAAAAACAACCTGAAAATGTTAAAAATTGACACCAAAATGTAGAATAAGCTTTTACAAACTTTTGACCCTCATCTGTCATGATAAAGGATCTGTATCATCTCTGCAGCAAAGTCTGACCGCCAAAATGGTAAACAAAAAAAAAAGTGTAAAACCTTCATTACATCAGTTTAATTGCAAGTGATAATGATGATCTTGGTGCTGATGAAGGGGAGGAGGAGGAGGATGGTGATTAAAGTTTATGGTGCTTTTGCTGAGCTAAGGGACATTTTGGCTGAGCTCATCCTCAACAAGAACAGACATAAGGGGAAAGACTCAGAGTTTTAATAAGACTAAATCTAAGAGATTGAATACAGTTGATTTGGGAAGTCCATTAAAAAGACAAATATATAAAGTTACGACTTTGCTTTTACTTATTCATGCACAATAAAAAGGATAAGGTGTGTTAGTATTTTTCTTCTTAGAAAATGTTTGCACTGTTAGCCACTCATTTCTGTATACTTTTAGTTTTTTCAACATGTTTTTACAACGTTATTTTCTTTTATCGTACTCCTGTCTTCTAATTTCTTGTGTCTACTTAACATCATCTTATTAAAGTGAGGTGTCTATCCCGCTAATGATACGTCCTTGGCTGCATTTTTGCTTTATTGGTGGTTTAAATTTCTTATATTAAAACATTTTTCTGGGGTGATATAATTCTTTTTCCACACAAGGCAGAGAAACTCAAATGATTCACCTGCTAATAATAGAAAACCTTGAGACATAGTTGTCCAATGCTGTAAACGTTCACCGATCACCACTGCTCGTCATCATAGACAGTAGTCCATGACAACAAAAAGGAAAAACAGAGCTACAATCTGAGCTGCACACCAGGAGAAAAAAATTGATAGAAAACAGAATCGAATCAATCAAATATTTTCATTTTAAAGAAAACACAAGAATTTCAGCTGAAACATTTCTAGTTTTTCTTTGTCATGTATGGCAGAGATTGAAGGGTCTTGGGGCTTTAAACCCGGGAAAATCTGAAGATGGAACTTTGGGCTCTGTCTAAGGTAGTGTTAATCCACATGGTAAACTAGGCTATCTATCTATCTGTCTGTCTGTCTGTCTGTCTGTCTGTCTGTCTGTCTGCTTTTAAGGTTTTGTCAACAGTTGCCTGGGTTTTACAGCAAAATCAGTTTTGTCTCTTGACTTTCAATAGCATTTTTTTCACTGTTAATTGCCTACATAGTCAATTTGCTAACCTAAAACATCGATTAAAACCTTAGCTCTGATTGGAATGTTTGCAGAAACAAGTAGCAGCACTTTAGACAGGATATGTTTCAGCCTTATTGAATTTTCTTGTTACATTTTCTTCTCCTTCATTCAAGAAACCAGCCTTTTTCCTCTGATGTGGTCTTAAACTCTCCTCAGATTGGTCGACTTGTTGATACTGAGTCAACATATAGCCCACCTTTGAATGATGTCACTTTATTCAGCGTCTTACCAATTTGTGTGTCAGGAATATCGCCTTATTCCTGATTTTATGTCTCTCTGTCCATCGCTGTCCTGCTGTGCATCAAGTTGGCGCAGCTTCACGCGCATAGCCACGCGCCTGCTTGCCTGTCTGTGCGTCTCAGCCACACTCAGAGGCGTGCAACGTAACCAGTTGGACACAAATTCCCGGAGTAGGGTACCGAGTATGTGTGCGTAAGTGTGTCAGAGTGAGAGGGAACAAGAGAGGGAGACAACGCGCTGTCTAATGGATTACTGGATGGAGCTGGTCTGTTGCGCAGAGGAGGATACATTTAGGTCATTATTTTCGATGGACCGTAAAAACCGACGTGAAAACTGAAAACTCATCTGCGTAATCAGAGAGGTAAGTTGGACCAAAAGGATCACCTGATGGAGATCATTTATTTGTTAAGAAAGCATCTTTCCTTGGTGCATCATCTCACCATTTGCGCTCTCGGCTGTTGCGCTCACATCAACCTTGGGAACTTACGTGCGCCTACCTGACTGTAGCACACGCGGTTTGATAAGTTGTGTCTTTATTAGCAAGTTGATGGCATATTTTTCAATCAAATATGAGGCTGAGTTTATTTGGTGCGCAACGGAAACATTTGTTCAACCAAAAGCTGCTGGTAAAGAGGCTGTGGGTTTAATGTGGAAGTTACCTGAAATAAAAAGTCAATAAGTAATGTGTAGATGTAAACTAAGGCGATAGTGTTGTTTAGCAAGCTAATCATTCAACTACTGGAATGAAATCTCCAAAGACACATTTTTTCAGTATTCACAAGGAAAACCAAGAAATTTGGGGAAAGAAAAAGATAAGTTTCACGTTCAAAATGCTCAGGGATAATAAAGCTTACTTTTTAAAACAGCTATTACAGCATTTTTTTCATGGACATTAGATTAATACGAAAACATTTCTTTGGCTGTTCCCTGAAAGACGATGATGGCATGTTTTAAGATTAATAGGATATTATTTCATTATGTTTACTCGTGAACAGATTCCTACAAATAAACATAAATTCATCAGGATGACATCTTTTGGCCAGTGATAAGTCTCTTGTCTTTTGATCATGGCTCATTACGCACGACGCATGAGGCACGAGGCGTACTGAAACATTAAGTTTCTGTCTCCAGGTGAGCGAGGAAAAGAGAATGGACGCCGAGGGTCTCATTCAACACATTGAGCGAGACACGGAGGCCACTTTATGGCCCCTGGCAGAGACCACCGACTGGCCCGAGGACGGAAATGAGACGTTTGGGAATCAGTTTCAGCAGCCGGACTGGCAGGTGGGGAACAGCGGGATCATAGAGGAAGCTGGTTTGAGTCAGAGCCAGATCTTTTTTCTTTATCCAACAGGACCTGGGAGTATTTGGAAGAGACTTTGATGAGGGACTGAAGAAAACAAGACAAAATGAATAAAAGAGGGAGTATAGTGTAGTTACTGGCATGAAACTCTTTGATAATGAAACCAAACTAGCAAAACACACACTGAAACCTCTGGAGATGCAATCTTTACAATATTTGGAGGTTAAACAAGGATCAGTGTATTTGTAATGTGTTTGAGACAGAAAGGTCTATTCAGTCTCTTACCAATTGTGACATAACTACAAAGTTCATGACTTGAGTCTTAAGAGAAGAAAATAGCAATCATTTAATTATTACTAGTGGTTTCACAATTATGTTGTATTGCAAAGTTCAGTATCTTTTTCTTTTTATGTCCTCTTCTCCCTCAGGTGGCTCTCTGGGCCATAGCGTACTCCCTCATCATCCTGGTTTCCATCACTGGGAACGTCACAGTGATCTGGATCATTCTTGCTCACAGACGCATGAGGACTGTAACCAACTACTTCATCGTCAACCTGGCCTTTTCGGATGTCTCCATGGCAACCTTCAATACTCTTTTTAACTTTGTTTATGCTCTTCATAACGACTGGTACTTTGGTCTGGGCTACTGCAGGTTTCAGAACTTCTTCCCCATCACAGCCATGTTCTCATCCATATACTCCATGGCAGCCATCGCAGTTGACAGGTAGGAAAACTGATCATTACGGCTGTCATCCAAACTGCTCTAAAAATAAGTAAATGAGCACATATAAAGTGTTTTGTCCAAGTAATTAGACACTGATGGCATAGGTAATACCCTTGCAGCATTCCCATTTCACAGCAACATAATCGTTTACTTTAGAGTGGCAAATGACCACTTACCTCAAGAATCATCTTAGAAGTTTTCAACCATAAAGTTAGTAAGAAAATAAAAAACTTTCAAAATGATATTTCTGCACAGTCTGAGTAATATTCATGTTCTTTTTTGAATGAGTCATGGTGTTTTAAATATTTGCATTAAGTGGGTGATTGTCATGCTTTTTAGCAAAGGTAGGAAGGGAGGACCCAAATGCAAACAGGTTTATGCAGACCTATGGAGTTCATTGTGCATCGACGGCTCAATGTTGGGTAGGTAAGCAGAGAAACAGGTAGCAAGGGACAAGCAGGGGTAGATTTAGAGGACAGAGAGGAAAAAGGTAGAGCATAACGTCACACATCCTCAAAGCAAAGTCAGATGTTGGAGGGGTATCTCAGCAAAAGAAATAGTCTGGTACAAGGAGTGCAACTGGTTATGCTACTGTTGGGTCGGCTGGCTTTATTACCATAAATATTATCATCAGTCAAGTATCATTAATGTGCAGTTCCTTTGAATAGTACACATACTTAATCCATTGTTATAAGAATGGTAACTATAAGTCTGTATAAGCTGTTGGTTATCTTTTTCCTCTGACTCACTTTCTGCATCTCCCTCAAACTAGAGGGAGATGACTGTCTTATGTAAATCTGGTCCTGCTCAAGGTTTCTGCCTGATAAAGGAAGTTTTTTCTTACCACTGTAACCTGATAAATGCTGCAAGTTGTTTCACGCATGGTAGGTCAAGATGAGTCTCATTTCACTGTTTGAGACTCAATCTTGTCTTGATTGAAAATTGATTTTCAGTCTTGGTTGAAAATGTATCACAGTATAGTCTGGATCTGCTCTCCGTGTAAAGCATCATGACATAAGATTTGTTGATCAGTTAACTTGTGGCAAATTCTCATGTGTGGTGGGAATGTTGAGGACACACTCATGGACTGGTGGGTCAGGTGTGATTAAGAAGAGGGGAAATGAGAGGACATCTAGTGGAAAGGTAGAGAATTGGAAGGGACCTCTGTCAGAATTTGACTTTTAAAGAGGACTGATGTTTGATGGCAGATTCTGGCTGGTCCAATAAAGCATATTTTATACTGGGATTCCTCATGACCCCTTAAAGGACTGGTGTCTTTGTCTGTCAGGGGTTTGTCATTTGTCCAAAAAGAAAGTTGTTCATTATCTTTGGCATCACTTAATTTCAGCGGCAGCTTGAACTCTGCCTGTAAAAACCTCTTGATGAAGGAGAGATGGGTCAGAGAGCAGAGAGATACAGATGTCTTTAATGCTCACAGGAGCATGAAGTATCAGTCTGCTCTTAGATTAAAATGTGGTATGTATACTGAGTCACACTAACCCCAAAACAGATGTTATATTGATGAAACTGACACCGTTGTCATCCAAGCTTTTGTATTTTAGTAAAATTGACAGATTTTTTTTTTACTGAAATGTACTTACAGTTCAGCCCAACACATCTGCATATTGACTTTATAAAGCTTTAAAAGGCACCATAGAGTCATTTTTTTAAACACAAACTAAACATTATAAAGTAAAGGTGTATTTGTGTCGCTCTGATCTGATCTAATGCTGCTTTTGTAACCAAAGGTGCACCTCACTGCTGTTCTTCTGGAACAGATGGATCCTTTGGAGCATTTCATCATTCACACGCGCGTGTGTGTGTGTGTGTGTGTGTGTGTGTGTGTGTGTGTGTGTGCGTGTGCATGTGCATGGCATGTGATATGTGGTTCCTTGTATCCCGGGACAATTGTAATGATGAATGAGCCGCAAGCCCATATGTGGATCAAAGGAATTGTTCATCCTTAGCGATTTCTGGTTTGATGAATGGTCAGTTTGTGTCTTCTGCTGCGGCAGCAAAAAGAAAAACACTGTATTACATGCAACTGATTTAATATTTGAAACATGATCTACATTTGTAAAAGCTTGTTTTCAGGGCTCAGACCATTCATGAAGCTTGTGCAAAACCAAACAAGTTCAATAGGGTGGCATCTTTATTGGAATCCTTTTTTACAGACTATTTGCATAATTCTTTGTGTGTTTTAAATCATTTGTGGAATATTGTATTCTCATGGATGCTCTGGGGAGTTTAATCTGTGGCCAGACAAGAAACAGAAGTGAGTCTTATAATCTGTGTATTTTGCATCACAGAATCCTTATCCATTGAGAGTCATAAAGAGGAGGCAGTCACTAAAACAAAATTCAACTTGCATGTCCTCAGTACTTAACAGAGCAATGATGGCTGTGCTGGTGACTATACTGCATGATGCTACACTGGGAAAAGACATGCTCAGAATTGATTCTTTACACCTTCACCCTTCCTTTATTGACATTTCCTTCATACCAATACAGTCGACACCCATGGGCTTTGTATGAGTAAGGAAAGCTAGGATGAATCTCAGGGTCCATGATTGGTAGGGACTCTGAAAATATTCAAACATTTGCAGTAGTCCTCATGGGACCCACAATGGGACACTATTTCTTCTTTAGCAAGTGTTCCAGCAGCTTTTCTTTCATTCTTCCTTCCACTGCAAATTTTCACAATGAAGGACACATTTGATCATCAGTAGGCAGCAGGATGTGAGTTAGCTCGTAAAATTCTATCTAATCAGAGGTGGAGAGTGGGGGAGTGACCTTGGAGGAGGTCTGTCGGGTAGGCTATGAGAGATCAGAGCTACTGAGGGTTTTCTAGGCAAAGAGCAGGATCCTGAAGTGGATGTGATGTTGTATTGGGAGCCAGAGAAGGTGTTGAAGGATGGGTGGGGAGTCCGTAGAGAGGTCATTACAGTTTTGGGGTCTATAGGTTATACAGGCAAGTGTGAGTGTTTTTAGAGTGGTGGAAGGCAGGGTAGGACATAAAGCAGACAGTAGGGTTACAAAAAGGAGAAGATTTCATACCAAGATGGATGAAGTGACCATCAATGCTGAGAGAGAGGACTTGGGAATCGGAGGAGGGATTTGGGGCCAGTGATGATGATCTCTGATTTATTGCAGCTGAGCTTGGGGAAGCTGTAGTTCATCCAGGTTTCTATATCAATGAGGCAGTGTGTGAGGGAGAGAAAATGAACGATTTTTACTGGAGATATAAAGCTTGGTAGTTTTGGCATAGCAGAGAAATTGAAATCCATGGTGATTTATGATGTAAACAAGAGGTAGCACACAAACATACTATATATATTCAGAGTTTGCTTTACCATTACCCATTGCAGGAAACTCTAGGTACACTTTCAAAATACAACTGTTGTGTAAGATTCAACAGTTCCATCAATTACAGCCAAAATCAATGAAAAATACAGATAAAGATTAAGTGATCTCTTACAGCGTGAAACCAAATCCTGCATTGCCAAAGAAGGACCTCAACATCCAACACTCACAGTTTTTTAAAAGCATGGACCACAACCAGCCACTCAGTTCAGCTCTGAGCATGAGGGAAACAAAGAGTAATGGGGCATCATCATATGATGTTGACACACAGCAGCATAACTCCATGATCATTTACTGTACATCATATGTTGAACAGTATACTCACAAGTGAGCTTATAGGTGTCTGTGTCATTAGCCAGAGGTTCTTTTTGAAAGGTTATTCAATTCTTTAAAAATGTTTCTTTTAAAGGACATCGTCAAAAACATTTGTTGTATTCTGTGGTTGACAGTAAATAAATGTTGGCAGCTGTCGTTGCTTTAATAATGCCCTTATCACAAAGACCTGCAGTGAGAAGTGAACTTTTATCGCCCTGGCAGGTCACCAGAACAGAGTCAGACAAGCAGGGAACAGGAACAGGCTGATAAATGAAGCTCCTCGACTTAAATCACTGAAGGTTCTTTCAAGATTTTGCCTCTGAGTCCTTGCCTCAGGACTCTCAAACTTTTAACTACCTTTAAAAGATTACACAACACCAGAAAACACATCGTATTTTAAACTTATCATTTCTTGTCGAGGTATTGAGATTTATATTTTATTAAGATGTCCCCGTGCTCTGAATCAGGCCCTAAGCTGTCAAACATCAGCTCAGTGTTCAGCTGTCAGGAAAAAGGGGACAAAATGAGCTGACAGAGCACCTATTTATCATTATAAGTGTGGATTACAAGATACTGAGATCGTGTGCAGGCCGATGAAGGAAAAGGAAAGTTAAGACAGGATGCTATAATACAGTTTCATCTCAGTTTCTCTGACAGATGTAAGTCTATATGATCTCTGTGAAGGATGAGCGTAATCCTTCTTTCAGATAAAGGCTCTTCAACGCTTAGCACACTGCAAGGCTTATATTGACTGGAGGGATCGAAAGTCACTATTTCAAAGTAGTACTTGAGACAGAATACACCTGTATTTTTTTCTCTTCCTCAGGTACATGGCGATTATCCACCCTCTGAAGCCCCGCCTGTCCTCCACCTCCACCAAGGTTGTGATTGCTGTGATTTGGATTGTAGCAATTTTACTGGCTTTCCCTCAGTGCTACTACAGCGTGACCAGATTTTATTACCCCAGGACTGTATGCATGGTTGACTGGCCTGATGACTACGGAGGAAAACACCAACTGAGGTGAGTAAACAAGAGCAATAGAAACAAGGATTAAGAGACAGAAGGTGACATTTACAACAAGGTAGACCTACACAATGAAATATAAGACACACTAAAGGTTGACATCTGCGTGACTGATCCATCAAATCTTTAAGGGATTTGTGAGGAAATCTGCACACTAGAAGTTGTAATAATGCACATGTCCTTAAGATCCACGTATATAAACATACTTATTTTTATATCTATGAGCTGTTAGAATCCAAGTTTTGTATCAAAACTTGTGACTGTTCTTTTCTGTGTTACAAGCTCCAAGCTATTGCTGTCAAAAATTGTCGATAAATAAAGAAAAGTAGACCATGATGGCAGAGGAAACTTATCAGTAAGATCAGATGTTCATTGTAGTTTCTCTCTCTCTCTCCCTCTAGTTACCAGTATGCAGTGATTTTGCTGATCTACTTGTTCCCTCTGCTGGTCATGCTGGTGACTTACAGTTTAGTCGGCCGTTCTCTGTGGGGAGGACACATCCCTGGAGAGGCGACAGACCACTATCACAGCCAGATAACAGCCAAGAGAAAGGTCTGGTACCTTTTTCTCTTTTACGTCTTCACTGAAGTCTCTTCCTTTAAAGAGGGGGCGTTTATTCTGACTCTACTTTTTCAGTAGTTTTACATGATTTTCAGATTTAAAAATAGCCCTGTGTATCTCACTCCGGTGTATTAAAATACAATTATTTCAGCCTCTGAGTGAAATGCTTTGTTTGAGTTACTGTGTCTTTAAGTTTCTCCCTAAAAGCCCAATTATATAGTCTTGTCTTAGCACATTGTAGAAAGCTAGATCAAAATAACATGATCAAAGTTTGGGATCTGTGGCATATTAAAAAGACACTCTGCTGCAGAAAAAAACACTTTCTAATACTAGGTAGTTTTGTTTTTGCTTGCTTTTCTCAGTAATTTCTTGTAAGAATTTCCCATAAATAAAACTTGCATCCCCAATATCATGGGGGCGCTATGTCATAAACTTGTTTATAAGGTGCCACATTGGCTAAAGTCAGCCAGTGGTGTTACAGATGAAAACTTGTGATTTGACACAAAACCTCTTAAATGAAAGAGGAGGAGAGGGATAGGTCTGAATTTGTAACAGCTAGGGTGGAGAGGTAAGGTGTGGTCTCATGGTGTTCTACAGGTTTTGCTGTAGAGCACCACATAAATGTCTGCAAGTCCACACATGTACAGGACAAAACCAGCAGAGGCCTGGCACTGTTGACCTTTAGTCTGAAAAAAGAGCAGTTTAACTGAACTCAGTGATGTCTACAAAAGAGGGTTTGGACCACAAGAAGAGAATAAAAATTACGGGAGGGAGATTTTTTTAAATTCCATTTAGACTTTCATCTCAACATTTTGAGCCACTTATGACAAAATTTTGAGATGAAAGTCGAAATTTTAAAAAGTCAAAATTTCGACTTGATTCATGTCGACTTTAATCTCAAAATTTTCATTTTTTTATCTTGAAATGTAACTTTATTCACAACATTTCAGCATTGTGTAATCTCCAAATTTCATCTTTAATCTTGACATTTCAATTTTTAATCTCCAAATTTCACCTTCATGAAATGAATTCGAATATTTTTTATCTCGAAATTTCGACTTTAACCTCCTTCCAGTAATTTTTTTTTGTCTCTTTGTGTGGCCCTAATCCTCTGTCGTAGATAGCAGCCTGGAACACAAAGTTAAGCTTTATTGACTTTATTTACCTCCACAGGTAGTGAAGATGATGGTGGTCGTTGTGGTGACCTTTGCCCTCTGCTGGTTGCCGTATCACATCTACTTCATACTTGGATCTTTTAACAGGGACATCTACAAACAGCACTACATTCAACAGGTCAGCAGCTGAAATTCTAACTGTTTCTGATCTTTTCAATCTGATTTACATTTTGGTTATCATGATTTCTTTACCTCTCAGGTATATTTGGCCATATTCTGGTTAGCGATGAGCTCCACCATGCACAATCCCATCATTTACTGCTGTCTAAACCAAAGGTGAGAAACATCACTCAGAGCGTCTTTATCCAGTACTTTGAGGCAGGATCAGTCATTTTTCCCTCTTTCTGCAGGTTTCGAGCTGGTTTCCGTCACGCATTCTCATGGTGCCCCTTCATTCAAGTGTCAGAGGAGGACAAAATGGAGCTGCAGCACACACACACCTTCAGAGTGACCATGACGCGCAGTCACCGCAATGACAACACATACCTGCATGCCTCCATCAAAACGAACTCCACTTTTGATGGAAACATTGAGCACAACACAGAGAGAGGTGTTTGCATCCAGCTTATGAAACAGACTTCGTCAAGAACAAACAACACGAACAACACACACGCTGTGAGGAGGCTGGATCATGGAAGAGCCACACCTAACAAACTTCTCGAGCACAACCAGTGAGTGCTGATGGGAGGTAACAGAGTTTACATGAGGCTGATGGAGAGAGAGGAATTGCTGCTAACTACAAAAACAGAAAGAAACTGGTGAATATTATCACGGTGAAAACATTATAAAGGATCCACCAAATCTGACCTGTGATGATCAACTTTTACACTTTTAAGGAGACACGACTGATTGTGACTTTAGATCTCATGGATGTTTGCTGTCAGTGCCAAAGTGGGCAAACATCTAAGTAGTGTTATGAATAGAAGAACCCACAAGAGGCTGGTTTTAACAGTGTTAGTGTTTGTCACTCTTTCCTACCTCCATTCTGTTTCCACATTCTTTCCTCCACCTTTAACGCCTATTTCTCCTTTTATGTTGAAGGAAAAAAAGCTGTGAATTGTCACTGGCATCAGCACTGAGCCTTAAGGTTTTTGTATATTAACCTGTTTAGACTGCCTCGGTAATGAGACTTCAAAAAGTCTCTTTTGTTTCATGTCAAACACACATAGTGTCTCATTAATTTTCTTCTTAATCACTTATATTCATCTGCAACTCAGCCAACTCAAAAAGATTTGACTGACATATCTTGCTTTAGATATCTGCTTTACTGTACATTGAATTCATATCACAAAGCTTCTCAGATTAAACATCAATATGTGATGGACTGCATCAGTATTATTTTCATTACAAGGCCATCAATAGGAGATCATGAGCCCATGTAAAAGGCACATTAATATCAAATGTGATTAGTTGGTATGTACTGTGTGTGTTCAGTCCATCAGTCTTTATTTCTGTAGCTCCAATTCACCACAGCTCTTATCTCAAGATGCTTTACATACAGAATATCCCACATGTGATTCTGTGTCCATGTCCAAAATGTGAAAAACATTTAGATTGGTTTTTTCAGTCAGGCTACAGGAGATCAGTGAGGTTAGATTTATTTAAACTTGCACATTTTCCGTTCAGAGTTAGAGAGCTTATCATTTCACCACTTGTAACATATTCATGACAGTAACAACAGGGTTAATCAGTGGACTCTCTAAAATGAGGTTGTGATTAATGTGTTCATTGTGTACTAGAGTGTTATTGCTGGGTATCAACAGTTTCATTAATCCTGCTTCAGCTTTGATATGAACACCTCTATATTGTATTTGAAATGATGATCAGCCTTGAATCTGTCTCATTTCATAGAACCTCCTGGATGTACCTGCAGCTGCGCAGGACTATTTCTTCAACATTTAGTCACATGGCGTTTACTTATTCGGTATGTTGTGTTAAAAGTCCTTATTAGAAAAAAAATGTGCTTCTAAGAAGAGCCTGATGTAAAATGTAATGCTGTCAACTGAGTTCAGTCGATGTAAATAATTGATTTGTGATTGCTGCACACTAACAGTCGATATCATGATGCTTCTGCAAACTTGACTTTGATATTTCAAACAGTGATGTGGTGAATCTGTGTATTTGTTTACATCTAGCAGCAGGTTTTTGTTTGTGATTTAAATAAAGCTGAGATGTTCAATGAATTGGACAGTATGAGTCTGTGAGTGAAAAATTGTTCACCTGTGTGTGTGTGTGTGCACAGGACTGCAGATTTTGTGTTTTAAATAAGGAGGCATGGCCCTAATACACACATTGTTATCACTTAAAGAAAGTCAAAGAAAGCACTGTTAAACTGACACAGGTTTATCTTTATTTAGTGACGACTGATTGACAGTGTTGGACAGATACAGACTGAGATTTGTGAGTTGAAGAGAGAGATTTAAAAGTCTGTGGACTGTGTGGTTTCCTTTCAGACCGTCTATTTCTAGAGCTCATCTAAAGGCAGAGAGGCCGACCCTCTCCTTCCCTGGCAGTTCAAGTACTAGTGGGAATGGAAGCCCAGTTTGTCTACAATCTTTGCTAGGAGTTAACTCATTAATGGCATGAGCTTCAGGTTGGATTGGTGCTGACTTGTCCCTTTGCCGGTAGTAAAGAATAAAGCAGCGTGTCATAGATGACATTAGTATTCTGTCCTGACCCTAAAGAAACACAGTTCACCTCCTGAAGCCTAGTCTACATCTGAAAAGGCTCGGCCCTACAGAGAAAAAAGGAAGAAAACCAGTGAAAGAATCCACCAGTCTTTCAGTAATTATCAGTCATAGTTATAATACAACTACTTGAGAATAGAATAGAGAAAAATAAATATTTTAATCTGCATGAAGGAGCACGATAGTTCACATCAGCACCCTCTGAGCCTGTAGGAGTATATGAAGAACAGTGAGCGACTATAAGCAAAATATTTAAAATCGCCTTTAAATTTCAGCTCCTTTAATATTATTGTTTTGATACTGATTCGCTGACATTTATGTTAGCACCACAGTCCTGTTTCATGGCTGTTTCTAACAGGTAAAGACGAGTAACCAGAACTTCTTAAGACAACAAAAACTCAACAGCTGTGCTTACTCCCAGCAGCTGGATTTCTACTCAGTAAAATAAAAATAGTTCTTTGGATATATTTTACAGTAGAGTACATTAGAGTAGATAAGACTGCTGTTATAGATTTGATGAAAGTGCAGATTCAGCGAGCATGTGGCATGGCGTTCCCTGCAGATCGAACATAGCAGCCCCCCCCCCCCCCCAGCTCTCCTTCCGTCTCTGCTCTGATGTGTTTTATCTAAAACCTCCAGAGGAGGACGGGTGCAGCCTGAAGGGACTCAGACGATGGCTTATTACAACAGTAACATTTCTCAACATCTCCTGATATACAAAAATAAAATAAATAGCAACGATTCATTTATCACATATTAATTTATATCTGGGTTGGATATTAAAATTTAAAAGCAAAAATATTCCCTTTCTTCTTATTACACATTTATATATCACTTTTATGTTTAGTAGTGCAGACAGTGAGTAGCATACAGCACAAACAATTTGATTACTTTGGTCTAGAACAGTTCTTTTGTCCCTGCATCTGATGAGCATATGTTAGGATGAATATTTATCAACTTTTGTCATTTTCATTGCAACTCTTGTACCTGGTATATCAGACTGCAGTTATCAGAAAACCCTCCAGATGGCGCCAATAAACAGCTCAAAAGAGTATTTGGAGAACGTGTGATGGCTACATTTTTACAAGAGCTGAATGTGCTTGTTTTATCTTGACATCTTTCATTCCAGAAATCATAAAACTGAAGAACAAACAAACAATACAGCGCCTGTCAGTATGCTAACGCAGCAAAAAAACGCTACCTTAGCCAAAAGCAGCTCCTGGAGTGCAATGCTCAGACTGGACTGGTGAGATTCAGGAAGAGAGAGGGAATAAGGAAGAAGAAAGGAGACAGCAGGTGAAGAGAGGAGGAACGTGGAGAAGTGAGGAGACAACAGAGATGGAGGAATCATTTTCTATTTGTTGTTCAGCTCCTGTCGCAGTCTGCAGCCCACAGCTGTAATGAGAGCGGCTCCCTTCCCACTGCCGTCCTCTGACAGCAGGAATTTGACGTTGCATTTAGGTGCCAGTTCGTTTACTGTCTGGTGCATGATCCCGGAGAAGCTGGGCAGAGAGACAAATTTTGGCAGATTGTTAAAGAAGGAAGCACAGAGTGTAATAATAGAAAAGAGCCAGTTTGAATACAGCTGTGAGAGGACTAGGTACATGAGACAAACAGCTACAAGTTTGACGACACTATTGTGTTTGCATGATGCAGGATGAGAGTCAGATCACTTTAAAAAAGTGTCAGGACTTTAAGGTTATTTTAGTCAATATAAATATAATAACACCGACAACAACAATAATAACAACAACAAAATAATAATAATAATAACAACATAATAATAATAACAAAATAATAATAATAACAACAAAATAATAATAATAATAATAATAATAATAATAATAACTAACAAAAACAACGACAACATAATAAATAATAATAATAATAATAATAATAATTAAATAATCCTTTGAATTCATGTTTTTTTAGCAGAGCTTTTGACCCTTGGACATTTTTATTTCTTCATTAATTCTTTTTATTTTATTCTGACAAGGGTCTTCTGAATTTTTGTACAATTTGTGTATCCTATAAGTTATTTAAGAAGGTGAAAATGTCATATTTCTTAGACTGGAGAATGTTTTGAACATATTTCTAAAAGGTGACCATTATGGTCTTAAGATTAAATAACTTACAAAGAAAATCCCCCCAAAGTTTGAATATTTCACTTCAAGTTACCTAACTAGTTTAAATTTTCAAAAAAATAAAATAAAAATAACTTTTTTTTCTCATTGTCATGCTGTTAACACTCGTTCAACAGTGTATAACTGGAATAGCTAAGAGGCAAAAGCAGCTAAAACAACGAATTTTTGAAGAGGCAAACAGGGTCTCTTGTTTGAGGAGAGCCTCAGGCTGTTGTAGCTAAACATTGCTCACAGCCGGTCGAGCCTGCTTTTGTTTGCATCTAAATGTCTTCTGTTTTACAGTTTCACCCCTGGGCAGATACTAATCCAGTGAATTTGTCATGTAAATAAGGTCTAAATGTCATTCAACTCACTGGGGGTGTAGTTTGTAGAGAGTCCCGTCCACCCCTACAGTGATGTTCAAATGGTCCAGTCCTCGGTTCTCTCTGATCTTATCAACCACGGCTGCCATTCCTGCCCCACACAGCTGAGCTGCACGATGCGACACTGTTCCGCATACCTGTTGGACAATAACAGTTTATCAGGGTTACAACACTAAACACACTGATGGTGCCACAGTTTACTTGGAAAGATTGTGTCACAGCTTTACACAAAATGGCATATCTTTGTTTCTGTTAACTCATACTTCTTCTTTCTCAATCAAAGCCTGATAGAAATGTATTGTGTGGTCATGTTCTTCAGTGTTCTTGATATGCAGCCAAAAAAGTCACTCTGTAAGGCACACCTACAGGTTTAACTTCAGTCATTAACACAACAGCCTTTTAACTGATTCCTCTTTCAGCTTATGAAGGTTTCTATGTTAATAAGTTATAATTACTGGTGTTTCGATCATTTTGTCCTTTTCTTTTGTATAAAAGAGGGTAAATACACAAAACATTACTGTGTATAATAAGTAGTTTAAGAACCACAAGCTGCAGCTTCAAAAATGATCAAACTGTATGTTGAAACAAAACCTCAAAAACAAGAAAATTTGAAAATCCATCGAGGAGTGTCTTGGTCAGAGTTAATCAATCTAGTGTTACCGGTTCAGCACGCTGCATGTTTTTGTGAGCTGTAGTTTTGGAAAACATATCTAAAGACAAAATCGTTCAGCCTGCTGCTGTGCCTCACCTCTTTGACTATGATACTGTCATCACAGGTGCTGTCCAGTCCCAAGTGTTGCAGGATGGATCTCACCTGCAGCAGAGCCAATCTGTCACTGAAGAAAAACAACAGAAAAAAAAAAAAGTGTTAGGACATAGAGTCACGATGTGCTACTGGAGTGCTATCATGCAATCAGTTTGATACATTTCACATCCAACTTTCTCTTTACCTCTCTATCTGTGAGAGGAACTTTGTTTCAAAGATGCCTCTGGTCTTCAGGGTTTCAGAGATCTGCCCTCTGAACAGGAAGCCTCTCTTGGTCAAATCGATCAGGATGTTTCTCACAATCTCGCCAAGATACATGCCACTGCACATTTTCTCATATCTATAAAAAGCACAAAACACGCACATGAACAAGATATGTATGTGTCTACATCCACTGAAAGTCATTCATAAGGATTTGAATCCTGGGAGCAAAGGGTTAACATGCTAATCTCTGACTTTGAGAACATGGCCATAGTGATGATCATGTGTTTGAGTGAGTTTTTACCTTTGTTTGCCTGGATTGAGGGAGAAATCATCAACAGCACGGTCATACTCTGTCCTTATGTCGTCAAGACAACCGTTGTCTCCAAAAGCTCCCCACTCCATGTTGACACACATCTTCCCCTCATCTCCTTCGATCATCTCAACATTCCTCATCTCCTCCATGTAACATGCATTACTGCCAGTGCCTACGATCAAACAGACACATTAGGTGGATGGAAAAGAAAGAGTTTTGTATCTAAACACAGTAGGCCCTGGGGGGGTTGGGGAACTAACCAGCAATAAGTCCGATTTCACAGGTGGGTTCTTCGTAGGCACAGGTCATCATGGTTCCCACTGTGTCGTTCACTATGGCCACAACATCCAGGTCAAACTCCTGATGAATAAGGAACATGAATGATGTTACAACATACAGTCCACTTTATTACACAGTGCCATGAATGATGCTCGCCCTCATATCATACCTCTCTCCTCTTAATGGCGTCTCTCAACAGTCCCACCACGTCTTCTCCTTCACAGTCTGTAGCCTTGAAGCCTTTTGTCCAGGTCACTAGGATGCCCTGCACACACATTTCAAATGTGCATGTCAGGATTTTCTCAGTGCAAATTCAACATAAACACAGTTTATCTTTAAAATGTACATGCAAGTGCTCATTGGTGGCTCCAGGTTCATTTTGCAAAGCAGCTGATCTAAGAAAAAAGGAAGGAAGAGACAAAATCAGAGACTGTATCAGAGAGGAAGGAAGAGCAGTGCACTCACAGCGTCAAGGCTGGTCTGTCTGCACGGGAACGAGAAGGTGAAGCCCAGAGGAAGACGAGTGTTCTTCATCCCCATGTAGTCCAGAAAGTCACTGATACACTGTACGATGTGATCAAACAACTGGAGAGAGAAAGAAAGAACATACAACGCTTATGATTATCCATCAAAAATGAAGATGTGTGCATTCAGCCAGCCAAACAATAAAACACGGTCACCTTCGCATGCTAGCTAGCAAAAGAATTACCGGTTTGTTTAACAAACAATTCATATCTTTACAGCCCACAGTGTGGGTTACATGTCATCATAGTAATGATGCAGCCACCCACCACTGGCTGAGGCTGTAGGCCCAGTTAATGGTTACTGCTATAAGCACAGATGATGAATAACATCTTGTAGTATTGGTATTTTGATCAAGACAACAGGATTAAAACTGTAAGTAGGTTGTCTTTGCTTAATTTGACCTACTGACACTTGACTAGAACAATGAGTAACCACCGCAGGCATATGGATGTTAACCTGCACGGAGGACAGAAGGCTGGGGGTGCTGGTTCTTTTGTTAGCCACACACAGCAAACCAAACTGACACAGTTTACCCACCAACTGTGATCCTGTGTTAAATTTTAAACTCGATTGTGCCCAGTTTTGACTGTTTTCTGCCCTTTAGACTAGTTGGTAACATTTATAGTATTTTGTTACTTTTTGGGCCGCCGCTGTCTTTTGTACATTGATTTTATTTGATTTAAAAAGGGGGGTATCACGCTTTCCACATTTACAAAAAATAATTCAGTGTTGCGAGGTTTGGTGTCCATACCAGATGTATGCCGCCAAGTTTCAAATCACAAGGCAAACATATATTGTCCTAATCCTAGAAAATAGATAGAATGTTCAAATGGGACTTTGTGAGAAAACGTAAGACTCACTAAGTAAATGCAACATCGCAAAAGACTCTCCTCACTTGTTCATCTGAGTTTCCTGCAAAGCGGAACAGCCTGCCTCCAACAGTGTGTGAGGTGACACAGTTAACACTGAAGTTGCAAATAAGGCAATAACATTTAACAACTGTCAAACAGCCAGAAAATATGATAGCACTGAGCTGACTGTCCGAAGATTGCAGACACAAAAGGTTTGTCTTAACATGAGCACAAGACTGTGACTGAAAAACAGAACTCAGATATGTCTATTACTAGACCCCCCACTCAGTAAACTACTGGTTACTCTGATCATTAAGGCATTTAGATAATGATACCATAAGCGCTTCATTTTGACCATTTTGGATTTCTTATAACTTAGACAGTGTTTCTGAAGACAAAAACTGGTCTCATTTGATTTCTGACTTTGTTTTACTATTGCCGAAGATTTTCTTGTTCTATAAAAGCAATATTTGGTCTTTTAGTACAAGTTAGTCTTCAAAATGAGAGGTCATCTCATAATCAGGGTCATCTTATGTTCACATCTGTATGATATTACAAGTATAGACATTTTTAGATAGGGACAGACAGTTGAGCTCTATAAACCATTTAGAAGTTGTTAGTGAATCTGTAAACACCACACATCTTTCAGTCACAGGAGATTAGCACCGGTATTTACAGAGAAGTAGACCAAATCTCTCTTTCTTTAGGGCCTTTTCTAGTATGAATCCTGCTCAACAAGTGGCCTCTAACTATGTCTATTTGTACGCCCTGCATACCAGCATTGGCGTTTTCACTCACCTGAACCTCAGATTAAAATTGTGGAAAAATATGATGAGAAATAAGGTATAAGAGAAGCAAGCAGTACAATTAGGAGAAATCATTTCACCAGTGATGTTTCAATCAAATTGTGCTTTTTTCCTCTTTGACTCTCTTCTTGTCCCGTTAACTAACGTGTACAAACAAATAGAGGCCTGAGATGGGGGGTGAAAAGGCCAGAGAGGTGACAGACAGGTTAAGCTTTGGCCAGAGGACAAGAGTTAAGATCACATCTATGTTTTAAAGACGGTCAACTCAATGCTAATCCCAACCTCTCTCTATTTCTGACTCCCTTTAACCACAGACCTTCTTCCCCACTTCACTCTGATCTACTTAGCTCTGAGCCAACAGGGATCACACCCCTGACCTCCTACAGCACCTTACTACCCTAATCTTCACAGTGCCAACACAGTGACAAGAGTTCAGTTAAAAAGTTTAGCACTTCAGCATTTTCCGCATCACTCTGAACCTCAGTTTACCGCCAGAGTTTACCACAGATTAAAGAGTTAAAAGACTGATGGACTCACCTCCTCTCCTGTGCCCTGCATCACTTCTAGAGGAATGGCGTAGATCTTATTGTGCATCTCCACTGTTCTTCTCTTGCCAGAGCGAATTTTCACCAACAGAACTCTGAAGTTTGTTCCTCCTAAATCCAAAGCCAGGAAATCGCCATTCTCTGTAAAAAATGAGGGCAGAACAACAGACAGAAGGACAGATAAATACAACAGTGTCTGTGCCAAACAAACACACCACAGACAGTTTACTCTGTTCAGTGATCCAAATGTTCCTCTATGAAATATTATTCATGCTTTTACTGCCTCTCCCATTTGCATTCAGTTAAAAATGTCATTTGAGGATTGTAAAGAGCCTGCTAAATAAACAAAAATGATCAAATTAATATGTATGTGGTAGGTTGTAAATGTTTTTAATCTTCTGACTATATTGAAAAAACAAAATGACAAAAGTAAAAGTTGACAAAAGTGACGATAGATTCTCATTGGCTGAGGGCTCCGTCAATCACAGAGAACATAATACTGCTTGAGCCAGCTTAATTAAGCCACTTAGGCGCTGAGCAATGATATCAGTGACTCACTCTCTCCAGCATGCAAACACGTCAGGTAACATGCCTTGACATGCATGCACATACTGTATATTCATGTGTTTGTTGTGTGCATGTGTGTGTTTGTGTGTGAGCGCCTGCGCATGTCACCTGAGCCATCAGGAGTGCTTTGTACGTAGGTCGGCAGCATTTTGACGGTAGCAGAGTCATGAGTGCTCTTTGAGAGGCCGTTTTGGATCTCTATCCTCATTCTCTCCTTTACCTGAAGGATTTTAATTAGACATCATGAAGTGACACAAAAGGAAAAATACACAAACAGATTAATCACAATCCCTGTGTGCTCACCTCAAGCAGTTGTTCTTTTGTCAGGCGGAATTCAGACAGTGTTTCAGCGATCTGTTTTGATTGATCAGCCAGTCTGTAGGCCACCGCTGTCACCATGGCGGCTCCTTTTCCACTGCCGCTCTCTGATAGGAGGAACCGAACATCAGAGTCCGGGACCAAACGGCGAACTGTCTTATGAAGACGACGAGCGTACCTGAAATACATCAGAGAATTTGCTGTTTATTTGATCATTTCGATGAGACATGTAGTCTATCAAAAGATAAAATCAGATATTCAATGACGCTAACTCTGAAAAGATTTCCAATACTTAAGTAAGAAGCAATTACCCTGCATATTCTTAAAAAGGCAGAATATAAAACAAATATTTTGATTCACTGTTTAATCATCACGTACTGAGGATGCATCTTGTAAAGAGATCCATCGATGCCCACGGTTGTTCGCAGACGTGCCACCCCTTTGTTCTCCTTCAGTCTGATTAAAATGCCTGCCAGTGTGGCGGCAATCAGGTTGGCAGAGCGGAAAGACACGATGGTACAAACCTGAGGGAGAGCGGGAGGAGAGAAACTCATCAAACAGACCGTTCAAACTTGACGCAATCCAAGGGAACATAGATGAAGCATCTCTGAGTTCACACAGCCTCAGATTTAAAATATGCTGGAAAAATTTGGCTCTTTTAATAATAAAATTTTTAATTACCAATGCTTAAAACATAAATGATTTCAACAACAACAACAAAAACATACATGTTGCACAGCGATGCAGTCTTCAGTTGAGGGCTCCACGCCAAGTTTGTTTAAAATTTCTCTGGCCTTGTTCAACCCCTCCTTACTCCTAAACAGACAAAACACAGAGAGAGAAGGAAGCCGTGATGCATTGTTCTTCCCACAGTGTCATTCAAATAAAGTAAAATTTCTGCTCTCTTATGAAAATGAGCAGAAGCCTTAAGGTCCTTACACACCGGCGAATTTGCGGAGCGAAGCGAAAAAGCGAGACGAAAATTGCGAATATTCACCGGTCCGAAAAATCGCTTTCGCCTATACACACCGGCCGCGAAGCGAATATGCGTATATTTTTTGCAAAGCGAATTAATAAAGTCGCTTTGCGGCACGGAGGAGAGGAGATGCGGGGTGGAAGACAAGAGAGTGTCATCTTGTGAGGAAACTACTTCATTAGTAATTAGAAAGAGTTTTGGATGCACCTCAGCTGCCTTTCTCTGCGTTTTCATAATCTCAAACTTCTCCCTCTCCTCCAGCCGTATGGGTCTGTGACGTCATCAACAACATGACTTTTGATTGGCCAGAGGTCTAGCAGGTCCAGATATTCGCCTGCGAATATCCGAAAAATTCGACACAGGAGCGAAAAAATAAAAGCGGCTTTTCGCCCCGCGGAAAAATCGCCGCCGGTGTGGAAGCTTGCATTGACTTTATGCTGTTTTAAAAAAAGGCGAACAATTCGCCTGGCGAATTCTCGCCCGGTGTGTAAGGACCTTTATGTTGTGGGACTCACTTCTCTATGGCTGAGATGTGCTTGGTTTCAAACTTCCCCTTGGTGAGCAGCTCGGGGGTGATCCTTCCCTCAAACAGCAGACCCTCTCTGGCCATCTTCACCAGGATGAGACGGACGAGCTCCCCCAAGTACATACCGCTGACCATCTTCTCAAACCTGAGACACAGAAGAGCAGAAAATGAGAACCCAGAGAAACGGACGTCACACATAACCTCTACCTATGATATTTAAAAGTCACAGATCAAGAGTTGAACAGCTGGGCTAGTTTTCGGTTTGAAATGTAAAACGTGAGAGCCTCCTTGTCTTGTGGAAAGGTTTCAAGCATCAAAAAGAATTTTCCTTCCCTCGTGGTTTTGTGACTACTTGTGTTAACCACAAATATGGAGGATCACCTCAAATGAAAAGCATTTCTCTACAAATAAACCCAAGATTAGTTTGTAGATAGGTTTGTACCAACATTCAATGAAAACTTGAAAATATTCTGCTATTATGATCTCTTTTGTTGTGGTACAGTAAATACGCTTATTGCTTCTTTTTAGCTGATCCCGAGATCCCTTGTAGATCACAAAAATAAATCATTTAGATTATTATAGGGATAAAATTTAGCAGTTTTAGTTTGACATACAGCTGTTTGCCGGGGTTCAGAGAGCCTCGATCGATCTCTCTGTCGAACTCTGTCCTGATGTCCTCCAACCTGCCGTCATCACCAAAGGCTCCCCACTCAGTGTTCACACACATCCTGCCCTCGTCTCCCTCCACCAGGTCGATGTGACGCAGCTCCTCCATGTAGCACGCATTGGTGCCAGTACCTTAACATGGAGAAAAGAGCGTTACAGTTAAATCCAACATCTATAGACTAAAATAAGATTTATGATAAAAAATGGACGCTGGTTGTTAGTTTCGATACTATTTGTATGTAATAGTAGTTTTAGCATTTTTTTAAAATCTGATTGACTAGTTTCAAGAGTTTTGAGTGTACATTTCCAAATAGACTTCTGTTTTTAATGGACCTCTTGGCTTTATGACTGTAATGAGTTCCAGTACCTATGATGATGCCAACTTCACAACGCTGATCATCAAAACCACAGGTCATCATTGTCCCCACAGTGTCATTCACGACTGCCATGATGTCAGCGTCATAATCCTAAAACACAGGAAAGAGTGCACACAATACATTAAGTATATTTAACCGGTCTGTCAAGTGGAACCCAAAGATTGACATGTTGCTGACTTCGAAACAGCATCAAAGTGAGCTAAATGAGGAGAGGAGAAGACTAACTCCTCTTTTCTTTATGGCTTTGTTGAGCAGCGTGACGACATCCATTCCCTCCACTCCACTGGCCCTGAAACGCTTTGTCCATGTGATCAGAAAGCCCTGGAGACAAACAAAGAGAGAGTCAGACGAAAGTGAGACAACGAGGCATTGATTTGATGCTTAATGGAGAGGTCTCCATTACAAGTTTGGCGACTCCTTTTGTTAATGGACTGCATGGCAACCATTTGTTATCTGAATACAAGATAAATGGCTTGGTACCACATAAAAAGTTGAAAAAACTGTAATGGCAGGAAGAGCAATCATTATTCAGCTTTGATTTATTTTTACCTCGTCTAGTTTGGTCTGTTGGCAGGGGAAGGAGAAGGTAAATCCCACTGGAAGTTTCTTGTCTTTGATGCTATGTTTTTCCATGAAGTCTCCCAGACACTCTGCCACATGGTCAAACAGCTGGAACAGAGGAGAGGAGAGACAGAGGTTATCTGAGGCTGAGCTGAAGATACTTGTGTGTATCTTTGTGCCTCTATTTCGGTGGAAATACCCACCCTTGTTCCACTGCCGTGAATGATGTCTTCTGGTGTGTCATAGATCTGACTCTCCATCTGAACCGTCTGTTTTTTCTCATGGCTCACTTTGACTCGAAGGATCCTGAAGTTACTGCCTCCCAAATCCAACGCAATGAAGTCGCCCTTCTCTGCAGAACAAAGTGTATGGAGGAGAAGAACTATTAGAACTATTAGTGTAGACCTAAAATACAGCATTCAGAGCATCTCTGCAGTGATTGTATGTCACGCTTTGAGTGGGCTTCACACGGGAAAGAAGTGAAAGGAGAGATAAGCTGTTAAGGATATCGCTTTTGAACTGCTATGTTTTGTCTTCTGTATGCTCACTGCCTTATATTTTCCTTCATTCGTCCAATACATCCTTCTTCATGTGTAAGCTAGCGAGTTCAGGATAGACGTAATGGTTTTTTTTAACAAGCTGGCCTTGCTGTGCAGTCTTGGTTAATAATTGCTAACAGGTAAAGCAGTAGCCATGTCATCAGGTCAAGAGCTTATCAGAAATTATCTTTGTGAGTAAATCAAACAGTCATTTTACGGCTAAGGGTAAGTAAAAAAAATCCTCACTGACAAGAATCCACACACACGCCTTATTTAACTGAAACAGACGCTGCTCTCAAAACACTGAAAAGTCATGTCTGTTAACATGTCTCTCTACAAGCATGATCTTTATAAATCAATGGATGAATGTAGTTGTGTTGTTTTAACAGTGTTCTCTGCATTTCACTTCACTACAGTATTGAGCTGCATCCTTTTTGCATAGGTCAGATTGCAAGGTCAGGTCAGTAGTGCTGATATTTTATCAGAGAGGAATGTAATCAAAAAGACACGACCAGCTAAAACAGACACAGTATTCTAGGAACTGTGCTGCTTTAAATTCAAGACTTTTTACACATTTTTCTGTCTGATGCGTGAGAACAAAAAGAACAGAGCCAAGGACACACACTGTAATTGTGTACCAAAGTCTTATCTGAGCTTGTCTAACAATAAATAACTGTAATTAAAGATAATGGACATGAGTTTACTCTCTCTCATTGCCAAACAAAGCCACTGTTTGGCAAACTAAACAAAAATCACCATGTAGCTTTATTCACACATGCTACTCAACTACTTTGAGTTTCTTTTGAGATCATTAGTCCATTTATTCACACATCGTTCTTAATTGAGACGCATTTTTCTACACAACAAAGCCAAAAAACAGTAACACTAACATGTAGCACACTCAGTTAGTCAGTAACAAAATGTCAAACAACCTGCTGCATGATGAAAGAGTGAAACCAGTGGACAAGTTTACGGCCAGAGGGAAGCTGCAGCAGTTTGATTTATGGAGGTTTTTAAAAATACACTCGGTTGTATAACCTTCGATGAAGGCAGGGGGATCATTTTGATTCTTCAAGTACTTATTAATATGATTGAGAAAGACCACAGAGTTTGTGAACGACATGCTCAGAAAATCATTATATATTTTGTATTTGTTGAATAAAATCAAAGGTTTAGGTTGTTATAAAATATGGTAAATCAGTAGGAAGGCTTGAAACCTGACCTCCACTGTCATCTCTAACAATGCAGGCAGGGTATTGATAAATGTGTTTGACTGTGTCTGGAGGAACGGCTTGCTAAGACTGTAAACTAAATTTTGGCTGACCTGTGTTTGGAGCTCAAGGGAGAGAGCCAGAGAGCGAGCTTTGCTTCCATTAATATTCAGCTGACTAATGTAAAAAAAATCTGTCACCAAGTTAAACTGGACAGACACTCTCCTACAACAGAACAGTCTGTGCAAGACATGAACAAAGTGACTACTGTCAGAACTAAAACAAGAGCAGGACGACTGTGGCTTTAGACAGTGTGTGGTGTAGAGAGATAATGGAGGGAGAGGGGAACAGTCTTAAAAGGATCTTGTGGGTAATTTCACTTGGAGGAAATGATAGTTTTGCCAACTGGGTTCACTTTAGAGATCTGCGGTGCCAGACAGAGAGTAATGGATATTATGTGGTATTTCCTGACATCCATTTTCTGTGTGTGAAATGTGATATTTACTTCAGATAGTTCATACACTTAACAATCATCAACAGGAAGGGTTTCTGCTCCTTTTCAGATGTAACTACACAAGCTATGTTTTAATGTGATTAGTAAAAATGGACAAAAATTTTAGTTATTATAACAGGACTTGGATCAGTTGTACCTCTAATTTTCTCTTTATGGGCCTTTCTAAATCTCCATGTTGACAAAGCCTGTGCTTGATTGAATATCTTTTGCATGAATTCAGATTTTCAAAAAGATCAATCCAAAGTCAAATTTTTCTTGCCTCTCATTTTAACAGGTATGAGTGGATAAACTGGTTTTGAGACAGATGTAACTATATTAAGTGTTTGACCTGATAAGTTCAAATTAATATGACCTTGTTTATAATGACAGTTGGGGAGTTTACCGACCTGAGCCATCAGGGATTGATCGCACAAATGTTGGCAGCATCTTCAGAGAAGAAGTTGTGCTGGTGTCTCTGCCGAGTCCTTTGGCCAACTCCCTCCGAAACCTCTGTGTGATGTCCAGTAACGTCTCATCGGAGAAACGCATGGAGTACAGGTACTTATCAATCTGAGGGGGGAAAAAAGAACAAAATCCTTTTCTTAATCCTAAAAATGGATCGTGTTGTTTTTATCCACTGAGATGAGTTTGGAAAGCCAGATCGCTGGTAGAATACATATATAAATATATTGTTGACACTTCAGGCAAAGGATTAATTTACATTTGTAGTTTTGGCTTAACCATTTTTTCACGTTATCACAAAGATATCATGCTGTATCAATTCATCCCTTCATCACATTAACTCTCGTGACAACACAGCCTCTTCATCACTGTTCTGACTCTAACCGATTCAATCCCACTGCAGGAGAGGTTTACTGGATTCACACATGACATTTGCCTTATTTCCTGAGATTAAGATGACACAGTAGACTATATGACTAACTTCCCATCCCCTGTTTTAGTGATCCATGAAGGTGACTGCTCATGACTTCCCGGGCTGACTGCAATAAAAGTGAGTAAATCCCAGAAATTCGAAGGAGTGTCTACTCTACTGCCTTAAAGTGAAACAACCAAGGGGCAATTTAAGGGCATTGTTCGATTCAGCCGATCCAACTGCAGTAAAAACATACATCAGATATGTAATAAGAGCACAGTATCCCTGGTGAGTCATCGAGGTCATTTTATATGGAGGTGAGGTTAGGCAGGAGTTTCCGTCTCTCATAAATAAAGCACCTAAGGTCAGGTCACAATAAAGATAATGGTAATTACAGCAGATGATAGTAAGTTTAAAGATGATAATCCCGTAGTAAGAAATGATGTTAGTCACGGCATACCTTTCTGACGAAAGATGAAAAGCGTTCAGCTAAAACTTACACTTCTATTTATCGCCTGTCCCACTTCATATTTCCAACAGTTGGTCGTCTGCGTTTGTAACACGTTGACTCTCATTAATCCAAAGTAATTAAAGATAGCAGTGATGCGGTTCTTTCCCAAAATACTCGGGTTATCAGCGATATTTTCCTTGTTTTCACTGTTTTCAGCCATCATGCTAGCTTAACTCAAAGTACCCGCTTCCTTCGACCCAATTAGGACAGCTGAGGCCTCTCCTGAGTGGATAAATTATGCATGTGCATAGCACGTGTGTCCAGCGCGCTTGCTGATTGGTAGAACGTAGAGTGCATTGCGCGTTTTTTTACGTATTTGGCATATTTGATGATAATAATGAATTTATTAGGATCAGAAGAATACTTTTTTGACAGTTTGAGGTATATGCTTAACATTAATGATAGCAAACAGTACTTGTCATTGTAAAAATACAAAGGTTTTCAGGTATGGTGGCCAAGAACCGCCATTGCTAGGTCATTCCATTACAATTCAACCAAGAATCGCCACTCACGTCACAGATTTTGATGAAATTTGGTGGAGTGATTGGCCTTCAGGAGAAACTGTCAGAGTTCAAATATTTTTGTTCAAAGCCGTCTAATTAGTGAGATAGGGGCTAATGAATTTTTGGCTAACTAGCATGACATGCGTTACAAAAGTGTTCATATCTCTGGAAGTATGGCACCTAGAGAGCTGATTCGGGTGTCATTTTAAAGCTCTCTTCTATCTTTTTGTGCACAACATTTTCCCCAAATTGAACCAGAAAAAAATTATAAAAGACCAAAAACTTAAATTGGAAATAGCAAAAAACGCGAGTCCTTCAATTTTCTTCATATTCACACTTAAGAAAGACTATCATGTCCACTAGCATCCCTGCAAGTTTCAGGATGGGCATTCCATAACTTTTTGAGTAATCAGTCAAAATGTGTGGTACGTTAGGTGGAAAATCGCCATATTTGGCACATTATACAGTCCTGACCTCATCTGGAGTCAGCCCCACTTGCCTGCTTGTGTAAAATATTACTTCCTCATTGTGCAAAATGCTTTTTTTGAGTTTTTTCATTTGTATGTTATCCCATATTTATATAAAAAATGGCTAGAATAGCTTATTTTTGCTCAGTTTTCCATCGCATTTCATTTCTATTTGCACCTATATCCAGAATATGAATGATCTTAGCTTCATGGGAGAATCATTTGGGAATACCTGCATGTCCTGGATCCTAGGGTTGACAAATAACTTCTACATATGCACCCTGAAATTTTGTTGCGGGTTTCCCTGTGAAGTATTCCAGGCTATTTATCCTGAGCCCTTTCAACTTTTTGTGGTTCTCGGCCACTGTAGACAGGTTTTAGACAATGTAAATAAAAACAACACACCATCATATAAAATTAACATATTAATAATATTTTACATGCTAATTTGTTTTTCTGTTCTGGGTTATGAACTCTTGCCCAATTAAAATGTAATTTCTTGAGCAACACTCCCTCAGTGAAAGTAATAATCAGCTTGCCTGGACATGAATATCTTGAGCAGTTGGAGATACAACACCTGACAGTCTGAAGTGTCTTAGCCTTTCAGAACAGGATGTTAAACAATCCTGGTGAAATTGATTTTTGCATCACACCTACTGTTAAAGCAAAGATCCACTTTATCTGCAGACACACAGCTCGTGTTACATGTCATGTTCAAGATGACTAAAGAGGGGATTAGCTCTCCAGTAGCTGATGGGACCCTTAACTGGATTACCTTTAGTCGGTTTCATAACAAAGACCAACAGAACATGTAAGATATATTTTAAAATACTCGGGAGGTCAGCCTTGTTCTCACACATGACTAAATGTTCATACACACAAAAACAGTTTTCATAGAATTGAGAAGTTCATGTGTCATTTCATCAGAATTATCCACACTGTAACAGACAGCACAGAGGAATATTGGGACTTCCTGTTGTTGGAGTCACACATTTAGTGTATTTCACATTAAACTAAGTTTATTTGCAACAATTTCCAGGACGATGGTGATTGCATGTACAGTACTTACAGCATGCCGTGGTCAGACATATGGATGTTAGAGCCTGCTCTACAAGTTAAGAGTTTTGGAAGTGTTCTAGGGCATGAAGTAATAAACTTTATTGCACATGTGACCATAATTAGTGTCACGTAGCCTGCACATATTGAAATTACCAGAGTTCCTTGAAAACATGACAATCTATGAAATCAATAAAGGACTTCTATCTTCTAGTAAAAGTAATGGATCTGGCTTTCACCCCACATAAAAGGGGAACTGGTGAGGACATGAAACCAACATTTTTAGTCTGCTGTTTGCCCACACAGAGTAGTATTTAGAGGCTGAGCTTATTAAAACAATATATATTATTAAAATATGTCCCGATGTAAACTTCTCTGTAGGTGTAAAATTCCCTATATTCTGTCTAAATGTGTCGTCTCCCTACGGTTTAAAAACTCATTAGCACATGCTCTGTGACCACAGCCGAACAGCAGTTACCTTTCAGTAGCTCAGTCAAATGTTTTTGTTTTATTTACCTGTTAGATCACAAACAGGCAAATCTGGCATTTCTATTTTTGAAGTATGGTAAGCTACATAAGGAGACAAAGTTCTGACACATCAGTGCTTTATAACACCTGACTCTAGTCACACTACTCTCTCCCCCCACATACACACCTGCCAACAAAGAGTACACTTTCACTTTCTTTACCTCACAGGCAAACCAAATAGATTTAAGTATAGCATAGAGATTTATAATGAAAAAGTATCATTGTCAAATAATCTTTTAGTAGATACACACGCACATTAGTTGATGCATAATTTAATTTGCACATAGAGGCTAAATGTGAAAAATAAAGGCCACTGCTGAATCCAAATGGTGATCCTGGCTAATTCAGGAAATAAAAATCTGACTCCCCTCCAAACTTTGTAGAGCCCCTTACTGAAATATTTCCAGCATCTTCCTTTAAATAAAACGGTGTTAAAGTTGAATGTTAGTGAACACCACACCAGAATAAATGCATCTCTGTCATGTGAAATGACTGTAAGTACTGCTGATTCTATTGAGGATCAATATTTCAGTCTGCAGCTCTGTGCTGTGTGTGGCTCACTGTTTTGGTTTACTGATGGTTCAGCCCATTTCTGAGAAGCTAACAAACACTGAGGCCTCATATTAGCTGGCGACCATCAGTCAGTGTCAGTGCTGCCAACCTAGTCAAATCTAAATCCAGATTTAGATTTGACTGAAAAATTACGCAAAGACTTGTAGGACAACCACTAGTGACTTTCCTTACTGAGGAGTTGGCAACACTGTTGAGTGTTGACTGCATTAAGAATCAAAAGACTCTTAAGATGAGCATTGTTGGTTACAGCGAAAGTAACTAACAATGCATGAAACTTCATTAGCACCAGAATATCCCCGTTAAGTATATTTGTCCGTAAATCATTTTTAAATTAGCTCTTTATTATTCTCTCTGGGTACATGAATTGATAATGTAATTGGAGTTAGGGCCATGTGCAGTTCTCCAGCTGTCGGCTGATGTAAACAGATCCATTCAGGGTTGACACTTCGGCACGTGGTTCCATTAAAGCTGCCAACTCTCTCTGCTCATGCCAGTCGCTACACACTGCTGCTGCCTGCCAGAGCTGCTAATCCCATGCTATTTAATTGCTTACCACTGTGATAAACCTCCCATCGCTTTGCCTCTTCCTGTCCTAGTTGTAATTAATCAATAATGGTGCAGGAAACTGTTTTTTTTCCTTTATATGGTAAGCGCACAAGCAATTGTCATGTGTGAACAAGATATTACCTTCTGTACACAAAGGTTAAGTCCTTTGTGCAAGACCTGCCTTAAAGTTATTGTACATTTAAAAAGTTTTACCCCCTGAAGCAAGAGGTAAATTTAAGTCCCTTGGACTGCATTTGGTCCTTGATTCTTGCAATGGAAACTGTTTCATTTTCTTGATGGTCCTCAGTCTTCTGGGGGAAGTTCCTTCAGTGATATTGAAGCCTATCTTCGCATAAAGTCACTCTGTGCACTCACCTATGTAACTGTAATTCTTATTTAAAAGAGAAGGTTAAAATAAGAATGTGAGCCTAATAAGCTAATTGAATGAGAATTGCCCTTTTAGCTGGTCCACTTAAATGACAAAGTGTTCCCAGCTGAGCAGTGTTGTGATTGGTTCCACAGGAGGATTAAAAGCAGCCATTGTCCACATTTCTCTACATCAAACTAAAGGATCCACTGAGCCTAAAATAAGTCTGTTCCTGCAGCAGGAAAGACATTAGCATCCATGACTCAGCATTCTGCTGCCAGAAAACATGAACAAGCATTTTATCACAGCAGGGCATCATGTGATCTCTCATGGCTCAGGGAGATAGAGTTTCTTCACTGTAGATTGTAGAGGGACTTTAAAGCACATAGACAATGAATCATCTGTTAGAAGAATTATTTTACTTTTTTGTTGTAGAATTGACCAGACTGAGAGTTTTCTTTTCAGCAGAGCAAAGTGGCATTCCTCGTTGAGGTGACACCAGACCTCTATGCTGTGCACACACGAGTCTGTAAAGGACATGTTTTCCTCTCAACACACCTTTGACACACAACTTTCCCTGGCACTGCCTGGAGCTGGGTTTAAGTTTCAGGAAGAGATCACTCTCCTGTTTCTGCTTCCCCTCCCTTTTTCTCTCCTCCCTCTTTTCTGTTTGCATTCCTTCCCTCGACAATGCCTCCTTCTCCACGTCACTTCGACGCATTTTGAGGAAGCCCTGAAACCTGACTCCATTGTGTATGTATGCGTGCACAATGTCATGTGGACACAGTCTGACCATGTGGAAAAATACTTTCCTCCACACTGCCCTCTCCTGCACCATCTCTTCCTCATCCTCACTCTGTGAACATTGCTGTGCTCACAGCCTACAGTATGTCAGAGAGTACAGTCAAGGACACTGCAGTGGAGTGAGTGAAGAGGAGACTCGCTCAGCTGATAGAGGCTCTTTGACGGACGCGCATAGACACAGTGATGAGATTATCTGTAGACTTTCTCCTGTGGCTGCTTAAATCCTTGAACGTGCATTTTGTAATGTCACAACCAACCCTGCTCTTTGTAAAGCTGTACAATAGCAACACACACACCTGGCTCAGTGTGGGGGTGTATGTGGCTGTAGTTGTGTGTAAGCCTGCTCCTCCTGTCACCTATGGTCACATGGTTCAAAGCTGGCCTATTTTAGTCTGTCAGGGAGAGGAGAAGAGCTGGAGTATGGAGGAAGGGAAGGAGTTTTGTTGTATTACATCAGATCCTGGCTGCTAATATTGACTTTTACCTCAACAGACTCAGGTACACCTGAGGATGACAGCTTTGTGCAGCGCTTTGGCAAAAAGAAAGGGTTGCGCAATCCAGATGAAATGAGGAAGCAGACTGCAAGTCAAATGAAGGAAGAGACGTGTGGGCTGTGAGCTTTTTCCACTACTACAGGGAAAAATATCAGCCAAAAACCGTCTGATGATGTGTGACATCATCAGGGAGCGACCTTAAAGGGACCCAGCGCAGTTTGTAAAGACTGAACATGTATAATAAAAGCAGTAAAGCGACAAACAAGAAGTTATGATTGCATATGAAGGGGTTTGAGTATGCCCTAGAGCTCTCTGAGTGCCACTTTCGCTTCCATGACGTGTCTGTGCTGGTTTCCTGCTAACATCATTTTGTAGCCAAGAGGTACAAGAGACTGTTGGGGTCTGAGTGATTGGAAACGCTCCGTTCTTTGGTTACACACTCTCAAACACACACACACTGAGGGCCATTAAAACTGGTCCAGTCAGTTTTCCGCTAGACGCTCTCCAGTGGGGGCTGCTCAGCTGAGAAGTTATGAAAGGCTGACATTCATCGTCTAAACGTCACTTTCACCTCTTTCTCCTTGAACTTTTTACACACTTTTCTGAGCTTTAACATTAAACTAGAATCCTGAGTTTTGGGCCCTTTAAGGATTTAATTTATTTGGTTTAGAGCTCACAGAACTTATGAACAAAGTATGGAGGAAATGTAGTAGAACAAGGTCGATACCACATCCATATCCTTGCTCCTTTTTTGGGCTTTCTCCCCCCATATTGGTAAACAAGAAACAAATCTTTTAACACATATGAGAGTATTACTGTTCATAACTAACTTCTGCAAATGATGCAGGATCTTAGTTTCTGAATATTTTTTCTGTAAAGCCTTTTTAATCGTCTGCTTTTGTTTTTAGAGATGACCTTTACTCAGAGAGAAGCCGGTTTATTTCTCAAGGGTCACAAATGAGTGAATAAATGAAATTTCTCCAAGGTCTTGATTAAGGCAGATTTTTTGTCTCGGAGAAGGAGATGAGCGATCAATAAGATCTCATCCTAAATCTTACTTTGCTTCAGGAGACTATAAGTATCACTTTAACGAGAGCAGAAAAGAAACTCTGTGACCCCTAAACTCATTTGGCTCTATTTAATCCACTTCCACCCTCTCATCCCTCCGCTCCTCTGTCCTTTCATCATCACCTTTTACTTCCTCTCTCCTCCTCTTCGCCACACCTCCCACGGCTCACATCATGGCACCAATCACACATCTGAGCGTCGTGTCTGCTCACACGTCTTCACACACTAACACACCTGTGCAGTTGGTCATGTCTCAATGAGCCGAGGGGATTAAATCTGACTATATAAAGAAAGCTCAGTGATTTTTAATTAACTGAACAAAAACTTGTGTCTCAAACTTCTTTCCCAGCATGCCCTCTGTTTGAGTCACTTCCTTGAAGAGATGCATCACAAAGCAGAGATTTCCAACCATGTGCTTGACCGGGACAGTCCACTCTTACAGCAAAGTTAAGATGACTGCAGTATGAGTAAACTCCACGACCTCCACAGAGACACGCTCTCCTCTCCTCTCCACATCTGCTTTTACTTCTCAACCTATAATTTTAAAGATGGAAGCAGAAGAACCAGGAAGCACTCACCTTTTTGACCTGATCATCCTTGAGTTCAGTGAAATAGTAGGCTAGAAGCTGGGCCGCTATCATCCTGGTCCCCTTTTTTACTTACACACACATACAGACTCACTCAAACTCTCTCTCTCTCTGTCTCTCTCTCTCTGTCACACACAGACTCAAGCGTCCACCCTGAGCCGGCTGGAGGAAAATCCAAATGAAAAGGAAAAAATAAAAAGCAACTCAAACTCTGCTTCTGCTCATGCAATCTGTAAACCCCACAAAAGAAATAGTCCAATCTGTTGAGGTTTAAAATAGACAAAGCTGCCTCATGTGCGGCTTAGACTCTCCTATCTCTCTCTCTCTCTCTCTCTCTCTTTCTCTCTGTGCATGTGAGTGCAGCCAGGAAGCATGAGTGAGACAGTAAGTTGAGCTGCAGGAGGCAGAGAGAGAGAGAGAGAAAGAGAGGGAGAAGAGGAGGGAGGGCCAGATCACAAGCTCGGCCCACTATCTCTCAGCTTATTGGTCAGAGTGTGAGTCTCTGTTGGGGGGGTTGAGTGCCACATCCTCTTTTCAACCATTGGCTGCTCTGCTGACGCCTTGGAGGCAAACTTCAGTGATGGAGCAGGCAGGAAGAGGGAGGGAGGGGGGGGGGGGCTGCATAATTTAGGAGGAGAGGCAGGAAGGGGGAGGCAGAGTGATAGGGAAGTAACGTGAGGGGGGAATTTGGGTTTTACTGTTTCTAGGAAGTTATAAAGTGACACAGTCTACTGCGTGTCAGTTAGTAAGAAAATGACTCAGACTGCTGTAAGATGAGTCAGAGAGCTCTCCAGCTCTGGTCAGAAGGGAAATCTGAAGGCTTGGGTGAGGAAAGAGGCTGCTGACAACGCTCAGAGGAAAAGGGTATATGAGGCCCATACAGGGAAGTTTTTTTCAATCAAACAGGATCAGGTGTCAGGGCGTGTGTTCTCCACCTGAGCTGTCATGTTTTTAGGCCATGAAATGTGAGATTCTGGGATTCCTGGTGCTTTTCCTGCCCTGAGAGAAATTGAACTCGTCTTAGTTTTGGACTGTTTGTTAAACTGATAAGGAACGTTAAAGAAAGGTATTCTATATTTCATATCACCTCCCCCTAAGATATAGATATAGTTAGTTTGCTGAGGAGCAAGTCTATTTAGACATATGAACAAAAACTTGAGATCTTGTATCTACTTAAAATGTCAATAAAGGGATTTTTTTAATGCGGATTTCCAAGGCCGAGTTGTCAATCGATGGATGGATAGATAGATAGATAGATAGATAGATAGATAGATAGATAGATAGATAGATAGATAGATAGATAGATAGATAGATAGATAGATAGATAGATAGATAGATAGATAGATAGATAGATAGATAGATAGTTGGTTTTATTTTTTGTCTTCCTGGTATGAGGGCTTCCTGTAATTGAAGCGGAGAGACAGCCGCTCACTGGCTCAGTCCTTCATTCTGAGAGGAGTGCAGCGCTCACTGATCAGACTGACAGTCACTTTCTCCAGCTTCACTGTCGTCTCAGACAGACGTGACATCATTACAACAACAACAACAACAACAGCAGCAGCAGCTGTGTGTGGTCTGGAGTCTCTGGAGAGTGACCACAGACACAGCAGAGGGCCTGTAATCCTCTGTACTCTCAATATGTGAGCTGTGTCTTTTACTCCACCTTTATCTGAAAGGCTGCAGTGTGGAGTCCAGTCAAACCATGCAGAAGTATCGTTTTCAGATAGAAAAATAGCTTACATCTCAGAAGGTCTAAGTAAAAAAAAGTCAGAGTAAGAATGTGTTGGATATAAAGTTCAGCTAGCCGTCAGTTATCTTGTCTGACACCTGCCTACTTATGGTAGTTACAGGCAGAATTGTAAAGATACACATATTCTTACCAAACTGATTCAGTACAGCACTTTTGGTTTGGTGCAGATACATACTGATCTAAATGCATGTAGATGTAAAGGTAATTTAATCCACTTATTAGTTGAGAGCAGATTGCATCAGCTCTTTGAAAAAGAAAAACAATAAAAACATAATAATAATAACATCAAGCCTTTTGTGCAGCCATAGAAATCTAAACTAAAATGTACCTTTGGGTGGTAGCCCTGTCAGGAGTGTCTGATATCTAGTGTAGTAAACAGTGGGGTGTGGCAGGTGTATGTCATTATGTCAGCTTGTGTTTGTGTAGCTCTGTCATGCAGACCGCAGAAGAAAGAGAGAAGCTGCAGCTCAACCAAAATGCAGTCAAAGCCCAGAAGAGTGATTTTGCATCAGCTTCATTTTTACCTGTTATGTGGATAATGGCGCTTTGAAATTTGCTCGCCAAATGAAAATCTGCCTCAATATGGCACTTTGCTGGTGTTAGTTCTAGACCTTGAATTTTTCTGTTTTTCCTTTGGTTTTATTCTTTTTACTAAGTCCTTTATTATGTTTCATGTGAATTTTAAAAGAAATAAATCTGAGCTGGCATATGAGCCTGAACAGTTATCGGTGCACTTCAGATGACAAGTAAAAAGTCCTGATAAAGAGACCTAAATTTTGTGTGTGACATTTGTTTTGCTTATTTCACTGAAAATGTACCAAACAGAAACTTCAAAACCAAGAACAGAACCCAACAGAAATGTTTTAGTACACTTACACTCCAATTTCCAATTCAGGAATTGTCAGTCTCCTCCCTGAGGGTCTCACTTAAGTCATTTAGAGACATCAGTGTTAGTCTGAGTCTGTTTTATAAACACCTAAAAACCCCTTATGAGATCTTCAAGAGAGACATTTATGTTGAAAATGTAATAAAGTCTATTATATTCAGTATTGAATGACATACATGGGCAGACTGCTCTTGAAGTAAAACCTTTTACTCTTTTTATTCATGTTTTACAATCGTCCCCTTGGTCTCAGGTTTTTGTGGTTGGGTTCCTGTGTTGGCTGGGTATCACGGGTTCTTATAATGTCTTTGTTTTAATGTCTTTGTTATAATGGCATCTCTGCTCATGTGACACTCATCAAAGCTTTTTTGTCTTCCACCGACTTTTATTTGATTTCTTTATTGCCAGTAAAGTCACATTAGGACATGTAGACTGAGTTTTAGTCTTGTACAGGCTCTGTCCCCCAAGTGTTCTCTTGTTGTTGTTCTGTTGTTTTTATCTTCTTTGTTTCCTGCATGGTAAAGCACTTTGTAAACTCTTGTTTTTAAAAGTGCAATATAAATAAAGTTATCATTATTATTGAAATAAAATACTTGCATAATAATGTTAGTCTTTGGCAGTGATTGACAGTGCTTTCACTTTAGAGGTCCAATTGTGTAAAATATCACTCAGCTACTGTGTAAAACAGCGCCTCCCACTAAGAAACATCTGCCAGGCTACAAATCACCACGTGCAGAAAGCTGCTAGTTGCATGTCAACAACTAGCACTTTCAGGTGTCACAGAAATTCTTTCTCACCCTCATCCTCACTGCTGGTGCTGTTTGCCTAACCCAACAGTGTAGGGGACACATTTGGAGAAGGCACAAAGGAGAGGTTTATGGTTCAGGAGAGAAGGGGGTTTACAGGTTAATAGATCTACTCTTACAGATTAAGTGATCCATATCATCTAAAAGCTGAAGTTCCAACATTTTTCCAAAATCCTCTTAATATAACACATCCTCGTGTGATCAGTCATCCTCTTTGTATCCCAGCATTTCTTAAAATAATATAAATAATAAATGGTTAGTTTGGGAACCAGTTTGTTCTCTGGCAGCAGCATTTTTCCTGCAGTCCTTTATCATCTCCATTTTGTGTGAGCATTTGTTGGCACATCTCTCTGTTATTACCACCTGAAACCCCCCCTCTGTGGACCTGCCTGGACTTGCTATGTTCATGTAAGCGGCAGTGTTAGCTGTGCTGTTTGCAGAAAAACAGACTGACTGAGCTACACTGAAAACACATCAACTGCAGCTGATGTTACAAAGCAATGACAGTCTCTACGAAAAAAAGCTGAAACAGTCTCCTCTTTGAGTTTAATGAGCATTCTTGTTGGAGTCTATGGAGTCTACTTTTAATCATCTATTAGGTACAGACTAGTATGTCAGTCATCCAAGCTCTTATTATATTAGTCAGAATGCGCTCTATTGTTCATCTATTTCCATATTTCCTAAACCATGAAAAACTGACATATACCATCAAGAAAGTAGCCTAACCCAGCTGTGTGACATGAGAGAGTGATACATGCTTCCTTTAAAAAGCTTTGACCATGATTTTCTGATCACTCTGATAATCCCAACATTTCACAAACTTTTCAGAACTTTCAAGGATTTTCAAGGTTTCATTCTCTAAGTAGAAAGTAATAAAATGACTTTTTCTTTGATACAACAGTAATGATTAGCTTCCTAATAGCATGTCTTTGAGTGTAAAAATCACAACACTAACCATGCAGGCTAAACATGAAAGCCGGGCCGGTTGTTTTCACCCCATAGATCAATGTACACGAGCTGTCATTGGCTGCTCCGCTCCTGCTGCCAGCCAGTGACAGGAAGTGTCACACAAACACACCACTGTGATAACTAGCTGCCAACAGGTACGATGACTCTCTACAGTGAGACACTACTGCACAGTATAGTGTTTTACCTACACTCTCACACGCTGCCTCCTTCTCCTCCTGCTTCTTCTTCTTCTTCACTGTATCTCCCATTATTGTACAGCTTTGTCCTACAGGTGCATTTCTTCTGTTTCTCACTTGTCGCAGCTTCACATGACACTGACTGCATCATAACCAACCCTTCACCCTCCAGCAGCTGCACTGCCACAGATAATCCCAGCAGTGTTAGCTGTCCTGGATTATCATACTATCCAGGTAACTGAATTACCTTCATTAATAAAGTTTTCCACTGGTGAAGAGGAGGTGGTGGTGGCATCCTACTGTTCTGGAGAGGATGGTGTTTTGAAGCATGATGGCATTTCATTTTTCCACAGTCCACTCCAAATATAGGTTCAAATCCAGGCTTCAAACTTCCTTTCATGGTATCTCTGGTGGTGATAAATGGCTGTAAATTTAAAAAAGAAGGCTGTAGCCCCTGCAGATAACTGTGTTTCCAAACTACAGAGCAGAAGCCTGTCTAAAAAAGCCAGAGCTCATCCCTTTGGACTGCAGGTCCCGGGAAAGCAGCGCCTCAACTCTCCCATCTGCTGGTGTTTCTTCCTCCTGTGTTTGAGCATGTGAGTGTTTGTGTCAATGCTCTCATTGTTGGTTTGCATCAGAGACAAAGACATACTCACAGAGCCATGAACACACAAATAAACACACAAACAGTGAATAACAAGGCTCAAACACCTTGCTCCCTGAGGAATGCCTTCTCGGGAAGAATCTTGAGGGTTTTTATGAGAATATCACAACCAGAAAAAAAGATGAAATAAGAGACAGGTGCAAAAGACTAGTTTAAAGAGACGTGAAAAACACAGTTAATAGAACATGAGAGAAAAAGAAAGGATGTCAGTTTCTGTATCTGTCAGCTCACTGTTTATGCTGCACGAGCTGCAGATTCAGCAGCCCACTCTGTGTGTGTGTGTGTGTGTGTGTGTGAAGCTGCAGAGTCAGTACATGTGTGATTAAACTGTGACGCCAGAGGGTCACCACCAGGACAGTGGGATTACAGTGGTGTGTATGGGGGAGTGACGTATGGCCCTCAAGTGGTTTCGATCTAATATGTTAATCCCTGTCAGATTAGCTTCTCTTTGACTCTTGTTTGCACGCATCCTTACTCAATACATCTTTATTTCTCTTTCTTTCTTTCTTTCTTTCTTTCCTTCCTTCAATAACACTAAATTAATCTCATCTTGACTGTTGTTTTAGGGTGTAAGAGGAAGACTGACAGGTGAAGACCAAGACGTTCTGGCAAAGATCCTGAAATGGACAGACTGCAATGACCCAAAGACAAACAGACTAATGCTAGAGGAAAAAGACAAAGAGACAGACAGGTAGACAGGCAGGAGGAGAGCTGAGAGACAGAGAGGACAAACCAAAAACGGACAAAGAGTTGGTCCAGATTGACAGAACAGAGAGTTGTTTGTTTTTATCGATGGAAAATGTCAGAAGCATTCCTATCCTCCCTCTGCTCTTTATCAATACACACATACGCACGCACACACGCACACATGCACACATGCACTTACTTTCTTTCTTTTTTATCCAAAATTTTACAAATAAAACTCAATTGAACTCAGAAAAAAATCTTGCTTTTCTATCACAGGAATCACATAAAAACTTTTAAAGCAGCTGTGAAGAATTCTGGGTTTGTGTTGATATGTGGTGCCCCATGTAGACAAAGTGTTTCCCCTTATCGCTTCGCTGCTTTGTTCCATACATCAATATGTAATAGTTATAAGAGAATATTTGATTTATAGAGTGCTTTAAAAAAAAAAAAGAGTAATAAGAGCTCAACAATAGTGTCAACTAAATCCCTATTATACCAAAAAACAAAGTTTTGAAACAAATAATGAATAACAACAGCTAACAAATAAGTAAGATCCAATGCTTTAGTTTTACGAGATTAAAGACACAAGTGTAACACAGCTGCAGTGAGTAAACAGCTGTTGTTGTTGTCATTTATTGTTGTTTTTAAAAGGTCTTATCCTGCTTTTGCATCTCTCATAGAGAATCTCTGCCATTAAAAGTTAAAAATAAAAGTAAAAATTGACCATGTCTGTGGCTATTAGTGTGAATTTTGTTTAACACTTATATCCTCCTCCCCTGAAAGCAGTTTGATGTATCAGATCATGAATACCTAACAGAAATGAGGAAATAACCATCCTTTGTGTCGACTGTCTAGTTTGTTAACTTCAGTTTGGATTTCAGTAAAGGAGGTTTAATCAAAATATGAACAGTGTCAACCATTCAAGGTCATATTAAAGCCTGCATACACAGTAAGTGCATGGACCAAAGTTAGATGAAAGACAAGGGGTGTACATTTTTTTTATTTATTCATTTACTTTATTGTTTTATTTTGATTACATTTATTTATCTAGGAAAGCCTCATTGAAAGCAGATCCAGCTTTTGACAACTCTGGTGACTGTGTCTCGCTATCAGCATTGAAATGTTGATTATTTCGGTCGAGCATTTATTTATCATGTTTATTTTGTCTCACATTAAGCACCAACTGTGCTGAGTCATCTGCAGGGTGTGATTATTAATATGACGGTTCTTCCCTTTTCAAAACCAACCCTCTGTCTCACTATCAAAGACTAATCGGCGCACGGTAAACTCTGTCATGTGTCTGTGCAATTGGGGTTGTGGAGTCTTCTTAACACTGACTTAGAGACTCGGTGGAAAGTGAGAGGATTTGTTTTACATCTGTCATAACCAAATACTTTCACAGAGCAGACACACAGTGTGTTTGTATTGAAATTTGGGAAGCCTGTACTCTGTCCCAGAAATTACAAAATGAAGAATAAAGGAGAAACAAATAAGAGGCTTTTCTCTGTAAAGATGCCATGAGCAGCTTCATGTTCATTTTGTGAAATCCAATGTCAATAATCCAGTGCTTTAAATATCTTTGGAGACTGGATTTTAATCCCAGCAGCAGCACTTTTATTTTAGCTGTATACACAATGTAGCCGGACACACTATGTTCATGGGTGTAAAGCCAGCAGGGGATCAGCATGTGTTGTGTCTTATAGGTGCATTTCTGTGCTGTCCAGTGTGAGAAAGATGTTGGCAAACCCACAGTTCAGTGCAGATGGAGCTGAGTGATCTCAGTGAGGTGAAACATGAGCATAAAACTCTGTTTTTTTTATGTCAGTCATGTGAATTTACATGCCCTGCTTTTGAAGGGCCACAGCTGTGATGAGAGCAGCACCTTTTCCACTGCCCTCCTCTGATGGCATGAAGGTCACGTCACATTGAGGAGCCAAAAGTCTGGTAGTTTCTTCAAGAATTTGAGAAAAACTAGAAATAACAGAAAAAAAAAAGAAAAGAAAAAGGGGTTAGATTTTTGAAATTATTAACTTGAGAAACTACAGAAAAGAGTAAAAGTCGATATTGGATCCAGCTGATAAACATAACTGAACTGGACCCTCTCAAGGTAATTTCATATAACAGCTATGACTCACTGTGGGTGCAGTTTGTACAGCGCCCCGTCCACCCCTACAGTGATGTCCAAATGGTCCAGTCCTCGGTTCTCTCTGATTTTATCAACCACGGCCGCCATTCCTGCTCCACACAGCTGAGCTGCACGACGTGACACAACTCCACATACCTGTCAAACAATCAAAACTTTATCAATATTGCCACACTAGACACACTGATGGTGCCACAGTTTACTGAGTCGAATGATACCAAATCAACTCCTCAACTAGGGACAATAAATGTTACTAAATACAAAAGTCAGGTTGCAACAGAGAGCATGATTTTCTCTGCATTGCAGTGAGTCAAAAGTTCATCTCCTTACCTTTTCAAACATTTGTGATAAATTCAAGACAAGAAAGGGGTCATAGGTTTGCAACAATGCTATTTTATTCACATTTAAATCCTGATACCTATACTCACATTTTTGCTATAAATTTTATATTTTGGTCACATAATGGCAAACATGTAAAAAAAATAAGTAAAGGGAGTACGTGGTTAGCATCAGTGTTGTTTTATCTGCATGCTGTCTTACTGGCAGAACTTAATGAAGGACACTTTAAAGTTCCCATGAGGAACTTTCAGTTTGTGTTCATTTCGGCTCCCCCAGTGATCAAAGCAGTCTTTGCTCATTTTGTTTCCTACATGCATAAGAAATGTCCACTGACTAAGAAAATCTTATCTTTTTGACTGCGAGATATATCACTTATTGTCAATATTTCACATAGAAATTGTAAAAACAGGGCTGACACCTACCCCCTTACACTAGTTTCAGGCCCCTAAAATTACAACATTGTATTCATCAATCTTGTGGCTGGCCTTGTTTAATTTTAGATATCATAAAAAGGTGACAATATGAATTACAATCTATTTACTAAACATAAAAACTTCACTCGAGCTTTATTGTACAAATTGATGACTAATTTCATAGTTTAGTTGTGTTTTTTTGTGCTACAGTGAAGCTATCTGCTGTGAGAGCCATCTAGGACACATATGACTGAACTGTTAAATGCTGCTTTAGTGGTAGCTTTGAAAACAATTTTTTTTCTTTTACCAGAAACAGGTTGAATGTAAAAGGAAACAAAAATGGACAAGAACAGAACTGAGTCTGGCTGAAAAAGGTGCATAACACCAATCAAAATCAAAACTGGAAAATAGCTGCTTATCTGAAGGCCCAATATTACCTTTAAACTGAGTAACTGGAGGCCAACTAACTTCAAAACAGTTAACCCTCAGTGTATTTTTAAAAGTTGATTAAAAACCTACTTTTATGTTAAGCTTTTTTGTGCACACTGGTTATTATATTGTATTTTGTATAATATTATTTGCCTTATCCTGAGTTTGAGTCCCTGTTTTCATAGTAGCTTTGTCACTAGTGTTTTTGGCATATTGTCTTATTTATCTATTTTTAACATGTGTTTTTATTGTCCTTATGTAAAGCACGCTAAACTGCATGCTAATTCAAAAAGTGCTTTTTAAACAAGCTTCAGCTGAGCTGAGTCATCATTTTTTATCCTGTACCTCTTTCACTATGATGCTGTCGTCACAGTTGCTGTCAAGCCCAAGCTGTTGGAGAATACATCTGACCTGCAGTAGAGCCAGGCGGTCACTAGAGGGAGACAAAACAGATTATATACACAGCTACACACTCACAAACAACAGGATGTGGTAATAAGACAAAGATTTAAAAGGGTCTCTCCTACCTCTCTATCTGGGACAGGTATTTGGTTTCAAAGATTCCAGGTGTTTTTAAAGCCTCAGTTACATGTCCTCTGAACAGCAAACCTCCTCTGGTTAAATCTAACAATACCTGACGGACAACTTCTCCTAGATACATCCCACTGGTCAGTTTTTCAAACCTGCACATTCACAGAGTCAAGTACCATCAATGACAGCTCTATAGAGACGAAGATACAGAGAGACACTGGAGCATAAAGCGTGAGAATAGAAGTAGGAGCTCATATCTACATTTAAATGCAAGAGACCAAAATGAGTGATGGTACACATATCTTAAAAACACACATGGACACACAGGGTGGGTTTCTGACCTTTGTTTTCCAGGGTTGACAGAGTTTCGGTTCACCTCCACGTCAAAAGGTGTAATAATGTCATCAAGAGAGCCGTCATCACCGAGACCCCCCCACTCTGTGTTTATACACATCCTCTGAGTCTTAGCATCCCTCTCCTTCTTCTCTCCATCAGAGCCATCAGCCTGCTGGGAGCAGAAGCAAATAAGAGGGTCGGTGTGTGAGCTATTATCATCTAGCTTCGATTCACTGCAGCTCCTCAATACAGCGAAAATGCTGATTTGACAAGAATTTTTCGACCTTGTTCTCTTCTCCTTTAGGCGTCTCCTCTTCTCTTTGCTCTTTTCCTGTCTTGTGTTGTAACTTTTTAATGTTCTGCACCTCCTCCATGTAACACACATTAGAGCCCGTTCCTATAAAACATAACCACAAGCTTGATTTATGTTTTATCAAAGATCAAAAGTGCAAATAAGGCAAAAATAAAAAATGTGCACTGCAGTTTGTGTCCTAAGAAACAGGTTTGTTGTAGGACATACACATACGCACGTGAAATATTTTCAAACATAGTCCAGTTTGTTTTACTCTGAGAAGAATCAGAATTACAGAATAAATGATGACAGCCTTCACTGAAGTGTTATCAGTCTCAAAGTCACATACCAGCAATCAGTCCAACTCCACACTGAGGGTCTTCATACGCACAGCTCATCATGGTCCCCACTGTGTCATTGACAAACGCTTCTATGTCCAAGTCAAAGTCCTACAGATGCAAACACACGTGCGTACAGTAAGACAGTCATATATATGCACAAACCTTTTTTCATTTTTTTTTTTACTTTTTCTTTGGTTTTCATAGTTTAACAGATAGTAAATTCCGGTCCCATTTGGGGCCTAAACCCAATCTTGTAACGGCTGGTTCAACTCCAAGTCATGAGTATTTGCTGCAAGCCTCACCTTACTCTCTACTCCCTAAGTTTCCTGCCTCTCTTCAGCTGTTGTAGTCAATAAAGGCAAAAAAAGGTGAACTGCTTTCATCAACAAACATCAGTCTGAATGAAGGCATTAGCCTGTGTCTAAGTGCATCAACAAATCCACAATTCGATGGTTAGGGTACTTCAAAAGCTGCAAGCTGAGCTGCAAAAATACAGCGCATGGGAAAGAAAAGTGTGACCTCCATTGCCCCAAAAAGAAACCATCACTTTGAGAGGTGATACAGTTCTTTTGGAAACAACCAATGGTTGCTCACAAATATTATAAAGAGAGGAAAAGAAATGTAGAACATCATTGATATTAGAATGAAAAGAGTAATAGGGATGAGACTTAATCTTATCCTGTCTAGATGTTGGGTCTCTGTAAATGTAGTGAAGGATATGGTCCAGAACAGGTCTTTTTTAAGGCTTCACATGATAAAATCTGTTGTGAATTTGTGCTAATAATTAAAGATCAATTGCTTAATTCACAAGCTCAACAGCTAATGATATGGAAACAGTCATAGACTCGTGGCTTCTATCCATGGGATACTTGCTGGTTTCTCATTATAATTTGCCCAATTTTTAGCTAATTTATCTTGAAAAAAAGAAACAATTAGGGAATAATCCACTTAACAAACCCAGTTTTTCATGTAAAGAGTATTTTTTCTTGAACTCACGTTGCGTCTCTTGATAGCCTCCCTCAGCATCTCAACAACATTATGTCCTTCACAGTCTGTGGCCTTGTAGCCTTTGGTCCAGCTCACCAGGCTGCCCTAGAACGTGCAAAGTTTGATGGAAGGGTTGAAAACTTCAGTTTTATATTAACGGTGATGGCAAATACTAAATCAACAGGAGCTCAAATCCACACTCTCAGCGCTTACCGTGTCAAGAGCTGTCTGCTCACAGGGGAAAGAGAAGGTGAAACCTGCAGGAAGACGAGCTTTCTTTATCCCCATGTAGTCGAGGAAGTCACTGATACACTCTGCAAGATGATCAAACAGCTACAGAGACAGAGAGAACAGAAAGAGCTTATAGAAAAGAAATGCCATAGATGTCCGGGCACTCACTAATTTAAGTCTGCTGACCACTCGTGAGATATCGCCTCATAAATGTCCCACCTCTTCTCCAGTTCCTTGCATTATCTCTGGTGGGACTGTGTAGATCTTGTGGTAAAGTCTTGTGCTCTGTTGCAGACCTTTTCTAAACTTCACCAGCATCGCTCTGAAGTTAGTTCCTCCCAGGTCTAAAGCAAGGTACTTCCCACGTTCTGAAAAACACAAAAACAACTCCTACAGAGATGTTCTTTATAATTAATCAGCTTAGACCTCTTATTCTGGAAAGTAAGAACCAAAACAAACCAACTCTTGTGTTGGTTAAGTACAAAAATGCCTCACTGTTATCGCTCAGGTTCACACAAACTCAGCAGTCTGATCAAAGTGTGACACTGAGGAGGTGTCTTGGTGAATCTTCTAAAGAGACCGATGGGATATAATCTCCTTTTTTATTTCTTTTCTCTTTTTTATGCTTTAGGATTCTTAACTTGTGTGATCCTCTTCAGTTCCTAACCTGTTCCATCGGGTGTGTGGTACACAAAAGAAGGCAGCATCTTAATGGCAGACGGGCCTTCACTCTCCAGGCCTGCCTCCAGCCCTGCCCTCATCCTGGATTTCACCAACAGCAGCTGCTCCTGGCTCAGCCTGAAGGGACACAGTGTCTCATCCACCTGGGGTTACAGGAAACAGGGATGATGTTTGAAATTAGATGTGATAGAATAATAAAGAGAGAAAAAGAGGGTGCAGAGCCACAACGACCCACCCTTACCTGTTTTCTCCGTGTTGCCAGTCTCTGGGCGACTGCTGTGACCAGAGCAGCCCCTTTGCTGCTGCCGCTGTCTGAGAGGAGAAACCTGACCTGGCACTCAGGAAGTAACCTGCGCACCACTTTATGGAGCCGTTTAGCGTATCTGAAATAAAAGGAGGATTGTGATTCATGTCTTTTTGTACAACATCTTCATGACTGGAGCTATTTGACAGTAAAAGTTTGTCTTAACTTATTCTACAAACATGGAGACATCACAAAACTTCAAGCAGACTTAAACTTAAATGAAATTCTGACCAGTTACCTAGTATGATTATTCAACATATCTCCAAATATTGAGTTATGAGTTGTTTTTATAATGTGGATGAATTCATTTTTCAGATACAAAATGAAGGACTTAGAGTTACTTACAAACCCCCGAAGTCTCACAGATATGATGTTTCTTTTATTATTTAAAAAAGTTCAAACTTGGTGTGCACTCATCATTTTTAATGTTTGGTGTCTGTGAAAACTTACTGTGGGTGGGTCTTGTACACAGTCCCATCCACACCTACAGTGATCGTCAATGTCCTCGATTTCCGGTTTTCCTTGATTCGAGTCAAGATAGCCACCAGTCCTGCAGCAACCAGGTTTGAAGATCTAAAGGACACAATGGTGCTGACGTGTTGAACAGCGATACAGTCATCTTGTGAGGGAGTCAAATCCAGGCCCACCAGGATGTTTTTGGTGTTTTTAAGACCAGTTTTGTACCTGAAATAAACAGACATGGATAATGTTATTGTTATTAGTACAGAGGAGGTGTCACACAGACAGAGAGATAACTCACTCCTCCATTGCTGCCACATCTGCAGTGGTGATTTTTCCTTTAGTCCTCAGGGCATCAGATACATGGCCGTCAAACAGCAGTCCAAGATTGGCCATCTTCAATATCACCAACCTCACTATCTCACCCAGGTACATCCCACTGATCATCTTCTCAAAGCTGCAAACACAGAAACATATGACTGTGACATGTTGTCTCATAGGTGCCATGAAATGATATTACTAACTCTGTTTTCCTCACATTTGTTTTCCTTGGTTGTTGGACGCTGCGTCCACATTTTGGTCAAACTCTGTGATAAAATCTTTTAGAGTCCCATCGTCTCCAAAGCCCCCCCACTCAGTGTTCACACACATCCTGCCCTCGTCTCCCTCCACCAGGTCGACATTACGCAGAGCCTCCATGTAGCATGCATTGGTGCCAGTACCTAAACACACATAAATATTAACGAATAGCCATGCATTTATACTCATACTACTCATTTTATCAGTTTTGAGAAAAAGCACTGTACTCTGAAATCACTTTATTCTAAAAAGAAATAAATGATTCCCCACCTCTGACGAAAGTTCAATCAAAACGTTTAAAAAACACAGCACTCACACTCGCACTCACACTCACACGTGTTTGGACACTGGACTACTAGAGGAAGCAGTTCCACAATAAGAACTTGCACTCCCAGTACTATTAGTAAAGAGCCATGTATTATTTTTTTCTTTTTACACCAACAGTAGATTTAATTCTCCTGAAGTTTTGGCAAACTCTTATTAAACTTATGTTTAATATATTCTTTTTAAATCATTTCTGGATTGCATAATTGGGCAGAAGTTAAATTTTGTCCTTTTAAGGTCACTTCAAAGCTCCCGTGAACTGATGACGAGGAGTTAGATTTAGCTTAGAGTATTGACTGTATTCAGACACGGAATGTGAAGAGGACTCAGACTTTTTTTGAAATTATGGCTGTTCGGTTGTTTTAATGGTTAAGACCTAATAATTTATGCAGTCCGGAGCCAAGGCTAATGTGTGTTGACCTGTATGGATGACCACATGCTGTCCATTTCAGAGGGAAAGGTGTGATGAAATGTGAGAAGATGGACTCAGACTTTCACAGACATCCTGGATGAGTCCTGTTAGGTACATGAGGTGCTGCAGTTGTTGATAACCTTACTGTTCACAAGCTACTGGTCATGTTAGCATTTTAAGCGACTCAGGTCTAATTTGTTTGCTCAGTTCTGATCATTAGAGGGTGAAGTGCAAATATGATTATTAGATATACTGGTGGTGATCCAAACAGATCAGGTTTGTCCCACTATCAATACAGTGTATTAGGATGAACTGCACAGCGCTGGGACTTCACTGACCTTTCAAATGTCAAGATGAGATCATTTAGAATCTAATGTAAATAAATTAAATGTGATTCCTTTTTTTTCTTGAGGCAAAACCTCCATAAATGGGGCACAAGTGTAGATAACTTAGGGTCAAACACAAATCCTTCTTATGATAAATGATATAAATGATGAACAATCAAGTCAAACTTGCACCAAGGTAATGATGTCTTGACTCAGTTCTGCTGAAGTGATTGTGACCCAACTCTGACAATTACTGAGGACTATAGATTGGGCTCAGACTCTAGGTTTGAGGTTTGGACCATTGCACTGGTTCAAAAACAGCAGGATCGGATCTTTTGTAAAAATAAAAAAAAAACACTACTTACACACTATGTCAAAGTCCACTCAAACTGACTGAGGTTTGACATTGTTCTGTAAAAATCATTTTTACATTACATTTTCCATGCATTTGTAAAATTCAAACAGTGTATGGCTCTGTAGGTTGAAGTATTTGAGCTCTACATTATGTTAGCTATCATAGACTTGCACCACAAGATGTACCAACCCAGCTACAGGAGTCCACTGTTTCACAAAACTGCATAACTGATATCTACTCTGAGCCTGAGAGTACTCACCTATGATAACTCCTACATCACAGTGCTTGTCATCAAAACCACAGGTCATCATGGTAGCTACCGTGTCATTGACCATGGCTAACACCTCCACATCCATACCCTGTGGAAAAATTACAGTTCCATCCAGCTATGAGACTGACACTCATCATGAAGGTTTTGTATGATAGATAAATGGTTTATAAGATACTTTCATAAAAATGACAGTAAGCAGACAGAGGTTTGGACTACGCTGTGTAGAGTATGAAATCATGTTGGGTTTGTCTGATAAATGAAACATGGTTGATGTGTCACCATGAAGTCCTACCCCAGCTCTGTCAACAGCGTCTCTCAGGGCCTGGACTACATCTTTATCCTGTAGACCTCGAACCCGGAACCTTTTACTCCAGTTTAACAAAAACCCCTGCAAGAGAAACATCCATCAGTTCCAGTTTTAAGCCACGAAGACCAGATTAATTGATGTGCTCTAATTACCTGATCCAACTTGGTGTGTCCACATGGGAAAGAGAAGGTGAAGGCCAGAGGGTGTTTCTTCTCCATATCGATGTTCCTCTCTTGGAGAAAGTCCTTCAGAGACTCAGCCACATGGTCAAAGAGCTGCAGACACAGAATCAAAGAAAAAGAAAACAGTCAGGGTTGGAAACTGTTCATTTTTTATGTCTTGAAATCTCCTAATCCGGATCCCATCTTTGTACAAATTGCCTCCTCTTTCTCCTTGAGATCACCATCTTACCTTGTTCTTCTGCTTTAACCAAATACGTTTCTGGTATTTTCTCTCACTTATTGCACCAACTTACCTCTGATCCTTTTCCATTCAGGAGCTCTTTGGGTATGGGATAGGTTTTCTCCTCCATTCCCACTCCTCCCTTCCTGATCCCCATCCCCTCTCTCACTTTCACTTGCAGCACCTTAAACTTAGACCCTCCAAGGTCTAACGCCAGGAACTGTCCTTTCTCTGCAGAGGTAGAGAAGACAGATGAAAGTTATTAACTGTAACACTCATTGTCTGTTAATGATCTGCATGTCTTTGTAACAGCTTTAGAGTCTAGAAAGCATCAATGACAGTGACCTGATCCATCAGGAGTGGAGCGGACATGTGTGGGCAGCATCTTCACTGCTGCTGCAGCGTTACTCTCTGACGAAAGACCCTTCTTCATCTCAGCCAGGAAACGAGCTGAAATGTCTCTCAGCTGGTCATCACCGAGACGCATTGCATGCAAAAACCGGTCCACCTGGAGAAGAAACACAGGAGTAAAGATGAACTGATGTATCTCATTTTCTCACTAACTAGACAGACCCAAGACTGCACAGATCTGAACAGACTCAAAGAGGAAACCCTTGTTACTGAGCAGGGGAAGAGTTCATCTCACGGACTCCTACTCTCTTTTGTTTTGCTTCCTTTCTTTGCATGTAGATCAGTCCCACTTGACAAACACTTTTAGACAAGGTTCCTTTATTGTGATCTCATAATTTTTGGGTCTTTCTTGTTTTTCAGGGGACAATCCCCACATGCTGATTATCATTTTTTAGATACTAGGTTATATGTTTTTTATTTAGAAGTTATGTGCATAACATTTGAGCTACAGAAACTTCAAACTTAACCCCATTAACAGAAAATCACTCTGACTTACAAGAAATTACCTAAATGAAAGGAAATATAGTGGGTTATATGAGTCAAGAGCAGAAATGTACACCAGGTTCACCCCTGTGGAAACAAGTTCAGGAGACAAAAAAAATCTGTGAGAAAAACTGAGAAGTTAAAATAAGTGAATTAATAAGTGAATGAATCAAGAACTATGAGATGAGAGTGTTGCCTTTGTAACTAATAAAATAGTTTTTGCCCCTGTGTTCATCTGATCTGCACAAAAAGAAGAGCAGCAACATTAATGGCAGTTAATCATTGCTGAAGAATGCACAAACTGATAAAGAAACTTATGATTATGGCATCTTGAACTTTTTATTACAGCCTGCTTGAGGCCTGTCTTGAGATCTCAGAAAAGCAGCTTGTCTGCTCATTTTAGGAGGTTGTGTTCTGCATAAGAACTTCAGGGCTGTATATTTTACTTTCAATATTTTAAAGTATCCAAGCTCAGTTTTCCAGAGTTAATAAATGGTTTGATTTTGAAGTGATAGCGTCACTTTAAGAGCTGCGGGATGTCTGATTCAAAAGTCAGAACCCTAAGGTAAAGGTTTTGTTACGAATATATGTGGATACTGTAACTGTGGAGTAACTCGTACCTTCTTCGTGGGATCCTCTTGGAGTTTGGAGAAGTAGAACGACACAAGATGAACAGCAAGCATCTTGACGTTTGACAAACAGCGCTATGAAAACTCCCAGTAGTTTTGTCGAGTCGTCCTCCGTTTTACTGTGAATGTATTTTACAGCTGCACACACTCCAATGAAACACAAACTCACAGTCACTTTGGACTCATATTCAAACACAGACGGGCTATTTCTTTCCTGCTTCCGAGCCAGGGTCGTTTGGTTTTGTTTCAGTCAGTGAGCAGAAAGTAATCTCAGCACTAACTCAATGATTAACTAACCAAACCCTTCTCCCTCCTGTCGTATCACCTGATCTCTCTATCTCTCTGCCCAACCCTGTCCGATTTCTCATGTCAGTTAGTCTCTCCTGACCCACAACAAAGCTTTGCTGGAGCTCTGCAGATCAACAAATGACCAACAATTCACTGATTCATCACTTCCTCAGGTCAGCTCGTAGAAATGAAACAGCAACTTGATATTTCTTATTCACTTTATGACCTCTTTTTACTCCGTACCATGACCAGAATTTAATAATCTGTAACCCGTTTACTTCATGATGACAAACTTCATGCAGAAAACGATCATTTTGTTAAGGAGGTGGACAAAAAGTTGAATAAGTTGCTAATAAGCTGCTGTGCAACTGTGGCCTTGTCAAATATTGTGTAAACAATTCAACAATGTGACATTTTTCAAATTTGGGGGGACAGGACAGTAGAGAGAGTCAAAAAAAGAGAAAGCACAGTGAGAAAGGACTTGTGACAAACAGCCATGGTTGGACTGATACCTCAGTATTTGGGTCCTGTGATTTCACCCCTGAACTCACCCCTTGTCTCATTTTAAAGCTTTAAATGAGCAGTGGGTTTTCGCAGTGAGGGTTTTTCATCTTAACTTTACATTTCTTTGTTTTTCATGGCTGCTTTTAAAAATATGAAGATAAACTCACGACATTTAAAACATAAATGCTTTTTAATGAACTAAATAGAAACAAGAAAAAAATATGGTATCCTATCTTCATTTACACCAGCAATGTCTGGTGCTCTTTTAGTTTATGGTGCTAATAACCAAAGACCTGTCAGATCAGACTTATGCTGCTTAGATGTTTTAATTTACAGTTTACAGAGCAAAATGAAGGTCAACTGACTCCAGCCTAGTCTTGACAGGGTCCAATTCAGTACTGACAGACTCTAGTCCAATGCTGACAGACACACTGGGGGCAGTTTAAGGTGATCCCTGCTTGGCCTTTTTTAAACACTTCTAAAAGGGTACCCCCTCTCATTTCATGCTCATGTTCAAGCAGGAAAGTCTGACAGGGTCCCTAATCTTTCAGCAGTGCCAAAAGAGCATCTTAGTTCACAGTCATCCACATAAACTAGATTTTTTTCCAGCTCAAGTTACAAAAAATATTTGAAGCACAGTTAAAACAGTAAATGACATGATAACCCTTCAATAACATGTTTTTGGTGTTGGTCACAGCTGCAGCTTCACTGATTATGTTGTCCACGATTCCCATTAATTTTGATACTTTAGTGCTTTTAAGTTTACATAGATCAGATTAAACCCTTTTTATTTCAAACAAACCTCCAGATCATCTCTTGGGTTTAGATATCTGGTTGCAAAAAGTCTAATCTTGGCTCACACATGAAGTGACACATCATTATCGTCTCTTTCATTTCTTCTTCTTCCTCCTTCTCCCTTTCATCTGTTCATCTGTCTGAAGTACCCCCTGACTGTCTTCAGACCACTCCTTCTGCAGCTGACGGAGCAGTTCAGGTGTTAACAACCCTTCTCTCACAAGCCGCATAGTGAGGGAGCTCATTTCTTTCGGACCCCTTTGACTTTTGCCTAGGGTCAATTTGTTTTTGCCGGCGGCCTCTCCAGTCATGGCCGGGTCGGTGGCCTTGATGAGACGGGTGATGTTTTGGACACCCTGTTGAATGATGTTATCAAGTTCTTTCTGGATTTCTCTCACAAGGGTTGTGTCTGGAAACATGTCCATGAAACGGTAGCTGCAGGAGAACAGACGGAGAGAACAACAACGAGGATCAGGGTGGCAAACTTTGAAAAATCCTCATCATCTTTTTTTAAATGACAGGTGCAGGAATTTACCTTAACCAGAGGTAAAGGTCTAAAACATCATGAACAGCCTCCAGGTGAACCAGGTCCTTGATGTTTTTTGGGGCAGCCAGAGGCCAGCTGATATGGCGGCAGATCCAATCAAATGTTAGGGGCTCCTCTCGACTGAACTGACGAGCAAACTAAAGCAGAAAAGAGATTCAGATTAATACAAGTAAGCTAAGCGTCAGCCCATGTCAGAACAGCACAAGTTTGATCTGACAGATTATTAGCATTAAAAGCTTTAAGAGCCCAGTTTGCAACTAAATAAAACAACAGGACATGTCTTTAAATGCTGCCTTCAGCTGTGTCAGTGTCTTATCATCACAAATACAGGATACAGGCCCAGAATGAACACAGAACTCAAACTATGCCACTTACAAATATCAATAATGATCAAGTTTCTCTGCTTTATACACCACAGACACCACACTAGGTTATCATTTGATAGTAAATCTCAAAGGTTGGATGCAAATTGATAGTGGATTTAGTTTTATCAGTGTTATTAAACCATAAAGTGAAGGAGCACTCCTCATACTAACAACTCTCTTCTTTTTCTAGAATCACAGACAATATGAAAAGGTGGATGACATGACTACTGCAGAAGATGATGCCAAAGACATTGGTGCTCCACTCCTCCATGTAACCAGATGGCACATGGGTCAAACTAAAAAACTCTTAATAACATATAACTTTTCTTTTGTTAAAGTTAGGTATCATGTTTAAATTATCAACTATTGTTTTCTTAAAGTTTAGTTTCCATCAGTTATTTGGGTTTGTAGCATTAATGTAGACAACCCTGTTGACAGCTCCTCTAGGGCTGTGTGCAAAATCTGCAGAGAAGAGAGAGAACGCTGAGAGCAAAGCTAACAACTAACACAAAAGTCCCTTAACTTTAAAAAAAAAAAAAAAGGAGTGTTTGCTAAAAATGGACTTGAAGAGCTGTGACACTGTGGGCTGTGGCCCCCCTGTGGGGTTTTTGCAGTTTTATCAGTGAGTTTAAGGTGTGGTTTTGATCCACAGAGGCGGCAAGATGTCATGATCTGACCCATACTGCCCAGACACTGCAAATGCACAATAAGTCACTACCCATAGCAAGGGTATTTTGGCTTCACCTTTGCACAGCAAGAAATAAAGACACACTCTCTATCTTTGAATACAGCCTGTAAAGAAAGTATTTTTTGTGATGAACAGAATAAATTTGACCATAAATCAAAAGATCTTCACCTTCAGGAAGGAGGTGCACACAAAAGGCTGTTTGTTGATGGGAGCGGTACAGAAGACGTAACGTGCCCTCAGGTTGAGCGGGATGTGCTGAATCATGTCAGCCAGAAACTTCAAGTCGTCAATGTTGCAGACGAAATACAGCCCTTCCACCTGAGAGAGGCTGACGAAGATGTCCTGCAGGGAAGAAACCAGAGGGGTGTGAGGTGGAGTTGATAAGCCTACACACACTTCCACATGATCAGCTCTTTTTGAATAAACTTCAGTTTAAACCAGAATAATGTGGAATTATTTCAATAACGGTAACAAAGCTGTAAATTCATTTAACTTAGGTCTGCAGCACAACCAGCAAGTGTTTACACAAAGGTGACATTTGTGAATCCTCAGCAAGTAGGCTGAATTGTCTTAATCCAAATATGATTATCAAATGCTGCTCATAAAGTGTACTAAACAATGGGGAAATTAATGAACAGATATCTTTACTTACAAGTAGGTTTGACAGTGTAGCATCAGGTAGATGATAGGCAAACATCTCTATCTGCTCTGCTGTGGGATGTAGACCTGCAGTCTGAGACAAGAAAAACAGAGCGTCACATCGAGAGCATCATTTTTGCACTTTATTTTAGTGATAGAATACACACTGAAGCTGAGGTTTACAGAGTTTTACAGTTTGTTTGAGTGTATGTTTCACCTCTATGGGATCTATAGAGTGGCTGAGTATTTCTTTGAGAACAGGCAGATCATCTCTCTGCATGGTGGTAACTTCTCCCTCTTTGAACATGGAGGAGAACCTGAGAGAAGAGACAAGTTTAAAACAGAAGCTCGACAAAAAGTCGGTAACTTCTAAATACCTTTACTTCCTCTGAACATAAGGAGTAGAAATGTGACTAACCTCCCTGCACGGCCGGCGATCTGCAGAGCTTGTGATGTGCTGATGGTCTCCATCTGCTTCTCTCCTTTCTCATTAATTCTAGGTTTCGAGAGCGTGTTGAAGATGACTCGCTTTATACTCCTGCGCAGAGGCGGGACAACCGTGGGAAATAGAGAGACATAAACACGGCAGGGGATCATAACGATTTCTCAGCTAAAACTTCAATCGACACAGACTGCTTTGAGTCAAAGTTAGGAAATTTTGACTTTGGTGACCCCTAGTGGGGAATGCAAAAAATGCCAGTTAACTACAAAGCTGCAAAGTAACAAACTTTCCTGATAGACATGAAGGGTTCAACCTGGAGAAAGGTTCCTACAGGGATGGAAAGAGTACCAAATATTGTACTCCAGTAAAAAACTATCAGTCTGTTAATCTACTGATTAAGCTTTAGTTGAATTGTACTCAAAGTATTGAGTACTTCCTTTTGACACTAGGCTGTAAGAGTGGGCAGAAGTGACATCCCCCCCCAACTGCAATATTACAAAAAGCAATTTTTTCCAAACTGACAATAGTGATATAAAAATCAGCATTGATGTGAGAAGCGATATGACTCTGAATAGTTTTGCATTTTTGCACTTTGTTGATAGTTCATGAAAATTCAAATCATTGCTGACTTTGCAGAGAAGCTTGTTCTTACAAACAAAAAACAAGAACTTTTCTGACCAACCAAGTGTAATGACATCTTTTCACTGAAACTACTCAGAAAAGAAGTGGTCCAGGTCAGTCGCAAAGTCATCTGTGAGCCCCATTACACTTGGTATTCTTCTATTCAGGTTTGGAGGCAGTAATGAGGAGAGTCTGAAATTACTTACAGATTAAGGCCCATTCCAATGGCGTCTGTAGCCACCAATATCTTGCAAGGGTCTTCTGGATCATTAAACTTTTTGGCCTGTGACAGTTTGGTGCCTGCAAATCAGAGAAAAAACTTCCTATAGTGTCTGTGAAAATGTCTGAATACGACACATAGGAGTTTCTACCAACCAACAAGCTTAAATTATCACAGAAAGTTAAATATAAACACTTCATAATCAAAGTTTGTATTTGTTTAGCTGTAACAATCATCCAAGTGGACATATCAGGTCATAAGTGACAGAAACATACAGCACATCCCTCCACACACAAACTGACCTGGAGGTAAACTCCCATAAATGACGGCACATTCGAGTCCTCTGGCCTCGATCTGCCTGCTGATGGAGTAGATGTCATTCTTACTGAAGCAGACAACACAGTCTCCTGGTCTCAAGTTGTCTAATGACTCCACAGCATAATCGAGGATTTTGAATGGAGTCAAGCGCTGGTAGGTGTTGATCTGAGGACAGAGAGATAAAGCCAAGACTGGAATCACTGGACTGACCCTCCTCTCCTCTCCTCCTGCTGCTGGACCACATACATATTACACACTCACCTCCACCTCCTCTCCGGTCATGTACATCAGCTCTCTGATGAATTCTATGGCTGAAGGTTCACCACACACATGAATCTCCTCTGCACACAGACCTACAAACACACAGAGGGTTTAATAAGTGTAAACAGAAAAGATATGTGCCAAATGTGTATATGTTAGTTTTGATTTCTGCACAAATGTTACAAGCGGGTCCAATGAAGTGATTAGTAAAGATTTGTTCAAGGGCTGAATAAATCACAGAGCAAAATGGAGAGTCACAAGGTCTAAGATAAGGCAAGAGGTCCTGTGAGTGTGTGTGTGTGTGTGTGTGTGTGTGTGTGTGTGTGTGTGTGTGTGTGTGTGTGTGTGTGTGTGTGTGTGTGTGTGTGTGTGTGTGTGTGTGTGTGTGTAAGACTGGTGATACAAACCTAGCAGAGCTCTGGTCCAGGCCCAGCCTCTGGATATATCTCTGATCATTTGAATTTCATCAATTACAGCCACTTCATCTGAACATAAAAAAGTGATCATATTTTATTCAAATGAGACCAAAACTCAAACACAATTTCAAATGTGATGCTCAGCAGAATACTGGTGTCTCTTACTCTTATGATTTTTAAATGTTTCTAGGCGCCACGTTTACTTACAAGGAGTGGTGACACTGGACATCTCGATGGTGCAGGCCACATGATTAGCCGCTCGACCATCTGAGTCCATGTAGGTCCTCTCCTCTCCAGTGATCAGATCACATGGCACACCCTGGGAGAACAAACACACACAGAAATACACATGCAGGACAATAGTAAACTGTAATGTATTTAGTTTTGTGTATGCACTTAAAAAACAAAACAAAACAAAAACATTATTTATAATTACAGACACTTTAAAATGATCAAAATCAATGCTGTACACTCAAAGATATCATCTTTTTATAATAAATACTTTTTCTGTTTTAAAAAACTAGAGTGTACATTACCCACAATGCAACTTTACACTAATGATTAAGCAGAGAGAGTGGTTTATCAGAGCACAGACATACAGCATTGTTGCTCTTCTCAAAGATCTCGTGGGCCAGCAGCTTCAGGGGACCACAGTAGACTGCAGACTTGGCAGTCAGGAAGCGCTGGATGGCGTGATATGTTTTACCGCTGTTAGTGGGACCAGCGTGGAAAATAATCCTTCTCTGGATCGCACGAGCCTCTGGGTACCTAGAAAAACAATCATATGTACACATTTCTCCAACCAAACACCAAGTAATGCTGCACGCAAGGAATGGCACTAGGATCAATTTGGCAATAAGATATGGTAAGATAAGCTAAGTATATTGTCTATTCTAAAAGAAAACAGCAGTTCCTCTTTGACACGGTTTCATCACATGATGAATGACTTTTTGTGAATGTTTTCCCTGGGCCAGTTGGGTTCTGTACTCTCTGTCTGATGGCAGCAGCATGAAGGAGTGGCGCGGGAGTGGGAGGGGTCCTCAGTGATGTGGGTGGCCTTCCTCACCACTGAGCACCTGTACAGTTCAGTTAGAGGGAGTTGGGCTGTTCTGGTTATTTTTCTGGCCTGATTTATTATGTGGGAGAGTTCTGTTTTTGTGGTGGTAGTGAGGAAGTTGAACCAGGATGAGATATTTTAGATGAGAGTGGATTCAATGAGCGATATGTAGACATATCTGTTAAAACATAGCCTCGTACTGATTATTGTAACACTGGTGTCAAATAGGATCCACATTTTAGATTTTTAATAATATTCTGATTCAAATCAACTTCCTTTTAATTCAACTACCTACTTCACTTCTTGATGACTCTGATCAGAATACTTTTATCCTCAGTAATTCAGTCATTACAGCAGTACACTTGCTCTTGATTATACAAATATTAATGGAAGGAGAATAGAAATAGGAATAATTAAGATTTGATAAGAAATCGCAACAGTTGGTAAAAAGTACCAGATATTAGATTATTATAATTTTATATTATTATTATTAGCTATTTCTCCCTTTTCTAGTCTCAGTTAATCAGATACCATGATGTATTAGTTAATGGTTATCTTGCATGTTATCAAATATCATAGAATCTCTGTCATGTAATAGACACTGTTGTTATCATATTGTAGTGTGAGGTGCCCTTAAATTCCCACCCTATTGTACCTGCACATCTAAACAACAATCTGGAGGTTCAGGTGTGAACCACTGCTGGCAGCAGTTATTTACTCTAATGTTTCATAGATACAGAGATTTCTGGATCCCACTCTTGAAGACGTACCAGTTAGCCGGGACTCTGAGGTCTGAAATCTTTCTCAGGTCGTCCATACAGTCCAGCATGGGGAAGATTTGCTTGGCATGACGCATGAAGTATGGATAGATGTCATCTACATGACCTGATTATAAAAAAAACACTAAAATGAGCCAATATCTTTTTCATTGGTGTTGTAGATTAATGAGACGCTGTTCTGTGGTGTAACTTTAAACGTACAAACCTGCTCCGTAACAGATGTCACTGAGGATGATGTGCAGGTCAGCGGGGAGAGATGTATTCTCCAGGACGTACTTCCTGAAGTTAATGAAGGCTTGGTGGAACAGGCGAACTGTAAACACAAAATAAAGGAGACATAATCATACAAAGCATGGTTGTTAGATTGCCATCTACCCTGCAAATTTACACATAAAAACTCAGAGAACTACCATGTGAACTCCTGTCTATGCCAATGGGAGCACATTTGGTTTGGTGTGTCATTCAAGGACAGTTTGGACCATAGACAGTAAGAGCCTAAGACACAGCTCTAAGCTTGTTGGGGATGACCTGATCTTCCTGAATCACAGCTGCTCAAGCCACTTATAAGTCAGTCAAATAACGCGCCATCCCAATCCCGCCAAAGATACTGTGTAAAATATGGATAAAAACAGAGTTTGATGGTTTGACGATCATTTGAAAGCCTACGTCTGATAGAGATCCAAAGTTCTTCCCCCTTTATATAAAGATCTGTGTTGATTAAAACATATCCTTGCCAATAGGCATCTCAAAAAGAAAAAAAAGGAAAAAAAACAATTACCTTTGTTTTTCACATGACTAATACTGTATCAGATTGACTCACAAGCTTTTACAACAACTTTAAATATGTTAAAAGTTAGAAAACCTACTGAGAGGCAGAAAGGGAGATCAGTAGCAATAATAGATGGAAAGAGTTCAAATTCTGAAGTCTGTATGATTTTGGTTTTAGTTCGGCTGTAATCCTACATCAGGTAAGAATGGGACAACATTTCAGTTTTTAAATCCAGAAACTGGTCTGAATGGCCTCCAGGGTTAATGTAGGGTTGTCAAAAGAAGAGCTGCTGGTGGGGCACCTCTGGCCGAGCACACCACATTGACAGGATCCTGTCTCTCTTCAGCTGTCCTACCTAATAAAGGCAAAAATGCTTGAACAATACAACTTAAAAAAAGGGGGGATGGTGCAACCCAATGGCAAACACGTCCCCATCCAAACTACTTTAAAACATTTTGTTGCCATTAAAATAAAAATGAGCAATATTAAAAATCTCCTTTGAGGGTCTTTTTGGCGTTTATGAAAAGGTCTGAAATTCATACAGATGCCTTTCAATGATACACAAAAGCAAACAAAACCATCAGCCACAAAACAGACGATTTGTTGACTGTAATTTTCTATGCCTAAAAGTGGTGTGAGGGGGTAGGTGTCTGCTGAGCATCTGTTTTTACACAGCTCCTATAAAATATTCACTATAAATGATAGACTTGACTGTGAAAAGTCTGTAAGATGAGATTTTACATGAGGAGATGCTACTTTAGCATGTAAGGAACAACATAGACAAAGACTGCTCTGTCCACAGGAGGCACTGAAACTGACCTCAGAAACAAGGTTGAATGTCATTGTTGGAGCATTAAAATGATGACATGTTAGAATCTTAAAATCCTCTACGACAGATTAGTTGGTAAAAGCACCAGTGATGAGCAGATTGGGAAATAAACGACCTGGTTTAAAAGTAAGAAAACAATGTAGTGATATGATCATGTGAGGTAACTTCTCACCATCCAGGCCAGCGTCTGCTGCCAGCTTCTGCATCTCCTTCCTCTTATAAAACCTGTTCAGAAGTTTCAGCAGTTCATCTGAATCACAGACATAAAGAAAACAAGCGTCAGATAATCCAGAGGAGATTTAGAGAGAGGTTATTTCTTCACTTGTACTCACGGAAAGAAAGAAAGAAATACACACACAGTTAACGTTCAGACAGCTATTGTTCTTGAAACACCTGACATGAACAGTTTCACTTTTCTGAAGTTCATGAGAAATCTACAAACTCAATTCAATGTGACTGTAGTAATGATGATGAAATGAGGTTAATGGACTCACTTTTATCCAGTGGTTGTGCCAGCTCTGCTCCCACACTTCCATCTGCGGAGTTATCAGTCTTCAGAGACACAGGGACAAACAGAGAGGTGTCCGGAGGTTTTGTCGACGAGCTGTTAGAGGACACACTCCTGCTATAAACCACTGATCCAGCCTGTTGTTTCTTTTGTAATAAAGCAGGCTCTGGAGACACATGACAACGACATGCGAAGATAAAGGCGGCAGTCCGGGTGTTCATGTGGCGGTGTAGCCGCGAAAACAAACACAAACTCCTGTTTAGAGACATAGTTTGGAGTCCTTTGAGTCCCCGGTGAGAGAACCTTCTGTTTGTTATGAATAAAAACCTTTACGGTCGCTCCATGCCGTTCAACAGGTTTACATGTGTGTATAACACTCTAATAGCTTACATAGAGGACGGTCAACACACCTCTCTTCCTGATGATACAACGTGGGACAGGACCCAGCTACTGTTTAGCTGCCCACAATTTTTGCCTGTGTAAATATTGAGCGTAATCTGTCTACATTAAAAATGTATGGGAAGCTGGTGAGACTGTATTTTAAAGGTACATAACATTAAGTTAAACATAATTAAAAACCAATATAATTTTCACAACATAAAGCAAAGAAAGTAAAGTCTATACAGGCAACAATGGACACGTTTTGTGGGGAATTCAAAGATCGTATACACAAGAAGATGTCCCTATTCGAGTGCCTCCGTGAATGTACCATAGACTGTATCTATTCGACTGCCTCCGTGAATGTACCATAGACTGTATATAGAATGGACAGCGTCTGCCTTCCTGATGGGTGAAGCCACTCTGAGAACAGTACCCTCTGTTGACGGGCTGCAGTATAGGTCATAAACCCTGCCTCCTCTAGCAAAGTTTATGGGGCTGTGGACAAATTTAGAAATTCATTACACAGAACATAAATTTTTTCTCCCCTCTGCTTGCGGTGTTGACATGTAGTTATACTAAGACTGGTTTGTGCTCAAGTCCTCTTTTTACTGTGGAGCTCCGTTTTTAAAAGTTATTAGGGGGTTCATGTTTTCTTTGATTGACACTTAATACAGCCTATTGGCGTTCAGGGATTGCGTAGCTCACCCTGGGATTACGCTGTTTGAGCCGAGAGTCATTACAACGACTCTCGGCGACTCTCCCACCGAATGCACACAACGCTACTACGCAGGGCTGGTTTCAGGAAATGAAGAAAAATCCTGGAAATACCGAGGGCTTTTTGGCTTCAAATCCGTACACAGGCGGTAGGCGGAACCAAGTTTTCCATAGTATATACAGTCTATGGAATATACCCTTTATAGATGATCTTTGACTGTAATATGGTAGATAAATTGTGGTTCTGTACTTTAAAATTCATTTTAACTAGCTATTTAAAATCTTTGGATTTTATTACTGTTGTAAACCGGATAAGCAGTTGCATATACCTTTCCACGGTGAGAAAAGGATACATGTCGACATTATATGTATACATATATATATATGCCTCTCTTGTCAACCGTGTTTGAATACCATCAACTTTTTGTAGTTTAATTTATTCATAAATGTTATTTAATTTTTTAACATTATCTTCTTAAGCAGTAAATTCTATCAAATGTCAATTTTCCAACAGTATTGTAAAGCAGAGTATTGCACTTCTTTTCTAAATCAATGAGATAAGTTTTCGGAGTATCAAAATGACAAGATAATTATCTCACCAATTCAGAAAACAGAAACATATGTATTCAGTTTTATTTGCCATAATTTCAAGACCACAATCTCATCAATCATGTAGATTTAAAAAACTAACAATTCTCGTAATACATAAATGATTATTTCGTTGATCCAGATAAACAGAGCTATTTCTGTGTTCATAACATGTTAATAACTCAAAAATAATTATCAGTGGTCTCCCTGGACCCTAGAGCAAAAAATGGAGGCCGTCACCCCACTGGATGAAAGCAGCTTTTTGTTCACTCCTCCTCAGTATCTTTAGGTGCTTTTTAAGTGGTACGTGTAAACTTTAAAAGAAAGAGCATTCTCTGAAATACATTCAGTATAAATTTTCTTTATTCAGGATTCATTTTGAGCTATATATTTGGGTTCGGTGTATATACACATTATCATACACACACATACACACTCACACATTCATGGCATGATTGGACATTGTGAACAGATTAACATGCAGAGGATGAGAGGGGGTAGAGTCAAGACATTTGAGTGTTACTTCATCACTTTGTGATGGTACCAAACAAACATGTACAGTGTTCAGAGACACAGTCTGACGAAATGAGGAAACCGTTCCTTTAAAATAAATACTACAGCTTCCAAATAAAGAGACAATCAGAGTGCAGGGTCCAAACATAGATCTGTAACAGCAGATGTGCCCAGAGGTTCATGAAATGTCATATATAACATGATAGCTTAACTCAAACACAAGAGAAAACAAAATATTGTACTTATTCAGTTAAATTCAAACTAGTGGTGATTTCCAAATGACAGAATTGTTCTCTCTACAGACACAGAAGATCTCTGAGGTGAAGTTATCCTTGAGTGATAATACGTTTTAGCTTTCATGCTCCTTTTATGACAAAGTGAAGCATTATTGGGAAAAGTGCAAAACTGGCCACAGATCAGAGTTTAAGAGCAAATTCAACCAACATGAGTCAAGTATCGTCATCACACTGTGTGTACATGAGTGTTCGTCTTTAAAGCAGGACCTAAACTGCCTGTCTGAGCATCACAGTGGACAAATGCTGAATTTACAGTGTTTGATTCTGAAACCTCGCCAGTGTTTACAACAGCAGATAAGAGTTTAGTAGTGTTCTTCTAAAACAGACAGAAAAACGAGCTGCATATTGTTCGACATGAAAGTCTGCCGACAATATCGAGCCGAGCAAAATTTCTCCACTGAATTCTTGCAAATGTTTACAGAAACCATGTTAAATGTAACCGTTATGTCCCCATTTTTCTACTTCGGGCTGGGAATTTATTGCACTGATGTGAATATGAGACAGAGTGACCTGTGAACTGAAACAGGTTCAGTTTACATATAAACCGCAACACAGAATGATTAAATCCACATTTTGAGATATCTATCTCATTCTTTTCAATTACTTTCTTCAACCCATTTGAGTGTTGAAACAAGTGAACTCAAACTTCATGTAGATTCAAATAAGCCTCACACTTGGAAAAAAGATTTTGCATGTACTGAAACCTTTAAAGGGCAGAAAATGTAACCTTTCTAGTGTTCAGTCATTCAGTCAGAGATTACCTGATAAACCTTTAAATAAAAACTGCATTAAATAATTATCTGAACTGCTGAGCTCAAAAATTCTCCACCGTCATTGACTCTCACTGTTCGCTCTGGGAACTGATTCTCTGATAAGAACATGAAACTAATTTGCAGCTATTTTAAAATGCAATGAGTTGCTTAAGCTGTTTTTCTTCCGTGTGTATATTGCAAGTAAATCTTTAAAATGTAAATTAAACTTGGAACAACTCTATTTAGCTTAAGGCAGCTGGACAGAGAAAAGATAAGTAGATGTCACTTCGGTCTCTGAGGAATCACAATGGACCCATTTCATATTTTTCTGACATCTTATAGACTTAACCGTAATGTGATGTGAAATCTGCAGAGTCATAAATCATGAAAATAATTACAAGTTGCAGCTCTGACAGAGTTTTTACCATTAAATACTGGTTTCTTTTAAACAATATTGGAAATATGATGAGATGTGGACTGGAACATATAAGAGGATGAAATACAAGATTAAACGAATGTTCAGAGACCCACATTTGTTACCTTGATCTCTCAAGCAAACATAACCATGGACACAGCAACCTGTTGCTTTATCATCATAGTCTGAACTCCGGCACTGTGAATAAACAGTGTGTGCGTGTGTGTTTGGACTCCTTGCTAAGTGTCCTCCATTCAGGCTGATGTCCACATGTCTTGAATACTTTCATTAGTTTGCTGACTCAATAGATTGTCATTTTAGTGTTGACAGGAAGGATACTGAAGAAAGCTCTGGAAAACTGTTGATCAAATATGCAAAAACAAGTTCCTGTTGAGGATGATGGGTATACTGGGAGTGGGGCTCCTCTGTGGCTGTCTCGTCTTTTTTTTTTCCAGCGAAGCTCCTGTTTTATTTTGTTTTCAGCAAACTGCAGACAAAAACTTTTGGCTTCATGTGTGTGTGCATATTTGCAGTTGTTGCAGAGACGTTGGGGTTGAATAGGCAGCCTCATGAATCCAAACTCAGATTGGTGTGATTTGCCTCGACATTTAGCGCTCGGCCTCCTTGGTTTGCATTCATTGATTGGATTCTTGTGCATCTGTATGCGAGTGCATCCGAGTCCTGAGGGACAGCGTGATGGGGTCGGACAGCTCGCGTCTGAAGCTGTGAAGCAGTGGGGAAGGGGGCCAGTGTCTGAAGGTGTGTCATGTGTGTTCATGTATACAGACATTTCTCAGTCCAGGGGGCGGAGGGTGGGGCGGCCCTCACACTTCTGGCTGTTCAGCAGTGAAGACTTGCGGTGTGTCTGTGTGTAGTTTCAGTTCTCTGCAAGGCTCTCACATCTCTGGCTGCTCTGCAGTAACTGGCTGGGGTCGGGGCTCCGGAGACTCGTAACGCTGATGAAAGTTTCTTTTCCTCAGCTTCTCTGGAGCTTTTCTCCACAAAACAATCTCCTTCATGCGGCAGAAGGGGAGACGATGAAAGAAAACAAACATCAGTGCAAACCTAATATTTACATGTCAACAAACAAGTGCTTACAAAAGTAGATAACCAAGACCAAAATAGAACACAGGATCGAACACGCTGGAGCCATAAGATCAACAGGTGGGTCTCACAGAGGTTTGTGCAGTGTGAAGACTACGGACTGAACTTTGGAGACTGATGTGCATGTTTCTTTTATTTTGAAGTGTTGTAAAGCTATTTTTGCCTTTAAATTTAATAGTTTGAGTGGTTAACTTTGACTTATTTGCCATATTTCTTAGTTTAACAATACAAGCCTTACAAGCCTTGACATAAAAATGATATATTTTTTTTCTTTGCTGCTTATCAGCATCAGAAAGTTTGAAGTTGCACAAAACAGAGTAATCCTTTTTTTCAGCTGGTGGACTGGTATAAGCGCAGATTTTACAGATTTATTTGAGGAGTTAGAGTCAAATAAAGAGTTAAGGTGTCGTGTGGAGTTGTCATGAACATCTAAGAGTTAACCACAGTGCTTTGCTTAACAGCCTTAAAAAAAACACAAATGCTTTCACTGCATCTCCCTTCACACAGAGGCAATTAGAGACATGTACCTTGTGCTCATGTTATCTATAAGCACTTTTTCTGATATTAGAAATAAGACCCACTTGTGATAATATAGCCCCAACGTCTTACTTACACTGCGTCATTCAAAAACAAAACAAAACATAAAAGATCTTCGATACAAATGCAAATAGACATAACTTATGTAATACGAAATGTGTATCTTAGTGTGCTGGAGAAACAACAGACATTAGCTCGCTGATGAGTAACACTTCTGCTGTGGGTGCAGGTTTGTTACCTGTTGTTTGAAGTATCTTCTGTCCTCTTCATCCACCAGCACCAGATTCAGGAAGAAACGGACAGAAAACTTCTTGTTGACATCTCTCATGGTGGGTGTCAGGTCATATCCTGTAACAAAACACAAGTTTTCATATGATGCCAAATGGACTGTGTTTACTAAATATTCTGTTCAATGATGAGAGCATTCAAAGTCTTTAAGTAATTACTCCTAAATGTAAAGAAGAAGAAGAAAAAACATTCTGCATGTCTTGTGTGGGTACATGTGCAGCATTAGCATGTCACTAACGCTACAAGTGCATACATCTGTGTGTGTGTGTGTGTTTGTGTTTGTGTGTGGGTGTGTAGAGGAAAGGCTGGGCTGGCTAGTGTGCCAGAAAAGTGATAGCGACTGATAGCACTTCCTGAAGCCTCATATCAGGGTGACACAGAGGAAGATAAGGAATTACCTGCGAGAAACAATCGGATGGGGATTGATTCTCCTTTAACTGGAGCACCGTCCATGATCTCATACTTCGCAACCGTCTCTGTTTCTGTGGTCGTACTGGGACCTGAAAATGAGGACAACATCTATGTTAAGTGAGCCATATAGAAGGCAATGAAGTGAAGCAAAGCTGAAGGTCTGAAATCCTCTGGGGATGTAAACACTGTGCAGAGAAGAAAGCGGACAGCATTTAAAAGGTAGAAGAAAAAAATCAAAAATTTGATGATTTACAAAAACCACAGTTACAAATCTAGTAGAGTCATGCTGCTGGTCAATTAGCATCTAAGTTTCTGATCTATGTTGGTTTGGTTCTATTTCACACCCACGGGCAGGATTGTTACCTATGCCTGTTATCTCCTTCTTGATGAGCTGCAGCTCCATGTGTTGGATCTTGATCCTGACCAGCAGGAAGTAGATCTTCCCAACAATCACGTCCTTCAGATGGTATCTAAAGAAGAGTTACAATGAAAAGCTGCTCAAACCAAAGTGCAGTCAGTTTTTCTTCTTTCTATTTGTGGGACAGTACATTAGCACTGATAAGGGACACTGTTCTTACTTTGACTTGTTGTATTCAAACTCAATGTGCAGACAGTCTTCTATGCCGACCTCCATCTTGATTGAGTTGTTGACATCTGGGTAGGTGGCTAACTGGTGAACAATCAGCTCGTATTCTTTCACTAAATCAGACAGACGGCGGACTATTGTCACCCTGAGGAAATACCTGCAGGAACACAAACAGACAACACGAGCTGTGAGAGTCACAGAACTGGCCAGGACAAGCAGCAAAGAGGTTTTATCCTAGTTTGGTCAGAGCAAAACACTTTTCTTTCCAAACCGAGTTGGTGCTGGACTATTAGATAAGTTACATCATTCAAACATGGCTACAGCTAAATATTACTTTAGTTTTTGGTGACCAGACTAAAACATGAAACATTTGTAAATTTGAGAAGTGTCTTAAAATCATAAGCTGTCTGACAAGCAAATGGTACTACATTTCATAAGAGGGACATTTGGGAACCTTCAGCTGTTAGATGATAATGATTTTTTTGTTCTAATTAAGTGAAAAGATTGTCAATAAATTAATTGATAGTTTCTGTATTACTGATACCAGCACTGATACCACCATGAATATTCATTTATTCATACCTGTTTGCAGTTTTTTCTTGATGTTCACACACAGAAAGAAAAAGTCAGAAGATGTACGTCAGAAAAGCTGGCTGGCAAACAAAGCCAATCAAAACCTTATCGTGTTATACAGTAGACCCCAATGTGATTCATTTAGCAATAGAACCAGCAATGAGCTACAACTTCTTAATAAGCAACAATTTTAATGTCTATTTATCCTCATATGGTTCCTCCAACCACACCTGATCTGCTACTCTAGACTGACAATACTGTTGCAAACATCTGCTGCTCTAGTCATTTCCGGTCAAGGTAGCTGCTTTGCAACATGTACATTCAACTCAATGTTTATATTCATCAATCCATCAGAGAAATAAGAATCAATCAACAGCTGCTTTGATGGCCTATGTAATACAAAAAAGACCATCCTTGGTGTCGTTATTTCATGTTATCAAGAGCACCTCAGCAGAGCGAACAGAAACAGTTCCAAATGCCTGTGCTGTTCAATTACATGTCGACACTTTGCACTAAAATCCTGTGGTTTGTTTAAATGGACAGTTGTATTAGTAAATATACCTTAGCCTAACGTTGGCTCCAGTGTAGGACTCATAAGGCTTCTCCACTTGCATGAACTCAAAGTCGTAGCTCCTGTTCTGGGCGAGCTCTCCAGGTAGAGCCAACTCTTTCACCAAGTCCACAAACTCGTGGGTGTTGCTCTTGTCGGAGAAAAGCTCTGGAAAAAAGTCAGACAGCAGGGTGGATTTAAGATAGTTAGTGGTCTGTACGGTTTTTAAGCCACACTTTAAAAAGTTTAACTGTACTTGTTTTATTGTATTATTGCATACTCTTTCAACACACTGCTTTCATTCTCCTCCTCCTTCTGTAAATACAGACGGAGGAGTTAACTCCACCATTGCAGGCTGCACATGACAACCACATGCTCTGCTAAACCCTTTTAACCACATGAGAGAGCCAACAGCCTATTGTTGACATGCAGTTTTACAGCTGTAAAAACCAAAGCACTCTGTGCAATTCCTATATTTCACAGTTAATTACACAAGAAGATCTACAGATTGTAATAGTTAAACAGAAAATATCCATCATGACTGTTGCATTAGCACAGGAATAAAAGAGCTAATTATGCTTTGAGATGATAATTTTATCTACACATGCTTATTAACTCTTGTGAAAGTCAGAGTAATACAGACATGTCATAACAGAGAGATTTATCAGCTCACCTATCTGTCCAACAAACTCTATGCGGATACCCTGATGCTCCAGACGCTTTCCTCCCTGCTTCACATTCAGATTCACCTAAAAAGGCAAAAAAATTCACTGTATGACACATCAAATGAACAAAAACCCATGTATGAAAAAATTATATGCTACTATATGACATAAAATACAAATAAAAAAACGTTGGCTGGCGCTGCAATCATAAACATTCTAGTTAAGTTCTCCTGCAAAAAGGTTAAGCTCTTCAAAAGCACCTCAGTGAAGACAATCATGGCAATACTGCAAGAGAAATTATTACTAGAAAGCCTCTGTTATCACTTAAAGCTGATATAACGGCTGATACATCCTCAGAATCATAAACATGGATGCTCTACTTCCTCCTGAAGTCAGGACAAGTCTTGCACACACACACACACACACACACACACACACACACACTCATAAAATTAAGTTTAATTTCCCACTGGGCTCAGTTCAAGAGAAGATCCCAAAATAGACTGCAGAGATGTCCACAGTGTGCTGACTGAGCACTGTTGACTTATATATGAAATGACAGCAAATTTAAATCATGGCCTCTTTGTGTCGAACCTTCGAGGACTCTACCTCCCTCTACACGTAAGAACACACGTAAAAAACACTCGGTTTACCTTGCCAGACACAGACTCTCCATCGTAGAATAGGTAGTGTTTCTCCACTTTTCCATCTTCTGTTTTCAGCTCGGCTGTCTTTCTGTTTTCTGCATCGTTCAGCAGAACGTCTATCTCACAGACCGGCCCAAACAAACCCCCTAGGAAACTCTGTAAACATATCACAGACAATACTATTTATCAAAGAACATAATGATAATTTCCCCACAGCTTACCCATTCTTGAATTGTTAACAATAATAATAATAGTAATAACTTTATTTATATAGCACTTTTAAAAACAGAAGTTTACAAAGTGCTTTGACAACAGTTGCAAAGCACAGAACATCAGCACATGAAAATAAAAAAACAAATAAAAACAAAAGCTCAGTTAAAAACAAGGCCTCTGAATTGAAGGCCAATTTCATTTTTCATAAGAAACCCAGGCAATACAAGACGCCTACGACATAAAATGAGACCATGAGGACCAAAATAAAAACATAAAATAGGTAAGAAGAAATTAAATAGAAAAGGAGGACAGAAAGCAGGAAACAGGATAGGAAGTATAAAAGAGGACATTAATAATGATAATAAAATCATAATAAAATAATAATGATGGTAATATAAATGATAAAATGGAATACTAAAAAGGAGCAGGAAAAACAATAAAATCAATAAATGACCTAAAAGGTAAAATAGGAAAAGATTATAAGTAAAACAAAGGCTAAAAGGATAGTAAGTCGAAATAAGATAAAAGAGGTAAAAGACACAAGAAAAAAGATAAAAGATGGCATCACGTAAAAGTAAGTCTGTAAAAGTGAGTTTTTAAATTTGACTTAAAAGAAGCGACTGTCTCTGCACGCCTTATCTCCTCTGGCAGGTCGTTCCAAAGTCGAGGAGCTCTGATGGAGAAATCTCTATCACCTTTAGTTTTGAGCCTCGACTTTGGAACGACCAGGAGGCCTTCGCCAGAGGATCTGAGGCTGCGAGTTGGCTCATAAGGTATTAATATGTTGTAGGTGATCAGTGAAGTCTTCTAATAATGGAAAGCAAACAAAAACAGAAGGATGTTAAACCTGTTATAAACATCCTGATCTGAGTCTTACACATGTCACTGACACTTTTCAAACAACCATTCATGGCTGTGACAGAACCAAGACGGCTTTCTAGTTTACAGGCTTTTCTTTCAGGTTTGTCAATAAGACGGATTAAGCTGTCAGGTGTGTACCAGAGATATCCACTGTGACCATATAGCAGGAGGGATACATAATCTATTATTGATGATCAGCAGCTACACAAATACATAGTTTTCCTCTAAGCTGGCACACACACATGCTCCTGCATGCAGCAGACCTAAATTTGCCCAATCACTGAGCTGTCAGGAGGGCCTCATGACTGACTGGGCACGAGTTGACTGCTTCAAATCAGTTTCTTGTAAAATAATAATGATACGTGTTTGTAAAGAACAGTAGAGAGAAACCCCTACACCAGATAAACTTCGTAATATTCAACATCAGAATCAATGAACATCAACTTTTAATTTATGCATCTTAACCCTGTTGTACTTGGATCACTCTTTAATGTACACTTTTCTTCGACTTTAACCTTTAATCTTAGAAATATGAGAGTAAATGTCAACAGTTGTTGCTGTAATCCGACATGCATGATGTGAAATACGGTACAACATTACGATAACAAGTCATAACAAAATAAGAAACAAAGCTTTAGTCTTTTTTTTGCCTAAATGCATTTTAAGATACAATAAAAACAAGTCTTAATTACTTTAACACTATGCAAACATGTAGAGTTAGCAGGCGTGTTGTTAGCTATGAGCGAGCAGAGACATATATGAGAGGCGCAGGCAGACGGCCTCGTACCCATGCTAACACCGCTAGCTTTCCTGTCAAACTTTAATGTTCAATCGTAGCTGTTGAGTCAAACGTTAAGCCAATGTTGAAGGTGACTTTTTTAATTAATAAATAACATATTTAATCCCACTAAAGCATAAACAGCGTGAGGTTGTTTTACACTCACCATGTCTGCTGTGTAGACAGTTGAAGCTAACAGCTAGCCCCGCTCCGTGCAGCCTGTCTGTCTGAACCAGGAGGTAGTATCAGAGCTCCACGTCATGTGACCCGGGTCACGTGGTGTGTGTGTGTGTGTGTGTGTGTGTGTGTGTGTGTGTGTGTGTGTGTGTGTGTGTGTGTGTGTGTGTGTGTGTGTGTGTGTGTGTGTGTGTCAAAGGAATAACAATTGGTGCCATTAATGTGGGCACACACTCTTCATAAAAACCGGGTAGGCCTTTATGTTCTCTTGATGTTTTCAGCATTTTAGATGGAGATTTTTTTAACTTTTTTGGTCAAGACTCCCAAAGAAAAATTTGAAGTCTCTCTGGGACCTGAGTGTTCAAAAAAAAAAAAAGTGTGACACCAAATCATCTTATCAATAAAGAGTCAACCCTCAACCTACTAAAAGGTTGAGTGACGGCTACCCACACCGTCAACACTTTGATGAGAAAATTTTACAAATGCTGTTGTTATGCATTTTATTGAACATCACCATGTCAGAAAAGTATTTTTAAAAGGAAAATGAATTCACCTCATTGTTAAGGGGATCAATGTCTTGGACATTTAGGTGAACTGAGAGACAGAGTTGTCACCTGATCCCCACTAGGTAGAAGGTTTGATCGAGGAGAAGCTGTTGGACACCTGATAAACCTAAATGTGTAATGAGAATGAACTAGGAATGTCTGATGGAGGCTCCTGTATATGGTGACTTAAATTTCCCTCCCTCTGGTAAAATCTCTTGTGAACCCAGGGGGGAAGTCGGGGACTGAATGAGCCATGTTCACAGCCTTCATCATGGAAGTTGTGGCCAGAAAGCCATGAGTGCCTGTGATGATGGCAAACTTAGAACCTGCTGGAGGACACAGGCCATAAGAGAGGTCATTATAGACTGAAGATGGGGGGATCTTCTGGACTCAGCTCTATTGGGTCAGCAGACAGGTGAAGATCTGATGGTTGAGTTTGCATGAAGAAGGAGTGGGGAGGACTATGGGAAGGCAGAGGAGAAGTGCTGGAGACCAAGGGACCTCACCTATCCTTGGGCACAGGTCAAGGTTTGTTGAAGTCTGGCATGTAGACCTGAAGTGTGGACAATTACCGCTCTGAGATATTAAGGGGGCTGTTCTGGCTGGCAGGAGTAGGTATGGGAGTCTGCCTGTATAGTCTATACATATCCTTATGACTTGTAGAGGGCTTATGACAAGGCCTCAGGGGGATCATGTGGACTGAGAGGTTCTGAACCTTATGTGACCAAAATGAAGGCTGTGTCTGCATCCTTGGTACAAAGTCAGACATGTTTCTCCAGCATGTTGACCTCTGTAACATGTCCAGTTTGTGGGCCTCAAAATCTCATCTGTTTTTGTAGATGATGATGTGTTGGTGTCTTCAGGTTGAGGCCTCTAGTGGTCAGTGAAGTAGCTTGCGGCTATTTGGAAAGCAGTTGGGAGAATCTTAAGTCCAGGCCATGGCGATCAGCTGGAAAATGGTGGATTGCACCCTCAATATGACAAAGGGGTCTTTACCCAGAGTAGATAGTGAATGAAAGAAGGAGACTGCTGATACTGTTGAAAAAGTTTTCAGGGAGGGGTGGTTGGGTTCAGTCTTTGAGAGGGTGCTTAAAAAAGCTAATCAGTGACCTCTGGTGGACTGACTGAAGGGGACAACTCACCTCAGACTTGCTTTGCCATTTTTTTCAACCCTTTCTTGTTTCTCATCAACAAGCCTGTCAGCTAGTTCAATACAGGCTTATGTGTAAGAAGGTGTTGATATAAAGAGGTTTTGCAGGATCTCTACTGTGCCTGGACTTTGAGTCACTCAAACACTTACTGTTCAATACATCAGTTTTGATTTGTTGCTCTTAATCTTGAACTCAGACAATAGGTATCATGCTTAGAGTGAATCAGCTTTGAGCTATTTTTCTCTTAAATGTCCCACGCAGCAGCAAAAAATGTCAAGACAGAAGGAATTTTTCATTTGTACATGAGAAATATATGATCTTAGTTTTATAGAAAAAGGACAAAAATAGGTAATTATTTCAAAATTCATGGCTACATAGCATCACAATATAATGTCTATATTGTTAACAGAGTAAATAAAATCACAAAGACCAAAAACTTGTTAAAAATTCTTTATTTAAGGAAGTATTTCAAATGCAGATTACAAAATGCAGCACGTTAAATGCACAAATTTGCAGAATACATACTCTGAATACCATCCAACTCACAGTGGTTTAGATTGCATGAATCCAGTCCTGAGGGATCTGGGTTTGCAAGAGTCTTATGTTCAACATTTCAGACCAGAAATTCCTTAAAAATGTTGCATAACCTCACTTGATATGCGTTGAGTGTCACAACATTTAAGAGGGGGGAGTGTCAAATATTATAATAATATAAAGATATGTTTTGGTTTCTTGTGTGTCTTATAGGAACACAGGCCTTCTGACTAAAAAAAACAGAGTTTTGAACCACAGCTGCACAGAGTGAGCAAGGCACGGTCAAAGGTAAAATCTTATTGCACTGATATCAAAATTGTTCCAAAGCATGGTTTACATTTTTTATTTAAAGCTTAGTCCTACTTACACTTCTTTACCACAAAAAGACAAGATCACTGCCAACTATATGAAGCTGAAGTTATTGTATATCTCACTAATTCATACAGCTCTTTTATATGGCAGATACTTCTTTTTGTTCTAACATGTTCCTATGATACAAAAGCATTATTTTCATCAGTGTAGGAAAAATATACATATCTGTATACATTTGGCCTTTGTCCAGTATTCTTTGTGCTTTATTTACTATTTGAATAGACAGGGATGTAATACTTTAGATGCTAGCCATATTTATGTGTGTCTCTGAGTGTAAATGGAAGTGTGTCCTACAGCTGCAGCAGGTGATCTTCTTTCAGCTCCTTCTCCTCTGGTTTCACTTCACCAACCAAAAACCTGCTTGGGAACAACCGCCTTATGCCCCTGGATTCCCCTACAAAACAAGAGACAATACAGCTTAGTGATCAAGGAGGACTAAGGACATACATACAATCTTTGTCACCCTAAAATTACCTTTCTGAAGCTCTAAGAAACTCTCTGTCGAGGAGGCACCAGAGCCGCTATCAGCGGCCTTGTCCGCCATGAATAGTCCCTCAGCTGCAGAGCCTTCATAGCCTCCAGAGCCCTCCTCGTAGTAGTAAACCACAGGGGACTCCCCTTCTTCACTCTGCAAGGGTGTTTCCTCCTCCACCTCCTCCTCTACCTCCTCTTCCACCACCTCTCCCTCCTCTGTCTCTGGTTTTTCATCCTCCACAGGCTCTGCCTCTCTGGAAACAGAAGAAAAGTCAGATATTTAAACATGCTGACAGAGTTTGGTAGGTTATATAACAGTCTTTTTTAAAGCTTCGAAAGGGTTAAACATCGTAAACAAAACTTGAATCATGATACTTCATGTCTGACAATTTAGTGTCAGTACCTCTTCAATTAAACCTCAAAATCTCAGTGTTGTTGAATGATGTCTGTCATGTTTTAGAGTTATCAACAAACTTTTCATGACTTTTTTTCATATCTGTTTAATTTTGCACAGACAGTTGAGTGAACTACCTTTTTCCCAGTCATGTACTATTCAACGAAAAATGTTAAAGCAAGACGACACGTTCAGATGGGAAAAAATGGAGGATTCAAATTTTGTTGAAAAATGTAACTCTTTGCTGCAAGACGAATGTTTCTAGCTAAAAACTCAACCCCAGTTTAACTGCCCTGGAGATTTCAAAGAAACTGTATTATAATTGTGTGTTACTTTTCTCTGGAATCTGTCTGCAAAATGCAGCTTTAATAGTCATTTTATGAATTGTATTGAAGCTACTGTGAGGAGTTTTTAGACATTTATAAAATATACTAAAATTTACACTGATGCTTTTTTAAGATACCCAAAACAAAAAAGACCGTTTTGTGAAATGATAAAGAAGCCCTGTTTTTATATTTTGCACATAAAGTTTTCACATTAAATGATGTATTTTACTGTTAAAAGTTAGCAGGATGAGACGCTTTTAAAAGCACTCCTCCAGTATCAGTATAAGGACAAGATAAGAAAAGACTGCTTCACTCACAGGGGGCGCCAAAGTCCACAGAAACCAAAAGTTCCACATATTATCTTTAACAATTTAAAACATGATGGTGAGAGTGGCATGTTGTAATTTTATTACTTACTGGATCAAACAACGAATAAAATGATAACATAATGAAAATGTTCTCAGTGTCTGTCTGTCAGCACGTTCATATTTTGCAGCACATACGACCAAACCCTGTTTTTGAGTGAAGTGGTGAGTGTTTTTTCATACTGTTAAGACTGGTTCTATTTACAGCCTGGTCCTCTTTCACAATCATCAGCAGCATGTAGAGGTGTTGGGAAACACAGCCTGTCAATACCTGTATCAGGTAGGTGGATGACGTCACAGGCTCCAACACCTACACAAGTGTCTCCACTGACTCTGTATGACTAAAGATGGTCTAAAGACTGAGTGGGTGATAGCAGACTGTGCTTATTGATGTCTGTCATACCTTCTCATTAGCTACACAAAACAAGTTGATTCAATGTTGAAGTCTACAGGACGAAGCTTCATCACACGGACTCACATCTCTATGTAAAGGCCTTGAAACAGCTGTTAGGACAAAGTGTTGATACAGAACTCTACAATTGGCTTCTGTCGATAAATTAAAAGTAAAACCAAGTCTGAGACGCTGAAGATGTAAAAACAGCTTCAACTTATTTTGTAATTCTCTGCGGGCAGATCTTGCTATGAGCTCAGTGGAAATAAATTTCTCAAAAGACTGTCATATTCTTACTGAATCACTGGGTAACTCATGTTTTCGACATGTAATCTAGTGCTTCAGGAACATAAGTATTAGACTAATGTGGCTCTGCGAAGAGACAAAACAATAGACCAGAAGCAGCAGCCCACCAGGCGTCACAGCCCACTTCCTCTCGACACTTCCCTCCGGCTTCCTGTTGGAGGCGAGCTGCTTAGGTGAGAGCTGAGCTGAGGCCTCGGTGTTTTCAAGATAACTGAGGTGTTGTAAGATAAGACGTAGGCTAATAATAATAATCTCAATTTACAGAGTGTTCCACTTTCTCAAAACAACTGGTCCTCTTCCCACCTTCTTGTTTTGCCTCTGTATGCATCCTTCTGTTTTGGCTAATCGATGCTAAGAGAAATAAAACCTTTTGCCGTTCACCTTTTCTGAGCTACTGGCCTCGACTATATCTCATACAAGGATAATCCTCAAGATTATGGATAATAAAGCAGCTTTTTGTAGCTATAATCAAATTTAAAAGGTTTCACCATGCAACACTTGAGCATAAATTTCAGTCTTTAGAGGGTTCCAACTATTGGTTTTTTTTCAGACTCCACAAATAATGCTACAACTATTTTTACATACTCAATGTGTGCTCCACATCGTAGATATATCGCTGCCAGATAAAGAATGATTTGTGGTTTTCTTTTCTCTTAATAAGAGGTTATTAAACTGATAAGATCGATGTCTTTTAAGTGGAACTCTAAAAGAGGAAACTGAAGCTGAGAACCAAGACTATGATGCAGACTTTCTGAGAAGTCCGACACATTTAAACAGAAATACTTTCACAAGTACCATATGTTCTAAAAAAAAACAAAGATGTGCGTATTCTTCTTCCCAGGCTTACTACATCCAGACAGATTTGCAGTTCAACTAAACGAAACAACATGACAGAGAGACTGAATTAAAAGAGAGGCTTAGAGATTTTTCTTTGTTTTAAAGAAAACAGTTTCATCTGCACGGGGTTCATCTTTGACGGCAGACTGAGAAGATAGTCAAAGCGAGACAAAAAAACTGATGACCTTTTTAACACCAGAAACCAAAGAGGGCGAGAGGTGTTGATGTGTGTGAGGTGTTACAGCACTTAACGATCTTTCTGGGTTGACAACAAATCTGTACTATCTCTTATAATAGTTGTTCACCATCTGTTTGTCAGGATGTATGTGGATGTAAATGTGCAGAGCGTCTGATGAAACAGTAATGAGGAATTACAGATGACTTTTAACCCTTTTTGAAAATCACAGTGACACTGGAGTGTAAATGGAACCTGCTGACTGGTGCTTTTTTGGCACTTATTGCACAAAGAAAGTTTATTAAGTAACTTTTGCCTTTTCCAAACTTTTGAGGGCTGTTTTAGTTCTTCTCAGTGTGAACATAAGAACTCAGGAAACTTTTCTGTATGGATCACTGTCATTGTGAGAGGACAACAGACAAACACACATGATTTTAAATGTTGATGTGTTTGTATTTCCATTTTTGAAGTAACTCTACAGTAAATAGTGATAGAGAGAATTATAAATTACAGCATAGTTTGCCTTTTGGTCTTGTAAAGGTATAGACGCCATTATGTGTGCAACTCTCGACGGACTGAGGGATGGGCTTTCAAATTAAGAACACCAGTTGTTAACATATACAGAGAGAAAGGAGCGAAACATAGATGTGATTATATAGCATCTTCAGAAAAGACTTGCTTAAATTCATCTGTTTTGCAATCTGGAGGACACAAGGCTTTAGTTTGAGTGCTTTGAACTCACAGTCTGAACACCACAAACATAAATACATTCAGACATGTTTTGTTTCATGTTTATGTTGAATTCTAAACCAGAGAAGAACTAAAACACTTGTGGGGAACTTTTGGTTTGTGTTGGTTCTGGCGCCCCCTGTGGAAAAGCAGTTATTTTTGTGTAACTGCTGATCATGTCTCCTTTTGTGTTGTTTAGTTCAATGTCTTTTAAAGAGGGAAACATGATAATTCCTGTCAAACTTTGACAGTAATGCAGTGGAAATTATACACAAAGGCTATGTCTGCATCTGTATGTAAACCTCCTCTTCTGACACTTACCCTATTGCAGCTGCATTAAAACCATGTAAAATTTGCTACTGGTGGTCTCCTTTACTTCTGTAGGTCATATAAAGGAATACAGGATTCATTTCTGTTTGTTTTATAGCATCCTAAAAATTACTCATAGGAGCTTTAACAAATAAACAGCTACTGCTTTAAACGTGTATAACACTGTCTGTGGTGTGATCTACTAAATAAAGACACGCAGATGTTTTTTATCCCTCCTTTTCTGACCTCTTCCCTCTGTCTCTCACAGGTTCTCACTCTGTCTTTCTTTATCTCTCCACGTTGTCCTCTATTTTGGCTTTTCTTGGCCTCCAACCTCACACTTAAACACTCACAAACTCACACAGGCAGAGGTGGTGTTGCTGCAGTTGTGTTGACCGAGGTGACAGATCCAATGCAGCATCAGCATTTCTATACTTACAGTCTGCATTTATCTGACAGAAACCGGCTATATCATATCCCAGAGATGGTTTTGTTTTTTTTCTCTACTGCTTTTAACTCACTCTGAGGAACACAACAAATAACAATCACATCCCGCCTCACACACTCACTCACACACACAAGCACTTACAGGTACTGTGCAGTTGAAGCGGGCAGCTTGGAAGGTAGCTCTGGACTCCATGGCATTTCTGGACCCTGATAGGTCACACAGTTGGTGTTGCCGCCCTCTGGATTACATCTCACAAATGAATACACGGCTTTCAAAGGAGTTCCTGTTGAACAACAACAAAAAAGATAATTAGAGACTTTTAGTTACCATGAAACATAGGATGCAGTGATTCAGTTCAGAGTTCTTTGGCAATATCTGGTTGCTCATCTGGATTGGCTCATTATAGCAATCAGGGTTTACTAGTTCCATATATCAGGGGGGTTACAACATTACAGCAAAACTGAGTCAACTGACTCTTGCCTGCAAAACTGTTTACTCTCTTGAAGACACTGATAGTAAGGGAAGTAAGAGTTTCACAGCTTCTCAGCACATCACAGCAAGTTTATCACACTGCTGATCTGATGTTATGAGCACTAATCTTACAACAATATCCTGTGTAAAAAGCTCTCTGTTTCACTGCAACACTATAAAGATAACTTTTTTTTTGGAGACAAAGTTCCTGTGAAACAAAATTCTCATCAATCATCTGATCAGCAGATCTTGACTGTTGTTGGCTGACATTTATTGTTCGGTTTTTGGGTTCATGAATGCTCAATCAAGTTTGCACAAGTGCTTCACTGAAACTCCTACTTCCTGTTTTGTACGCACTCAGTGGCTCTTAATACTGTTCAAGACTTATGGAAACTGTTTTTATCAAAGAAAATTTGATTAATCATGTTGCAAATTTTCAAAGAACAACTGTTACTCCTCGACATTTGAAGAAAATCCTCGAGATATTCTTTATCAGAATAAAAGCTAGAGTTGGTCCATTGCCATCTCATCAAACACAGGTAATACCTGCCTGTTGTGCTACTTTAAACCAGTTAATAGTTTGAATGTAAGACAAGTAGTTGAAAATTTTGTGTCTATTCATTAAAAAAAGAAAGCGTTTACTGTAAACTCTGAAGGATGGATGTGAACTAAAGATAATCCGTAGATAACTATTGGTGTATGTAATCCAAATAACTCTAGAATATCAGGTAGCAATATTTGTACTTTTTTAAAAGTTTAATCAACTAAACACAGTCTTGATTTATCTAATGTTTTTGTTTTACAAGGTCAATTGTTATCAACCAATCTGTGTATCTATTCTCCAAAGAATTGGGACATTCCTCAGCAGGAACTGAACCAAAGTGTGGGTTTTTTTCTGGACTTTCATGACATCTAAGGAGTCAATCTCTATAGGGGTTTGTCTGAGTATATTTTAAGAACTGGACCACCACTTTTAGTCATTTTGATTTTGTGCAGTATAATTATTATTATTTTATTCTTTGTTTGTCCCGTTTTACTGTAACTCGAAGTATTGCAGCTGTTTTCTCTACCAGGAAACTCCTTGACACTGAGCCTCCTCGCCATAATGGCAAGATCTTTCTTAACTTCTCTTTAATATCATAACCTTTCTAAATTTTGGTAAAATAAGTAAAGTAACCTGCCAAAGTTGTGGTGAAATAAATAAACAAATTAAAGAGGGTATAGGCAGAGCAGCAGAGATGTATTCCTCAAGTCATGAAGTGTGGCAAACATAGAAACAAAAGGTAGCCTATAAGTTAAAGGTTTTCACATTAATATACTGTACATTGATAATAATGGAGCTGTGTGAAGCTGATACAGCTGAGCATATCAAAGGATAGTTTCCGTGTCATAACTCTGGGTTTCCCCACGCTCTCTCTCTTCTATACTCTGTGTGTAAAAAACTACTCTGGCCCACTTGATGTAATGCTAAAAGTCCCCCTACCCTCCTCCTCCTATAAAAACCCCTAATACGAACATAGTGTTCAACAAGTCTGATCGAAACCTAAAACGGAAATCGAAACGCATTTTCTCTTTCCGATTCAATCTAACCTTGACCAGGTGTAACTCCCACGTACCCATTAATAATATTCAACGTGTTGACTCTTTTTTCCACATCATCATATATCACAGTTAGAGCTCAGAGCTTTGTGTTTTTATTGATAAAAACCAGAGACTGACTCCAACAAGTGAGTCATAGCTGCTGTCATTAAACACAGTCAGCTTGCACAGGGGGGGAAATATCAATATCATTTAGCTTATCAATCACAGACTTCTGACGGCCTGTAAACCAAAGTTTGACTCGTTCACTATTCTGTTATATAGTGGCAGCACATAAGTTGTCATAGTGGAGAATAATTCCACTGTTTGCAACCATAACTGTGGTATAAAAAAACGTCCAAATAACGTCAACTAAAACTGTCAAAGTGGCTTTTTTTCAGCACTAAAAAATCGACATACCCTTTCCGTTATGTAAGGCGAGGCAGGCGATAACGACGAGCAGCAGCAGCTTCATCCTCAGCTTTGTCTGTCTTCAAAATAAACCAAAAAAAAATGACAACTTTCTTCTCTTTATAAGTGAAGCGTGTTGAGTTACTCAAGAGTGGACGTACACTGACTCAGACAGACACTCAAACTCCCACTTCACGAGATTAAGCAGCCAAACTACCGCTGCACGAGCTCAGCCCTCCGCGTGCGTCATGGTTTCCTGCACTCTTGACGAGCAGAAGAAAGTTGCTGAACATCCTCAGTGGAAACTTTTACATTAGCTGCCTGCCTCGAATATCAGATATCGGCTAGAGTCAGAGTCTGCGTAACTGCGTATTCTTACTGAGGAAATACCAGCCGATATGAGCCAAGATTCAATCTGTGTCTCTGATAATGAAACGACAGAGAGGAGGACGCTGAAGTTGGTCTTAATTGGCTTCAGCTCATTTTGTCTTCAGATAAGAAGAGTCTGAAAGAGATTCTGCTTTCGCAATCATTCAGCTCAGTTGTATTTTGGTCTTTTGAGCTCTTTCCCTTCATAGGAAATGCCTTAATAGTCCCTGTTAGTAAGGTGTTTCACCCTTATAACCTGCACTTTACTCTATTTTAGTAGGGGAGAGTGGGGTACGATGAGCCATTTTTCATATTTTGGATCACTACATCAAGGCAATCATAGTTTTGTCTCTAACTAGTGTATCTGCATATATTTCAAGATTTTGTGCATCCCTGCAAACCAACAGAACGAGTGTAAACATAACTGTCTTGATAATATAGCATGCCAAAAAAAAAGTCGTCTCCTATGGTCAACTTACCCCGTGTATGGGGTAAGTTGACCATAGGAGTGGGGTAAATTGAGCCGTATCTCTACTAACCCCCCACTCTCCACCCCAGCCCTCCCTCACCTTCTCTCTCCCTAAATAACAGTCACTTCTTCACATTCATGTGTACTTTTATCTGTTATACACTACTCAACTGGTACAATAATTCTTTTATTATTATTGCATATAACTGCTAAAAAGCTGTTTAGTAAAAAGCCATTTTAACATGAGAATGTCTTTAAGTGATTCAGAACATTCACAGCTGTATTTTTGAAAAGAAAAATTAACACAATTCAACAATCTGACGTGAAACTCTGATCCTCTCATCAGACTCCTTTACTTTCTCAGTTGAGCCACTGGCTCATCTTACCCCAGAACTACTATTGTGACTTTATTAGTCCTCTAAACTAAAATGGTGGACTTTTATGCTAGGTTTTTGACCTCATGTTGTAGCTCATAGATACCACAATTGATGTAAATAACAAATTTAAAATGATCTTTTTTGGTCTGAACACAATTCCAATCAAACTTATGACAGACTAAATTCACTAAATTCAAAAATCTTGTTTTGTTTTTGGAAATAAATGTCTAACCCCTTCACCCATGTCCTTCCAACCCTCAAAGACTCCATGAATTGATTCCCATCTCCTAAATATTTGGTCACATGATCGATTTCTTTTACCATTTCAACTTACCCTTTGGCTCAACTTACCCCACTCTCCCCTACATAGTATTGCAGTAGACTGTGTAATCTTTGGTACCTGGTCTGACCTTTTGGGGGTTGAAATATTTTTACCTTGAACACACCAGCTCCATCACCCTTGGAGACCTCTTGTAAAGAGCCATCAAACTATGTAAATGTTTGGATGTGTAAAGTTGTGTTCATATGTGATATATTTTTCTTTAGTGCATGCCTTTCTTTTATGCAATCCATGTGTTTGTATGTGTCTCAACATGTCCTGCAGTTTATGTGGGCTTTAGCATGCTTGTGTAATGAGCGTTTTTTTAATGTAATCAAGAGGATACAAAAAGTCTCTGCAGGTTTAAAGAAGAGCGACTGCGATCAAATGAAGTGTTTGTGTGTTCTGCTACCTCGTGAGCATCACTACATTTGTAAGATGGACATAGTACTTCTATGCCGCTGTTGTACATTATTGTCCTACTACCACAATTAATGACAATGATAATTTCACAAATAATGAACTTATTAGTTAATTCACAAGCCAAATGCCTTAAAAAGTCAAGTGACTTTGATTAGAACATTAGAAATGACCCACAGGTTTGCTGTATAGTCCAATAATGTATACATGGTAAATGCTGCTCTCTGTTAGAGGTGATAACAAAATGACGTTTTCCCATGTGCTCTTCAAGTACATATCACTGCTTCCACTAATGCACTTTAACTCAAATCATATGGTAGATGTAGGATTATATGCTCTGTACTTTATTTTCTTTCAGTTCGTTGTACCAGTCTTATAAATATCTAAACACTCCTGCAGCGCTTGTACTGTGTTTGTGTCTCCCTTTCTGTGATGTAACAGTGTGCCAGTAAACACAAGTCCAGACATTTTAAGTGTTGACATCTGGTATGTCCCTGAGCCTCCGGCAGATGAAGAGTATTTATCAGATTGACTCTAATGATGATGACTCATATCTTACTCAGAAAGCTCCTGAGCTGTTTGGAGCCGACAGAGGAAGCGTTAAGTGTCCGCAGATGTAACTTCTGTGGAAAGCAGTAATGCAATGTGCATGACATTTTGAGGAGGCTGATATCAGAATAGACGAAGAAGGAGAAGAAGAGGAATGGTGTCGGAGGAGTTTGTCACAGTTTCAATGGCTGACACCACAAAATTAACATTAGCTCTTGATAGAGATATCAACCTTCAGGGTGTGACTACCAAGGAAAAACTCAGACCAAGATAAGTGATACTGGAGGGAAAAAAATCCATACATTTAAAATTTTGATTGAATTTGTTCGCTGTAATTTCCTTTAAAAAAGATCTGAAATGAGAACTACTGTATTTTCTACTCTTCTGTTGCAAATACAGGCTTTTCCAAGACAGTAAGTTACAGTTTTAATTATCTTACATGCAGTTTTCCCTTTCAGAGGACCTGAAAAAACATGCTCTCACACCTGTCCTTGCAGTAGATCAATTACTAATAAGTACCTTTCTCTCGGTGTGTAAATGAATGCTGCCCCATGGGTAACAGAGGCTTGGAAAACTATTCTAAGTTTGAAACCACCAGACTGTTTATTTCTCACCTAAGACTGTCACCAGTCCACCCTGACTTTTGATAGGCTAGAAGGGGCTGCTGTGTACCAACCTTATGATAACAGAGTGTTACGGAGAGACTGCAAATTTTAAAGCTTTTACACAGTCCTCAAAATGCTGCTAGAGGCTGCTCTTTGTTGATGTAAATCAGGTGCAATTTTTATTTTTCAGCTCTCACCTTCAATCAGTCTAAGTACACCACAGGTGGAGAGTTAGAGCATGTCACCGCAAGGAAACAAGACAAAAACTAATTGAAAAGGGGGACTTTTAACCTTTAGTTGATACAGTGATCAATGCAATTTGTAATATAGGCTTCATAATATCTTCACTTTGAAATCTGCTATTCAGGCTTTATGCGGTGAAAAGTTGAAACCCATTTTTAAAGCTCCTGTGAGGAAAACATTTTACATGAATGAAGCAGACTGAAATTCATATTGATGCCCATTCTTGATATACAGAAGCAAACAAGACCATCAGGGATAAGATTGATGATTTTTTTTCAGAATTTTCGATACCTTAAAGTGACATGAAGAGGTAGGTTTTAGCTAAGCAGCTGAAAAAAACCCTGTTTTACTACAGTTACCTTGAAAATACTCACAATAAATGATCCTTTTGAGTGTTAAAATTATCAGGTGTTTGCCAGATGACATAACTTCAGCATGTTTGGGACAATATAAATGTGAATGGGCTCTCTGTGTGACATTTGTGTATGAACACCTGCTGAGGGTCCCTGTCCCTCAAAGTCCATGAAATTTGAAATCATTCTAAAGCTCCTATGAGGAACTTTTTTTTCGTTAAAGTTGTGGCTCCATGTGGATAAAGCAGTCTTAGCTTATCTTGTCCTCTCCTCTACAGGAAATATCAGTCTGTCTATTCTTGACAGCCTGACATATCATGTTTTGTGTGTACTCATTGTCGAGAATGTATGCCATCTGGCTGACACAACCCCTTTTCATCACTCTAAGGCATAAAAAATAACAAAATAAAAATCCTGAATCATGCCGCTGTTTGTCTTGTTTGCTTTTGCGTGTCATAAAAAGGCAACAATATAATTTTTAGTCTGTTTCATCAGTGTAAAGAAAAAAAAAAACTCCACAAAGGAGCTTTAGCTGTTTCAATTCTCCGAATACTGATAACATGAGGCTCTGCTCATAACTTCAGAGGTTTTGTGATTGTCACATTTTGTATCAATCAGCAGTTCAATCTCATATCTCTTCTATTTTTCTACAGCTCTTGAGGTTTATCACAGAGTAAAAATGCTGCATGACCAGCCCAAACTTCACTTCATGATATAGAAACCAAGCTAAACAGTTTTTAAAATGAGGTATTTGACAGAAGCCACCAGAATAAAGTCTTACCAAATGAATTATGTTTTGCCTCATGTTAATTCTCTACTTTAGGTTCGATACAAACTCTGTAACACACACCTGTGCATGCTACAACACAATAATACGTATAATAAACTATGGTTTATGGTGTTCAAGGGCCTTTCTAGGGTTCAATCCCACCCATCAACCTTTGTGTGTGTGTGTGTGTGTGTGTGTGTGTGTGTGTGTGTGTGTGTGTGTGTGTGTGTGTGTGTGTGTGTGTGTGTGTGTGTGTGTGTGTACATGTTGCTGTCAGCACTCTGTCAAATATTTGTCGAGTTCTTGTACCCCAGAGACAGAGGTGGCTCTGTTGGCTAAATACCTCACTCCTCTCTTTGACCACGCTTTCCTCCTCCTCTCCCCTCCATCCCCTCCTTGTTCTTCTTCGTCTTCTGTGTGTCTGTACACTCGTTTTTCTTGGCAGTATCAGACAACAGAAGACACTCAGAAAAAGATACAGAGCAGAGAGAAAGAGGACTGTTAGTGTCAGCCGTCATTGATAGGATGCTGTGCAGGAAGTGGCAACATCGGTTTGCTATCATTTTCCTTCAGGAAATGACACAGTAGCCAGTCTTGCCTCTACACACACATACATGCACACGCACGCAGAAACATACGCACATTCGGTAAATGACATCTTTCTATGACACATATACCCACTAACACACAATTCTGCACACACAGCATCTCTGGAGTCAACTCATCTCTCTCCTGCTTAGTGCTCAGGAAATGTGAAATGTAACAATACTTGTACAACCACAAATATCTGATTATGTTCTCTTTTATACTCATTCTGTTTCTGTGTGTTTGTGTGTGGTTTAATGCAGCAGCCAGTGTGATACTAGCACTATAAAAAGTGAGCTTTTATAGTCAGCCTGGTTTCCATCCCCACCCCGTCTGATTATGTGGAATTCAAGTCCATTGTCTGAGTTTGTGGCAGCAGAGGCAGCACTAATCTCACACCGGCAGAAGCACCATAAACACACTGGCTGTTTACAGATATTACAGGAACATTTCCAAACTGCATTTATCTATTTCAAGCATAGACTGTATATCTATGGTTTCAAGTCTGCATGAAACACAAGTTATAGTTATAGGAGGACTGCAGTCTAAAGGGAAGTGAAGCAGGGACTGATAAAAAATGAGCCGAAGTCATCACTTGTTTTTTTTGACAGAAGCGCATGTCAGATCAGATGCTTTCGGGGAAGTCTGTCAATGATCTGTGAGTAGTTCATCAAAATAAAATATGTAACACCAGCACACAAAGCTATTGTAGAGAAAGCATGAATTATTTTAGCATTTTCTTCAATCTGGCCAATATTACTGTTCTGTCATCACTATGAGCTGCTAAAACAGGAACAATGACAAAGAAAAGACAAGACAAAAATTATCTGATCAAGTGAAGAGACAATTTAAAGTCATTTTTATTTATCCTTCTTCATGTCTTTCTTCATATACTTCATCACTTGTATGGTTAATAGATGGCTGGCTGGATATACTTCATTGATCCATCCATCAGAGGTTCCCACAGGCATGTCTGCAGTCAGTCTGAATTCTTGGAAAAAGAAAATCTCACATCTGTGAAATTAAATCTCTAAGGGTTTGCCAGTAAATGCTCAAAGAGAGTAAATAGGTTCAGGTGTCTTGTGTTGGGCAGGTATTTCGATGCACGTTTTGACAAGCATTTGGAGCTGAAATAAGAGCCGGAATGGCAGGTTTTGACGCATTGAAATTATTGCCACCAGTCTTATAACTGAAATGTAGGACAAAACAAGTAATTTGAAAGACATTTCTTTAGGTGTTTGTGCTCATTGTTTGACTAAATATTAATTTAAAATTGAAAAATTGACTTGAACTTATTTTGTCAACAGTTTCCACAGACTGGTATTAGGTAAAGTAAGTTTGAAAAAATGAAATCATTGGGTCCAAATTGGTAAAGAAACTTGTGTTAATTAGAAACAAATATTTTAAAGCAAGCATCTCATTTAGATTAACTTACCACAAAGTCAAAGACTGTGGTGAAAAAATGACCACATTCATTTTTGAGTGCCTTCATAAAGCTTAAAGAGGTCATATAATTTGAATGTCTTGTCATGTAAATGCTGTAAAAGCTTAAAAAAGCGAACACAAAGAGACTAGACCAATAAAAAGAATCAGCAGGAATGGGTGGAAATCAGTTGCAACTAATGAGCAAGTTTGCTAAATAAATGGTATCATTTGCGGTAACTGTTTCTCTTTACACAGATTAAAAAGGTGGAATATTTCATTGTTTTTTTAGGACAGTTGGATTTGGATGGCTTCGGTGCTGCTGTCCACATAGTGTCACTTGATCTAACCCTGTATTTCACCATTTGTCCCACAGTAGCTCGACCTCATTACATAACCTCATAGAGGAGGAAGCGGCCCGGAATTCGGCAAAGCTACATGGTGTCGGGATTCGTGGGAGATCAGTCATGAATCACCAAAACATCTGACCTCTGTCGCAAAAACTTCCTCTGAGGAAATCATGCAACAGCAGCTGGGAAAAATCACAAGAAAATGTGTTTTTCGGCTACTTTAATACCTCACATTTGAACCTTTTTGAAACTTTAGACTGTCAAAAAAAAAACACCGAAACACATTTTTATGGTTCAATCTCAAGTATGAACATGTAAATGTAACTCAGAGTAACTAGGGATAGGCAGTTTTGTCTGCATTCGGTGATTAAGTATGCTACTTAACATTTCTTGTCTTGGATGAACTTTTTTGTTTCTCTTTCATTATCCTCACTGTTTGTGTTACAATTCTTAATGGATTTTTGATGTTATTGTTGTTGTATATTATGTTGCGTGGCTGTCTTGGATACATTGTGTTTTGAGTTTGTTGAACAGTGTCTAATAAGCCCATGGGGCTGGGCACCAATTTTGGTGTATGACACTTAAATAAAATTATCAAATCAAATAAAAAAAAATCTTGTCTCATCAGCACTACACATTTATGACAGTGTATTATTCTGCACACCCATCCTAAGATGTAGCTCTGTTACATGGAGGTGCACACAACTGAAAAAAGAAAGTGGGCAAATTTTTCACCCTGTATCAAAAGGCAACAAAAATCACAGATTCTTGTTGTTACTTAAGTGCTTAATATCCTTAGTTTATTATTATTATAACATACAGTATCTACAATACATGAACAGCATCATATTGTAATTCTTCAGAGACAGGAAGAAAATACAGGGATTCATGTGGAAGAGGCTAGCATCATGCAGATTAAGATGACTCGTAAACAAGCACCAGTTTGGTCAAAGCAACTTTAAACAAAAGTAAGGCTGTTTCTGACATTTCAAAGGTTTCTGATTTGCACTGAATTACTCTCCTCTCTATACCAAAGGCTTCCTATTGTAAGTGCCATGGTAACACAAACCCTGGTTACAACAGGCCATTTTTTTCCACCACGAGAGACAAAACTTGACATGCTTTAAAAAAATAAAGTCACAAAATAGAAACCAATGTGATTAACAGTAGAAAACAAGAAAGACTCTCACTGGACTTTTCTTTTAATTTGAAGAGTGATTTCTGCTCTGAGTTTATATTTTACTACACAGAAGACGGCGCGTATAAACAGCGCATGATGCATTCAAGTGCACCAAATAAGCAGGACAGACAAATTAGTGACAGGCATCCAGTTTCTCTAAGTGTGAGGAGACTCCGCTGACTGTAAGGTGTTAAACTGATACTGTCTGCCTCATGTGGTCACCGTTACTACTAGTAGTTGGTTAGTGAGAAGTGGAATCCTTCAGTTGTTTGAGGCCATCCTTGCCTTTAGGCGGTTGATCTTCAGAGGAAGCAGGCCGACCATCTCTGTGCTCAGCTCCAGCTCTGTTGCCACCGCAGCGGCAGCTTCAGGGTGAGTTTCACAGTACTGCACCACATATCTAGAAAACAGGTTGATGGAGGTTGAAAGAGACTGTCAACATGTTACACAGATAAAATACATAGCAAAGAGGAAGCTGCAGACTGCAGAGCAACATCTAAATTTTATTTACCAGATGTTTCTCAGAAATGCTTTTTATTCCATCAGTGAAACCAGTATGACTCCTCTTTATTAGCATTGTTTATTTTATTATTATTTAATCGTTATTTCATTGAACCAGGAAATCTTCATTGAGATAAAAAAAAAGGAAAAAAAACAAACTCTTTTGAAGGATTGCCCTGGCCAAGATTTTATCTGTTATTTTTTTTATCTGTTTAAATTATATAATGATATAATATCAGGAGTATTAACCAAACCTTTAATTTCACAATTTTCACTACACTTGAACATAAATTGAGGTACAGTATTTCCCAATAACTTTTCATTTTATAGACAACATTCAGTGTGGATGTACTGTCATGAAAAACTTGAAAAAATAGTATAGCAGCACAAACTACCCTATAATAAACTGAATAAAATTTAATGTCCTCTGTAAATGATCACTTGGTGCCTGCCTGCAATAACTTCATCACCCACTTGGGGGCACTAAAGTAATCACCAGTAGCCTGCTTCTACTGAAAGCACATCTTTCAACCTCTTAACTGTTGAGATGAATCCCCTCAAATGACCAAATACGTCGAACAAACACTTACTTGTAATTTTCCAGAGCCTTGTTGAGGTTTTCAAGCTGAACAGACGGCACAGAGCTGATCAAACGGCTGTGAAGTCGGGCCACTCTGAAACGGGCCACAAGAGCAGGTCTCAGCACCTCCTCCTCCAGATGCTCCGGGGCCTTCCCCTCTGGAGAGCGCAGAGAGTCCAAGAACATCTGGAAGAACCTGCAGAGGATTTTGTTTAAATAAAACTCACAGAGACACAAAGAGACAAAAACCAGCTGGAGCATGGGCTAACACTCACTTAGCAGAGGCAGAGCAGAGATGGTTGAATTTCTTAATAGTGTGGTTGTCTAGAGACTGTGTATCTGCTTGTCTGTTCGCCAGAGTCAGTTTGAGGTCCATCATTTCATTGTAGGTCTCAGCCAACTCAAACATGAGCTGTCTGCGGATCATAAGGAAATACTGGCTGTTCAGATCTGAGGAGGAAAAGAGACAGGGAAAGATAAAACAGCTGAGCTTTCTTGCTTGGATGTTCAGGATGAAAACTTACAAGTCGTTTTAGTTTTAAGCACATTACCATTAAATACTGGCTCAAGCATGTCCACTCGTCGTTTGTGCATTTTGCAGCGTCGCTCAAGGTCCTCTTCAAAGAAAGCCAGGGCCCTAAAGAGAGAACTATGATCCTGTAGGATCTCTATGTGGTCTGTCACGTAGCCATCCATCTGGAAGTGTTCTTTAGCCTGAAGAGCGATTGAAGGATATGGAGCAACAATTCACCATGTTTGTCAACAGAAACTAATTACTATGTGTGTAATGTTTGAGGATATGTTGAAAATGTAAACTCAAATGTCGACATTAAGGGACAAATGATTGACTTTGCCCAAATGTATTATAAACTATGCCATATATGTCAGGAAGACATCTTAAACTAATATCACCCTGTGAAATCACATCCTGATGTAGATTTGCTTTTTGAAATTCATACATAGGACTCTAATATCTCAGAGGATTTCACTAACAGTCACCTATGTCCAGTAAGTTTTTTTTTCTTGATATGTCCCTTCAGTGTCTTGGTGTTTCATTCTATAACTCGTGTGTGCTTGTGTATTTGTGTCAGTCTTTTGCATACCTGTGCGACATAATTCTGTCCCACCAGAAAAACAGCTCTCGCTTCAGTAAAGTCCAGTGGGAACAAACAGCTCACCTTGGAAACACAAAGCAGACAGCTGGATTCATTTTTTTTCATGTAAACTCTAACAACACTGTCATCTTGTAGCTATTCTTAAATAGTTATTCTTTTAGCATGCAGCGTGTTGGGTTGAAATGCTGTTTAATTTTAACTTGGAATTAAAAAACAACTATCAGAAAGTATCGTCAATAAAGGAAATCATTTCTGCTGCTACCCATGTAAAGTGAAAAGTGATGTTTGCTTATCAGTAACAACACTAACAACATTATTTAATAACAAGAACCATGTCTTGTACAATAACCTTCTCTTCCAGGCTAGCAATGGAGTCAAATGTGTCCTCAGAGCCAAACAGCAGAGCACTCTTCCTCTCCTTCTCTTCCTCATCCTCCTCCTGTCTTCTTGCTCTTTTCAACTCCTCTTGACGATCAGTATCCAGCTCTCCTATGTTGTCCTGGTTAAAAAACACATGCACAAGACATCTAAAGACACAAACAGACACACAGAACAACTGTGTAGCTCTGAGCTATACAGCTGAGTCCTCTCTCACAAGTATGAAAGGGGCTTATGTGACGTTTGACAAAAACTTGAGTTAAAAGAAACCACAGATGGAACATCTAATGCTTCAGGCTAATTTAGTCTAAAAATAAATAAACTGTATCGGACTGTCCCGAACTTTTAATCGCACATCTGAGACCAACACATGATACTGGGATTATGTATTTCCCAAGACATTTTAATTTTATAGCAGAAAACCTCTAGGAGAAACTGCACATATGTTAATGTAGAAAAAAGCATCAATGGAACAGTTTTGAGCAACATTACTCAAGCAACTTTGATAATTAAGACTTATTTCCACATTTCTAATCTTTTGCAGTCCACCAGCAGGACTTAAAAGGCTACAATGGGCTTCTGCACACTGTTGGACCTTCCTCAACAAGGGTAACATAAGGTCAAGTATTGGCTGTAATAAATATGGGTAAATGAAAGCACATTTTTTCTGTAAAAGTAATAGTATGAATAATTTCTGATGATATTTTTACTCTGGCATCGTCTCTGTTTAAGGTTAAGGTTTTGTAGATGTAGTTAAGGTTACTTTAAGTGATGCTTAATCTTCCCACCATAGTGGATCTTCCTGCTCATGTGTGCAGTATTCACTTGAGTAGTGAGATTTTACAAGCACCCACAGCCACAAATACACCCATGACATACCTCTAGTTGCTTCTTAGCATCTTGCAGGACATTGAGACAGTATTTGATCCAACATCTTGCAATCTCTGCTCTCTTCTCTCTGAGCTGTTCCCTGCGATCCCTCTCTGTCTCATCTGAGTCGGGTGAGGAGTAGAAGCAGACAAAAAGGACGAGGACAAGATTTTATGTGATATGGATGTGTTATTTTTTTCTTACTAAAGTTGATTTGGGTAGAACACATAAAAAAACCCTGTAGGCCTGTTTTGATGTGCATATCAATTAAAGGTGAAAATTCAAACTTACTCTCCTGTGCTGCAGCCTCAGAAGGAATTTCTCCAGCCAAACCTGATATGACGGTGGCTGCAGCAAGACAATGTCTGCCCTCCATGTAACGGCCCTAAAAAAATCACCACACATGTACAACTATTGCACAGCCAGTTACCCTAATCATCATAAAAAAAAGAACTGAGTAAGTTTGGCTAATAGTCACTGATGACCTCAAGTGAGTTTCATCATTTCTATTAAACTTCTTGGTATCTGATCCCCTTTCATGTGAAATGAAATGTACAATTTCAGTAAAGCCGAATAGGAAAGAAGGACTGGTAAAGGCTGTGAAGTAACGCCTCTTTTTCCAACTGATTAACATATCTTTATCAATAAAATGCTGAATGAAATGGTGTCACATGGGAAAAAAAAGCTCTCAGTCAGCTTAAATTAAACAATGCCTTACCTTAGTGATGTAGTACTGTGATAACGTAGCAGCATTCAGAGCCCACTCTATTGGACTAAACTGATTAAACTGTAACTGTCTCTGCAAAGTGCTGTGGCAGTATGTGGCAGCTCGCTCATTTTGACCTGCAAGACAAAATGTAGCTATATTTTCCAAGAACAAGATGCAGTCTGAAGCAGTGTTTCAATTTGAGGAATAGGTTTCATTATAACTTTAAATTTAATAGGGATGAAGCAAACTCTTCACAAGATATCTGTGAATGCTGATGATAGCAACAACAACACTACTATTTCCTTAACTAAAGGACAAAGATAAGACTTACCAAGATTTTTATACACTTGAGCGAGGTAGTACAAGGTGTGAGTGTAAGCCATCTCAAACCTAACACAGGAATATTTATCAAGGATTAAAATGGAGAACACTAAAATGGGAAAGCAAGAGTATTAACACAACGATAAAACTTGAAGCCAGAGCTGGCTCAATTCTTCTTCACTATGATTTAAACCTTGCATAAGTAGCATGATAAGGGAAAAAAAATGATTTTAAGTTACCTCCGAGTCCTTTCCTGATGTGTCAGCAACTTCTCCTCAGAGGTGAAGTACTCTGTCATATCAGTGGGTGGACTCCCATCCTGAAAAAAAACCCCAAAACAAAACAAACAAAAAAACAAGTCTTTTTGAGTAACAAGATGATTTCATTTGTGGCAATTTTTTGCTCATCCTTCTCAGTTCAATTAGGCAGTTGCTCCAATACTTGTTTTCCGCAAGATATTCATACTTCATCCTAATTTTAAGAATCCATTTTAACACTAATCAAGGACCTTCAAAAATAAAGAAAATTGCAATAACAACTTCCTCTAAAACACAATTGACCCACAGTCTTTGTGCCTGACTGATGGTAAATTTCAGCGTGTGACCTCATTGATGCTGGGACAAATTACACACAATCAGACGATTGTCTGGTGAGATTCGCTTGACGGGGGAAACAGCGTCATGGTAAACTTGAGAAATGGCCGGACAGCTACTTGCAAAGGAAAAAAAAAGTGTGAAATCCGCTCCTCTTACAGCATTGATGGTTTTCTTGTGCCAAACTGTCTGATCCATAGACTGTATATAAGATATATCCATCTTATATACAGTCTATGGTCTGACCTTACATCAGCTCAATGTAAATACTCGACAAGACAACATGCTTACCTCCTTCATGTAACGCTGGTAAACAGATTCAGCTGTTTCAAGGAAACCCTGAGCCGTCTCTGTCTCATCCCGGCCGGCCCAAAGGATGCCCAACTGGTTCTGATAAAACACACAGGAATATAGATGAGGAAGTCATTATCACAGTCTGGTATTATGAGGGACACCTCTCAATGTAATGCACCCTCGTACATAACTTACACACACTACAGCTTTAACAATAATCCCCTGAATGACCACATCAACAGAAACTGGAAATGTATTAGTTTTGTATTGGACTGTGTTAGACTGCCCAGTTGTAGTTGGTGTGTGTTAGCCGATAGTAATGGCACAAATTTACTTTTCCATGGACCAGCAATGCTTTCTGAGCTTTAAATGAAAAATGTCACAGCCCATACAAAACCATTTTTAGTGAGTAGACTTGACTGTTGTTCTCCATTAAATTGCTATGGTAACAATTCTCTTATTTGTGTAGATTTGGGAATGACACGACAGGTTTTGTGTCATATCACAGTCTAAGGTTGTTGTATAATTCCCACCAGCATCTCAGCTCAAACATAACTATCAAATACATCTTCTGTTTATCTGCTGACAGTGTTTTCGAGCATTATCAGAGTTATTGTTTGGTTTACCCTGACGTGGATGAACAACGACACATTTTCGGGGGACACTCTGCATGTTTCCAGCTGTTTCAGACAGTTCATCAGATGCTCTTGCCCGGCTGACAGCTCCTCTGTATCGACATGGTTGACGCCCAAATAATACTCGACGGCTCCGAGTTTGGCGGCTCGCTGCCCCTCAGGCGTGTCTCCGCTGAAGCCCTGACCGAACCCGTCATCCGCCTGCCCGCTCTCAGGCGGCTCTACCGGCCGCTGCTCGCCGCTCTCTCCGCCACTCTCCTCCTCACCCTCACCGGCCTCGAAGCTCTTTAGCGAGCAGTAAATCTCTCTGAGCAGCTCCCTGGCTTTGTACTTCGAGCGGTACGGGTCGTTTTCTGGGTCATTTCGGGATTCCACATCAGTGAGATTTTGGGCGTTGGTGAATTTGTCGCAGATAGCTCTCCACTCACTACTGTTGACAGACGCCATGTTGTTCTCCTCCTCCTTCTTCTTCGACGGTTATTGTCGTTCCTCGGTGGCTGGCCTATATCTTTTACATTACTGCCACCTACTGGCGTAAGAGTATACTCATTTTCACAAAACGTCGTTTATCTGCTGATCGATATTTTGGTCAAATCGTCAAATTGGGGACAGCAGCAAAAAATTAAGCATACCCAGATCCCACACTAATTTTTGACTCAGTGGCTAAAGTCCATGAGGCAATCAAATTTATATATACATACATATATATATATATATATATATATATATATATATATATATATATATATACACTCACCGGCCACTTTATTAGGTACACCTGTCCAACTGCTCGTTAACACTTAATTTCTAATCAGCCAATCACATGGCGGCAACTTCGTGCATTTAGGCATGTAGACATGGTCAAGACAATCTCCTGCAGTTCAAACCGAGCATCAGTATGGGGAAGAAAGGTGATTTGAGTGACTTTGAACGTGGCATGGTTGTTGGTGCCAGAAGGGCTGGTCTGAGTATTTCAGAAACTGCTGATCTACTGGGATTTTCACGCACAACCATCTCTAGGGTTTACAGAGAATGGTCCGAAAAAGAAAAAATATCCAGTGAGCGGCAGTTCTGTGGGCGGAAATGCCTTGTTGATGCCAGAGGTCAGAGGAGAATGGCCAGACTGGTTCGAGCTGATAGAAAGGCAACAGTGACTCAAATAACCACCCGTTACAACCAAGGTAGGCAGAAGAGCATCTCTGAACGCACAGTACGTCGAACTTTGAGGCAGATGGGCTACAGCAGCAGAAGACCACACCGGGTGCCACTCCTTTCAGCTAAGAACAGGAAACTGAGGCTACAATTTGCACAAGCTCATCGAAATTGGACAATAGAAGATTGGAAAAACGTTGCCTGGTCTGATGAGTCTCGATTTCTGCTGCGACATTCGGATGGTAGGGTCAGAATTTGGTGTCAACAACATGAAAGCATGGATCCATCCTGCCTTGTATCAACGGTTCAGGCTGGTGGTGGTGGTGTCATGGTGTGGGGAATATTTTCTTGGCACTCTTTGGGCCCCTTGGTACCAATTGAGCATCGTTGCAACGCCACAGCCTACCTGAGTATTGTTGCTGACCATGTCCATCCCTTTATGACCACAATGTACCCAACTTCTGATGGCTACTTTCAGCAGGATAATGCGCCATGTCATAAAGCTGGAATCATCTCAGACTGGTTTCTTGAACATGACAATGAGTTCACTGTACTCAAATGGCCTCCACAGTCACCAGATCTCAATCCAATAGAGCATCTTTGGGATGTGGTGGAACGGGAGATTCGCATCATGGATGTGCAGCCGACAAATCTGCGGCAACTGTGTGATGCCATCATGTCAATATGGACCAAGCTCTCTGAGGAATGCTTCCAGCACCTTGTTGAATCTATGCCACGAAGAATTGAGGCAGTTCTGAAGGCAAAAGGGGGTCCAACCCGTTACTAGCATGGTGTACCTAATAAAGTGGCCGGTGAGTGTATATATATATATATATATATATATATATATATATATATATATATATATACATATTGACAAAGTAAATAATGGCTCTTTTATGTCACACATATAGGCTACACATTAGTGGAAAGTTTACTGATACAGTCAGGTATGGTGGCCGAGAACCGCCACTGCTGCAAATAAATAAAAAAGAATGCAAAAAAAAAAGAAGTCACAACAGAAGTTGCCGATGAAAAAAAAAAAAAAAGAAAAAGAAAAAATCGAAGCCCGCTGCAAATAAAAAAAGACACGGTGCAGAATAAAAAAAAAAAAAGCCACAACAGAAGTTAACGAAGCAACTTCTTCAGCAGCTCACTTCCACTGTGGCTTTTTCAATTTGCATCCTTTTATTTTCAGAGTAAATTTTTTTTTTTGCGTCATTAACTTCCGTTGTGGCTTTAAAAAATTGTCTTATTATAAATCTGCACCGTTTCTTTTTTTATTTGCAGCAGGCTTCGGTTTCTTCTTTTTTTGTGTGCATCAGTAACTTCCGTTGTAACTTTTTTTTTTTTGCATTCTTTTTTATTTGTAACAGTGGCGGTTCTCAGCCACCGTAGTTAGGTATAACGTAAAATACAAACCCAGAAGGTGTACACCACAGACAAATTCATCATAATTTTTAATCATTATTTTTTATGATCAACTTTTAATCAACGTCAACATGAATATGACTCATCAAACAGGGTAAGCAGCTACCAAGAGGGACACACAGGAAAATCAAAGGGGTTTGTGAGCCATATATTTTGTCAACCAATGGCCAAAAAGAATTACCGGATCTACTAGTTTAATAACGATCAAGTGAGCTAATCACCCACATTCCTTTCTTTTCCTGACATGCAGACATCAGAAAAACAGCAAACAAGCAGAAATGCAACTTGGTGGTTGCAAATTGAGCCGTTTTTTCCTTTTATTACACATAATTGTGGTTCAAACATTTACCCACCACATGACAAGAAGCTGTCTTATAGTTACCTGCCAAATGCTCTTCTATTATTCTTCCAGACAAAAAAAAAGTGTTGGTGTCTTCTTGAACATTACCATTTCCAGGACCCAACAGTTCTCATTAGTTAGAACTAAAAAAATAGAACTAAAGTTTACAGAGCACAGTGATAAAAGGAAAAGCAAGAATTGATCTCTCCATGATGAACTATCTGAAAATGTAAATGTTATTCTCATCCAAGCTGAACATTAAACATCAAACTTGAATGAGTCTCTGCATACAAATCACTCAGTTGCTTCAGTCTGGTTGTGGCTGGTCATCACCACTTTATTTGAACAAACCCAAGAATCCAATCATTAATCAGGGAAAATTGTGTGAATTGTACAGTGGAAATAAATTAATGTGAATGACACATGACAACAACACACAGTACATGTTTGGTCAGCACTGACGGGATTAAAACACAAACAATCCCATACTAATTATACAGTCTTACAGTGTGTGCAGTTTCTCAGCAGTTCAAGAGAACTCTTCTTGGATCATTTTATATTTCGTTATACAGTTTTAAAATCTTGTGAAATTGGATCCTTACACACTCTATGTTTACACGGAACAGCACAGTATCACGCTCTGGGGCAAAACAAACAGAAGCTTAGCTGTGTGTCCTCTGGTGTTAGGCGAAGGTCAATGAATGAAGGTCAGTAGCCAGTGATATTCTAGCACAAAGTGAAATATTTACACATACTGACCCAGGGCTAAGTTCTGTCTAAAATTCAATGATTTTTTCTCTTATTAGCAGGTTAAAAGGAGAAAAAAAAATGACCTGAGGTGTGATGAAAAAAAAACAATGATAGTTTTTCCCTTCATTCAAAGCGTGCAAAAGCCAATGATCCAGTGTGCGAGGCATCTACCTGTCAGGCTGATCTGCTGATTGAACATTCACTACGAACAATACACTTCTGTTTGACATGTTAAAGATTACAAAAAAAACCCTGCTCGATACCGCAGTAGTTCTTGCTTGAGGAAAGGTTTCTGCATAAATTCTGTATGTGTGGCAAAAAGTGACCTAATCTGTTCATTGGGTGATGGATCATGTTAACAAAAGGTTTAAAATGATGTAAGTGCCAAATTTTCTGTTAGAAGATGTTTTGACATTTGAGTTTTAATGTCCAGGTTTAGGTGGCTGTTGAAGCAGCATGGTGCCAAACTGCACTTCTGCAGCTGTGACGCACTCCCACTAAGATTTCGTCTTCTTCTCCATGCTGGTAAAAGAAGAAAACAGAGCCCACGTTACTTTATTTAATCCATTCATTTGTCTTTATGAATAATTCTAGCTATCTTTAATCCATATAGCATTATTCTAAATGTAAAAGTCATAAGTCATTCATGAAATACTCAACCGTTTCAACAAAGTAAAAAGGGAGATTACACTTTTTATATTATAAACCTGTTGAGTGTGCACAAACTTCAAAATGTGCCAAATAGATAATCAGACTTCCTCCTATATTGGTAGTGCGAGAAGCCAAAATGCAGTCATCACCAGAGATACTATTTTGTAGTTACCAGTGATACAAAGCCATATGTTTGCGGCAGTATTTACTAAAGACTCTTCACTAAAATCAAAAATCGAGTCTTGCTTACTTGTATTTGATGAGGCGACTTCCCTGGATCAGCTGTGCCGACTCATTTGTCAAATGGCAGGCGAACAAGAGCCAGTTGCGTGGCTGCACCTTGTAGGCAAACCTCATGAAGAGCAGTGAATAGCAACTCAGAGCTGAGAGGAGAGAGGACACAAACAGGTCAGAGTTCATTATCGGCAGGCAACAAAGACTTCCTATAGTCCTAGATTCTTGTAAACCACTTGACTGCTTGACATTTCTACTGATGCTTAAGCACGTTATATATATTTCACTTGAAAAGACTGCTCATTAAAGAAACATTTTAAGTGTTTTTTAACAAAAATCTCAACTAGAGTTGTATTCAGGGTATAAACCTGAAGATTTCAATTTAGACGTATGCCCCCCTCATTGTAGCTGCACAGAACAGGTAGTCAGAAAACCTCTAATGCCAGGTTTTCTGGGATTTTAAGTTCAAACAGTGTCAAAAGGAAAGCTCCCTCTTTCAAAATAAACCATAAAAGTGAAGGTCAGAGGAAAAATCCAAACTGAGTTGCAGCATTAGTACACTTAAAATGATCTCTTCAGTCTTAAAAATGAACCTTGAGACAATAGACATAACTGCAACCCATATCGTAACTATGTTAACAATAAAAAGGGGGCCTCTAGATTTATCAGTACACATGTCAGTCTGTCTTACCAAAGGTCATCCTGCCACTGATAATCTCAGGGCTCTTCTTCATATCTGTGATGGCGGCTATAGGGAGACCCCAGTTTGCAACAGGACCCCAGAAATGCTGCACAGACAAAGTGACAACACACAGATTTACATTTTCTATAGGACAAGCAGTAGGAGATGAATGTGTATGAGTTTATGATTGGGCTGACAGATATATCAGCTAGCAGGCAGTCTTAAATGTGGTGAAACACAGACAGACACAGATAAGATAATAGACAGATGGGCAAAAAGAAAACTCACCGTGCTTTTCAGTGTTTGATAGTGTTTCAGGGTCACATGAAAGAAAAAAGAATATAAACACAGATAAATTACACAGATCTGAGCTAAAGTTACGTAAGAGCTGATACCTCTCAAAATAGGCCAGCTGTCTGTTTCAGGCAAATCACCCATCATGTCAGAACAAGTAAAACCTAAAGAACCTTAGGCACATGTTCAGTTCAGTCAAATCATCAACTACCTCTTTATTTCTACTGTGAAGATGGCATTTTAGTATATGAATAAAAAAGTCCAACTGACGCCGAAAACCACAACTACCAACACTACTTTAAAGTGGAGATGATACACTTGTCGATTACTCTTAATCATGAGTAACTGAAATGCTGCAGGGGTAAGTCTACGCAGCCAAATAACCATAACTGTCACAGCAACTCTTCATATTGATTTCATATCCATTCAGAACATATCAGTAGGAGAATCCGTCCCATACTGTTGAGTTTATGTGTGAATCACTCCAGCTCTGCAAAGCTATTTCTACTCAAGTCCCATAAATGTTTGATACACTGTGAAAACATACGCTGAGGGAAAAGGTCAGTGTTAACCAAACAGAAATAACCCCCTGTTGTGCTGAATAAAGCGCCTCATTTGCAGCCTCTGATTTCACTGTAAAGGGGAAGGCAATGTCAACAAAGTCTTAAACCACAACCACAACAACAGGACTGGTCAGATCTGGGCCAGCTTATCCTACAGAGTCTACAGACATCTAAGAACACACTATCAGATTTGTAAAATCTTTATTCACACTGTGAAACCACAAAAACAGGCGATTTTACTGATTTTTTTTTCTGTCTAGACCACATTTGACTTAGGTCCTGATTAAGAACCACATTACTTAAGACTATTCAGGTTTGGCCTAAATGATTCCTGAGGCACTGTAGACACTATAAATAATTTCAGGACTGACAAACCTTTATTCAATTGGTGCAAATGCAAAAATAAAAGTTATTTAAGAGTTTTTTAATACTACATTGGATCAAACTCTTATGGTAAATGTTGAGAAGCCTTGACATTAAGGTTTTCAGATCAGCACCAGATTCAATATGGTCTCCAAGTTGGGGAAAAAGTGACATGTGTGACATTTAAGCATGAGGTGGTCTACACTAAATCTGTTCAACAGGATCAGGAGATTTCTGCTGTTTACCTTAATGTGGTCTAAATGTTTTAATGTCTTGATGATAAGCTGATCATGGTCACAACTTCAGAGTTAAACCCTCTCATTGTTTACCAAGCTCTTCTGTCAGTCCTAACACAAATAACCACCTACATTTGGACACATAACAAACTAATATGCATGTATTTCAGATAGATATACGTTCAGATGAGTTAAATCAGCGTTTTCAGTCAACTTTCTCCGTAAATTGAATCACTGCCACATTAGACACCATCGTCCTTGAAAACTAACCTGCAGGAGTGAATCACATCTACAAGTCAGTCCACTGCATTAAGCCAAATACGGACTTTCATGTTTGTTTGACAAGAAAGGTAAACAGGGTTTGTCTGTGAGACATGAGAAGATATTCCCAAACTGTAACCTTATCACTTTACAGCTAGCTGCTTTAGCACACATGCTAAAAGAATAAATCCGCTTCGAAAACGTACCTCATCAAATATTCCCTGAATTCTTTGCTCTTCAGGTGGTCAATAGCTTTCCGTGCAAGCGCCCCTGCCATGGTTGAAGGCCTGTCTAGCGTCTGTTTGGAAAAGAAGAGCTCTCTGGCTGTGCTGAAGGGCGACTGACTGTCAGCTCAGAGGACGACTATCCAAATTTCCGACCACAACACCAGCGCTTTGCGGCACTGTCGTAAATCAGAGGCCGGTCTGGGAACTAGGGCGCCTTTTGCTTACAGTCAGACCAAAATGAGACTATCTTAGTTTCAACACATTTGAAACAAGCCCTTGGGATGATACACGAGTCATTCCTGTACGGAACAGCCCGTATGACTAGGTCACTGATAAGATGTCTGGACCATATGGGAAGAGATTAGATAAGAGTTATTACTTCTGAAGGAAACATTCACTTGACAATAACAACCCCTACCACAAGAAGTAGCCTATACCTCAAGTACATTTTTTAAGTATACTGTAGTTCATTGTAGTATACTTCCCAAAGTATACGTTTTACACTGATACAAATACTACAACTGCACTTACAAGTAAACTTTTTTTGGGAATAAATTGGCCCAATTTAGTTTATTAAACTTGAAGAATACCTGAATGTAAACGTGTCAGTATACTGTTAGATTACTGATTTATAATCCATTTTTTAGTTTAAGAAGTACACTCTGAAGCATACGTACTTTTATTTATTTGGTTGCTTTCAATGGGTAGGATAGAGTTTCAATATGGGAGATGGGGGGGTGGGTGAGATCCTTTGCATGGTCAGGAGAGTTATCCAACCCGTGACCATAGCAGGGACCGTGGTCCCCGACATGGGGGGTGCCTTTAATCCACTCAGCTATCTGCCACTGACTCTGAAGCATTGGTATGCTATTATTTCAATAGTAGTACATAGATGTATACTTTGCTTGTACTGCTTATATTTTTGAGAGTATACTCTTATAGAGTATACTATCAAAAAGATATATGGAAGTATTCACTGACCAAGTATACTTAAACCCAAGGCATACTTCCTTAAGTATATCTTGATCAGAAGTTTATGTGTAAGTAAGGGCTAAATATATTTAGACTTTTACTATAATTCTAAGTACAAGCCAAATACACTTAACATTAAGTATATCTCTAAATGCATAAAAAGTAAACTGTAAGCATACAAAAAGGAGTATTGCCCTGCCCTGCACAGCACAGATTTTAACGTTGGTGCTGAACTCATTAGAACCCCATGGCCTTAATGAGTCTTCAGGGCTAAACTCATATTTATAATTATATATGTTTTTTGGTACTTTGTACTTTCTGTTTGGGTTGACTTGATACTTCTTTGAGAACAGATTATCCCTGCTGAGCCTGCCCCTTCCTCCTTCACAGGGTATAGATAAGTATTTTAGCATGATGTATTTGTATATATATTGTATTTAAACTTGATACGTTTTTTGTGTATCTGTGGTTTATGACTTGTCTTTTTCATATTTCAGATTTGACATTTGACCGGGAGTGACACCTCCTCTTTATTTGCTCTCCAGGGGTGATGTTTTCGATCTTTAATGTATGGTTATGTGCATTTGTTGTGCTTAATGATGTATTGTGATCTCTCTGTGTCTGTTGAGGCAATCATGTTAATTGGCTCCTACCCGCCTTGTGTCCAGCTGCTGTGCATTGCACTGATTACAGCAGCAGCCTTTAAAACCAGACTGAGACCGACTACTACACAAGCCTGATGAAGCCTGTGAGGTGGATCGCATTTTTCTTTAACTAATAAATAAGTTTACATTCTGACTACGTTGTGTGTGGTGGAACTGTCTTCTTTTTAAACTGAAAGCATATTTAGTTTTAAAACAGTATACCTGAAACACACTTAAACACCTTTTTTTAGGTAAGGAAAGGGGTACGCTTACTATGAGTTGCTGCACTGTACTAGAGTTTATTCAGCGACTGCCATACTAACAATAACACAGCCTGATTTCCTCTTGGTGTACACATGGTTTTTACCAACATATAGTGTAGTTATGTCATTAATACATCTCCACCTGTCCCATCTAGCTTGAGCTGTAGGAGCCATTAGGAGGTGACAGTTTACAGTTTTAAGTTAAGGAGGTAATGGGGTGGGTTTCTTCACAGAGTGCTCCTCCTCTGAAAGCATAAATGCCCTGTGTTTAACTCCAATTAAAAACTGAAAACAAGAAGAGTTTGGCACCCCTGTTTAATATGCATTTTTATTTTCAAACAATAAAAGACAAACAATAACACATCATATGAATGTAAGGAAGCTTTAAATTAGTTTTTTTTAAACATTTTTAAAGAAACAAAAGAATTTAATCATGTCCTGAATTAATATTTTATCTATAGAGTTGATCTTTCATTCATTTGAAAGCATTGAAATCCATGAATTTACATTTTTTTCTAACTTGAGCTCACAATACCTAGGGTGAACTTGCATCTCAGCCTAATTCCCTTTTTAACTTCTTAATTTCTTAAGACATAGTTTTGCTTCCTGAGTATGATAGACCCGAAATCAATGTCCCTTATTGGGCCGCACTTCAGAATAGTTTTTGACTATCTGGGAGACCCTCACGACTTTAATATCTGGTTGTACGGCATCATAGTCTGACCACAGGTACTCTGGGGACAGCACCTTGGTGGGTTTGTTGTACAGCAGATACCTGCAGGACAGAGAGACAGTTAGCTTTGTTGTTACCTAATTCCTGTACACGCCACATCAAAAAATAATCCATACCAGTGACTGATATCATTTTGTGTTTTCTCTCTATTTTCCAAAGTACTAATAAGATCCAACAGGACAAAACAACATATACTGGTGGAAAAAAACTGACGGTAAATACAACTAGGTGGTCTTTTAATAAGGTTAACTCCTGCATCATCTTTAGAGAGTCACATTTGGAAAAAAAAACAAATGTTACTTCCAGTCTTAAGGGTTAACAAAAAAACGGTATGGCAACCTGCATCTTTAACCAACAAGATCATTTCATTCAGTGCTGATGTCCAAAAACTCTGATGAAATGATCACTTTAAGCTCCAAACAAGCATCCTGGCAATCATGTGGGGTTATTATACAGGTGTGTCTCAATAAATAAGAATATCATCAAAAAGTCAATTAACTTTAGTATTTCAGTTCAAAAAGTGAAACTCATATTATATCAATTCATCGCACATACTGATAAATTTTAAGTGTTTATTTCTTTTAATTTGACGAATGTAGCTTACAGTTTATGAAACCCAAAATTCAGTATCTCAAAAAATTTGAACTTCAAACCACTGATAAAAAAGGATTTTCAACACAGAAATGTTGCACTACTGAAAAGTGTGACTATCTGTATCACTCAGTTGGGGTCGGGGCTCCACATGAATCACTGCAGCAATGTGCGGGGTATTCCTTGGTTACTACCAACCTTACATATGCTGAGGTACGTAGTAATAATGAGCCAAGAAAAAGCAAAAACAGAGATCACGCCACTTGATAAGTTTATAAAAGAGGTCTGCTAAAGTTAAAGAACAACTCAGAATAATGCTTCTCTCTGATAGTGACCATGGTAACCCAAATCCAGTTTCTCTTTGACTCAGATGTGTGCGTGTGTAAACTAGTTTACACAAATTGACAAATTATATGCATAATGAGTAGGATTTAGAAATATTCAAATAACTGCCAAAACTGTCAAAGTAACACATGTTTGATCATCATATTGAATTCTTCACAGTACAGGACCAAATGGTGTGCTGGCTTAGCCACTACATCTTAGACAACACTTCACACTGGGTATATTTACAACTTTTTTGTGATTTACTTTGTTGATTATCATTAAACATGTAGAAAACACACTAATTAAGTGGTTCTAAACAAACCATTTTGCATATTAAATGTAGTCAAAAGCTTAAATCTGTGTGTCTGAAATATTGATGAATATGGATCACCTGAACAGTTAACTCACAAATTCATTCTGCTTATGTTTCATGAACAAGAAACACTTGAAAAAGGTTGTGCCACTATACCTGTTGAGATGACTCTCCTCTTGCCACGCAGCTTCAATCCCATTCTTTGCATCCTCCTCTGACTGCTCATAACAGTGTCTGATAAGAAAAACAGTAAACCTCATGTCATGATTCTGTTGACAAAGCCTTTTGAAACATTTCTTTTGAGAAAAGAAACACAGAACATGAGAGATCAGCTTAAGCATCTTTATCAAAAGTGAGATGATGCTCTTCAAGGCTGCCATAATATACTTTTACTGACATTCTGGCATTCAAAGACGACAAGTGGATCAAAAAATGATTTTATGATTCATATATGTTTCATATTTTATGGTCTTGATAGTTGCTGGGTGAAAATCCAACATTTTGGTAGCCCTAATGGTCTCATAATGTTATACACAGCGTATTCATATCCCTTTTGAGAAAAAGCATTTAAGTAACTTTCAGATAATGTGGGCTAGTTAAATTTGCTTACTTGACCAACTTGTACATGTCCTCAATGTATCCACCCCACACTGCAGCAGTGTAATAATAGTCTCCTTCATCAATAGGGATGTAGGCTTTGGACTCAGGTCGACGCTCATATGGGAATTGTTTCCTAGGTACGTTCTGGGTAATATACAGAATAAAGAATTACATTTTGTATTTGTTCCATTTTTATAATTGCAAGCCAACAATAAAGATAAGATAAGAAGAACTTTGTTCAGCCCTGAGAGGAGATTCGATTGTCTGGGTTCTCATGTCTCAAGTTTTATGCCATCTACTGGATTATTTACGGTCAAGTTATAGAGTCTGATGGATATGGGTACAAAAGATCTTTTGAAACTTTCTGTCCTGCATCGAAGTGAGAGAGAGGCCCATTGGTCCATCAAGGTGTTATGAAGTGGGTGATCCATGTTTTTTAGAATAGTCTCCAACTTCCTCAGTGTGCATCTCTCCACCATATCCTCCACTGAGTCCAACTTGATTCCAACCACAGAGCCAGCCTTTTCAATAAGTTTGTTCAGACGTTCTGCATCCTTGTGTTTTATACTGCCTTCCCAGCACACAGCAGTATAGAACAGAACACTTGCCACCACAGACTATGAGGCCCCTGTAGGTCCATCTAGCGCTCTGGTACTATGTGAGAGGTGTGTCTTGTTGGTTTCCCTCTGCACACCAATCAGTAACCATGCACACCTGGGCCCTGGGTGCTGAGGGTATTTAAGCTCCCACAGTTACTCAGATTCCCTCTCCTCGCAGGTACATGGTTTGGTTTGGTGTGGTATGGTGTGGTATGGTATGGTTTGGTAAGGGTCAAGTTAGTTTAAAGTTTCATTTTATGTTTACTTGGTACAACACCCTCACACACATCTCACAAACAACTGATTTTACAGATTTACACACTCCATTCTTTAAATATAATTTGGTTTATCATAATTTAAGAAATAATTATTTTTGAACATAGTACATGGTGTGTGTGTCTCCTCTTCTTTGTTGTGACCACCTGAGCCAGATCATCATACTCAGATGTCTATTGAGCAGAGTCTTCTCGGACGGCTCTGCCCCATTTTTGTAGATAAAGTCAACATTCTTCGACCGGTTCAACATATCCAGAAAAACATCTAGATATTTGTATGATGTCACGACCTCGATGTCCACACCACAAGTGTTTACTGGCTGAAGAGGGGGTTTGGATCTGCCAAAGGCGAAGATAATTTCCTTTGTCTTTGAGGTGTTGAGTAGGAGGCTGTCACAGTTCTGAAGAGACCCAAGTGCAGAATGACACCAAGACAGATGTAAGGCCAAAACACAATTTTAATGAGCATACCAAAAGGGCGAGTAAAAGTCCGTTTCAAAGTCAAAAACCAAAAACCAGTCAAAACAGGCAGAAGTACAGAGTCAAATGCAAAAATCAAAAACAGGGAACAGGCGGAATAATAAAATACTGGCAAGGCTTTTTTTTGTATTCCAGTTTTGTCATCCTCAGTCTTCTCTTCAACTCTTGTTGCACTTGTTTGAGACATTCTTTGCAATCGTCTTTAAAAGTTTTCTTTTTCTGGTTGAGGATTGCTTTTATGTCACTTGTGATCCAGGGTTTGTTGTTGGGGAGACAGTGAACAGTATTTGTAGGTATAACTGTGTCTCTACAGAAGTTAATGTATTCAGTAAAACGGTCAACCTGTCTGACAATGTTCATACTATCCACATCTGTTTCCAGCTGGCTTGAGGTGTCCATCTTATGATTTTGACTTTGGTCACAGGCTGCCTCGGCACACAAGGTTTTGTAAATGAACCAAGTTATGATCTGACTTGCCCAGTGGTGGTAAGGCAGTGGCTCTGTAGGCTTCTTTGACATTGGCATACAGCAGATCCAAGGTTTTGTTTTCTCTGGAAGAACAGTTTACAAACTCCGTGAATCCAGTCAGGTGAGGGGAGAGGGTGACATGATTCAAGTCTCCTGATACTGTTATTAGTGCCTCAGGGTGTTTAGTCTGTATCTTAGCAACAGTATCATGCAGAACATTGCACGTAATTCAAGTCGTTGACTTGGGTAGGATGTAAGCAAGTATTGTTACGATATGAATGAACTCCCCTGAAACATAATATGGCCAAAGAGCAACTGCCAACAGTTTAATATTTGGACAAGACAACTTCTCCTTAACAGTAATGTATGTGTGAAGAGTTACACCCTTTCTGGTTAACAAATAAAACCAGACTTTCTCCTTTCTTCTTGCCACTCGCTTAAGCATCTCTGTCTGACCTTATGAGAGTGAAGCCAGGTAGATCCACGCTGGAGTCCCAGTTGTTTGATGATGACTGATATGAGTAAGGGTTTATATCTCCACCTCTTAGCATTCAACCTTGCCATCACCTTCACACCAGCACGGATACAATGGTAACACCTTCCGATAACCTCCTGGACGTCCAGATTTGCTCTGTCTCAATGAAAGGAGCTCTCTTGAATTAACTCTTCTCCAAGCAGAAATATCCACCAGCAGCCAGCAAAAAGCAACAAAAATACGAAAAAATCGAGCAAAAACTGCACAGGGAGACCAGACTTGCAGCAACCTCTCGGTTCAAGCGCATCATTCTTTATAAGGATGGACAAGAAAAAAAAGTCCCTTGTGGCAATATTTTTCTGAGCCTAATATCAACTGTCTTTATATATTTGAGAGAAATTTAATTCACACGCAACAAGTTTTTCATATCTCTAAACTGTGATAGTGCATCACATGCAAATAAACTATAATAAAGACATGATATTGCCGTTATATGTGACTTATTGGACAACCTGCTCTCTCATAAAGGACATTGACATTCCTGAAAAATCAACATCAGTCCACCTCTGGTACATTATGATCAAATAAATGGATCCCTACAAAGACAACAAACCTTTTTTGCTGAAAACACAGCACACAACAAGACAAATAGGATGAGTATAATGTAAATATTTCTGTTAACTTTAAATGAATATATAAAGAAGGAGAAAATGGGACCTTGTAGTAGCCTCGGTGAAGCACAGCAGACAGCTTACTGAGAGACTCGCTTCCGAAGGTATTGTGGAACACACTGTCCACATCCATCATAAAAAGATAATCTGCTTCATCACGGAGCTGAGCAACATTGTAGAAGAGATAAAAGGATCATAGAGAGACTCAAGTGAATAAATGAAGATTTGATTGTCCATCATGCACGGTTTCACTCTTCCCCTCCTACCTTTTGCTCGATGGTGACAGTGGCCCACTTCATCCTGCTCAATACCACTTCCTGCCAGCGTTTGGCACTAGGGACAGGGAGGATTGAGATCCTCCGACCTTCAGCCAGTTCAATCTAGCAGGTCAAGTACAAAATTAGTACAAATGAATTACACCCGCTGAGTTATGGCGTCATCCAGCACAGTTTATCATGATGTTTAAAAACAAATCTAGAAAATATTTTAACAGCTCACTTTGGGAACGTCTTGTTCGTTGTCTGTGAAGATGTAGTAAGTGACCTTCAGGTTTACAAGGAAGAACTTTTCACCTGACTCCAGGAATTTTTTCAGGAAACGAGTGTATCTGTTCACAATGGGAAAATTAAGCCAGAAGGAGCATAAGTGCATTCAGAGTGGAAAAGATAACAGAGGACATATCACACAATTCATAGGGCTGTTAAAGACCCTTTCAGTCTCAAGGATGGGAGTAGTGATGCTATAGTATCAATATTCTGATATTTGCAAAGTAATCATTGGAATGGATGGAGTACTTTTAAAACAAATCAAGCCAGCTCTGTTCCTCCTCACCTTTATCATGTGACTGTAGAGACCAATCGAGTGCCTGATGCACAGACACACCAGCAGGAAAATTTCTATTCAGTCCTCATCAAACTTTGGCAATAAGCAAGAGTTCAAGAGTTCAAGCGCTGCATAGTGTGAGGCCATGGTTAAATATGGACCAAAACGATGATTAAATGCACAGTGTCTGACACTTAAGTCGCTCATAGTTCCAACAATCATCACTTGTTTAAACATTTCAAAGGTCTCCTCGAGTCAAACTGCAGCAGGAGACCAATGACCCCCTCTCTATCTGCTCTCTCACACACACATCCCTAAGACCCCCCCAGTTTGAAGAACATAAAACCACTACATTTAGGGTGCTCACTCTCTTAGCCTTACTCTTTTGTTTTTATTTAGTCTGCCCTTTACCTCTCATTTTTCCTGCTTCATCCTTTAGTTTTTCTCAGTTCTTTTGTCATTGACACGTGTTTTACATTTTGAAATTCAATAATTTTGCACACATAGTAGTCTTAGATTAAGTCTGTAACTTATTTTTCTTTAATTTCGAAAAGTCACTGAACGCCAAACAGTGGGCCTAAAGTCATCCTCTGAGCCAAAGCTTTGTTGTGAGACAGAAAGAGAATCCAGAGGATACTAAAGGTGTTGGTGTTGTATTCAGGCCTGTGTGCTGTGACCCCTGGATCAGCATTTGGCGTACTTTGGTCCTCTGCCGAGACAAACCTTTCAAACCGTCCGTAGCCCGGACCCTCTGTGAACCTCCTTCTTCCTCTCCAAGGACCAGCCTCGCTTGGGTATGCAAACCTCTAATTACTAATTGGAATAATCCTAAATTTATCCAAATTCACATCCAAATGTATCTCCAATTCACAGTTAATGTAGGTTAATATGTTAGTGCATATTCATTCACTATCATTAACTTAAACAGCCAGAGCCCAACTCCAAATCTTTCATTCATCCATCATTATAGTCATATCATTTGTTGCATTTATATTGTAAAATTGTTGATCCTGTAATAACTTCTTCATTTATTTTTCTAAGCTATTGTCTGTTAGTGTACTTTCAGAAGTGGGGTCCCTGAAATGAGAACTCTGGCTTAAGATATGAGATTGGTTCAATGGTTGCTCCATTGCTGAGTGCATGAATGTCATTTTTTAAGATTATTATTGTTATTGTTCTTTGGATCGAAAGGTTTTAAATTTCAGCTCCAAGTAGTGAACCACCCATATGATTCTGTGTACCTACTTGCCAACTGCAAGCACAATCACAGCGACTCTGGGGTCCTGTTGCTTATAGATTGCATCGATGAGAACACGATCAAAGGTTCCCTCCCAAACCAGAGGAGCGTTCCAGTTTGTCACGGAGTTCACATCAGTGCGTCTGAGGGAGAGAAAAAGAAACATGTGACTAGTTACTCAATGTACACCTGTATCTGAATTCAACTCTGAGCTGTTCCTGAAACTATAATCAATGGATTTTCTGTGAATCTTTACTGTATTCAACAAGTTGTGGCACCTGCTAGGGAGACACCATATAAAATCACAACCTTTCCTCTCATCACACACACCGGTCAGATATTAGTGTTTCTCTTGTTGCTCTGATATTCTGAGTTACAATGGTGTTTTCGCTTGTGTTTTTCTGGGTATCTTATGTAGTTTGCTGTAAATGAAGCTGCATTGATGCAAATCAAGTTTCAGACATAGTCTGACAAAAAAGTCATATCTAATCTAATTTAGTCATGTTCTATTTTTAAATCAATACTGTTGTACAGAGCAAATGCAGACCTGCACAAATTATCTGTTTTAAATTGTACACACAGGTTACTGTCTTGATTAAACAAGCAAAAACTTTTGTGTGCACAATTTATTTCCCTAAGCTTTGGACTCGATACTTGTTTACAGGTAAACATGGAAACAATATTTCTTACAAATTAGCAAGATACTACCTAAAGGTCTTTCCTTTCGGTCTGTTATAAGAAACACTGAGGTGTTTTTGAAATATTTGACAAAATCTTTCAACATGTTCTGCACTGTATGATGTTTTATCTGATATGCATCTTACCCTCTCTGTGTGCTTGGCTGGGCATAGTGCAATCTGTGAATCAAATTAAATGTAAGAGCTTTATTTTCCACAGAAAATGGAGTTAAGTTGAGAAATCAAAATAATCATTAAAGACAAAAATATTTGGCATTAACAAATGACATAGGCAAGCAAGCATTCATGAAAAGAAACAATCCCAAAAGACCAAATATACTGAAAATTATCACCTTGTGCTGCTCTGTTAAAAGTACTGTCAGGTTGTGCGCCCCTGAGTCATACCATGTGTAAATAAAGTGTCTGTTAACACCTTTACATTATCCAGTTCTAAATTACTGTTTTAAAACAGAGTATAGCATTTTGGAGGTCCACAATCTGGTTTTCAAGGGGGCAGAGCTAAGCATGTTCAGACCAACACTAATCTGTGTTAATCTGTTCCTGATTACATGTCCCTATGATAACGACTTATTTACTGGAATCTATGTCCAATGCAGTACAAACAGATAAATCTTTTATTTATAGTACAAAGCACCACTATTCACAAAGCAACCATTGAAAAGCAACATTTCTGGTTACTCAACCACTTTGAGTAACCAGAAATGTTGCTGCCCGCTGGTCATTCACAGCACACAGTTCCAAGGTGTCATCACTTGCTTTACCTCTGATAGTAATGGGGGTTAGTTAGTCCAGACATCGTTTAAACGTTGTTGTTTTTTTCCCTCTCCTAAAATAGAGTATAGTCTCACCCGGGCTGCATTTTTAGGTCTCCAAACCTCCTGCTCTTGTCTTCTGGGCAATGTTGCTTTATCAATTCGTCATTGGTCAGAGGTGCCTCAGGGTGATGCTCACAAATCGGGCAGCTTCAAATAAAATATTTATAAAGCAAATAAAAAGACAGATGAAATAAGGGTCTCAAGAATCATTGTGTTTCTTCTACAATAACCTCCATTGCAATGATTACATCAAGAAATATGAGTTCTAACCATCAAGTGTAATTTATGGGATGTAGGATACAATCATTTTGCAAGTATTTTAAACTCATGTTGGACAATATCTATATCAATTCCAATATGTACACATTTTATTTATTTTATTTTCATTGGCAAGAACACAAATTTTCCCTGATAATAGAGTGAACTTGTTACAGTCTTTCTTTGTGCTTCAGAAACAGACATAAATTAAGACAAACACCATTTGATTTCACCATAAATGGTGAATATATTTTTATTAAATATAGATATTCATTAAGTAATACATCTGCTGACTGTTTCCAACACTTTAATACACCTCCACATAGCCAACATGTGTAAACTAGCTTTGCATGCACATAATGATGCATCCCCCTTTTTGGATGATAATTACATCCGCAGCCATTTTCATACCCACTGATATTTACAGTTGACTTATTAAGCCATTAGCTCATGATGTAGGTATGATGCCGATGGTACTGTGCAGCCCTGTAACTGTAACAGTTTACATCCACTCCTACCAGCAGCTACAGAACATTTATTAATACTTTAGCTGGACTTTCTTGAGCTGAAAGGTTTATTTAGTTCCCTGTTACGTCTGTGGGACAGAAAACATACCTGAAATAGGATATGTTGTCTTTTAAGGAAATATACATCACTCTGTGGAGACACACAAGCAAACAACAGTTAGTCAAAATGATTATACACCAGAGTATGAAATGAACCCTTTGATTATTCACGTTGTCTTTGCTCTGCACAAAAAGAACTATTGTACACACCTTTGACAACATCCGTATTCTCGTACAAATACCAGGACCCTTTAATTATCGAACTTTTCTCCTGTTTATTAAATTCTATTTGATTTCATAACGGCTATTCAGAAAACACGGTCAAAACCTTGGGTTAGTTCTCTGTCAGTGGTCTTTCTCCTTTTACTTTGGATTTTCTTCCCTGTCCTTTTTCCTCAGGTGAATAGCTTAATAAAACTTTGCTAACCATGTCATATCCATGATGTAAGTGATGTAAAATAACAATAAGAGCTCTTGTTGATGCATGGTGTGCTTTTAGCAGCAATTGTTCTCAACAGTTAACAGGTTGACTCCTCTCCACCGATAAGCACACAAATACAGGAAATATTCTCAACATTTCTAGTTAAAGATCCTCACTGTTCTCTGATGAAACATTTCCTTTTTTTACTGTGAAATATATTATTCATTTTGAAATTTTCATGTGGAAATCATAAAATCAGGGCTGCCTCTTCAGCTGTTCAGTTGACACCTACCCCCTTACACCAGTTTTGGGGTTTTGTCATTTAAAATTAGAATATAAAATTGCCAATCTTGCCACTGATGGTCTTATTTACATTTGCATATTGAAATATAATATTATTACATTAATAAAAAAGCCACCAATATAAATCAGTCTATTTTATAAATGTCAGAAATCTCCTCACAGAGCTTTCAGGTGGACCAGCATTCCCCTAAATGTTGTTAGATTTTTCAGAAAGGTTTCCCAGAATCTTTAAAAACATCTTTGAAGAAAGTCCTAAACTATAAATGTCTAATAGTGCAATAGTGGATTTAACCCACCATTTAAAAAAAATATTCCAAATTATATGTGCAAAGTAATGTTTGACCATTTAGGTCAAGCACCTCTGAGGGCTACAATCTTTATCTTTGCATTCTCACGAAGGCTCCATTGAAATAGTCAGACTAATCAAATAATAATCATCTTGAGCAAACATCTACTATGACCATGGCACACCATCACATAAGGAGACTTATGACTGATGACTCATGACTCTGTTCAGTTATGGTCCACTGATAATTACCCTTGTATTAACATGAAGTGTATTGATTCATGTATCATATAATGTTGGCTTTAAGGTGACGAAAGTCTAAAGTTTGTGTTTCTAACAGCTGATTTTCACTGAACAAAGTGGTTGCATATGCATAAAGAGGGTAATGTGTAACAATTTATTAACAAAGAATAAAGATGCAGTCACAGAGGGTCTGCATGAAATGACTTTTTGAAGGATTTAAAGTCCAATGTTTTTTTAGAATTATTGGTTATATATATATATATATATATATATATATATATATATATATATATATATGTTTATTTTTTGTGTTTTGAGTTTGTGTTGTTTTTCCTGATATTTTGTGGAGTATAATCTTGTTTTCCAGGTTTGATCTCTTAACATTTCTTATGTTATCAGGAGACCTACAGTAAGAAAAATATAATACCTTGCTGCTAAAAAAGGCAGCAGATTTTATTTCTCTTTGAAAATATCTTGCAGGTTAAACATGTAACTAACTGGTAATATTTCTCACGTAGTAAAACAAAAGACCAAAAAAAAAATAATAATTAACCCAAATATGAATTCTAGAAATAAAGCATTATATTCAAGTCACTTGGTGAACATTACAATATTTGTTTGTACTAATTTTTCCATCTATAAGGACATGCAGAGAATATTTGCAATTATTTACATATTTACAGCATATCACCACTTTTAATAATAATTGGTAGCGTGATGGATACGTCTTACCCCAAAAGAGCCAGAAGAATAATTAAAATGATCAAAATATGGTTCCTGGAAATGTAGCCCATCTTCACTGCCTCGACATGAGCAGACAGATAGTTGCTGAGGCTAAAACAACTCATCCCAGTGCAACACAATGTGCTGCGTGGAGTATTTACATAGCACACAGGTGAAGGTTCTTCTGACAAAGCATTGAGTCAAATCAAGGGAATAGAGTTAAAGACGGGGATGAGAGGCATGTTGAACTCAAAACCTTGAAATTTGCATGAAATTTCTGATTCATTTAAGAGCAAAGCCATCAAATACTGTGTGCAATAAAAACAAAATACTTCACTGACTTAGAGCAGTTTGTCTGAGGATACTGGTTTACTTAAGGCATAAAACATCACGTTCAGTCGCATGCAGTTTATGGCCGAGTTGAGAGCTGCTTTTGACATCTTAAGTTTCATTAAAATACATGATTTTATGATTTAATGCTTTATATGTTTAGACAAAAAAAAAATATATTTTTTTTTTGAGGAGCTTATAGGAGTCTATACAAAATGGCTTTTTTAAACCATTCCATTTACCATGATTTTAACATGTTTGAAGAATACAAGCTTGGAAACTAAAACGGAAACTCGAATGTCAGCTGTTAAATGAATAGAGAACTGCTGCTGCTGTTCTGGGGAGGGTCAGAAGTGTTAGAGCTAGGGTCTGTGGATTAACAACAGCTTTATGCTTTGGTACATATAATTATACATTATATTATATTATATTATATTATATTATATTATATTATATGTTACACTAACATTACAATCAAGGAGGTTAATCCATATGTATAGAGGACCACAAGGGTCACAGAAATTGTAATATAGTGTTTCTTTAATTTAAAAAGCAATTGTACCATCAAAAAAAGGAATTAATAGACAAATGCTAAACTGCATGTTAGCATGCTAAAATATTTCTCTTCTAACAGTTCTATGGCCTGGATGAAAACCACGTTTTTCCTCCTGAATCTGAGGTTCGATTATCTGATGGACCCTCTTCTCCAGTGTCCAGCTTTGGGAGGGAATCAGGCACTGTATTATTCTTTTTCGGTACTCTTTCTTCTGAACATTTAAGGAAGGGGTTTCTATTGTGTCTTGAACTGAAAGACCTGGATTTGAACCCAGGAGTTTTCACTGAAAGGTGGGGACCTTATCCAATATATCACAGATGATTAGGGTCTTTTAATATTACCTTTCACTGAGCACACCTTAAAATGTACTGAGAGATCAGCTGTGTTTCCATGGAGCACTGTTGTCCTCAATGAGAACACATAATCCTTTCATAGAGTAGCAGCAGCCTTCATCAGTAAACTCAAAGTTTGCCTGGCAGTGCTTGCATTTTTAGGTCCTTATTACCACTACTTTTTGACTGTGGACATTGTTCTGGGCTGAAATAAAACGTCACTATCCTGCATTTGAGCCAAGAATCCTATCATGGAAAGGCGGCAGCTTTAACCACAGCATCACAGGTTAGCCTAGCTGTACTTGCTTATCCAGGTGCTATTTACTTAAATTCTTTGACTGATAAAGTTCCAAACCACAGGTTAGCATAGATGTGAGATCAGGTGTCTTTTCTTAGATCACAAGGTGTGCCTCTGTCCTAGTTTTGAACCCAGGATCCATTTACTTTTATTTTCTAACCAAGACAGTTCAAAAAATTCACAGCTTAACATTGAGGTGGGGAGAGTTTTTTTTTTATTTTTTATTTTTATTTCTGCATTACATGAAGTGCCATGAAATGCCTCAGTGCTGGGTTTGACCCCAGAATTGATTCACTGAGAGGCAGCAGTCTTCACTGCTATACATTACAGGTTTTGCTGGTAGTGCTTGATTTTGTAAGTGATATTTACTATAAATTTCTGATTGTAAAGGTTTAAAACAGCTTAACTTATATACAAAAATGGCTTCTTGTCTCTTAGCTCACATGTAGTGCCATTATCCTGGACTTGAACCCAGACCCCTTTAATAGAGAGGCAACAGCCTTAGTCACTCCACTACAAAATTACCTGACAATGCCTGCTTTTCAAGTTAAATAAAGCAACTCAATCTGTATGTTTAAAAAGCATGTTGTTTCTGGCTGACATGAATTGCCTCTGCCCGGAGGCGGATTAAGGTTTGTTGGAGATCCGGGGCTGACCGGTACGGCAAAACAGAAATGTGTGTGCACACACACACACACACACACACACACACACACACACACACACACACACACACACACACACACCACTTACAAACCATCATATTTGTATAGCACTGACTTTGTAATCCCTCAATAATCCCACTTGAGACCATTTAGGGGTGGTGTGACATTCAACATGTCATTTTATGACAGTAGTAGAAAGTTAACTATTTGAGACTAAATATTCTTTAGAGAACTGAGTCTGATTGTTGGCTGTGTATCCTTGTTCTCTTCCTGTTCATACAGTATGTCCAAAAGTTAAGAATATACAGTGATACTGATATGTGTACAAATAGCAATTTTGGAGAACCATCAATACAACAACAACAGCAACATAATAATAATAATAATAATAATAATAATAATAATAATAATAATAATAATAATAATAAAATGTTTTTATTATTATTGTTATCACTATCATTATTATTGTTATATCTTTGTTGCACAGTATAATGTGAACTTCATTTGCACCAAGTGTTGGGGTGTCAAGACTCTCTAGGTGGGATGGAGGACTTGATCAGAGCATCCTCTGCTGGACAATTGTTGTTAATGTTTTAATACTGACAGTTTGACTGTTAAAGATCAGTCTCGCCTCTACCGAGGCACCTCCTGGAGAAAAGCTAAAAAAAAAACACCTTTTGATTCCCTGAATCAACGAGATAATTATCTCTGTCTCAGCTAAGACCATGAAAAAAAAACTGTTATTTGAGTCACGAGAAATATATTTTTTAAGATAAATAATTTTTACTCTGTTTTTCCCAATTGAGGTAGTACTGATTCCTCAAAATCCCAATGGAAGCCCAGAACCACAACATAATCTCATTGTTCAACTAAAAGTGTTATTTGAGTTTAGGGTTTGGGGCAGATACTTGTGTCTTTCAGTAGCGTGGCATCTTCACTGTTTGCTGTTGGCATTTGATTGTTGATGTTGCTCTGCATTTTTTTCCCCAACAGCTCTGATCTGCTGGACATTGTTGTATTTCCACTGATCTACTGAGCCAGGGAACCATGCTTTAGGTAAAACCGCTAAAATGATGTATCTCAGCTACTTGTCCAACTGAGGAACTGTACCTTATTAATTCAGAAAAACAGATGGAGCTCCGTTTTTTCACTTCACTTCACTTCAGCTTTAATATGTCCCCAAATAGGTTGCAGCAGGCACAGGCATTGAAAACACTGCCATACATCATAAAAGAACGTAAAAGAAAATGCATTTACATAAAAAACAACTCAGAAGATAAAAAGCATTTAAGACGATTTAGAAGGTAAAATAGCACATGTCAGTCATGCCATTTTTGCATGAGCAGAGTGCACAAAAAATGCAGAAACATTATAAAAGCCAGTCTGGAAATTTGAGATGATTGTCTTGTTAATCAGAAAAAAAAACAGTTTTGTTTTTTTAATTTATAAACATAATTCTGAGATAATTGCCCTGTAAACTGAAAAAATAGTTTTTTTTCTGCAATACAGTACACTTCTATCAGTTCCTGCTAAATTTCTAAACATAAAATCTTCAACTTTTTTTCATTTCTCTTTGATTGGGTTTGATATGATATTTTGCTCTGTTATGGGCAAAACAAAATAACCTCAAAGTAACTGAATTAGTTCATTGTAGAGATAACGCCTTTTCGTTTATGGTATATCGCAGCATTTGCCGTCAACTTCTTCAGTCTTTAGGTCATCAATGTCATTTTCTATTCGTTTCTTTTCTCTGTAGTGCTTATCTATCACCTCTACTTCTGTGCTTGGCTCGTGAACGTGCCCGCTCGCGCAGCGTTGCGCGTTCCTTTCCATCCGCGTGCCCGTGGGTAAGCCCGAGTGTCTACGCCGAGGGGATCCATCAGGGAGAGAAATGCCATCAAAAATCATTGAAACTGAAGTTCAAGCCATGGATGAAGATGTGGACACTGTTGTTGAGGCTAAACCCAACAAGGTGAGTGGAAAGGGTCGTGTCGAGGTCCGTGTCTCCCTCGAAAATACGAAAAAATCCGCGGAGCTCGTGCGACGTCCTTCCTCGGCAGCTCCGTGTTTGACAACATGTGGCTGAGCGTGCTAACCTGAAACCTCGGCTAACAAGCTAAATATTAGTGTGACACCATTTCCACGGCGACACTGGCGGTATTTCTGCTTTTTTACATGATGTGTTCAACATCGGTCCGTGTTGATTAAAGAAACAATGATCTGTTGAAGTAATACACTGTGAAGCTAGCCAGTTAGCCTAGCTTGGTGATCACATGGGATGCCCATGTGTTCGTGTGAGTGGATCTGTACATGCGGCGTGACAACGTGGAGGCCTTTTAAAGTTGCTGCTCCCAGCTGTGCGTGTCTGCGCTGCTGTGGGCGAGGCCTGATGACGGGGTTTGCAGCGGAGTAGTCGACGAACAAAACAATTAAAACATGTCAATGTAAAGTACAGATCTTCAAGTTGATTCGTAATATATTTCAATAAACATCCGAAAACAGTAAGGAGAAGGCAAAGTGTGACTACTGAGAAGTATGTCCGTTAAAGATGAAATGTTGATTTAGAGCTCTACAACATTTACGGACATGAATGAAACTTAATGTTAGCACGATAAATGTATTTACGGGTTTATAAACAAGTATTTCATCTGATTGACATGATAGCACCAATTTTAAAATAGTAAATAATGAATGTTTTCAGGAGATTTACTGAAAAGGTGCCGATATTAATTTTCAATAAAAAGCTTTGCTAATGATATTTACTGACATGTTAACAAAAGGTCTGCTTCGCGCAGAAACAATCATGTGCTGAATTGAATCAATCATGAATCTGAAGCAGTGCCACACGGCAGAGCACACGCGATGCAAAAGGTTACGAACCCCAAGTGGAGAAAGGAGCCCATGAACCTGAAGCCTGTGCAGGCGTTGAAACGCTTTCTTTTGCGCAACCCCTTTTGACCAAACGTCTAAGAGACACAAAGACCATTTAATTTTCATTTAAGAGTAACAGGGAACATTTAAGATTGACAAGTGATTATTTTGTATCGTGATATATCGATATATCGATATCGAGTGATGTGAAAAAAAAATATATGGTATGATAAACTTTTTCCCATATCGCCTAGCCCTACTGAGAAAATAACAGTAAACAACAAATCGAAGGAGCAAAGATACTGTATTTTTCTCCTTGGTGAAACATTTTCATTTTTCGTTTAACTTTTTTTTTTTTTCCTTGATATCGATAAATATCTAGATCAAGGAGGGCAAGAAGCTGAAGAAGAAGAAGCAGGTGGAGGACCAGGTTGAGCAGGAGGACCCAGACTGTGAGCCTCCTGCACCAAAGAAGAAAAAGAAAAAAGACAAGCTGGCTTTGGACCAAACAAGTGACCTGACAGAAGAGACTACAGACATGAATGGAAACACAAATGGTGTTGAAACACCAAAGAAGAAGAAGATAAAAAAGAGCACTGAAGAAGACACAGAGGTAAGTGCTATGTTAATACATAGTTAGATAACAAGCTTTGATTTCTTTTTTTAATAAAGCCGCAAAGTGGAACATATTTGGTCTAAACCAGTAGATAGTAAAAAAGCCAGAAAGATGAAAATCTGAATTGTGCATAAAACACAAGTTACGTTTTTCTTTATGCACCATTTTACACAAGAAACATTGAATGATGTCTCTGCTCTTATGTTTGGTTCAGAAAAAAAAGAAACAAAAGAAAGCAACTGCAGAGGAACCAACTGCAGAGGAACCAACTGCTGAGGAACCAATCAATGGACATTCCACCCAAAGCACTCCCGCTCCAACGCCGTCCCAGTCCAGCGAAGACTCGGCCAGTGACAGCGAGAAAGAAACGGTATGACGTATAACCTAATAGTGGGAGTTTTTAACCACACAGGAGAATCTTAATTTGTAGGAGTCATATTTTGCTTCTACAACAGTGATTTAACTCGGATTATTGCATAAATTGGTTGCAACCTGCCTTAGGAAAACAGGGAAGTAAAGGCACAATAGTGTGGTTAGAAAGACTGCTCAAGGAAAGCCTGTCCAGGTTTACAGACGGCTCACAGAGGATTGTGGAATTCAGTATAAATGAAGTCACACTTAAGATTGGAGCATAGATTTGAAAGTATCTGACATTATGAAAGTCAGCTGTAGGGTAAGTGAACACTGAAAAAGACTGACTGTGTTGGTTTGTTTAGGAGCTGACGCCAGAGCAGAAGGAAGGGGCCTTCTCCAACTTTCGCATCTCACAAGTCACCATCGATAAACTCAAAGGTAACGCTGTATTTGCATTTGTGTGCGTAAGCCTTGTGTATGTACAGAATTAGACATGTTTTTCAGTCCTCACAAACAGAACATTTGTCTGTAAATGTGGTGATCAGATCTGCATTGATGTTCGATCTGACTCTTCTGTAGAGAAAGTTGGCTTTATAGAGCGAACAGGGCTGCAGAGCTGCTGAGGTGTGCTTGATAATAAACTACTGTTGATCCCCCACCTTCCCCCTCGCTATATCTGTTAACTTTCTCCCCCATTGCACTTTCTGCCTCTTCTTCAGCTCGGGGAGTCTCTTACCTGTTTGACATTCAGGTGAAGACATTCAATCCTGTGTATGATGGAGAAGATGTAATTGCCCAAGCCCGAACAGGGACCGGAAAGACTTTCTCCTTTGCGATTCCCTTGGTGGAAAAGCTTCAGAGGGAAGGGGAAGCACCTGTCAGAGGCCGCGCACCTAAGGTACACACACGCACACTTCAACACCCATTAGTGAAGTTGTTCACGATACAGATTTTGCTTCCATTAAACCTCCCCCACATTTACAGAGGAGCCTATGTTGTCCGTATTTTTGTATTGTGGATACAGACCAAGCGTTGCAGCACCACTAAATCCGGTTATTGATCTGGTTATGGATTACAATCACTCTATCAGAAAGATAAAAAGTGAAGACACAACCACACAGACAGAAGAGCGTGACAAACAGCTCATGTAGGCGTTTGCTGTGTTGTAGTTTCTGGTACAGCAGTGAGACTGATACCTTTGATATCACTATTTCACTCCCCATTGCAGATAAGTAGAGTCAGTCCCACTACCAGGAGCAGAGTATGTTTGTGTATGACTGAGTCTTTTTCTTTTCTGCCTGAAGGTCCTGGTGTTGACTCCAACCAGAGAGTTAGCTATCCAGGTGGCCAAAGACTTCAGAGACATCTGCAAGAAACTGTCCCTGGCCTGTTTCTATGGAGGCAGCTCATACAACCCGCAGCGTAAGTCTCATTCACAACCGAACTCCCCCCCACCCCCAAAAAAAATAATAATAATGATGAATTGATAGTTCTGTTTTTTTTTGTTTTTGTTTTTTTTTAAAGAAATGCCTAAAAAACAATGACAGAACTTTTTGAACCCGGGCCTATTTTTCATTTTTCACACATTTAAAGCGATTGTAAATGACAGCTCTCTTCGCTCATTTCCAGTCGATGCTATCCGTAATGGAATTGACATTTTGGTTGGGACCCCCGGCCGCATCAAAGACCACATCCAGAACCACAAACTGGACCTCACCAAACTGAAACATGTTGTCCTGGATGAGGTGGATCAGATGTTGGACATGGGATTTGCAGAGCAGGTTGAAGAGATTTTGGCTTCATCATACAGCAAAGGTAAAGAAAATAAACGTGTGTGTTGTAGTTTTTGAAGAAGTCTTCTTAGACAGTCTTTAAAGCACAACCAAATCATGTCGAGTCAAACAAGTAAAAAAATTTTAAAAAGTCCATCTGAAGTAATGTGTGCTCATTTGTATAAATCTGTGTGCTCCCTTCTAGACTCTGACACCAACCCTCAGACTCTTCTGTTTTCGGCCACCTGCCCCCCTTGGGTCTATGAGGTGGCTAAGAAGTACATGAGACCAGAGTGCAAACATGTTGACCTGATCGGCAAGAAAACAAAGAAAACTGCAACGACTGTGGAAGTAAGTGTGTCTGTGTGTTTTTCTGTGACTGGGACAGAGCTGAAGGAGACTGCAGGGGCAGCCAGAGCATGTTAGACTGTCAAACCTGCGGACTTTTAGCCACATTAGAAAAGAGTCATCGTTTTTCGACTGCTGGATTGTTAAGAATGTCTCTTCAGTCCTTGGGTCCCTCTCTTTATCTTCTGTCCTACCTCCTGTCTCCTCTGTAGCACTTAGCCATTACGTGCCACTGGTCTCAGCGTGGAGCCGTGATAGGCGATGTGATCCAGGTTTACAGCGGCAGCCACGGCAGAACAATCGTGTTCTGTGAGACGAAGAAAGAGGCCAACGAACTGTCCATGAACACATCCATCAAACAGGTAAACATCTCCACATGCTTCCTGAAAAAACCTCAACTAATGAGAGATTTTGAAAGCCTTGTAACAGCACTGGAAGGATTTAAGAGCTGATTCTGATGTTAAGAAGGGATTTTGAAAAACTTATGTTTAAAAAAAAAAACAAAAAAAAAAGTGTGAATTCTCCAGTGTTTATTTTGTTTGCCTGTTTTCAGAGTTCCCAGTCCTTGCATGGCGACATTCCCCAGAAACAGAGAGAGATGACCCTGAAAGGTTTCAGAAATGGGCTTTTTGAGGTTCTGGTGGCCACCAATGTTGCAGCCCGTGGGTTAGACATCCCAGAAGTGGATCTTGTGATCCAGTGTTCTCCGCCCAAGGTGTGTTTGTGACCAGTTGTAAATCTAAGCAGAGTTACTTTTGCATTTTATTTTTGCATTTATCTGAAGTATCGGTCTTTGTTGTGCAGGCTTTGTGGCTTTTATTCAGGGAGTCAGGTCCAATCTTTACATTACACTGTATTTGAGAACTTGTGAATGTGAGAACAGCTGATTGACACTAGTTGATGAAGAAAGATGAAATGATGCTAAAGAGACATGTTATCATAAATGTGGCTAAAAAGTGTCCTCCTCTGTGGTCTGGTTCAGGATGTGGAGTCCTACATCCATCGCTCAGGACGTACAGGCCGAGCAGGCAGGACAGGAGTCTGCATCTGCTTCTACCAGAGGAAAGAAGAGGATCAGCTGCGCTACGTAGAAAACAAAGCAGTAAGTGTCTTTTCAGGTTCGGTGAAATTATAAGAGGAAGCGAACGGCGGCAACTATGCTCAAACAAAAAAAACGGGCAAAGATAAACTGGTGGAGGTGGAGAGGATGAGGAAAGTTTTCAGAGATGAAATACAGCCTTTGTGAATGTACTTCAAGTATTTCTGTGAAGTGTTAATCTTAAAACATGTATGTGGTGTCGCTGCAGGGTATCACTTTCAGAAGAGTTGGCGTTCCCACTGCCAATGATATCATCAAATCATCCAGCAAAGACGCTGTCAGGTGGGTCATTCTGGAGCATGAGAGCTGAGCAAAACAGAAAACTACCAATTTTTTAAAACACTATTTGAACTATTAGACACTGCAACATGACCTGGTTAGTCTTACATTGCTATTAAAGTAATTCAAGCCCCCTTCAGACATGCACAAAGTTCTTGGAAATTTCCCAAAGTTACTCTGGTGAGCTGCACAGACACAGCTGAGTTTGCGGCTCGAATCAGTAACAGGGGTGGTTGGTTTATTGTATTTATTCATGTTTTCAGGATATAAACAGGGATACTCTAGCTGTAAGAATAGGCAGCATGTGTCAGTATACACATATTTAAGTTTTATTTGAGACTTTAGGAGAAGTGTATGCATCAACATTCCCCCTATCAAATGATGCGTTCAGTACAGAATCGCTTGATATCACACTGCGACTCTCCTTATTTGTACTGTGAGAGATGTAGGAGTGTGATTTGATGCTCTACTGCACAGTCTGTCATTAAGGTTTACAGAGAAGCTTACTTCCATAGACTGATGTCCTCTATCAAATAGTACTCCCACAGGTGACAAGCTCAACAAATGCCGAGAGCCACTTAGTAGCGCGTATCAATTTTGCACAATCCACCATTTTAAAGCCAGAAACAATACACTTTATTGACAATAGTACAGCAATGAATTTACAGGCAGGCACATACTCCAAGGAGGAGTTTGAGAGGGAAACCAAAACAAAGCGAATAAGATTTAAAGTAGATAAAACTTCTGGAACTAGAGCTGCGGCCTCAGCAGGCCTCTGACCTTCAGACATCATTCCAGTACCAGTCCATGAAACAAATGAGGGACAAGTTTGTAAAGATTAATCTCTTTATGGTGTCCAGGTTTCTCGACTCCGTTCCGGTCACAGCGATCGGGTACTTCAGAGCGTCAGCTGAGAAGCTGATTGAAGAAAGAGGAGCAGTGGACTCTCTGGCTGCTGCCCTGGCACACATTTGTGGAGCGACAAGCCTGGAGCAGAGGTCGCTGCTCACCTCAGATTCTGTGAGTTTGATTGAGATATGATTTGATCGACTGTTTTTGTCAGAAGCTTACACCAGTATTCTTAAAACCATCGACTGTGTGTGATGTGGTCCCATTCAGAATTCAAACATGCTGGACCCCATCAAAGTCTTGCACAGCCCTAATTTAACCTGACTCATTGTTTCTGCTGTTTGTTTGTTTTTTCAGGGTTACACGACGATGCAGATGGAGTGTTCTCAGGAGATGCATAATCTGGGATACGCTTGGAAAACTATCAAAGAGCAGCTTGGAGAACAGTTTGAGAACCACATTCACAGGATGACCTTCCTCAAAGGAAAAACAGTATGTACACACTAATGACTTAACGACAGTGTTTTCTGTTTTTCATTTTCAAATCACTTTCTCTTTTGTTTGTGTGACCATGGGTGGTTTTCCTTTCATCTCAAGGTTCAAAATCGGGTTTAAGGGGTATAAACTATAAAAGGCATGGTTAGGCTGCAAACGGCTCTGTTCAAACAAAAGCAAGTTAATGTGTCAGATGTTCTCTGTTCGTGTGACCATGCCTGTTGCATCCCTCAGTCTGATAGCCCAACTTGAAGTAGCTGACTCAGATCAAGACAGAAACACTCATCAGTTCCTGTTTTGTGTTTTTACAGGGGGTTTGTTTTGACGTCCCAGTTGACAAAGTGAAGGAGATTCAGGTGAGCATACCAGGGAAAAAAAATAAACCTCTTCATCATGTACAGAATCTGTATTAAGCTTTTCATGATCAAAGCGTCTGTAAAACTCCGAGTCAAACATTAGCATTGTGAAAGGTTTCTTCTCAACGTTGATCAATCCCTCTATCTCTTCCCTTCAAACTTGACCCATTAACAGGACAACTGGAAGGACGGTCGCCGTTGGCAGCTGACCGTAGCTACAGAGCTACCTGAGCTGGAGGAGAAGCAATTCAGTAACCGTGGTGACAGAGGCTCTGGCGGGGGAAACAGAAGAGGAGGGTTCAGAGGAGGAAGGGGCCGAAATTTCGGAGGAAATGGTGGCCGCGGTAATGGCGGCAGGTATGGTGGCGGTGGCCGCAACAACAACAGCAGCAGAGGAGGACACAAACGCAGCTTCAGCCAGGCGTTTAATTAGTAGGGTGTCAACGTCTGGACTTGTAATACTGACTTATTTTATTGGCTGTCAGTGAGGGGATCAACGCAGAGTCAGGGGAAATCTCCATTATGAACAGAATCCCTCAATATTATGACATTTATACACTTTCAATAAACAACTTCAGCTCTGTGGAAATAAAGTTATCACTTAGATTTTTATTTCCAAGAAGTGGACAGTATATTGACAAAACTGGAGCTGGCAGCCGGCTCTGTAGTGCCTGATGTATTGATCTCTTGTATGCACTCTAGTTAAAACTCATGACACGATGTGCTCTTTGCTGACTCACTGAAATCAGCTGTTTTTCCTGATATGGTAAGAGATAAAAGCTTAGTGTCACTTAATGAGGTTTAGCTGAAGTGTTTCTGTTTTTATCATGAGTGTTTGGGGAATGGTGGCAGCATTCATACTTGTGTAAAACAGAGGCCCACTTTTCTAACTGACCTACACTCTTCTTGACTTCACACGGAGGTGAGGAGTGAGGAAACAGCTGATAATCTTGACAGTTTTACTCTATGTATGATTGCTGCCTTAACCTCAGTTTAAACTTCTGTCCCCAAAAGTACATTGGATGATTGCTTTGCAATTGCCTCTATTTAATTCCTGTGTCTACTTGTTTCCATTCAATTGAATGAAATGACTTCTTCATTAAAAAAAGGTCAACTCAGTTTCTTGTCTCTTTATCAGCTCATTTTTAAATTGTGACGTTTCAGGAGCAAATTAAAGTGAATACTAATCGAGAGAGCCTAATCATTTGGTTTGGATCCTGGCAGAGCTAATAAAAAGGACACTTTGCTGAGCATATTTCATTAAAAACACAGCTAATATACCGTATGCCTTTATTACCTCCTCCAAGGAGGTTATGTTTTCGGTCGCGTTGGTTTGTTTGTTTGTTTATCTGTTAGCAACTTTACGGAGAAAGTTACAGACGGATTGACCTGAAATTTTCACCAGAGGTGTGTCTCAGCCCCAAGAGGATCCCATTTAATTTTGGTGGTGATCCGGATCGTCTTCTGGATCCAGGAACTTTTTGAAGGATTCTTTATCATTGTGATATAGGGCAAATTTTGGAATTTTTGCATTTAACTCTATAAAAATGGTTAGAGTCTTTAGTAAAAAATTACACAAAAGGATCTCAGTGAGATTATGAGGTGTCAAAGGTTGATCCTGATCCAGACAAAATTCCGGATACTGTGATCCAGAACACACAAAAATAAGGGTGACGTTGGAATTTTCAATGCTGAAAGATAACCAATGGGCGGCACACTGGTGAAGTTGTTAGCACTGTCGCCTCACAGCCAGAAGGTCCTGGGTTCGAATTCGGGTCAGGGCATTTCTTGTTTTAGGAACAGTGAACATACCAGTTTAAACACAAATAAAAGTTAATAAAAGACACGTAACAGAAAAAGTTTTGGTGTGAATCACAATATAAGGGGGGACATGAGCTGCTTGGCGGAGGTCTGCGCTCTCCGAGTGCTTTTCTAGTTGGAAAAGATGTGATGGGCAAGAAGTTTAATTATGTTTATTTGTTCAATCCAGTTTGGTAGTTTACAGTTTTTAAAGACTTTGAGAGTTAATTCAGACATTGTCTTTTACAATTGGTATGCATGGAGTAATCACACTGACATGATATGAGAAAGGTAACTGAAAAACATAAATTTAAATTACATCAGAAACTTTTCAGGGTTTAAAATACATCAACAATAAAATCTTAAAAGCATTCCTCAATATTTTATGTGCAAATGGGACATTTAAAAATCTCTGTAGGATGGGTGGTTTGCAGAGAGCAACAGTCGAGTATTAAATAACCTAAATACAGAATATTTCAAAGCACAAATTAAGAATCTAACACACCACATACATTTACCAGGATGTCTATAAATGGGCCTGCTCTTGCATCCACATCAAGCACATTGTTCTTAAAAAACACAAAGACAAAAACATGTGGGAGAATACACCGATACTTAAGTAGACTAGTTCTGTGACAAGCTTTTTACACAAAAAAATCTTTTTAACCTGCCAAGACTGTGCATTGGGTTGTGCTGTCTGTTTAGCATATAAATATTCTCTGTCTCTAGACTGGTGATTTAATCAGTCCTGGACCTTTTACTTTCCACCCTACATTAAAAGAATAAATAAAGGTTTTTAAGAGTAAATACATTCACAAGTCCTATCATATAAATCATTAACTCACATCTTAGTTATTCTACATTTTGATATTGAATCTTTCATAATTTATCTCTGTAATTTTGCTCATAAAGCTTTATGAGCCTCAAGTTAAACTAGCCTGGAGTTAAAACAACTAATTAATGATTCAAGGAGACATCAAAATTAAGATATAGACTGTCTACAAAGACATACTTTTTGTTTATTTTAATTTCCTAGACATGAAGTATTTTTCAGCCTTCCGGTGGTGGCAGACCTCCGGGTCGGTTGCTACAGGTGATGCTTCTTTTATGCTACTCCTTGTTGTCTCAGACTACATGTCCTCTCCAGTTATAGCGAGGTCATTGGCATAGAAGACGTCCATGTCGATGCGAGGACCCTCATCAGGATCCTGAACTTCCTAGTTGACAGGTAGGGACACACACAAAATTATGAGTGTTACTTGTATATTTATGTATTTAAATTGTAAGTAAATCACTAAAAAGCTTTTCAAATATTTGAGTTTAGTCATGGTTGTTATTCTAAAGACTGAATTGAACAACCATTGAGGTAGGCTACTTCTTGATTAATGATCAAAGTTTTGTTTTTTTTTGGGTCTCAACAATATTACACACTAAAAAAAAAAAACACACAAACAAAAACAACTTGTTTTTTATGAAAAGTGGTAGCTTGTAGTATGAACTTGGGGAAAAAAACTGATCCAGACCCCTCTCACAAGCATCAATACTGAAAGTGTAAATTGTGTAAACAGCACACACTGGTGTCTAAAGTAGCTGTCATCTCATGGTGCTGATTTTTGTACAATTCAGTTTGCTCTTTCTGTTTGCATGTTGACATGTTTCTTTAATTTTTTGGGAGGATGTAAGCTTGAGCCACCCAACTGGCATAATGCCTGTATGAAGCCAGACCTCTGCAAATCTAGAGCTGCGTCCGAATTGCCAAGTAGTAGTCGAAGTAGTAGTCGAAGTAGTATCTAGCATGTCCGAATTGGCCACCGGAGCGAGTAGCATGCTACTTCAGATACCACTTCAGATACTAGACACGCCCACATTGTAGGTTGGTCTCGGTGCATCCTACGGGCATGCTACTGACCCAAAATGCACCACGGGCTTCTTCTTCGTCCTCTTAAAAGTTGTAGAAGCGCATGTGATGCTAGCGCCACCAGCTGCTCTGCCTATTTAAATGTGTCGCGAACGCCGGCTGGCCACAACAGCGCGCACCATGTCGCGGGACCGCAGCAGTACAGATGTAAGTTTCATGTAACTTCACACACTGTCCTAAAAAATGTGCGGTTGTATCTCTTTGTCATGTCATGGTGTCATATTTGCCCAAGTAATCATTTTATGAGCAAATATGTGGCGACATCATGGAGGTAAAGCTCACTTATTCCATCATTAAACTGCACAGCTGCAGTACTACAGCCAGGCCCGCAGATGAGGGGCTTCAGTTACCACTGTCTGCACGGGCGCAGTACCTACTCTCTGCCTGCGGGGGTCGTCTTTCCCCACCGCTCGTCTAGTGTGTCCGAATTGGGCAAACGTGTTTAGTATGTAGGAGTAGGATCTAGCAGTAGCACGTAGCAGTAGCATGTAGTATCCGAGCGGGCAGTTCGGACGCAGCATAGGAGTCTACTTAGGAGACATGTTGACTTTTACACTCATACATGTGTTAGTTTTGTTACTTACTGTTTGTTTGTAGTCTTTCTCTGTGCTGCGGTAGGACACCACATGGATCAGAGTGTAGACCCTGCAATCAGACAGAGAACAAGATGAAACACAAGTACAAAGGTTGGGAAGTTTAAATGTCCAACTTCTTAGTCAAATTAAATCTCCACATGCTGAAGCTGTTTTGTCCTGCCTAGTTTTCAAGATTTTCTGTTGTAAGCTGGGAAACTGTAAAGTACAATTTTAACACACGTGAGGAAGGAAAAGCTTAATATTGAGTTTAAGACAACAGCTGTATTTACCTGTGATACAACATTGCCAGAAACTGGACCAGGAGGAGAACAGCGAAAGACAAGAGGAACATCAGACTGAGAGGCTCCACCTAGTAACACAAAATAACAGTCACAATGACAACATGAATTTACAGCCCTCCTTTTACTATCTCTGTCTCCGCTGAACATTTCAACAGGACTAACTGTGTCTGCCGCACCTTGAGATATTCTGTTTCATTTCTCTGAATTCCATCTGCATATTGTTTTGGGATCTTGATGCTGAGGGTATCACTTCCTATGGCTTGCAGGAAGAAGGTAGCTACCACCCAAAGCACGTTGATGATGAAATACAGGAAGACTGCCTGTGGAAGCAAGCAAAATGAAATCATTATTAAGTCTCTATCATTTTGCAGGCTTTTTCTAGCATTGGTTTACCCAAAACAGTCAGTTTATATTAGAAAATTAGACATTCAAATGGCACCTTTCAGACATACAGAGGTCTGAAAACCTCCCAAAATTATTCAGAAGCGCTGCATGTGTCAGTACATAGGGAAAAATCTTTTACCCCATCTTTATCAAAATATACATCTTAAAGGATAAACTATTATATTTTATCAGATAGTTCAACAGGGGACCACTTAAAGTTACACCTCACCTCTTTCTAAGACTTTGACCTTTCAGGTTTCAGAAATAGCTTGACATCCTCTCTAAAAATGCTCTCAGCGGGAATAAGAGTCCTGGATTATGGATTCTTCTCCCTAATGAACTAACAGCTGCTGCTAAAAAGTGGGAGCCATCAATAATCATGTTTACATGTGCAAAATTTCTTGATCTGATTTCTGAATCCACTCTTTATATGGTTGCAAAATCAAATAATCTTTTCATGATGTGCATATACATGCACCAGTCTTTATTCAGATTAGAAGCATTTGGACATGCGCAGAGTTGTCTAATTTCGCTAAAACAATTGCAGAAGAAGAGTTGTATTTACACCTGTGCTGTCAACAAACCAACAAACACGGTAGTGGCTCACTTCCTCCAATTCAGGAGTTATCCCCTGTTAAACGTTGTCACTAGATGGCGCCTTTGCGTACTTATATTGCTGTTTGGTCAAAGGTTGCACTGTGCGTGCAGATGTGACATCATTACGCTGTATGTACGCCTTGTTATGTTATCACAGGAGCAGACACGGTACCTGCAGTTGTGTTTCTTGCAAGAGTGTTAATAATGAAACCTCCTGTACAGGCCTTAATAAATAAACCAAAGGCTAAAGAGTTAAGATCAAGTCAGGTAAGAGTCAGGAATAGAATAAGTGTTTACATGGACGCATTTCAGAATAACGATCAGCATGAACCACCAGGAATCGGAATACAATTTCTGTCCAATTGAGCCGAATTGGATCAAAATCTTATGATCGACATGTTTACATGTCACATTTTTATTTCCGATTGGGCATTTATTCCAGTTATTTGTATCCATGTTAACACAGCTATTGTGTCATCATCAAGATATAAGCCCAAGGCTTGACCTTATAAAGTCATGAAAGAAAAGCTTGAAATGACTGAATGATTTGCTAGATCTGCAGCTTGTGATCAAATGTAAGCATTAAAAGAGCTTAATTTTTTTATTACACACTGTTAAAATGCTTTACTACAAGTGATATTTCAGTGAGAATTATCCCCCAAGATAAGCCTAAACTCTACAGTGACGGTAGGAATGGTCCCTTTATTTTCAGGTCATGGTATATAATGACTATTGAAAACATTTATATCATCCAGTTTGGCAGACATGCTTTGGAAAACAAAAATTCAGGCTAATCATTTTTGTCTCTTGTTTTTAAAAAAGAACGAGAAGTTTTGAAGTTTTCAGAGGTTTTAAGTTGTGCTAATGTGTGTGATGCAGATGTCAAACATGGGAAATCCTTTGAAATTGTGATTTCAATATTAATCAAAATAACTATTTTTGGAGGACAGACATAATAGAAAACAAATACAAGTGAATAATAAATTGAAACAATGTTGGCTGAAAATGGTTTGTTAGTAAAGCTGGATAGTTTCAGAAAATTTCAGTGCATGATTGAAAGAGACTAATGCTGACCAGAAAAGAAGACAGCTGTGAAGGAAGAGAGCTCACCTTGTTTCGCAGGGACTTGAGTTCTTTGATGACCCTCTCTTTATGTTCTTTAGAGTCATTGATGGGTGTTAGATAGCGATCGATTAACTTTTCCCAGAAGTCATTCTCATCCTAAAAAGACACAAATGTACTCCTTTTATTAAATGATAAAAAAGGCAAATATAGCTGACTTTTGCTCTATTTTGCATTATTACAGTTTGACTATGGGTATCATAAAAATGATGACTAAACAACACTTTTGACAATTTCCTTTATCTCATATATACCCAACTGACTAAAGTTACTAAAGGGTAAAACTAAAGACTACCAATACATGTCCATTGTCCCTAGTTCAGGCTTGTCACAGGCTCATGAGTTTAGCCAGTACGTTACCTCATCCAGCTTTTGTATCTGTGGGGCAGTGAGAGTTTTCTCGATGGCTCTCTTGACTCTCGTTTCCAGAGTCATCATTTGGCTGGACCTCAAGAAATGTCTTGCCTAGGGGATAAAGAAACCATATTAAGTATTGAGTGAATTGTCCCTCTTAAGCAGAAGCTGAAAATGTGTCACTGTAAACTCCAAAGCCTCTGAAATGGTTGAGTTATATTGTTTTGGCTTAAAATTTAAATAAATGCAAAATAAACAGCAACACAGACAAACCTACAACCTACCCCAAATCAGTTGATTTATAACAATTATTATTACCATAACTATAAGAATTATTATTATTACTTGTCTGTTGAGATCATGTTGTAACTCCTCGAGCTCGGAAGTTTCCAGAATGTCCTCTGGTCCCACAGCACTTAGCTGGGTATTAAGTGTGTCTGTCAACATCAAGATCAAATCCTCACAAATATCCTGATCTATGTCACGGAGTGAGTATCTGAGGACAAGAAAGTATGAAAACAAGTCTTTAGATTAAGAGGATTTGGAAATAATACACATGCAACCACAAGAGGTAGTTTTGGATTTTCTACACAAGCTTGCTCAAAGCTAACTCTGGCTCAGAGCCGGACCAGTAGACGTTTGGAAAAACTCCAATAATTTTATTTATTTTTTTTTTTGGCTTGACCCATTGACTTTTTTTCCCACGTTTTTCGTGACTTACGCTTTAAAAAAAAATTCATATACAATAGAGAAAAGTAATAGCACACCAATCCTGATCAAACTGCATATTTTGATGTCCTTTATCCTACAATTCTTCAAGCTGTAGGACTAGTAGTGAATTGAAACTTGTCCAGAAAAGGAATAAGAAAAAATCCACAGTACAACAATCGTGCTTCAGGGCCAGTGTCGTTTTTCAGTGACACGTCAGAAAGGCGAGTTAGAGCATACAAAATAGATATTTCTCTATGATACATCAGATTGTCTTTACCGTATTTGCTCTTGAAGATTTCTTTTCATGTTGGCATAGGTCAGCTTCTTCAAAAACACTTTTTTTACAGGTTCCACCCACTCTGTGCGCACACACAAACACACACGCGCACACACACACACACACACACACACACACACGGTTAGCACTTGAAGCAGTTGAAAATTGTTCTATTTACAAGAATCCATGTGATTAATATTGTGAAATATTCAGGTCAAACAAAGTTAGTGCCTCTTACCACTGGCAGGAGGCTCCACTACTTCTAGCTGAGCCTCGTAATGGCCACTGTCTTCCTCATCACTATCATCATCATCATCATCATCATCATCTTTTTTAGTTAAGATCGCCGGTAAGCTCCGCTTTTCGTCACTATCACTACTGCACACAAAGAAAGAAATTTTTGTGAATGTTTTTCTGTCATATTGACTTCACATTTTCAGATGTGATACTTTGACCCACTCCGATGAAAATCGTGTTTCACTTGTTTTCTAGACGTTTATATGGTGTTTTTCTGATGCAAGAAAGGACATATCAAGAGAAAACTAAGAGCAGAGCAAAACTGCATTTCTGAGTATTTCTTTATTCAAATCGCTGTGAACCTCTGGCAGACCCAAATGGCAGGTTCAGAAACAGTGAGATTTCCTACGTCAAAAACCAAGCTCCGCCCCCGGAGCCCCGCTCCACAAGCCAGACCCTGTGAGGTAGAAACTAGAGGACGACTGCTGAAAAAGTGTGTGGACTAGTGAATTGGAATGCTCGTAAGTAAGCTTATTATATTAGCTTTCATCATGTCCCCAAAGACATTAGTGTCCGGGAGCTGAATAGCTCCTATGTTACCTGCTACTTCTGCTGTACCGACAATGTTAGGCTGCAAGCTAACGTGAAGACAAGTGTGCAGAGAAGCATTGTTCCTGCCCACGACTCAGAGGCGAATTGCTAATGAGCTTCTGGAGCTCTGCAGAAGAAAAGCCATCGAAAATGTCACAGGTAACGTGATTTTGGCTAAACACTTAATAATAACAATTTAAAGACCACTGGGAACACTTTAAGTAGAAAACAAACAAACAAATACAAAGGATCAAGGTGGGGCTTCAAAGAAAAATCTCGGTTTAAGCTTCACTGTCTCATTTACATACGAACCACTAATTTTACATCAGGCATTACAATGATATAGTCATGAGGTATACAAGAACCTAGAACAGTCATTTTGTCCAGTCGGCAAACACTTGTTGGCTAAGGCTATGTGATATACTGTGTTGTCATATTAGTTATTAAAGCAATGTGAAAAGAGACAATATCAAGTAAGACTTTCATTAGAGAGAGAGAAAAAAACTAAATTAAAACACGTCTCGGTGTCCTCAAAGATTCACCAGACTTTTGCACATAAACACTGAGGACACATGCAGTGTCCATGCACCGCGATGAGTTAAGTCAGTGCAGCTGCCTGAAGCTAAAAATGGCTGAACAAACATCAGGGCTGCTGAACTTGATCATTTTTATTATGCATCACTGAGCAGAAACAGGGCTTTTCATTTAGTGGCCTGTTTTAAGCTCATACAGCTTTGCAAACATATGTAGTTTTTAAATATATGAATGACAGACTGAAAAGAAAAATGTGAAGAAAATTCATTTTTTACCTGCTACTAGAGGAAGAGTCATACTGTGCTGTAGCTTTTTTCACAACTACAGTGGTGTCTTTGCTTGTTTCATTTTTAGCTGGAGGCTGCATCTCTGGAGGCTGCTTCTCTGTTTCTGGTGCTTGAGGTTGTTCCTGGTTGGTGTTTGGAGGGGCAGGGTCTTGCTGCTTACTCAGGCCTTTAACTGGTATGGGCAGCAGCATCTCTGCCTCCTGCGTTATCTGTAAAGCCACAATACAATTGAAACACTCCAATCCATGCTCTAGAGTGCTAGTAAGTAGCTGTTCAGTTACAGTACCTGTATTTTCATGTCCCAGCAGCAGAGTTTACAATCTTTGTGACAAACTACAGCTTCGTTTGTCTTGGCCTCTTCCGCTCCCCTAGGGGCGGACAGTGAAAAATCAACACATCGTACATCAAAACCCAAACAGATACTGTGAGAGATAATCGAGACTACACTACGGCTAAAACGAACACAAATTATGTCTGTCTTTTATAATTGTTGTGATTTAATTGCCACAATCCAAGCCAGAAGAGGATGAAAATAAGGTTAAAGATGTCTTAATCAGAATACTGTCTTAATAAAGCCTACAGATCCAAAACTTAGCAGTAAAATCAGAAGATATTGTATGTGCCTGTGCCTCCTCATAACTGATGTTAACTCAAGACACTGTTTCTAAACAAAAGCAGGTCTAGACCTGGCTTTTTGGTGCATTATTTATATGACCTGTATCTGAACCAGATAAGAGTCTGTCTTATTTGTCTTTATTCACCATGTACATGAGCTAAAAGCACAAAGTATAATTCTTTGTTAAACTGATCAGGGCATTACTTGTTGGTTTCCCTTGTGCCCCAGGACACGTCGTTCATGTTAACCAGAGAGTAGATAGCCAGGAGCAGGTATCCACTTGGGATGCAGATGAAATACATGAGCCCATAGATAATCATCCCTAAAAAATAAAACAGAAAAGCACACATTATGATTTTTTTAACAGAAAAAAGCATTTTGACTCAATATATCCACTATGGGTACATTTACAAGGACCTTAGTATTCTTTTTTGTGTTTGTGCATGTAAATATCATATAATGATGTCAAAGACCAGAATCAAACCTAGCCTGTCTTTGAGAAACCTGTTTTTTTAGCTGATGAACTCCGTAAGTAAAGAGGATACTGTGGCATGGATCGGCCTAACCCAATATCTGACAGCTGCTGACTACCTGCGCAGGCAGGGCTTTAGCTAAGTGATATTTCAGCAAAACAAACATGGTGGCAGGACTTTCTTCAGTGCCTCTGTGCTCTTAAAGCTGGTAGGCAACCAAGCAATATTCCCTACAACTGTCCTGTTAGTACGGTACTATGCTCACCCTCACGAGTCATTGTTCTCACATTTTGAGATATCTGCAGTAGGTGCTGTGCGAAACAAACATCACAGACACTTGTACAAAGTAAATACAGTAATAGGAGTGGAGGATACCAGCATTTATCATGTCAAGAAGGATATGAATGACCAGGTTTCTCTGTGTGCATGTAAACACCATATCCTTAATACGATCAAAACATAATCGCACTTCATAGTTACAATTACTCAATATCCAATGACATAAACAAGTTTACAAACATCAAAGATCACCGTACCAAACTCTTCTGGGTGTAGTATAGCTGTCACCAAGTACATGATTGCCATAGAGACCAAAAATAGGCCAGTGGGGGTCAGGAAGGTTCCCTGCATCACCATGTCACCTGTAAAGAGGATGTGTGAATATATTTTCTCCAAATCATAATTCAAGAGACAAACTAAAACATAGAGTTTCAAAAAGTCTTAAAGACCTAATACCCACCGATGATGGAGAAGAAGGATGCAGTCATGAGGAAGGCGTACAGAACACTCATGATGCCAGCGATGGTTATTTGCGTGTTAGCTTTGGTTAGGAAACATATGAGCATATAGACAACAGGAGGAATGCTGGCAACAATGATGGAGATTGTACCAGCAAGTTTAAAGATGAACTGGAAAGCACCTGGAAGGAAAAGTAAAGAGGGGATTTAGTCATAAGAGGACATCAAGCGTCACATAGAGAGCACAAGCCTTTGTTAGTCCATTTATTATGTCGCCCTCAAAAAAGTAAAAAAGGGTGTCGAAACTGGAGCTGAACCTACCTGCTACCATGAGAGTTACAGAGGCTGGACCAAGGATGGAGGCACCAACAGTGAACATCTGGTAGAAGATGTAGGGCCTGGAGATGGATGAGTTTCTCTTGACTGTCTCTCCACCACTGGAATCAAAGTCACAAGTAGAGAAGAGTTAGCATTAGTGCCAAATGAAATGTAATTTATCAGAGGGGCTTTGCTGATTAAAGGTCTGTAGCCTATAGATTTGCTCCAGTAAAAAATATTTTGCTTCATTGCTCCATATAAAATTGAATGAGAATCATAGTTTGAGGCTGGTGGTTTTGAATCAGGTTTCAGATAAGTTCAAAATTAATTGCCACAAAAATTGTATAGAGACAATAAAGAGCAATAAAACACACTTACCTGCTCAGAAGGTCTAGGGTATTAGCCAGGGTAGATGGGCCCCATCGTCTCCTTTGGTTATAAAACTCTTTAAACTCTTGTGGGGAGTTGGTGTATGCATCTGACGCTGCGTTGTACTCCACTCGCCAGCCTTGCTGCAGTAACAGAGTACACAGCCAACGATCCTCCCCTAGAAATAAAGGCAGGGGTGGCACATTACACAGAGGAAAGCTAAAAAGGGTATCTACTGATCCAGACACCTCCAGTTAAGGGATGGCTGACATGTGCGCTAACCTTGGTCATATTGCACGTATTCTGAGCCTTTGCTTGACGTGGTCGTGTATCTCTTCAGTACATTGTCATCCATTAGGGCAGATCCTCTGAACAGACTGAAACATCCAGGGCTGCAGAGTACTGAGCCAAACACATGCTCTGCTGTCTTCTGAAGCCAGTGGCCTACTGCATACTCAAACTTCTGGTACCACACCATGGGACCTGAGCAGCAGGAAGGAGGAAACAATGTGATTTAAAAGGTTAACTTCTAGTGAGATTAATTCTGAAGTCTGTTCAGCTGGAGCTGAAGTTGATCACCCTCGTAAACATTTAACTCAGATCTTAATCTGAACTCAACTTCTGATCTATCAGTTTCGTAAAACCACTTGGCTTATCTTTGGACTTTACGGTGGATAAACGTACACCCAGACATCACCAACACTTTGAACTGAGTTGGGGCCCCATCCAATGAGCATCTACAAAAATGACCATATGCAGTGGCAGATTTAGAGTCATGTTAACCATACTAACCACCTGATCCCCTATGAACCAGGAGTAGAATTAGCAAGCCAGTTCCTCTTGCAAAAGTTCCCATAAATTTACGTAATATTTAAGGGTTTGGAATTTGTCTGCTGTATAAGAAAGGCCTACCATGTGTTACCAAACAACCCCAGCTGTGTAGTGGTTACTCTATTCTGGCTCCAGGTAATAGCTGCACAAGAGAACACCCTGAAAGCAGATTTTATCAATTAAGTAACCCCAATATCTTGGTTTTGGTGCCATGGGTAATGTGTTTCTAAAACACTGATTTGTTGACCACAGAGGCCAAATGACCCTGAATCTCTGTCAACCCACAAGGCGGAGAGCAGAAACTAAATACATACCCATACCAGTCGGGTGGATTCTACCACATGCTGCACCCACATTCTCATACATCCTCAACCTATAAATCAAAAAAGTTAATGAGTACATTTGAAAAGATTTCACATACAGTACCTGAAAAACTGCTTGCTTAATAATAGAGTGGCTGAAAGTAAACTTTTTAAAGCATTTTCTCTTAGCGTTTTATGTTGGAAAATAATGAAACCCTTATCCTCCACCATGACAGTATAAACTAACAGGTTATTTTTCCCATCATTTACCTGTCAACCAGCAGAATCACGGCTTTAGGATGGAAATCAGTATCTCCATCCAGAGCCAGAATGTAAGTGTTTTCATCTGAGATTTTTCGTCTCTTGGCGTCACTCTCCTGGTGAGGCATCAGGTAGATCTCTCCATCAAGGGTGACTACGCTGCCTCTGTTGTAATTATTTTTTCGCTGGACATAAGAGAAAAGATGTTTCACATGTGAAACTGTCTACAGGACAATGTTAAAGAGAGGACATGTCAGGGAAGAGAAGTCTTACCTCAATCTTGATTGGGTTTTTGGTGACGTAGCCCTTCCAACCCAGTAAATAATACATATACATGATCTGAAAGTGAAGTACAGGAATATTACTTTGCAAAGTTTAAAACCAGCCATTCAAAGAAGAGTACAATCTGTATTGTGTTTGTCCACTAGAAGCTGGGACAGGGAGGACATGTTCATTATTCTGGTGATTCATATGAGAGACACGTAAGAAACAGACAAACAGAAGCAAAAAGAAAAAGCACACATTGTCCAAATATTAGAAAACATTAATTTGGTGTGTCTTTAGATCATTTATCTTGTAACATGACACTATAAGGTTTTACAAAATCAAGATTAAATAGGACTCAGAAACACTTTCACTCCTTACCTGGGACCATCTCTTCTTGTTCCTGATCAGCTTTTTGTCTTTCAGGTGAACATAGAGCATGTTCCCTTCTGGCAAAACAAACATCAGCCTGCCACCATAAGGAGCCTCAATGATAGATACTTCATCTGGTTCTTTGTTGGTAAACACCCTGAATGGACAGATGAATAGATGGTTACATGGTGAGATAGATAAGCAGACAGTTGGACGAATGGACTGACCTATCTCACCTGTAAACTTCTATAAGGACATCAATCAGGTCCTCAACGTATGAGTTAACCACCCTATTCCCTGTCTCCTTGTCAATCGTGAAGGCGTCGTCCACGTAAATGTGACACTCAAAGTCAAAAAGGTCTTTATGTTGCTCTTTTGGATCTCCTCGATAGCGGTCCAACCTGAAACAAACACAAGCTGCTATGAATGGCAAAACCTAGTATTTTCTTTTTTCCGCCGGTCAAAGGTTAAACACAATTGAATGAAACTCCAAATGTTAAATCGCAAATGGTTGATATACTTGTACATCACTGAAGCAGTGTGAGAAGTTAAACCAGTGTAGATTTCAGTATGTCTTAAGTTTTCTTTTAAGAGATGCATAAAAAACAACAAAACTCATGGTGTGTGCTTAGGACTACAGAGGATGTGGGTTTGCAATGACAGGAGTCTCCAACCTTAACATGGAGGTGAGAATCTTCAGCATTTCATCGTAGGTCTCATGCCACATTGTGGCACAAAGATAGATCACACAGTTCTGTACTTCATCATTGCTATGGGGAAGAGAAGAAGCAGGCATTGTGGTTACAGGATCATGAGTTTTGATTTCTTGTAATAACCACCCGCAGATAAAATAAGGTAGAACAATAAGGAGCTCACAGTTCTTTACATTAAAAAATACATTTTTCTAAACCACTTCTGCGTGTGTCAATCCATGGAGGAAAAAGTTCTCCTTAGGCTTTTAACAAAACTTCAAAAGCAAAAAGATTGAGTACAAAATGAGACAATTAGGCACATCTCTACTCAGACTCCTCTCACCTCTCCTGGTTTTTGGCTCGTGGCACCTTCATCTTGGTATTTAGCAGAAGAGACAGGTCGATGAAAGCAGATTCATACAGTCGGCGAACCATGAGCTGAGAAGTTCTCTCTATACGTTGGACCTAGGACACAGTAACCCAAAATGGCACTTAGGTGTTTTGCATTTGAGGTTCAGTTTACACAGACATGGTTGTTTTATCCCAAATACCCAAAGTTCCAACTGTCACAGATGTGGACTGGTATTGGCCTTGCAGGTAATTTTGTTTTAACTTGTCTGGGGCTTTGAAATGTCGACACTTTCTGTTGGTGCCAATGGACTTGATCTCTTTTCTTTACACTCATGGTGTCGGTTTAACAGTCTGTGTGTTCCCCTCTCACTAAAGATGAGTGACACTTGCTTAATTGAGCATGTTTTGGGAATCTTTGACCGTCATATGATCCAGATACAGAAATCACCTGCACAGAGATCAGTTCCACTGTGTTTCTGAATGAGGGGCTGCACTAAAGTGTTTTCAGATATACGTATATCAGGATTAATCCTGGACAGCGAGGATAGTGGTGATAGCATGACGTTGTTCAGGTCAGACTGGTGATAATGAATCAACCGTCCGATTGTGTTTGGGGTGACATGACATTGCAAATGTTACGCAGATTGAATCTCATTGATGGTAAACATACGTGTTTAGTAGTGGTCAACCAATATTGGTTTTAAAGACTGATATGGATTAGTAGTAGTCTGTGAGACCAATAACTGATATTTAAAATTGATATGAACTTGGGGTCCTCCAACTTTCTCCAGACTTGGAATTGAGACGTTTTCATTGAGCCTAATGTATATGCATATGTGTACATTTGTAAATGTAGTCTGTGTAGGTGTTTCCAGTTATACCTTGATCTTCCAAACATAGTAGGTACATGTGACGAAGCCTGACCACATACACACTCCCTCTAGAGCCAGCATTGCAAAGGGCCACTGCAAGTAGTAGCTGTCCATGGAAAAAAGGACACATCATGAACAGATAGACAAAATTGTTACACAGCTGTGCAGTAGGTTTATGCCAACTGGACTGACAGAATATATGACACACAAACATGTACCTGTTGAGTGATGTTCGACAAATGCTCCTTGTTAGTTCCAGTAAAACCACAGGGGTTGTGTTCTTGTGGCTCAGGAACACCAAACTTTCACAAAACGCTGTAAAGAAAACAGCTCAATCTTTTAGGATGTTCATAGCAAGTTTTTCTTTCTGTCCTCCTACAAAGCATCCCAGTATGTACCTTAATGTTTAAAATCCTATCAACTGTAATAGTTACAGCGTTTTTTGCATGAGTAGCTTATAATGTAATCAAATCACATCAAAGCAGAGCATAATCAATCTGCTTGAAATCAAATGAAAGAAAATAAAATAAGTTGAGTACATCTGCAGCCCTGGAGTCTCCCTTCACATGTTCTTGTCTTATGCATGGATGTTGCAACAGCAGATTTGCAGGGTCAGACATATGCATATGTGAAATATTTTGTGAGTGGAGTCACAGGCACTTTTGTGAGTATATTTGTTGCATTTCATTTAAAAATATTTTACATTTTTAGCTGTATATATAGTTTGTAGATTAAAACAAAAAAACGTTACTCTTTGTCATGCTAACTCATACTGGCTTGTGTTTTATCCTGTTTCCCTCTTGCTCTCAGTGTTTTATTCTTTTGATTTTAGTGTTTCCTGTTTTATTTTGTAGTAGTTGATTCCTTGTGTTTCTCGTCTGGTTTTACTTCCCTAGTTTTCCCTCCTTTGTTAATCACTCATGAGTTTCACCTGTGCCTCCTCTGCTTCACCTGTTGCCAGTTTCCCAGTGTGTATATAGTCTCTGTCTTCCTCTCTGTCCAGGTTGGTTCACTGTATGCATGTCTGCGTCCCAAGTTGCTCCCGGTGATTTTGCCCCAGTTTTTTTTTTTGTTTGTTTTTTTTTATGTGGCTTATTTGTGCCTTTTGGATTTTTCTCTTTTTGTTGGTTTTTTTAAATTTTGTACTTCTTAAACAAATTATTTTTTGTCTACATTATGAGTCCTTTCCCTTTTTCTTTCACCCTGGAACGTGACACAGCCAGACTCTTAGAGAAAAAGCTCACCTGGTATGTTTTCGCTGGCAGCCCCCTCCAGTTTTTGCATCTCAGTTAGGAAAAGTACCATTCCCAACAAAAGCACTGCAGGCCCAGTAGAACAGACTGGCAGTGCGAAGCTCATCCTGACGGCATGAATCTTACAGGCCACCACCCCAAACCAGTGACAGGCAGCTGAGCAGAAGGCCTGAGACAACAAGCAGTATGGAGAGAGGGCGGGGAAAAAACAAATTCAGTTTTAAATAGTTTAATTCCTGTATTTTGTTCATGAGGGCGTGTTTTAGTCGCTCTAGAGAGGTGATGTGTCTGTTCTTCATTCAGTTTGTCATTTCATAAACATTTAATTTATGAACTTCTCTATTTATAATGTTAAATTTAGATTTATGTATTGTCTAACATACAGAGTTAACTAAAATTATTAGACATGACACAATCTTAACAATATGGTTTTTATGTTTGTACATATGATATGGAGCTGGATCATTAATTAGTAATCAATGACAGAGACATTTTTAAAAAAGAAAAAAAAAACTCTAATAGGTAAGGACCTTGGACTGTATATACAGTCTATGGTAAGGACCATTAGAGTTAAGGGCTGAAGAAGGTGACTGTACTTCATGCATATTGTTCAAATAGATGTCTTGAATGTCCTGTCTTGAATGTTTATCCTATCTGTTATTTAGTGTCTGCTCAGCCTACCTGTAAGAAAAACACCACCAATCCTATTTGCAGTAATTCTTGGTCCTCATCCTTCAGGTTAAAGTCCTCCCAGGTTATAGAGTCCACAATAAGCACATGATAGATAAGGTAAACTCCTCCTGCAAGAGAAACAGCAAATCAACTCTTAAAGACACAGGACAAAAAGACATTAAGACATCCGACAAAACACTTACTCCATACAATGATGCAACAAATTGTACAGAGTGAGTTAAGATTGTAAAAAAAAGAAAAAAAAAAGAAGGAGGTTCAGGTTATAATAATGCATCAGATTTCATGTAGCGCTTTATCAAAGACCCTCAAAGCGATTTACATTGGATACATCATTCATTCGCTCACACAGTCACACTTTGGTGGTGGTAAACTACCTTAGTAGTCACAGCTGCCCTGGGGCAGACTGACAGAAACGTGGCTGCCATTTTGCGCCTACAGCCTCTCCAACCACCACCACACAACACTCACAATCACACACCAGTGGAGGACACACACTAGGAGCAAGGTGGGTTAAGTGTCTTGCCCAAGGACACAACGGACAGAGTCAGGATAGGGGGGAATCGAACCGCCAACCTTCCCGTTATTGGACGACTGCTCCTCCTGAGCTACTGCCGCTCCCTATAACATGGACATGTAATTGTTGACCGGCCTTGAATAAGATAGCACATGTAGTTTTGAACAGAATGACAGCTATTTCTCTTTTTCCTATTTGAAAACAATTGAACACTTTTCTGCAGCTATAGAACATCCTCCTGGATTCATCATCACCACTGACAACCACAGGGTGCTGTTCATCTCCAGTGTGAATGGTGGAAATTAGATTGTTACAGTCTAAGCTTGAAAAACACTGCTGTGTGTTGGCTGTTGTGAATGAGAATCTATTCTGAGAGCACGTGTAACTTGTAAGCATGATTTCTGGAGTGTTGTCTGTTGATACAGACTGTGATGGCAGATAATTACCTATCACTATGATCCTCAGAATACTGCTGATGACAAACACAAAGTCTCTGAAACCGTCCAATTCTGTCAATGTATCCTGCAAAGAGAGAGAGAGATAAAGATGAACTTTTCTCTGATCATATCATGTCAATATATTTACATTCTGCACTACAAATGCCCCAAAGCTCAATCTCAGAGACGAAATGGAAAACGAAACTGACCGTCTTGGCTATTTCAGTATAATTACACAAAATAAAAAACTACAGTACAACAATCAGAAAACCCCTTTATATTTTCATAATGATGATATTATTAAAAGCAGCTTTGATTTCAGATACATGGTGCAATAAGACACTTAATAGCAAACACCATCATACCGTCATTTTGTTGGTAGCCTGCAGCGGGTTTTCCCACCAGCAGACAGAGACAAAGAGGGAAGACAAAATCCCGAGCCCAATGAAGCCGAAGCAGTCGTTGCTCTGTCTGTCCACATGAGAATCCACACGGACATAGTAGTCAATCCCAAGGAGGCAGTAACCTGGCAATTAACAGATAAGTAGTTACTTGTTGAGTTGAGACAAGCCATTACAATTTAATGGAAACATAATAATGACTGCATCAGTTTAAAATTGATCTATTTTGATTTCACTATCGGACAAGTATCACATAAGGTCTTAGTACTTGGCTCTCTTATTAGTAACTCAGTGGTTCCAAACACTTCACTGCAGTTGGTCAAATCCTTTTAACAACTCTTTAACAGTGGTTATTAGTTCAGAGCAGCAAAAACAATGTCAGAGATGACCAGATCACACATGTCACATTAAATTAGTCTGCTGAAAAGATCCCTGGCACATTGTGCCTCTGCTTGTTGTTTTTATTTTATATGAATTCCTGTCCTGTGATCCAGGTGATGGCTGTAGAGCTGTAAAGTGAATTGCTAACTTTCTGATTGCTACAAAAGAATTAAACTCATGGGCAATAGAGAGGATTCATCTGTGTCAAATGTTGTGACCTTGGCCTCATTTATGTTTTAAAGTGTGTCAACTGCAAAGTTCTGAAAGAAAGGTTTTCTAAACAAGGACCAAGTCAACATTAGTTTTTTATTTTAAGAGACTTGTTCAACTCTTAATCTAATTCCAAATTTTGTGCAAACTTGTCTGTGTATTGGATTTTCGGAATAATAACAAAGAGAAAAACCATAGCACTGATTTGAGATGGTTACCTGCAACTGTCAGAGCGAGGGAGCAGATTGGGAATAGGATCTTCCATTTTTCTCCCTGGAGTCTATACACTATCTGCAGAATGGCAGATACAATACAGACTCCTCCGCTGATGAAGAGGTTAGTTAACACATCAAACTGAGGCATGACCACCAGCACCAAGATTGAAGTGCCAAGAGACACCAGACACTCAATAGCACAAATCTGGAAAACAAAAAGACTCATATCAAAAGATTATTTCAGGAATTTCAAACATGAACTGTTTTTTGGGGGGGTTGAAGTATATACCATATCCCCAAATATAAGGAGAATAAATGACCTCTCTGTTTTCTTTGTCAGTAAGTCTACTTAAAGTAGTGGTAGCTGCACCCTGGACATCCTATGCCTATTGTATGCACTTACTTTATGGACACTGTTCACAAAATCATATTTACATTAAATAATATTTGTTAAATCTAAAGTTAAATAATGAAAACCTGCATTATCCTGGTTGAGTTAAGCTGACTCACTGACTGGGGTTTTTCTTTAATTATGTATTTTTTAATGATTAACAGTGAAGACAGATGAGTGGGCGCATATGAACTGACAAAAAATTAAGACAGGTATCAACCTAACCTCCAATGATATGCAAACAGTTTACATGACATTGAACAGGACGTACAAAAGACACGGTCCTCATGTTGGGCTTGACCAATTTTTTGAAGGCACACTTCCACAGGGATTTAAGGAACACCAGGAAGTTGGGGAAGACCAGGCAGAAAACCAACATCAGCATGTAGAACTGTTTTTCCTTCGGACTGCGCATGGAGTGTGGACTGGACATCGTGGACAACACCAGAAGAGAGCCCTGATTGGACAGAGACGAAAAGTATGTCAAAGGACATAAAACCACAAGGAAGTTGTTACATTCAACAAATGAAACGGATTTGATGGTGGCAGCATGACAATGATTTATAAAAAATATATCAATCCCTCATCCACAGGTTGTCTGTTGTGTTTCTGTTTATGTCTCTAGTCTATTGGGTTGCTGAGCAACTCATGTGAGAGTGAACACCAAAATGTGCCTGTCCTCTGATACACCCCAAACTCTGACCAAACTGCCAAGATTTCTAAGAAACGATTAAAAATGAACAAGTACAATTATTTACCGTATTGCTTTAATGACTGCCAGAGCTAAAGTAGCAATTATATTACACATCTAATTCATTTACTAAGTCAACCCCCCTCCCATCTTCCATTGACCAACAGCCACCTTGACACATTAATCTCTGTATTTTCTCCACCCCACAGATCGTATCTTTAAAGAAGTTTAAGAAAACACACATCTATACACATGCACCAGTCTTCTTTGGTCTCTTTGTGGTATGTCTTTGGATTGGATGGCTCCATGTGTCGTAGTAACTTCATATGCTGTTAATATAAAGAAGGCTGTGATCTACTGGCAGGTCCCTCCCTGCTTTAAATTCTGCAGATGACCTCTTCTAAGGACACTTCATTGCTTTATTATCCTCAGTTACCGTCAAATGGATAAGGAAGTTAACTGAGCTTAACTGTGGTCAATGCTCCTTGGTTAAGAAGGAAAACAGAGACAGTGATATCACAGAGTGTGAGTTTTATAACTGAGCATAGTCCCATGATTTATCATCAAGAAACGGGGGGAAAGACAAGGGCCAAAGGAGGAAGACATGGAATCGATAAGAAAGGGAGGTAGAGGGACAGACCATGTACATATATATACACATCCTGCTGATGATAGCTTCAAAAGAGAGACAGACACAGTTTAAGAGAGAAACCAACAGGGAAAGGGAGCTTGGTACAAATGGAGTAAGCTTTAACACAGATATTATTTTAGTACCAGCAGACCAAAGAAACTCTTACAACTGTATTAATTCAAAATACTGGAAGACCATCTTAAAAAATCAATATGGACTGTTTATGACTTAGTGATGAAAAACAAACAGTGTTCAGTTTCTTTTTCAGATTTCATAATCTCAGGAGCTTGATTAAGTGTTTCCAAGGAGCTACAACACTCAGATAAAGGAAGTGATAAGGTGAAAATATGATGTTTTATATCAACAGCAATAAAGTTACTGATTAAAGTTAACATAACTGCAATCTTGGAACCCATTACCTAGGAGTAATATTTGCTTCTGGCTCTGATTTCCAACTAATCTGTTTTTCTATTGTAGCCTGGGGTAAGTGTTCATAAACTTCAGCTAACCTGAGACTTCTTTTCTGTGCACTGCATTTTTCACAGCTCAATGAGCAACTTTAGGAGCAACCGGGTGTGGAGATAAGAGGCAAAGTGAAATTCACCTCTTCAGATATATCTGCAACATAAATGCTGTCTTTTTTTACTTCATTACATCTCCTGAGGAATGCCTTTCCTCCCCAAACTGTCAACGTCTTATATATTTATTATTAAGTAAATCTGCTGGCTTTGTCAGGTTTGTCCTCAAGAACACAAGACGATAACTTTTAACATTCCCCCTTTTTTGGAGCTGTTGGCAGCTCTTCCTTGTCTTACAGGTTTCAATGAGTCTGGCTGGGTCATCATGGATTGAGAACACCTGGACCAGGTTTTGCCAGTCTCCACAACTGTCCTACTAACTTCCACACCTTATGGCTTTTTTAGTTTGAAGTAATTTGTGTCTTCAGCTATAACTAGCATGCAAGCTTGGGTTCCTTTGCAGGGGTTTTGCTCTCTACACCAGCTGCTATTCCAGCTCACACTGAATCCTTTACATTCTGCTGTTCTATTTTTATAGATACTGCTTATACTGGAAACAAAGATAACATATAAAACATGTTGATCCTTGAGGGTTTAGCAACTTAAAGCTATAGTGTGTAAGATCTATGTGTCTGTAAATATCCGTTTCACCTAAGCCACTACAAGAGGAGATGATACAACGCTGATTAAGCTGTTCGGCAAATAACAAGTGGTATTTTTCAGTAGTTGTTCTTTTTGTATTCGGTGTCTTTGGCGACATTCCCGCACTGGCGCACACGAAATGTGTAGACAGTTACAGTCTGTGTATCATGACGAGCAGTATGCAGTGAGTCGCGAGTGTTTCTCCGTCTAACATGATGAGCAGTGCACATTTTGTAGCCAGTGTTACTTTGTGTACGGCGATGAACAGTATGCTATGTCTGGTGAGTGTTACTGTGTGTGATGTACATATGTCATACTGAGGTGCTGTATCATTGTAATAAAGCAGAAATCCTCTAGCAGGCAACAGAAATTACGCACTATAGCTTTAACCATGTCATTTGATATACTTAAGGAGATCAAGACATATTGAGATAGACAAATGGAGGAAACATTCAAGAACTTCTTTATCAACAATTTTTTAGGCATGTTTTCAATGATGGGAGAAAAAACTAAATCAGATCTTCGGATTATCAAATCAAGTGTTTACAATTTGTGACAAGAACACTGTAGGTGATTTACTTGACGGACGGCAGAGAGAAAATCTCACCTTTGCTACAACAGCACTGGTCAAAACAGCTAAGCCCACGATAGCAGCCACCAGGTGCTGAGCCAGCAGGAAACATCTCCTCTTTTGTTCCTTCTCAGCTCCTATTGGGTTTAACTGGAATGGGTCCCATGTATCCCTGACACACACATATAAACACACGTACCATGAGTGATTTTGGCTGTATCATAGTAATCCTCAGTATGAAGACGTTGCACCAATGAGAATCATTGAAGTATACTGAAGAATAATGTTGTGCATGCAAGAACACTTTTGATCACAGGATTGTGCAGTTTGTAGTCTGAAATAGCTGGCTTGCTGCCTTAAAACTGGAGGGAAAATGGACTGTAAGTGTGTGGCAGTGAATAATATATGAAAAATCATAAACCACTGGGAACAATTGTCTGTTATATGGAAGCCAAAGAGCGCAAATAAAGATGTTTATTTTACCTTCCAGGTCCTCTGTGCTTTTAAAGTGTTGATGGGTCATTTTATAGGAGTGAAAATCTCCGCACTTCCTCTTGCAGGACCATCATGTATTCCCTTTATCCCAACTTTTTTTTGTTATGCAAATTCAAAGTAGCTGTAATTATGGACAAACCGTCTTTGCTTAAAATACTAAGCAATCGAGCTTGGCACTGGATAAATAAATCCCTTTATTTTTTAATCTTCAGACTTTTCTATAAGTCCTCACATACTGTATGCCTGGAGGGACCACTACATGGTATGCCTGGTTGGGAGGTCTTCAGCAGGTAAGCCCTCAGACACACCTGCACAGGTCTTCAAACCTACTGACTGAACATTTGGTACTATCAGCCTTTCCGCCCTCCTCTCTTGCTGGATGATTAATGTTGGGAGCAGAATAGTAATCAGGGTGTGGGCCCCATGGTTTGATAACATGCAGTGAACTTTGACTGCTGTAGCTGGTATCAGAAACACAAGCGAGTCCAAATGAGGGCGCTTGTATGATGTGATCTCAGTCACGCAGGCAGGAGGAGCGTTCGGTAGATGAAGATTGCATTTTAACGTACTCTTTTCTTTAATGAGCTCCAATGGATTATTTAAAAAAAAAATCATAATAAAAATACTACTTTATGTCTCAGCACACCTCAGAAAAGAAAGTTTTTCGTAGCCCACCTAGGTTTTAAAACCTGACCCTCAGGTAATTTGATAAACAGTTATAAGATCATCATTAATTGAAGCCAAATCACAAGTATGTACTGTCAAAGAAGAATCAGAAATTACACATCTTCAACTGAACCACTGCTCTTATGGGACTCACTCATTTTAAAACAGATGATAGCTTCAAAATAAATCTAAACCCGACCAGGGTTTAGATTTATGACCTCAGAGGGACTAAAAACATTGGATGTGATGAACACAGTGATAGCAATTTGAGTTTCAAAATGGAGCAGCACACCCTGAACAGCATGAGAGAAACCATCCTCAATGATACAGAAAAGCACTGCAGTGCCTGAGGGAAATAAAGCACTTCTATTTGCAGTGAATTACAGGTGATAGAAATCAGATGGAACAAAACCCTCTGTTACATCATTAAGTGGACAATTTACTAATGACTTCCTCATGCCAACATCCATCCTGCTAACTATTAACCCAACAATGAATCATAGGCTAATAAACACTGTTCATTCCCGCATGTGAGATAACAAGATTAAATCACATCTGTCTGTTGTTTTTTTCTCTAAATACCAGAACCAACCTTCAAATTTGATGTCTTGAGCCCCAAATTTCCCTTGATGTGATGCTCCTGATTCAGTGTAAGATTAATTAATTAAGTATATAAAATGAGCTGCAAGGATTTGTAGATCGGCAGAATATTTGTTAATGTAGTTTTAATACTTTCTCAACACTTTCTATGCTCAGTTATACTTTGGAATTCCATTAACTTCAGCTTTTCCACAATCTTTAGCCAAATGGGGAGCAGATTAATGTTTGGCCTACATAAATTAATGCTTAATGCAACCCTGCTTGTTGGAATCTTTGAAAAATACATTGAAAACAGTTAAAAGAGCTTTCTAAATGACCCTCATGGGATTTTGATTAAAACTTCCAACATTTAACTCTAAATTTTGCAATATTCTATTCCTGCTATTTTCTGCTATTTTCCATCCATCCATCCATCCATCCATCCATCCATCCGTGGTTGGGGTCACAGTCTAATACAGTCAGCCCGGATCTCTCACGTTTCTTTAACTCATATTCCTCCTGCTTTTTGGACACTTTTTAGTTCAGAGCTGGAACTTAATTCAGTCATGCTAAGTATTTTAAACAGCAACAAAAATCTTTTGGTATAAATGTCTTATAGATAAAAAAAAAACATTTGCATGATCCATGTACGCACGTGGTTGAAAAATGGGATTCTGACATTAAATCTGAAGGCCTTGCTCATATCCAGCTTTGGCGTTTACAAAAATAGCAGACTCTGTCATCAGTATGTGAATATGTTGTGAATGGGGTAATTTAACATGAATGCTTTCAGTGATCATAAAGACAAAAATATATAAACATAGTCCGTTGATTATTTGTATTTGTCATTCTTGAAATAAAGCAATAGATAAATTATGGCCATGTTCAGAGGAAAACGTCTCTCTTTAATCTTTATATTTTTATACATATTTAAAGAAAAGAAAAAAATATATATATACATATATATATTTTTTTACCTGTGTCTTCCTTCTCTTTTCCTCCCTCTGTATTTCAGCTCCTCCATCCTCTTGGTCTACACTTGCGTACAATCTGTGTGACAGGAAGACCAAATAGTCAATTGCAGTTGATTTTCTTCCTTGACAGTGAAATGTATTTCCAAAGGAATACACAAAAAATTGAGACTGGAATTTTTTTTTTCTTACTTATAGTAAAAATAATGAAAAACAAATCCTTACCTTATCTTAAATTTTCCGTTGGTTAGATCCTTGATTTGAAGTTTTCAGCACTCCACCTGAGGCTGCTTTATTCCTCTACTCTTCCGTCAGATCACCTCCAAGCCTCAAAATTGTTCTCCAGTCTCAAATATCTGCTTACTCTAATCCACAGGAACACAATTTCAGTTTCTAAGGTAGTAGAATGAAATGTTGTGGAATTGAAGATCATCAATCATATCATCAATAATCCGAGGACAAAGAAAATCTTAAACGACTTCTTTAGAGAAGCTTCTGCCTGAAGTGGGAGTGATAGGAGCTGTGCCGAAGTCTGACTTACTGTCTGTCAGGTCATCCTTCGTTCATGTTAATCTGTTATCACTTGCTTATGAAAGAGATGGTCGTATAAACAATCAGGACCAGCCCCTACAGGTGTGTGTGTGTGTCTGTCTCTGTGTGTGATCTGATGAACAAAGTTTACAAAAGCCTCAAGTAGAGGGTGTATGTATGTTAGTGCGAGTGTATGTGTGTGTGTGCGTGTGCAAGTTGTGTGACTAATCAAAGTTTTCCAGTGATCAGTTTTTATTGGGGGTAATAGAAAGGTACAAAGATCATTTACACTCCAGACACATGCACACTCTGCCTCCGGTAATTCACACAACTGTGCTTAGCTCACGTTGTGCACACACCCCGCCCCTCTGTCTTTAATTAACTGAGGCCAACACTTTACTTAATGCACTGCACTAGAGATAACGTTTGGTAATGAAAATGCTGATTGGAGGGTGCATCAGTTTCTGACTGAAACTTCCTTTTTAACTTGTGGCATCAGTTTTACACAAAAAAATAATGATACGTTTTTAACAAAGACACTCCCATCCGTTTGAATTACTCCAACATGTGCAATATAGTACTACAGCTAGAGTTATGTATATTTGTGCGTCTAACATCTTAAACTGAGGATGTGCTATGGCCAAACAGAAGCATGATATCACACATTTGATATCTCTTGTATCAGACACTGAGTCAGTGCTCTTTGGTTATATGATAACTCCAGCTCATTCCAGTTTTATGATATGACTTTGCACGTCACTGGCCGTTTACCGTAATGCTCAAAATTTATATAATCAGGATAAGGTTAAAAAACTTTTTTTTTTTTTTGCTGTTCAATGATGCATTTAATTCCTTTTTCATTTTTTCAGATTAATACAGATTATACAGATTAAATCAGGGCTAAGACATGTCAGGTATGAAATTGGTGAAAAGAAACTGAAAGACACTTTGGCATAGTACTCAATCTGTATATTTAGATGTCATTCAAAGAATTGATTTGTTTCCTTATTTCAAGTGAACCTGGACTCTTAAGAAATACAGAAGCTCTTTAGTCTGCCTTAAACCGAACTAAATCAAACTTCTCATCGTTGGACAAACATACCCAGATAATGCTGTTGGCAACTTCGCTTCCTTTAAAAAAGGCTCAATCAAACTGAAGTTGGCATAAACCTTCTGTGTATGCCCCAGAGTTCACATACGGACCAGTGACCCGATAGTAAGAAGATATGAAGGCATGTCTCTACCTACCATAACTGATGCAGACATCAAGACAGCAGTCCAGTTAAACCACCTCATCCAGCTATAACTGTAACTCAACTGCGCATGTAAACATACAGAATGATCGCAATGTGTACAAGCATACAGAAGACAGCTTTATTTTATTGCGATCCCATGCAGCCAGTGTTCTCTCCAGAGTTACAATCTCCGCAGAGTGAATAGAGCTTATGATGCAGAGAAGGATTTTAATAGTTGGGCCACTTCTCTGAGGGCAGCAGCTTCCCCTTTTTTCAAGATACTTTACATTTTCATTACTTCTTGCAGCCAGAGCTGCTGATGGGTTTGGTTTTGGCTGGGACAAGCAAATTTAAGAGGGCACCTGCACACACACACACACACACACACACACACACACACACACACACACACACACACACACACACACACACACACACACACACACACACACACACACACTTATCATTTACAAAAAGACATTATCTTGGATAGGTTACCCTAAATCACTGTTGTTTTTCCTGTTAGTTTTTAAATGTAAAATAAAATGTGAGGATATAAATTTCTTCTGGTTGTGTTACATATGCCACGCTCAAAGACCTCCCTGTTTCACTAAAGCTAAATCCTGTCTCTGATTTCTGCTGGTCTGACTCTGAATCGCACACTATACATGTCCTGACTCTAACTGGGCAGCGAGCCCTCCCACCTCTCCAGTAGTCGAGTTGTGAAAAAAATCAGGGAGGATGGTGGATTTTATTGTTTGGGACATTTATTTTGTTTTGATGACAGTGCACAAAGTGGGAAACCAACTGTGTACCCACTTTATTGTTGCTAAAGCACAAAGATAATTATTATATTATATTACCCCTTGGATTGAGCTGTCCGTGTGGCTTGGCCATGATACTGAGTTTGCAACAGCATCACCAGTAATGCTTTGCTACTTACTGACATTATTTTTTTTTTAAAGGGAAAAAGTGTCTTTGCATCTGTGCCTCCTTAACCAGAGTATTTTACTAAATATGCACAAAGCTCCCTGTTGCAGGGTTTTCGCTTAAACAATCAAAATATCATGAAAAAACACAGGCGTAGTGGTAAAAATTCGGTGATGGTGATATAAATATTTACAGCCGGCCTTCCAGGGTGCAGTGCAACAATATTTACAAAAGTGCAAAAAAATGGTCAAATACCATTTACAAAATGTACAAGGCAAAAAAGAAAATATCAACAAGGCAGGAGTTCCACTTTAACTCAAGATTCTCACTCACAAAAAAAAAACAACAACAAAAAAAAAAAAACAAACAAAGAAAAAAAAAAAAAGAAACACAGCAGTAACCTACAAAAGTCAGTTTGGCAGTTATCTTCCATACAACAAACTCCAGACTCAAAGAAATAGTGTTATGTTGTTCACAAACGATTCGTTCAAAATCGTTACAAAGTGAACGTACTGAACCGAATCACTTCCTCAAGTGATTTGTTCCTTTCTCACTTCAGTTGAGCTGAAGTGAGAAACAGCATTGCCAGGCCAGCAGCCGGCGAACGAGGGACCGCATGCACTGACACCTGTCGGACAAAACTACCTTTTTTATTTTTTTTATTGCTAAATTGCCACCACAAAAATTTGCATACAATAGGACACAGCATGTAACAAGTAGTGCATAAAACCCGCAGCATCCTATCATCGCAGCGGTTTGCAAGGGAATGGTGCATGTTCAGTTTGAATTCTTCCAAACGTTCATTGAACTAATCACTCACTGAGCTCAAGTTACTGAGCAGACCTGATAAATAGCATACCATAGGACAGTACACATAAAACATCATGACTTATCAACAAGTTCATTTTTACAAACCTGTTTGCCAGAGCAACACAGCCAAACACTCGTGTCTCCCGGCCCCAGAAGCAATGAATTGAACTGAATCCCAAACCGTTTAGCTGTGTATCAGTTCAGGAGGTCGGAGTCAGAGGCTTCTCCCACAAAGCGCTACATGATTCAGTGATTTGGTGAACGAATCTTTTAAAATGAATCTTTTTAGTGAACTGATTCCAGTGATTCAGTATTTCAAAGAACTGCCGTGCCCATCACTACAAAGAAAGGCCCAGGCAGCCATCTTTTAACCCCCCTAGCCCCTCCCAGTGGGCGTTATTAATTTAATAAGTTTTGGAGAAAAAAACACTGATTTAGTCACATTTTTAACCTTCAGACCTTTTGGCATTTTAACTAAGTTTTTATACAAATCAATGGAGCATTGATTTTTAGGGATTCCTGGCAAACAACAAGGGAATAAATTTTTCTTGCATCATGTGACTACTTTGACCCGCCATACCCACCTCTATACAACACGGAAATCATGCACTCTGTTTCCTCATTTGGAAACATGAGCCATGATGGCGTGAATGAATGGACGCCCGGCAGGTAAGTGGAGGGATAAAAATCTATGTGAATGTGTTTTTAAGTGAGCAGATAGCGCTCCAAGTGTGCACCTTTGGTTACTATCCAACAGAGAAGGAAGAAGGAAAAGTACCGCTGTTTAGTGGGTAACTAGCGACGCTGTCAGGGAGGGAAATGTTTGGCACGTACAATATGTAGGTATGTGTGTGTGCGTGTGGCTCCATGCGCTGCCCGCAGTCAGAGAGAGTCTGCAGTCCTCTAAATACTTAGCAGTGTGATTTTTGTGGCAGTTTCATCACCAGTTTTTGTTCCGAATCTTGACAAGTCTTCATCAGTGACATGTCATATCTGTCTGAAGACTTTTCATGAATTAACCTGAAGGTTAGCTATCACGTATCTTTTATTGTCCCATACAGTTTTATTTCACTGATAATATTCCAAATATTCGAGTGTAAGATTGTTGGTATAAAAATCTATTAGTCTCTTTACTGAATCCGTCCAATTCATGTTCTTTCTTCAGTAAATGACACCTGAAAATGTAGTGGATGTGGGCTGTGTGACTCAGTGATGTTTCTGATGGTCATTGCTCGAGTCCACCAGGTGGAGGCGCTGTAGGACAAACACACACAGCTGCTCCGTACAGGTGTGGATGAAACAGGAATGATGAGTTATTGTGTTGAAGCTGTTGTAACCGGTACAAACTCTACCGTTTACTGTATAAAAGTGTTTGTTAGTCCGTGTTCAGAGTGTAAAAAGTCTGAGTCTCGCTGTATCACTCAGGCTGGACTACAGCGTCTATTCACGGGCGCGAACCCACTACTGGGCGGCACGAGGGCTTTAACCTGCTCCGTTTCCGACCTGGGCCGGTTCACCCTTCCTTAGACGACCTGCTGGTCCCGGGC